AAATTACCATTTATGTATATACGTAAAGTTATAATTTTTTTTAAAGCGGAAAAAATATTAATAAAATTTTAAACACGTTATTTAAATTTTGTTAAAAAGTTAAAATAATAAATTAAAAATTTAATTAATAAAAGAAATAAATAAAAAAATAAAAAGTAAAAAAAAGTTAATAAAAAAAAAAAAAGGTAAAGTTTAATGTAAAAACTTAATAAATAATTTACGGAAATATAAACTTTTTATTAAATTTAAATTAAAAGAAGTTATTATAAATAAAGAAAATATACCGTTTATTTTAATAAAATTAAATTTCTTTAATTTACCAATTATTTTTAAAAACTTTATATTATTTAATATATATTTTAAAAATATATATAAAAACTTAAAGATTTTTATAAATAATTTATTTAAATTTTATTACTTTTAAATATAAATAAATTTAATTTAAACATTTAATAAATATTACTTATATTTTCTTTTTATAAATAGTAAAATAATGGCCATATTTTTAAACAATTTTATATATTATTACTATTATAATAAATAATATTATTACCATATAATTAATAATTATAATAATAATATTATATAATTTTATATTAAATAAATGATTAATTATAATTATAATTAATAAGCAAAATCTTATATAAACTAAAATAAAAAATATTTATACTTTTAAATTAAACTTATAATTATTAAATTTACCTTTAATAAAATTAAAAAATTAAAAAACCTTAAGTTTTTTTTTAAAAAAAATAAATTAATTATTAATATTAACCATATTTTTATATTAAAAAAAAATGCTTTTATTATTTTAAACGTATTTAAAAATTATAAATTTAAAAAATATTTTAATAATTTTAACCTTTTAAAATAAATATTTTATAAAAGAAAAATATAATAATAAAATTTAATATATAAAATATATAAACTTTAATTATTTATTAAAATAAAAAACTAATTATTATTATTTTTATTAAATTATTAAATACTTTTTTAAATTTAACAATAATAAAAAACTTATTTATTTATTTTAAATTATACCACTTTACTATATTTATACAATTTAAAACCAATTTAAAATCAATTATTATAGTTATTAATTTTTTAAAAAAAAATAAAACTAACAAAATAACAATACAATTCCAATAACATTAATATTTATAATAATTTTTATTAACAAATTTAACATATTTTAAAATTTATACCAATTATTATTAAATTATTATATTACTTTATATACTTTAAATATAAAAAACTATTTTTACTTAAAAAATATTATTCCGTTAATATTTAATCTTTACAATTTTAATTTTAATAATATTATTAAAAACTTAATAATTTTATAAAATTTAAATAAAAATATATATATAAATATTAATAAAAAAAAATATTAATATATTATTAAACTATAATTTTTATTAAAAATATATTATAACAAATAAAAAATTATAAAACCAAAAACCTTAAAATTTATAAATTTTATCGATTTTATTTTATTATTATTAGTTTAAAATTATACGTAAATATAACATTAAATACCGTTTTTAATTTAATAAAATATAACCATTTCCACTACCAATTTAAACAAATACAACAAACTATAATTAAATTAAAAAGCGTTAAAAAAATAATATATAAAACTTAATAAAATATAACCAATTTAAACTTAACGTTAAAAATTATTTCTTTAACTTTTAATATTATTATATTATAACCAATTAATTTATACCATTTTAAATTTAATAATTTATTTAACTTAATATAATTTTTATTTAAAAATATAATTTTTACTTTTAAAATAATAAATAAATATACATTAAAACTTAAGGCCTTTTAATTTTTATTTAAAACATATTAACTTTAATCGTTAAAATATTATTTTTAAAACTATAAAATAATAATATATATTATATAAAATATAAATATTCTTATATTTTTTAAATAATAACTACAAATAAAATATATAAAATTAAATTTTATAATAATAATAAAACAATTTAATAAAAATTTTATAATTTTTATTATTATAATATATATATATATAATTAAAAATATAACTATTTTAACAAATTATAACGTTTTAAAAAAAAATATAACAATTTTTAATTAATTATTATAAATAATTATAAAACATTTAATAATTTATATTATTATACATTTATAATAACCATATTTTAAACAAGGTTTTAAATTAATAATATTATATTTTAAACTATATTTAATATAACTATATTAAATATTAATAAAAACGTTAATATATTTAAATTTAATAAAATTATTAACTTTTTAAATATAAGCAATATATAACAGCTTAACATATATATTATAATACATTTTTTAAATTTTACAACAAAATATTTTATAATAATTAATTGCAATATTATAATAAAAAAAAATTTACATTAATAAAATATTATTTTTATTTTTAAAAGAATATTATTAATTTAATTTTTATTTTAAATAATTTAAAATTTATATTTATAAAATCAACTTTTTTAACATAAAAAAAACATTTTTAATAAAATTTAATAATAAATTTATAATATAATTATTATTTTAAAATATTTTTAAATATAATAATCTTATATTAATAACTTATATATAAAAAATATATATATATTATTTTAATTTATTTTATTATATATTAACTTAAATAAATAAAAATAAATTAAATATATTATAAAAATAAAAAAAATATATATAAAAAGTAATAAATTTTAATAATATATTTTATAAATACTTTTATATAATTAATACAATTTAATTTAAAAATATTATAATTATATTATATATTTTATAAAACAACAATTTATTATTTATTAAAAACTTTTAAACTTTATTTTTTTTTTTAATTTTTAAAATAAATATATTATAAAAATTATAAATATAATAACTTTTACTTTAAAAAGTTTAATATAATAACCTTTATTAAATAATTTTAGAAATTAATATTTAATATTTATTAATATTTATATTTTTTTTTTTATATATTTAAAATTATTAATTTAATATTTTATTTTTATTTTATAAATATTATAATAAATATTTAATTTTTAATTAAAAAAATTTCATTTAATTTTATAACAATAAATTTGGTTATATTAACTATATTTTTTTTTTTAATATTTAAAAAATATTATATATATTTATTATTATAATATTAATAAAAAAAATTAATTTATTAAATACCATTTTTAAACTACCCATTTTTATTAAAATTAAAAACCAACCTTTTATTATTAACATTATTATAATTAACCTAATAAAATTATATATTGTTTTAATTAATTAAAGATATTTTTTTATTAATTAAAAAATAAAATATATTTAAATAATTATAAATATTAAAACTAATATAATTTATATTATATAAAAACTAATATATTTTAATAAAATAATTAAATAAACGTTTATAAAAGTATAAAATTGGTATATTTTTTATTATTTTAATATTATTTGTTTTAAAAATACATTTAAAATTAACTTTATATAATTATAAATTAAACATTATTTATAAAACCACTTTTAATTTAAATAAATTTACCAAATTATATTAATTATATATTAATTTTAATTAATATAAAGATATATTTAATAAAAATAAAATTTTATAAATATATACATTTATATTTTATATAAATATAAATAAAAGATATTAATATAATATATTAATAAAATTAAAAAAATATATAATATATTGTATAAATTATATTTTAATTTATTAATTTTATTTATTTTTAAAATAAACATTTAAAAAATATTTTAATTTATTTATAATAAAAAAATATTATTAATAAAAAATAACTATATTTATATAATAAAACTTTTAAAAAAAATAAAAATTTTTAAAACAATTTTAATATATAAAATAATTATAATACGTGGGAAAATAACAATTTTTAAATTAATATTAAAATATAAAATAATATTAATATTTATAAAAATAATAATATTTAAAATAATAATAACGTTTAAAATAATGGTAATATTAAAAATAATAATAATATTTATAATAATAATAATATTTAAAATAATAATAACGTTTAAAATAATGGTAATATTAAAAACAATAATAATACATATAATAATAATAATATTTAAAATAATGGTAACATTTAAAATAATAATAATATTTAAAATAATAATAATGTTTAAAACAATAATAATATTTAAAATAATGATAGTATTTACGATAAAACCGATTTTAAAGAAAATATTACGTATGTATATAACGTTATATATGTACGTAACGTTATATATATATACGTAACGTTAAATATTTATATAACGTTAAATATTTATATAATGTTAAATATATACGTAATATTAAATATTTATATAATAATTAATATATAATTAAATATTTATGTAATATAATAATTAATTTATAAATAATATATAATATATATATAATATATATTTTATAATTAAAAAACATTATAAAATGTAATAATTTATATAATATAATAATTAATTTATAAATAATATATTATATATAAATAATACATAATATATATATAATACATATTTTATAATTAAAAAACATTATAAAATCCAATTACTTTTTATATAACAATGCGTAATCGTAACCAGGTAATACCGTTACGGTAACTAATAAAGACTAACTACCTTTAAGGGGTACATAACTATTGTACCTTGCTATTGTACATACCCTCCGCCGCCTCCACCTTTCGTCTTATCTCAGTAAACTCAGACTAGAATTCGTTGAATTGGCGGGCTGCGCCCGCCAACACCCGGCGCCACAGGCGCCACACAAACGCCTGGCCCGTGTCATTGTATCTGTGGGTCTAAGGCTTAAAAAGGTAACAAAAAGTGCGAGTTTTGACGAATTCTAGTCTGAGATAACTCGGGCGTTTTTTGGCACGCCAGAACAGGTCCTTTTAAAAATTAAACCTCATATTTACGATGACTTAATATCCAACAATAACGTATAAAATACCTTTTATTTTTATAACTCGGGATTAATACTATGCTTTCTCTACCTTTCCATCTTTTTTGCATATCTATACGGCATCGCGTTGTAATATTGTAGGCCTCGACGTTTAAAAATACGTAATATGCTGTACCAACATCCACATCCGCGCGCCTGCACCTACATCTGCGCGCCTGCACCCACAACCACGTACAAAATAGCTTTTATTTTTATGACTCGAGGCAAGTACTATTCTTTCTCTACCTTTCTATCTTTTTTGCATGTTTATACGGCATTGCGTTGTGATATTATAGGCTTTAACGTGGTATATTTCCAAAAACGTTGCGACCGGTGTTGCGACCGGTATTGCGACCGGTATTGCGGCTAATCATCACCCCGGAACGCTCGGAACGCGTGTATTTACTAATAATAAAATTAGTAAATGTTTTAGATTAATTAAGACTTACTTTAAACGCGTTGATACTGTTGTTTTTGATATTGTTTTTAATGTTGTTTTTGATATTGTTTTTAATACTGAATAATTTCCTGTGGGCAAAATCGCCCGAGTTGCCTCAGACCAAAGATGCGAAATTCGTAGGGGGGGTAGGTTGGGGATGTAATTGGTTAAAAAAAGGTGTGGCGGGAGGGGTACAACGAAGTTCGCGTCACTGGTCTGAGTTCACTGAGATAACTTTCGTCCCATCCTTGTTTCTTGGCACAAGCGGCCGCAATCCGACACGGCGTCCTAACTAAACCACTAAACCACTAAACCACTAAACCGCTAAACCACAGTAGTGTACGAATAATATCTAGGTAGATACAACAAACATTACATTACTTTTAACACTTCACTCTATGAGACATGACAACGACATCCCTTACTTCTACCCTCTTACTCGCCCGTAGTCTTCCTTTTGCGCAGTTCCTCATTTCCTTGTCGAAAACACACGGCTCGCGTCGGCCCAATCCTTGAAATTCGCCTAGTCTTTACAATCTAATATCTAACATCTAGCTTGTCACGATACTACACGAACCTATCATTCGCCTGACCAAACATTCGCTTCTCTCCATGAGTGGCGCTGCGGCCTGGTCCCAGACGGTGGGCATTTGGTCGGGTCTGCCACCATGCTGAGCACCTCCGCGACGTCGGCTCAGAAGTCGTTAGGTACGCAAGCTGCTAATTCTCCCCTCACCACCTCGCGACCGAGCCTCGATGGCGGACTTCGACCACCTGCCGCCGGCGATGGTGCCCGAAGCATGGCATCTACCGCCACCTCTCTTGCACCGAGCCGTGGTGCTTCCTTCAACCCTTCCCAACCTCCAGGGAGTTTTAGTTCCGACCTACGCAGTCAAACTATCCAGTCGAGGGCTGGTTCGAGGGCCGACGTCTACATCCGCGAAAAGCTGGACGAGGATGACGATTCCATCGCCGAGACCACACTTAATTCGTTGAAGGACTCGCTCAGCCGCGAGATGAAAATAAAAGAGGGAAGCGAGAACATGCTCGAAGCTTTAAATGCAAAGAAAGCGAAACAGACCAAGGAACAACGCCAGAGGGTGGAGGCCGAGCTTACAGCCTCGAATACGAGAATAAAAGAGCTGAAGCAAAGGATCACAGATGCGCAGCGATCTAAGGCCGTGCCTAGTACGCCTACAAGAACACGCAACGAGGGGTTGTTGCGTAACGAAGGTCTGCGATCGCCCCCAAGCGCATCTAGGAGCGGCGCCGGATCCGACTTCGAAGAGCCGACAGAATCCCCGACATTTGCACTTGCCGAGATACTGCAAGCTCTAGAAGTCGAAGGGATGACCCCTGAATACTATGTGGGGGGAGCCAACAACCTGGTAGATCTCTTCAAAAGGCACCCCACGCTGAAGTATGACTTGGTGTGGTCTGTTTTTGGAGATAGGATGCAGGTCATGCTGCTTAGCGGCAGTAGGGAAGTGGTGGCATCGGGATACCGAATGCTACGATATGCCATTTCCGATATGGCCTCTCTTAAGAAAATACGTAGCTTAAATACCGACTTCATGGTAGTCGTGTCTCTCGCCAAGGATCGCAAGGCCGACGTGGAACGCGAGCAGGCTCTCAAGTTCGTCCGCGCTTTCTTGGATGTGAAAGATGGTGTTCGCGAGGTGTCTAGGGCCGTGGTTAGGACTATAGCAGCAGTCGCCGAGCAAGTCGAAGATCGGCTCCGGCCAATCTGTATCGAAACACTCGCCGAAATCCTGTTACGAGATCCCGCGTTACTTGTGGCGTCTGGCGGCTTAGTGCCGTTGTCAGAGGCGCTCGCTGAGGGTACTTACAAGTCTCCCGAATCCTTAGCCTCGGCTTTTCTCTACCTACTAGACGCGCCGCATACACGGAGATATTTACGGGCTGGATATGAATTAGAGGTTCTATTTACGGCCTTCACCGATGCTCTGTTCTCGTACGAAGGGGTTATAAAACAAAATTCAAGGGCAATTGCTTCTGCTTTAAAGACTTGGTCTGGGCTCATGACCTTGTCTATGTATAACTTCAGAGCGATTGGCTCCTTGATATCGAGCCTGATGCTGCCTAACCCGACGATTCGGGACACTGTGATGGATTTGCTTTATTCTCTCCTTCGTATTAAACCCCCTGCATGGGCCACATCGTATCTTGCAGGGCGACGTTTGACAACGTATGGAAGAGTAACGACATTGAAGTCTTCAACGCCGAGCAAGGACGATACAGTCTACGAAGATGACGGTGCGGAGCAAAACTTCGTAGAGCACTATACGGCATTGCTTCTAGCTATATTTATCAAAGCGGGAATGATGCCGAACCTGCTCCAGGTTGCTCAAGGTACCGACGATCCCATGTTGAAGCGAAAAACAACTTTGCTCATTGGCGAAACCCTCAAACTGGCGAGCAGAATCCTCCCCCCTTCTTGGAGTAGCGAACTTCAGCTACTCCCCGAACTATTCGCAGCTGCTTCGCACTTTCAGGACGAGGCGCATTTCAACGCGACCGGAATTGTCTACCAAATAAGTAGTGTAAGCCGGACGCTTTACCGGTCATCTCCAACGGGTTACGCTCCTGGCTATCTTCCCTCCAGCAGCATGTTAGAGAATATGGGTCACGCAGAAGAAGCGCCGAAGGCCAATGCTTTAATCAACCCTGACGATGCCACGTTCCGTCAACTTCTGATAGACTCGGGAGTTCTCGGTCATTCGAACCCTTCCAAATGGGACTGGGATGTCGTTCTGAAGATAATCGAAGGACCACTGATGAATGGTAAACGTCTAGAAGAAGCCATCAAGGCATCGAAATTCGCAAAAAGGCTAGTAGGCTTTTATCGGCCTTTCAAATTCAAGTTTTCGGAGATCAAGAGCACGCGAAACACTCAAAAGTATGTTAGGGTTGGCTGCGCACTAATACATACGCTGCTCCAAACAGCGGAAGGGACAAAATACCTTGCGGATAATAAGCTGTTAAGACAAATCGCCGAGTGCTTGGCCCAGTGTGATCCGGTAAGAACATATATGTTGAAAGGATTTAGATAAAATACTTATTCTTGCTTCTAGACCAGCGGTTTGACTGCGCAGTATCCAATGTTTTCGAGAGATCGTCTTACAGATACGCTGTGCGGCGGTTATTTCCCTATGATCGGTGCTCTGAGCAGCGATCCCAGGGGTTTACAGATGCTCGAGAGATGGCGCATCTTCAACATGATGTATCATATCGTCGATTTTAAGCAAAGACCAGATCTCATCAAGTTGCTTCTCAGTCATCTTGACTATAGTCTTCACGGTCACCCGCGCGTGCTGCTGTCGAAGGCCTTGACAGCTGGCACGAAAGAAATGCGAATACATAGTACTAACGTACTTCGAAAATATGCAACAAGGCAGCGAGTTACGCCAACAGGCCAAGTTATCTCCGACTCGAAGTGGGCGATTCAATTACTTGTCACACAACTCTACGATCCAGAAGTTGAGGTTTGTGCTACGGCCGTCAAGATTCTTGAGAAGGCTTGCAATAGTAAGGCCTTATTGGAGTATATAGTGGAATGCCGACCTGCATTGGACCACCTTGGCGAGATTGGAGCACCTTTACTACTCCGATTTTTGTCCACCTCCATCGGTTATCACTATTTGGATGGCTTAGACTACATAAGTAACGAAATGGACGACTGGTTCCTCGGGCGCAACGATGCCTATGTTAGTCTTATTGAAGCTAGTCTCGCACGTTCTTTCATCGATACCCAAGAGGATCAACCGCACCGACTTAGTATCTATGAAGACGATTTGGATACAGACCAGGACAACCACGTACCGCCTCATTTCTACCGGGAATTGACACGCACAAAAGAAGGCTGTAAATTACTCGAAGACAAAGGCCACTTCGAAGAATTCGCCGCGACTATTAGTGAATACGGAATGCAATCCGATGATCCTGAACTCATCACAAAAGTTAAAGGCTGCTTATGGGCAGTTGGGAACGTTGGCTCGATGGAGCTCGGAGCTCCGTTTTTGGAATCGACGGATGTAGTAGAACATATCGTCAAAATCGCCGAATCTCATGACGTGATGAGTCTTCGAGGTACCGCATTTTTCGTCTTGGGTTTAATATCGAGATCTACTCATGGACTAGAGATCCTCTCCGAACATGGCTGGGAATCAAATACTACACCTCTCGGGATGTCATTAGGGCTTTGCGTTCCTAAGAATCTTTCCAAATTCTTCTCTTGCAAGCCCTGGAAACACGAGATACCCGCGCACATCAGAGTCTTAGATACCCAGAAAACGGTGCTGGAACCGCCACCTGTGGAAATCGACGAACAGGACCCAACTAACCGACGCATATTGGAGCTCATGACTGAGCTAGGCAATATGGTGCTCTATAAGAAGGCTAAAGTCGAGTTGCACCAGTTACGACATAAAAAGGCTCCGGGATTCCGACAACCTGTCTTATTCCGCAAGGTTCTAGCATTGATGGAATGCCACCACTACAGGCTGCCAGACCGGCATCTAGTAATCGAGTTATTCGACAAGAGCGTCCTAAGACACATCGTCTACGGCGAGGAAAGCAGCGACGAATCAGCGAGCAGCTCGGGCGACGAGCAGAGGACAGAACGGCAAAGGAGTATAAGCGACCCCGCCGAGATGGAGAGGATAATAGCTAGGGCCCAGAACTCGTCGATATAGCATAGCATTGCGTACCAGCTAAGACGGGACGGGAAGGCGTCTGAGAGCAGCAAATTCGAGATTTTGGACACGGCGAGAGATATAGTCTGCTTGTTTTTTTGTTTTTGGGAACTCGACTTGACTTGACTTGACTTGACTTGGGACGATTCAACAACTACCTACCTATACCTATACCTATATCTTACCTACTTGTAAAAAAAAATATAGACGCGACATGACATGACATGACATGACATGCGAGGAACAGAAAAATCGCTCGTTGCAAACTGCGCCACCATAACACCACCATTTTGGGGAGGGGCGGATAGGGGGGGGGGAGAAAGTGATATTATCTTGCATATGGGCGGTGATACTCTGGGGGTGGGCGGAACGGCACGATGGATGCCTGAATTGAACATTGTTCTGTTTTAATTCTGTTCTGTTGATCTTTGTGTTGTATTGTGTTGTGTTGTGTTGTGTTTTCTTGCTAGGCTGATGGCGTGTTGAAATCTGATATGTACTATACTACCGCCTGCCACCAATCTATCTGCCTCTGACACGCTGAAATTTTTGTTTCTTTCGCGGCGCCTGTTTTGACCGGGTTAGGGTAGGGGAGTTAGTTGGCTTTACACACGATGTCACCGTCACTTCCGCCGCCGCCGCCCTCCTGCCCGGTTTCCGCTTGGAGTGAGGGGCGGGGAGTTTTGTCTACCGCGGCGTTTCTCGGAGCGAAAAAGGGGGGAGGAGAGAGAAATATACCAAAATAGCGTGTATGTATGTACGTACGTACGTACGTATCTAATCTACGATGCGAGGGTTTTCCATGAGTTGGAGAAATCTTGTTGAGATGGTAGGGTTCGTTGTGCGTGCTATATTATTCATATCCCAAGATAAAATTAGCGCTCACTTCAGCTAACTGCTCATCCCCTCTACGAAGAAGACAACCAGCCCCTTTATTGCCTACAATAGCGAGTTTTAAATCACACAGAAAACTTCCCGGTATCATATCGTTTCAAAATGCTAATTATTTCTTACTATCTTTTTTTCTTCCAACCCCTGAATTACATTGCAAAACAACCTATTCCCCCGTGGAGCGATCCCATACGACTCTCGTCTCCTTCTTACCCAGTAAAGACAGTATATACATGGCCAACGAACTAGCTCCGCTGCGTCTCCTCAGCCCTTCGGTCCTGAGTCTGAGTCTTAGTATGCGATGAGGAATGGCTGGTCGAGTGGGAAGTAGAATGAGAGGTAGAATGAGAAGTGGATTTCTTAGTCGAGGAGGACTTGCTGGTCGATTTTGAGGTCGACTTCTTAGTCGTCTTGCTGCTGCTGCTACTACTGCTCGTTTCCGTCTTAGTTGAAGTTGTCGATACCGGGGGTGGTGTCACTGATGTTGGAGGCGAAGTGGTGGAAGAGGTGGGAGAAGCACTAGTGCTGGTAGGAGGTAGTGAAGTCACTGGAGGTGATGGAGATGGGTCGCTTGCCTGGCATCCTGATCCGAAAGTTGATTGGCAACCCTCGCCGCAGTAGTCAATAGTTGAGCCGCACCAGCCGTGTCTACAGTGTAAAACAAAGTTAGTAACATGATCCAAACAACGATTGACTTTTTCATATTCATTTCTCATAACATAAATTTTGTAGACGTTCCGTGTCCCATCATAGGACAATACCCAGCCTAGACCCTCATAAAAAAGCCCTTGAAATGAAGACTACACTGACTCTGAACAACAGTTTCCAAACTCCGATCCTTCGCAAGTGAATCCGTCACCGCAGTTTCCCTCAATCGATACTTGAAGCGTTCCGGTGGGGGCGGGTGCCGATCCTGTGGTTGTCAGGGGGTCATCAGGGGTTCCCGGTCCGTTAGGGAGCGGGATGCTGGTCGGGATTTGCGAGTCCGCCGAGGAGCAGGTTCCGAATTCCGGGCTACAGTTTGAGCCGCAATAGTCGATGGAGCCACCGCACCATTTATTGGTAGAACAACCTATTGGCATGGATTAAACTTATACTCAAGGCGATTGCCAGGGTATACATACAGTTTCCGTATTGAGAGCCCGCGCAAGTTACCCCGTCGCCGCATCGACCATCTTCGCTAACCTTTGACGTGCTGGTCGGCTGGCTTGGGCGAGTGGAGGTGGGCGTGGGGTTCAGGCAAGACCAAGTGCCGGTCGGGGCACGGATGGTGAAGTTATACTCGGGAACCTTACCGGTGCCAGCACGGTACCAGTTCTCAGGGGGGTCGCCTAAGCATTGCCCCACAGTGACAGACCTATAGCCGTGGCTAAAGAGCGATTCGAGGATATAATCTGTGAGGTTGTAAACGGTTTGGTAGTGGATGTCGTGCTCGATCTCGAGATAGCTATCCTCGCACGGGCTGGACCCATCAACTGCATCATCCCAGATATCTTTGCTAGTCTGGATCTGGCTTGCATCGTCATGAAGGTATCCTTCCGTGTCCAAGTCAAAGTATATAGCGTGATATCCAAGGTTAGCTAACTGGGTCTGACAAGAGGCGGCGCAGATGGAATAGGGCGGCCTGCCTCAAGATCAGCATGGGTCTCTTCTTTTTAAGGGGGAGCTAACACGAACCTCATATAGGTAGGAAAGTAGCCAAGGATATCATTAAAAGCAATCTCATTCCATATGATTTGATTCTTGAACTGGGTTGTAGTCAACTGGCTGAAGTTCTCGTGCGACCAAGTATGGCTTGCGATCTGATGACCCTCGGCGGCCATTCGCTATGGCTGGTTAGTATTCACTTCCAGACCCTCTAGATGAAGCAATTTACCTGAATTACGGAAGCCCAGGGCAAGTCTGGGTCGTTGATTTTTCCCTTGCCAATATTGTTACCGGTAATGAAAAACGTGGCTTTCGCCTCATATTTCTACGTCCTTATTAGCACTATCTTTGAAATAATGTAGGGAGATCATGACACATACTGCAAACTTGTCGAGAAGGTCGTTTGTATATTCGTATGGGCCATCGTCAAAGGTTACAGCGATATCACCATTGTTTACGCAGTCGTAAATGCCCACGCCGCCGTATCGTACCTTGCCTAGTTTTGGACGCGCAATAGTTGACGTGTCCACACCGTCAGGCTTTTGGTTACCGTCACATGCAGGTCCGTAGTTGATTTGGCAGTCGGGCGAAGTGCAATACTCTTCTCCTTCGCCGCAATAGCTTGATTCGGTCAGCACATTATCGGCAAATGACAAAAATGAACTAACCCTTCAGCCGAGCAGCATTGGCTAGCTGCGCAACTACCACGGCCTGCGCCGCATCGTCCACTTCTCTGTCGTGGTTCAAGTTCGCCTCGCTCCTCGAGTTCCTCTTCACCCCGAGCCTCTAGCATTTCTGCTCTCCGCATAGCGCGTGCCTGGCTGTCCCATCTCCTCCCCCCTTTAAACTCCGACAAAAATCTTCTGGCCCCGGCAAGCTTTGGCAGGCTATGGCTAGGATCGTTTGGATCCGCATGTGCAGCCGTCCGGCCGGCGCAAGCGGCCAGGATTAAGGTGTTCCACCAGCGCATCGTGATAAATGCAGTGTAGTCCCGATATATGAAACGAATGTCAAGGCTGGGCACAACGAATCCTCAATCCACGAGAGTTCCCAGAGCTCAGAGAAGCAATACAAAGGGACTGGGAATCCAATTATCTTGATAGATCTCCAGCCAAGACACCGGGCGGCACAGGGGTTGCATTCTTGGTATATAGAGCCACGCGTACCCGAATGCCATGAGAGGCGACGATCCAGAAAAAGGCTCTTAGAAAACCACATGGTTCCCGGATCGGAGCTTGGTCAACCCTGTGAGGAGCATTTTCTATATACCCGGATGCTACCTTGGCAGCAGACCACCTGCATTAACGAGCCACTCATAAAAGGGGTATTGCAGGAGTACCTATATTGAGTTGCGTTGCAGCCGTCATGGCGTCTTTGAAAAGGCTGGACTGGCCAGATGTCACTCTTGTTGCGAGAGCACGAACACGAGGTTGAAAAGGTATTCCCTACCATGCGTCGCTGACGCTGCAACTTCGATCGAGCGTTTACGAAGGCATACTACATGAGCATCCATGTCGAACGAACGTCCCAAAATAAGTTATTCCCCATTCCGGTACGCTAAATCCGCGGCATCTAGAAAAAGTCATTGTCGCGGAATATGATAACTCTACTCAATAAAGGTAGGTTCGTTGATTCATGTCGAGGAGGCTCACGTAAAGCCTCACCTCTCCCGGTGTAAAGGTACCGGCCAGGGGGGCTCTTCGGTTGAAGACACAATCTCCATGATCGGCTCTTTTGCTAATAGAAATAGGTTAAGAATGACTCGTCATCTTTCCCCAGATGGTCGGCAAAGCGAGAGGGCGTCTATCTGAGTGGTTTCTGTGGGGTTAGTAAACGCGTCCCTGGATAGAAAGCGACATTGGGATCGAGTTCCTTCGGCCCGCCAAGGATTCGCCTCATTAGTCCAGCCCTTCACCCACTAGACGGTTGAAAGTGACGGGGGACGGATTAGAGAATGGCTATATTATATTAATTTGAAAATATCCTAAAAGCAACCTACCATCTACCTTGCATTGCACGACCTTTGTTCTAAAACTACCCTCCAACTCCCTGGTACCACTAGCAGCAAAGATTTTCAACCGAAATCTCGCATTAAAAGAGAGGAATAGGGAAATAGATATATTAATTGGAATGGATTGTTACGTTGTCGTAACCTTCGAGACCGTCCACCAAACCCACGCGCTGATGTGCTCTACCCCATAGCCGGAATCGCGCGATTCGGATGCCAGCCTAGCAGGTAGATCATTCAAAAAGATGACGAGTCTCGGCAGGTTCGCTCCGTAGCAGTCGGGAATATAATAAAATGTCCTCAAGGTGTATTATCTTGGTTTTGCAACGTGAAGGAGAAACGTGCCATCGTCATTCTTAGGATATGTGGAAATGCAGGTGTTGTAAGCGAGTTTCCTTAATGAAAAGAGCGTCTTTTTCTGGTTGTTATTTTTAGACATTGTAGCCGTAGGCAAGGTAAGAAGGTAAGAAGGTATGGGGGATTAGTCACGTGGCTTCCTTTGTACATTACGTTATTCAGCTAGTGCTTCTTTCAACGCGCCTTCTTTGCGCCTCTATGCTTTAGGTACTAAGTAACTACATGATTTATCTTAAGGGGTTAGAAGCGCGGCCTTCTTCTGTCTCCTTTGAACTACAAGGACAAATAGAGAAAACAGCAAACCATTCAAGTACCCTTAGCACCATCGTTATATCTAGATCGCATCTTAGCACCTGGAACTTAAAAGTAGCCTACCAGTCTGACATTTTAAATACCACTATGGGGTGAATTGGCTATGTTCCATTGGAATATGTCGTACGAGCCAGAGGGGAAAGGCCTTGGCAATTTTCTTACTGCTGGTATTAAGTGCCAAGACTCGACATAGGAATAGCATAGCACGCTGGGAGGAAGGGACCTTGTTTGACAACGTAAAGGCTTTATGAAGCAAAGCCAACCATGTAAGTGAGTGAATGCTCTAAACCCCTCGAAGATATCTGTAGTTGCGGAGTCCAGTTCATCACACGTTACGACTTACATGAGGGTAAGGGGAGTTTGGTTTAAGAAGCGCCATCATATCATTGTAGAACTAGCCCGCTTAACGTACCATAGACTTGACGGCCTTGAAAGAATAGATATGGATATTACCCTCAACGTTCAGAAAGACTCCCTGCCTTAACAATCTACTACGATAAAGACGCTGCTTTCAAGTAGTATTTAAGGAAAATCGCCCAGAACGAACACGAATCAGCTAGAAACAGTAGTGAGAGGATACGATAAAATATATTCTTAGACAATCGCTATAAATTGGCTCACAAGATCTAGATAGCTGTTGACATCGGCCTGGGGCTTTCATTTAGACTAAAGGATAGCAGTGCTAACTAAGACCGTGGGGTTTTTACAAACCTATGCTTAACGCCTCCTGGGGTTCCAGGAGTGCCAAAGTAAATGCAAGGTGTATTCTTTATATCGACCCAGCGAAGCTATTCAGATGCTATAATGACGATAATCATGCTTTTATAGACCAGTTGATATACGTGCTTTAATAGTTTGACCTAGATTCTGAGCCATCCAGTTGGCTCTCGGCGTATTCTACCCTCAGACTTAAGACAACAACATGCCTAACATATTAAAACCTCATAAATGACTAGGAGCCGCTCTTTCCAACAGTAAATAGCTCTACAGGTACGTGTGTGATGTTTGAATCCAACTTGTTGCTAGGTTGCTGTCGCTATGTGACCGTCAACACCTGAAATGGATACCTGACGCACTTACAATCAGTAACTGCCTCAGCAACTAGAAGTTTGCTAAAAAGAAGAACCTATTACTTTCCTAGGTTGCTCCTGCCTTTGTTTTCACTTTTACGCGTATATAATTTCGTACCATTCGACCGAAATCCCTCTATCCTTTACATCATCAACAACAAACCTGCCAAGTTGATTCGACCACCATGGCTGAATCCGCGGACGAGGATGTTGGCGGACTCGCCGGCCAATCATCCAACAAGGTTGTCAAGAAGGCTCGAATCAAACCCCATTCTAAGCCAACGACTCGTCAATCTACCGGAGCTACTAAGAAGGTTGCCAGAAAACTGTTCGAAACGGCCTCGTTTTCGGATGACAATATCGAACACCAGTCTGGTCAACTAACCGGCATAGACAGAGTCCTCTCACGACTAGAAGATCTTACGAAGGCGGTAACCGAATCAATCTCTGTCGCACAGGCTACTCGATCTATCCCCGAAACCTCATCAGTATCGCAGCTCAGACGAGAAGATATCGGCCGATTCAACCCCGCCTATCCTGATCCGAAGGAAGCTGGCATGATAATCGACGGCAATACTATAATTTTTACAGATGTCAACCGCTTCGTCGAACGTGTTGAATCATTCCTTCAAGACCCCGTTACCTACGAAGCCAATATGCGACAGATGTCATATTTGTTTGAGGTCTTATTGGACGGTCCAGCAGCTATGTGGTGGGGTTGTGAATTGTCTGAAGATCAGCGAGCGGTCTTTCGGGGAGACGGTCTGTCCCATGCGCTGGTGGCTTTGAAAGTCCGATTCGAAACAACCCCGAATAGGGTGTTGGATGCATCTTTCTTCGGACTAGACCTCGAAGGGATTGCTGCTGATGAGAACAAACTACTCGAGTTCTTTCAACTGAAGCTGAAATACGGAAGAGCAACTCACGAACTGGCACGCGACAACGGCAACTGGGAAGAATTCATGGATGCGGTCTTGGACAATTTATACCCCGAAATCGCCGATAATTTGCCATGTCCCTCTTCTGCTGAGACGCTTGATGAATATATGCAAAACATAGACGCCAAAAAGGGGGTGATTAAGTACTTAGCATCTAAGCTCTGTGTTAAGGCTGACTTGGCCAAGTTTTCAGCCGGTCCTGGCTATTGAGCGAGACTACAGCAGCGATTATTAAGTCAAAAGCTTTCGTATCAGTCAGATAGCACTCGATTGCAGGGACAGTTTTATACCACGACTGGAGCCCGTGTTCTGGCTCATTCATTCAAGGGGACAAGGCCTTCGCAATGCAACCGAGACTTAGGTGTTGCTGTATACAAGTTCGAGGAAGAGTCTAATCTAGTTGGGAGCCTGGGCATAACGCACGGCATCAGAAGTCATCTATGTACCTAGTAGCGAATAGGCCTTGACAAATACATACTTCTCCCTACCATTCCGTATCTGCCCAGTCTTCAAGTAATCAAGTGTTAAGACATCTCTTAATTTATACGGAGTGAAATGCGCGTAAAGTGTTAACATAGATACTGCTTTATATGTCTGCCTAAAATAGGGGCACGTCGTATCTACATAGAATCAACAACAAACTGCCAAAAATCTCCCCCTCTGACTACTACCAGAGTATTATTAGGCATTTATACAAATACCATACATCTAGGTAGTATCACCCATCATTCCCATCTCGAAATAACATAGGTACCTAGGTACGTAACCCGGGCCAGTCAACCCGCAACCCACCAAACAACAGCCTGCAGCCCGCGGCCATAGCAACAGGCACCTGTCAACCTCGCAACCTAAGGCAGACAGATAACTCCCAATAGCAAAGGAATTACTAACAATAAAAAAAGGGCTGGTGGTGTAACGGTGCACACTCCATCCCATTCCGCGCCCCGGACGGCCAACCCCATGGCCTCCCCGGTGGTCAAAGCCAAGTCTCATGGAGAAGTATGGGTTCGAATCCCATCCGGTCCAACTTTTTTTTCTTTTGTACATTTTTCTCTTTCATCTATACATATATATATTTTTATTTCCCCCTTTTTTTGTCTGTATTAATTCCTACTAATCCAGCCCAGATCTAGATATATATATTTATATATATATGCACGTAAAAACACACACCCCCAAGTTGAGAATTAAACCTAGTAGGAAGTATCTAACGGCCTGATCAAGCAGCCTGAGTAAATACAAGAAGATAAAAGGTACATAACATATATAACTGGATGGGGAGTTTTACATATATCTGTGCTCGGACTTTAACTACTAAAGACTGGAAGGTGAGCGCGTGGCTGTCTCAATTAGAGGTCGGTGGTTTGCTTAACCATACGACGAATCCCCTCAGATATCTTAGTAGATTCGTAGAGTGACCATTAGTCTATATTCAAACCCGTTAGAGCATGATTTAGGGGAAATATCCTGTATGTTCCACTCAGGAGCTAGTTGGATATAAAACTACAGCATGTAATCTTCAGGGGCCAACTAATGTTCAACATAATATGATATATCAATGGATATGCGCTGCTAATGTCCACCCATCATCTATCCCTCAAATGAGCGCTATACAAAACAACACGCCAAGACACCGCAAGGTAAGATCAAAACGAAATATCCTACACTCGTCTAGAAGAAAGAGCCACCATAAGACCTTCCGACAGGGGATATAAGACGCATACCTGAACATATTTCCCAACAGTACACCACCCGCAACTTAGTTAGTTGCCTCACTCCTTAACCCCATTTATTTCCACCTACCCAACCGCTTAGTAAATCACAACCATTATCTCATCAACCATATCGTGCTAGTCCCATTCATATCCATCCCGAATATCCCTAATAATAAATGCCGTATATATCTTGTTGTCCCCGTCTAGAGAGCGAAATTTAGCGATAATAACGGTAACAGGGACATTCCTATCCTGGAGTATCCGGGCGATTGCTTCGCATTAGCTTATTTAGAAAACCGCGCCCGCCGCCTAGTGTAGATCGTCCCCTCTTCTCGGGGGCGGGTTCGTCCGGTGTCGATTTAGGAGGGGCGGATCCTGATCCCCTTTTTGGCGGAATTGCGTTATGGCTCGGGTGCTCATCTTCGGACTCGAGCAAGTCATATTCCGACATAGAGAGCTTATCCGCGGCTCGTTTATAGTCAGAGGAATCTGGACCGGACTTGCTCATACCAACGCCCTTTCCGGCTTCTTGCATCTTAGCGATCCCACGTTCCAAATGAGCTACCATAGGACCTTTAATGGCCCAATTTCCGTCCGGTTCACGGTCCGCGGCCTCCCTGTATAGTTCCGGCTCCCTTTTTTCAAATTCATCTTCAATCTCCCTCTGGTGCTTCGTCGTAGCCTCGACGCGCTCACTCTTGACCGCCGGCACGAGGTCAGTTGTTTGTACCCTATCTTCACCTTCGAGGAGTTTGAGCCACTCGTCGTATCGCTGATGGCTATCCTTCTATAACGATATTGTAAGTGCAATGTTCAATAGGGGGGTTGCATTTGAACTTACCCTCTTTTCACATGAAGATTCCTGTAGGCTAGCAAGATACTCCTTCGCGTTACTCTTCGTATTCTTACCCACAATGTACTTGTCGAATGATTGCGAGAATTCGCGGAAGTGACCCTTAAGCACGAAGCATTGCCCAGTCCAACCTTTGCTCTTAAGCTTCTGTAAAAGCGCGTCTGCTACGGGCGTCTCCCAAGGATACTCGACTACCTTATCATAAAATACGACACATTTGCTTGCGTACCAATTATTAAATGAATCGCGGCTTGTCTCATCCGGAAGTGCCTTTTCGATCATTTCCATGGTGGCTCGTGCTACAAAGGAAGCTGGTGCCCTGAAGTTGATTGCGCCATGGATGTGAGACTGGGCGTACTCGGATGGTGAGCGGAGATCAATTATCACAATCTGATCCTCTGGGAATATTTCCAGCAATTTGTTGAGGTGCCCGGGAAGAATCATCTGAGCCCCATGGTTGGGAGGCTCCCGGCTTTGGTCATCTATCTTTAAGCTCTGCAATCGATTCTCGACTTCTTGTTGCTCTCGACGGTTTTCGAACCAAGCCTGAACTGCGTAAGCCTAAATTCTATGTAATGCTCATTAGATATTACTTACGTCAATGTCCGCAGTCTCTACGCCAAGGGTCGACGCGAGGAATTCTCTGACGGCAATAGTCGGCAATGGGTTACCCTCGAAATATTCTTCTAGCCGTGTCTGGGCATGCTGTGGAAGTTCAGGTTGACTAGCTACAGATGCTAGGGATGTTCTCCGCATGTTTCGAGGCTTATTTATAGCCAGGTGCTGCGCTATATTACTATAAGACATGCTCTTATGTAACGAACCACCAGGCATAGAGCGTTGCCTTGATTGCCATCCCCCGCCAGACATATGGTGGCCCTTAGATATTGCGCTCGTCGTGGGACGGTAGTTTCGGGAAATAGCATCGACCATCGGACCATCAGCTCTTCTATACATTGGATCCATCGACGTTCTCTCGCTTGAAAGGGCTGACATTATCGATAACCTACCAGACTCTAACGGTCTGGAGGTATATGCTGTAGTTCCTGAGTAAATTGACCTCAAATCTGCATCATTATCGGCACTCGTTGGTACTTCTTCATCCAATGGCCTTAGCTCACTGTGGTTACGAGCAGCCAAGTTGTTGGACCGAATGAAGGCCACGAAGTTGCAGGCATGATTATCGGGAAGTAGATCCCAAATCATGACCGGCATCGACAATAGGAGTAACGTCGAATGGCTCTTGAATACCCCTTGGACCTTAACATACTTGGCTAGTGCTGGTATATTTGAAAGCCAGTGTTCCCAGTCATTGATGTTAAGACGCTGATCCTCTTCAAGGGCTAAAGAAATCATTACATGCGGTACATCTTCATTTGGCTCCGATCCGACGATATCTTGCGGGCCGGCCGATCGACCATTGGGAGAAGTCGGCTCGAACCCCGGCTCCTGAGGAGGCGAAGGTGGTCTTGCATCTGGCGATATGATCCGGGTTACCTCGATACTTGGTGCTTTATGATTGGCGGTCATCATAAAATGCACTGGTGTAGCACGTGCTTCGAAGTGTTTGCCATTCAGCATTTCGGGTCTTGGATGCTTGAGGCGTGCGAGAACCTCAGCGTGGAGCATCGCGGCGGAAAACGTCCTTCGCTTCCAGTCTTGAAGCACTTCAATCAGAGTGTTGGTAAACGAGTATCTCCCAGGATCGGGAGCAATAGCGTCCCAACTAGATGCCGATATCGTTTCCGTAATGCTATTACCATTAGGAAAAGTAGCACTTGCAGCCCCTGCACAGCAATCTAATAGGATGAGCACATCCGACAGAGATCGTTCCAACAATGTCTGAATAGCGGACCATCTACACAAGGTTAGAGTTACCACACACATGCGATCCGTATAGGGCTTAGCATGATATAGGCTTACTGTAGCCATGGAGAGTCTGAACTTCGAGTTCTGGTTTAACAATTAGCATATCAAGTAGGGGATATAAGAGCAGTAGCCTGGAAACGCACCCGCACCATGTACTTTGTCTCGAGTCATCTATCCTCGCGTGGCCACCATAATAGATGATGAACAGGGTATCACTTGATTCGTGTTCTTTTATCATGGCGCCAACTTTCAACATTAGCTCGAGATGTGCATTGTCGGACGGTATCGGAAAGGTTTCGGTTTGGAAATTATATTCCTCCCGAAGGCATGCCTCCAGGTCATCGAGCTCCTTCAGGACGAACAAGTCGTCGCAGGTCCAGTGAAGAAGAAGCACATGCACTTTCTTGTACCTTTGTGAGCCTCCCCGGTTGGGGAAAGCCCGCGTAGCCGACTATCGAAGTAGGGCTGTTAGTACTACAATAACAGATATGAGAAGTGAATAGAGGGATGAATAAAGGGAGAGGTTAGAACGCACATCCTCGAGTGTCTTGGCGAATTCGGGTAGATGCTTGACGTGGTAGCTCACCCGACTGATGTCGTGCGTGGCTGCTGGCGTCTTTTCATCTTCAATGCTAGAACCATACTGAGAAGATGCAATTAGACGAGATCGAGCTTGAGGCCTGGCTGTCTTTCTATCTCGACGTACGGCAGAATCTCCACTGCTGAAACTATTCCCATCCCCCGTAGGCTGCCATTCACTTATTGTAACGAACGGCCGACTATCACCCATGATCGCATACGCTTGTGCAGATCAACCAAACAAAACCGCGACGGGAGGAAAGGATGAGAGGGAGGGCGAGACGATATAGCAAACGCTAAGGAAGAACGGAATATCGTAAGGGTTGATCTTTTACATGACTCTACCGTACCGCATGGCGGATGAGAGTGACTTTGGCTGGCTAGGCTGGCTGGGCTGGCTGGTTGGTTGTACGGTCGTATGTAATGATGAACGAGTTAGAACTCGGGCTTAGATAGAACGATGGAATCAATCAATCACACTTGAGCGAAAGGGAAAGTAGTGGCACAGAGCATATAGAGAGGGATATTCCGGGCTCACTGGAGCTATCAGGGAACTAAAGGGACGCCTTGCGACGGGAGACGGGAGACGGGCAACAGTCGGGCAACAGACTACGGGACAACGGGCTGAACTGGAACATTAACATGAAGGATGAGTGAGGGTTGTCCCAAAGTGTTAAGATGAGCGCCCCTCGGTAGCGGAATGGGGTTTAGCGGCACCGCCCGCGGTGAACAAATTCGGTGCGAAACGCCTCGTCCAAATTTCCCTCTTTTCCTTTATCATCATTGGTTAAAATGTAATGCTTATATTGGTTTGTAATTGCTTGTGCCTGCCTACCTAAGATATCTTAGGTAGGCTGTGTGTGACATGATATCTGATTGCTTCTACTATGTAGAAAGCAGGAACCGGCGCCTCGATCGGCTATATTTAAGGATGTGTGGGTTGTTTAAAGATCGCCCTACTGTTTGTTTTAGCTTTCTAAATCGATAGATTCGATAGGTACAAGCCCTGAAGCCTTAGCATATCTGCATTCGGTAGGGATTACCTAAAGTGCAACGCCAAGACTAAGGCAAACAGGTACCTAAGCAGCTAAGGTACCTACATAAATGTATATTGGTAAAATATTGGTAAAGGTCTGCTCTTACTACATCCCAAACTACCATCCACGTAATATAGGAATATGGAATATGGAATATGGAATATGGAATATGGAATATGGAATATGGAATATGGAATATGGAATAGCTCAGCCTCACTCTTTATGACACCGACGTTGCTTACGAGTAATATCATTGATAACCAACTAATGATATTGTCATTATTATAGTTAACTATCGATACTTATAGGAGTAACGACCTCTTCGTTTATAGAGTACTCACAACCCTGCGACCCAAGTACTCCAGCCCTTCCACACCTCAGATTTCGTAGCAAGGGTTTCTAGTCCCAAGCTTGTAAATATGGGTTGCCTAGATATCCGGATGCAGAGCGAGAAACAGAACCTTGCCATATGCCCGGCCCCGATGCAACCCGACCTCGCAGCTAACTCGTCTCATACACCCCACCCCTATATAGCGGAAGAAGGCAAATCGCCAACAACTCTGGTATGCACGTATTGGAATATTCCGTGATTCTTTTCATCATGTTGTGAATGAGATCGAAGTAGAATGAAGCCACCCTTAAAACGCCAATATGCATGCAGATTCGCCCCACGTAGGCCCGAATGTCAAACAGATGAGCATATGAAACAACAATGCACCTAGAAATCATAACAAGACCGGCTATAATACCGACATTGTGGCAACCCTAGTTTCGTTGGCGGATTCCTCCATATATATTCGAACACGATACTGTGTTTCGAGGTAAACCTAAGCACAAGCTTAGCTGGTATCGTTTGTATTTGTATTTCGACGCTCTTCGTCCAAGTCCTCCTTTATCAAGCGCTCGCTGAGGCTTCTCGGTGTTCCGTTAAAGTAAGTCAGTTCAGGCCTGTAACTGCTTGTTTCGTCAACCCCGCTTCGCCCATCAACACTGCCGACAAAAGTATAGAAGTCACCCATCTCAGCGGCCTTCTTATATAGCTCTGGGTCACGAACGACGCCAATCGAAAACGGCTTTCCGCGGTATGATCCCGCCGATGCAGCTACGTGACGGGGAGACGGAGAAGTAGGTGCCGGCGCAGCAGGTTTCGCGACGGAAATCGCAGGCGATGTAGAATACAAGACCGGTTTCTCAGCTATAGGGGTCACGTCGGCATCGTCCTCATCATCCTCATCTTCATCTTCATCGATGTATTTCGTAACTGGCTTGACCTCATGGCTGTTGTCAAACTCAAACATGTCTTCTTCCTCAAGCACTGGCTCTTCGACGGGGTTAGACGGTACTGTTGGCTTGCTACTACGCTGTTTATTTGGCTGTGGCGAATCGGGAACGCTTGATTTCGGTTCGGGAATTGCTTCAAGCGGCGGGGAAAAGTGTTTCTTGTTTTTAAAGGAACTCAACGGAGGCATCATGAGAGCATCATCCGTATCATCAGCCTCGTCAGCAGCTTCGTCTTCACCAATTTCTTCCACAACCGGTAGAGGTGCGCCAAGTTGGGTTGGAAGACGCGCATCATTTATACGGTGTGATGTAGGATTAGAGCTTAGATGATTGGCTGCAACCTGATGTGCGCCATTCGCTTTCCCCCCATTTAAACCGGCCATGACTAATTCGTCATCCTCGTCATCGTCAATGGCCTCTAGGCTACCAACAACCTCCCATTTCGAGGTATCCTCGGTGGAGCTCCTCGCTAGGGCCTTGAGGCGCTCAGTCGAGGTGATCTTCTTTGGCATTGGCGGAGAGCTGCCTAGCAGATCGGTTTCTTCATTAATGACGATCGCGTTGTATGAGTCATCAAGTAGACTAGTGGGGTTGCCTAACGGGGATGACGGGAAGTCCGTTGCTCGAGGTGAAATTGGAGGCGACGAAGTGGGAAGAACTTCTTCGCCTTCTACGTCGAATCGTACTCGTCTAGGACTCTGGGTCTTGGTGGAAGAACTAGATGAGCGGCGGAGGGCGCTTCTTGGTCGCGTCGCACTATCGTCAGAAGTGGCTGAAGAGACAGTATCCGAAGTATGGCGTCGAACAGGATCCGGTCGTAATAAAATGTCATTGCTTAACGGCGCGAGAAAGGGTTTTTGGCTATCGTTAGATTCTCTAACTTCAGGTGCTTGGGACGGTAAGGCAGGCGATGTCGGAGTATGTCGCTGTACGGCATCAAGCAAGGGAAGATAGCTTGGTGTAAACAGACCGTGGAACTCGCGCTCTCTCTCATGCGGGCTCCGAGCACCGTCTTCTATGGGAGTCCCTGGGCTCTGAGGGGAAGCTGGCGGCGGCGATAACAGTTTAGGTGACCATAACTTTTCATCCAGACTAGTAGTATTAGTATCGAATTGCGACTGCGAAGCAACATCGTGATCGAGAGCCGGACTCAAGGCCGGATAGTTTTGGAATTGCTCGGCAACCAACTTTTCGACTCTAGCAGACACATGTCCCGGCACGTCTTGCAACCGCTGATGCGAATACCGACGGAATTCTTGTGCCATGTCTTGGCGATATTCATTGACCTTGTTATCAAGCTCGGCAAGCTTTTGGAGAAGATCCGATACGAGATTCGTGGTGTCATCCATTATGCCGACTGCGCCGCACACTACAAAATGATTAATCGAAAACAGTCAAAGTACAAAGAATAAGCATTGTCGGTGCCGATCAGCATACAGCACGACAGAAGAACTTCTTGAATGCGGGAGGAACGTGGACTGATGCGACGTGCTTCGGTTTTTTTTCCCGTCTTTTCCGTTGGTGCGGAGATATACTTCGTTCCTCGATTCTCTGTAGCAATGAATTGAACTATCCACGGGGTATTACCAGTTGTGCAATTGCAAATATTGAGTTGCCGATAGGTATATACACAAGTCCCAAATCTGGAAAGCCCCTTAGTTAACACAAAGACTATCGGTTAGTTGTTGTTGTTGTTGCTGTTGTTGTTGCCTTTTTTTTTTTTGTTCGAGTTTTAGGTATGTAGATAAGCCTCGTTCTGTAGTGGCTTGGAGCCGCACTCTCGAGATGTGACGGTAGTAAAATGATTTGCCAGGAAGAAGTTACCGAAGTGTAGAAAATGGTGTGGAGAAATGGTAGGTGTGGGAGCCAAGAGCCATGGGATCCGACAACTCGGAAAGGCCTGGTCAATTGTCCTTGTTGAACTAGCGAGACTGCCAATTTGGTTTATCAGAATTCCAAGCCTAGAAGATTCTGTGCATACCTGCGGGCAATACCTAAGGCAATACAAAGGTACAGTCAGAACGTTGATAAGAATGATAACATCATTTTTATGTTTGCCGAGGAATGTACATGTACTCATAGAGGTACTTTACCGGTGTATACCTCCTAGGTATACATATATCAATGACGGACCCTCAAGACCCTCAAGATCTTTAAAAATAGCTAGCATTAATAAATAAGTAAGTAAATCGAGTCAACGTACAGTTGTGTAGCGTTGCAAGCCCTGGCCGGCTTCCCTCATTAAGGTACTGTTAGGTACACGTACATCCCGATTAGGTACAGAGTACAGATAGGGACCAATCAACTAATAGCAATGACTTCAGCATTCGACCGATCTTAAGATCGACCTTATTGATAAGATGTTCTCCAGACTTTCTCGATAGACTTTCTCAATACGAAATTATGTCTCCATCAATACATGTATATTACAGATATTTTTGGTATATTTCGACACAGTCTAGATCCATCGACTCGCAATTCAGTCCCATTTATAAGATATATATATGAGATTACGTCTAGTCGTGTCTATATGATTACTAGCTGCGTTACCCGTTCGCGCAGGCGCTTACGGGGGGAGTGTCTACATACCTAGCTTCAAGAGTGCCTTTTACGCCACATATAAGTCTGGCCTTTCTGATTGGCTAGCCACACCTTAACGCACGTCCGATGAATTCTTTGTAAAATCAATTGAATAGCCCTAATATTGTTTAAAAGATTTAATAATTGGTATCGTTAGATAGAGCTCGTTTTGCATGACCTTTTTATCCTATTTGCATGTGTTTTAAACCTTATGCGATAGAATGGCAAAGGAAAAAGTCGCCAACTGCGGGGCGATTCTAAGGATCTGATTGGCTGGAAAAATTGTGGCAGTACTAATAAAATATAGAAGAGTTGATCCAACCGGATAGCGCGAAGGATTCAAGGACGTCTGTTATAAGTACGAATTCTATTATAATTGCTGGCGACGCCGTAATTCGACTATAAAGTAGCGTCTCCCCAGGATGGGCAGAGGACGTCCAATGAGAAGATAAACTGCAAGCCACGATATTCTATACTCCTGCATAATAATCATCCAGGTTTAGGCAAAGTTGACCTGCCAGCGTATCAACCGTACCAAGACTCTCCACGATGCATACCGAGTTGGAGATGATTTAAACAGCCTACTACTCATAATATATGTCCTCAAGTGATTTGATACCTTCACCACTTAAACCTCCAACTCATTCACTTACCACTTATAAGTTACTTATTCCAGACTAGTCTTAGATCTCTTAACGCTCACCGCCAACTCCGTCATCGCCACGTTCTAACACGTCATAAGTCCTTAGCAGTTCGATTAAAAAACCCGTTGGTTTTGAGGAACACGCGACTAAACGTTCCGGATGCCTATACGAGATAGTCAGTGGGAAGACTATGTGCGAAGTCTCCTCTCACCGAATTGCAACCCCGTGCTTACCGAGTCGGGGCCCGAGTCTTCGGATGGGCACACCTCACGTGTAAATTGACAACCCGAGAGTTCTTAGGGGGGGTTACTCTAGTCTGTGGATACGTCCCCGTCTCCTAAATGAATACGCACGTACATTCAAATATTCCAAAGATAGGACGAATAAGTATTGGCCCAGTGCCATATCATAAATGGATCTAATACCCATCACTGTGACAACATGTTTCTAATCTCCATAAATCAACCTTCATTAAGATAGGAAAGTATAATAATCGACAAAACTTATAATTGCCTAGATTGAATTTATTACTTACGCCTTTCGCGTAAGTTCTTGATGCTCCTATAAAATACGTTATCTTTCAGGAAACTATCAAGACTATAATCGTGAGTAAGTTAGTCTCAACGTCTCGTGGTAAAATCCATACCATACCTAATCTATCAGAATTACTGATAGGATAGTCACTCCGAAGGGCCGTAGTATCTACGAGTATTATTGAAGCTACTATTACGCCGCCGTCATTATTCACTATATCGCTCTAGTACCTATGCTAAGAAAAAACGTAGGTAACAATAAATTTATTCGCAAAGTAACCTATGGTAATAATCCAGGGCAGTAAATGATACAATGAATGCCTGAGCGACATCTTGCAACCTGAATAAGAGCTACCTATACTATAGGATCTCATTACTTTTCTATGTTGATCATTTGTCATGCGTTTACTTGTCTAAATAAGCATCATGAACTAACTGACACGAAGGCGCCTATTCCCTCTTTATAGCGCAAGAGCTTCTTATATAGTCGGAAGCTAGATCAGCCACATGGATTGCCAAGTGACACATCGGTAGTGGAAGATAAAGACTGTGCCGAGTACTCTAGAAGGCAAACACCTGGTCTTCTAGCTTGCTAACGGGACGAGCCTTCTGGAAACCGAGGCTCTCCGTTGCCTTCTTCAGACCGCCGATCATGGGCGGTGGACCGCATAGCAGTATCTTGACGTCCGGAGCGGCCTTCGGTAGCCATTTCTAATTATTTATCAGCTTTTGATCTAGAGTTTATTTAATATGAGGGGAGCTTACGGTGACCATGTCAGCAGTGACGAATCCAACACCACCAGTCCATCCCTCAGGAGGCTTGTCGAGGACGTAGTGGACCCTGAAACCGGAATCTTCCTTCGCTAGAGCATCGAGGTCTTCCTTCAGTAGGATGTCTTGCTCGGTGACATTGGCGAAGATCAAGTCCACCTGAGTTCGGTCGCCTGTGGGTCGTCCTCGGATGATGGCCCTGACAACTTGGAGCATGGGAGTGATACCAGTACCGCCAGCAACCATTCCGAAATGACGGACCATGTTGGGAGTATAGACGAAAGCACCCTTGGGTCCCCTTACACGAATCGTCTGGCCGACGGCAAGCGACGCCATGTGCCTCGAGATATTACCGGTTGGGTACGACTTGATAAGGAGGTCAAAGTAGCCAGGTTGGTGGTCACCAGAGATGGGGGTGTACGATCGTACAATCTCCTTGGTACTGCCATCGGGTTGCGGGAGGACGGCACCAATTGAGATGTGCTGGCCGATTGGGAGACCGAGGATGGATGTCGGAGCGGGCAAGGAGAACCGGTAGCTATCAAAAGTCAATGGAGGAAACACTAGCTGCTATGGAAAATGCGACGAACATGGCAACATTGTGGGAGATGATTGTCTTCTCCTTCAATTCGAATTCTTGGAAAACATCTGGCTTCAAGACCACCTTAGGCACTATACAGTATGGTTAGCTTGATGCCGATAGGAGGGTATTGCACAATACACGTACACGAGCGGAAGTACTTGATTAACCCTAGAACAATTGCAACGAGAGCTGCAGCGGGCGTCCATTCCTTCTTAACAATAAATGTTCCAAGTACCAACAGACCGGCGGGGATATATATCCCGTCGAAATATGCCCTAGAAGACAACGGAAGTGCCGCCATCGTGAATTTCAGTTGCCGCTTTTTGAATTTGGGGGTATGAATTGTAGCGGAGCTGCGCAATTTAAATGATTTGTTGCCTGCTAGCAACTGAAATAAGCCTGCTCTCGTAAGAGAGGGGGAACGAAGGTAAATTCTGCTGAGCTGCAGCTTATATCGTTGTGTTCGTCGGAGTTGACACAAATCGATCTGCCCTTTTTATCTTTTATCTCCTAAATTCGGGGCAAACGCAAATAAGTGGCACCACATCAAACATTTGTTGAGTTTACTGCATAGTCATAGCCCCGGCGTTACAAGCGGACTGGACCGGCCGCTCGGTACTACCATACCAGGATTTGCTAGGTCCAATAAACCCTCAATCAATACTCGGTTTACGATTGATCAATTCCAACGTTTATAAGGATGCGGATACTTAAGCGAGAGTTGATAAATATAAACGATTAAATTGATTTAAATATTTAAAATTATTTAAACGTTATAACGTATTAATGTTAAAAAACATAAACGTTAAAAATATTTTAAACGTTAAAAAATGTAAACGTTAAAAACTTTTATACGTTTAAAAAATATAAATTATAAATAAACTATTTATATATAAAGTATATAATATATAAAAAATAAATTTATTTTTATATCGTATATTATTTTACACATATTTACATTTAAAATAAAATTAATTATGTTTTTTTTATTATTAATTATTTTTACAATTAAATCACGGATTATATTACGGTTTACGGCTTTTTAAATAAATTACGAAAATTACACACATGTTTATTTAATATTTTAATTGATATGTTTTTTTTTCTTTTTTAATTTATAAAATACGTATTAATTTTAAACGTTAAAAAGTTTTTTAACGTTAAAACTTTTTAACGTTAAAAAATGTAAACGTTAAAAATATTTTAAACGTTAAAACGGTTTAAACGATTAAAATTAATTAAACGTATATATTTACCAACGTGTAATAATATTAGCGTTTAATTACATATGACTATTGAATAATCATTGATTATATTTAATTATTGGTAAACTGTTTATCAAACCTTGCAAGTCCCCTTATGGTAAGGTTTTCTGTCAATTATGCAAGCGTCCGTCAGTCACACCAACTCCTATAGAAATATGTCCCCCCACATAATGCACGTAACGGTTATATACAGCTGCATGAACATCGGTAGTACAGTATGGTGCGACCCTAGCTGTCAACCCTTGGCAGTGTGGCAGTTCCAATGGATGGAGATCTGTGGCTGTGAAACTTTATATGGGGACATGTGGCAGATGTGATATTGCTTATTCTCAAAGCTTCAATTACAAGGGATACCCATTACTTAGGCAATAGGACAATTATCATTCTTTTGCTGCTTTCCGGCTCTCTCGTTTCAACATAAGGGCCTCGGCCAATATAACTCTCATTAAACGCTTACTTTTAGTAAGTGCAATTGAAATCTAATTTACGGCTCGTTGTTAGGTTGCCTGAACATCGAGGCCCAACATGAGTGACATTCCGATTGAAGTTGCTCCTGAAGATGCGCCGTTCCCCTTGACGGACGTTGATAAATGGATCTTATCTCTGACCGACGAGGAGTATAAGTATCATGACTGGGAAGATGTGAAGAAGATTATAGGTAGGATATTACCAATTGTCTACCTCTTTGGTAGTTAGCTCAAGCTGGTGGCTAGAGGAGAATAATCTCTCTGTTCTTCAGCGAAAACCGTCCGATTTGCAACGATATATGAAATGGACTGCCGAGATTAAGATAGAATACGGATCCATGTCGAATTATCTCATGAAGCACCGGCTACCAAAAGCCTGGGGGTCTCCTCCCTTCAAACCAACATCAACTACTCCATTTGAAGACCCATCCGACTATAGAGTCCTGATTAACGACTGGCCCTATGGTATGATGCCAAACATGACTCACATAGTCGTTTGGTCAAGAACGACGATTCCGACGGACCCTGAGACCGGAGATATGACCACTGAAAGCCGCGACACTGTGAAGAATTTCGTGAAAAGGTTCTTCGTAGATAAACTAGGCCCAGGAGGAGATGATAAAGTCTTGTGGTTTAAGAACTGGGTTGCGCTGCAAAGCGTGAGGGCACTAGAACGTATGTACAATCTCGATTATAAGATTTCATTTACATATTACCGCCTATAAATCGGAAATGGCAGTCAAAATCATATATTGAGTATCGCTGACTTAGATGCTGCAGATATTCATATCATCGTCAGAGATGTTGACAAAGACACCCTGGATAAGTGGACCGAGGAGCTCGACTGCCATAGGTTGCTGAACTAGGTGACCAGTCACATAAATTCAAGTCTATAACTTGAAAATATGAAAGGATTCCTAATGATGCAATGCTAGGTGACGGATGTGTAATCCTAGTTCAAGCTGCACGTCTTTGTTTCCTATTGCCTGCCACTGGTGCGGCATTCCCCGGCTGCTGTCCTTGCATGCCGGCCATTCCGCGAGCTGCACCAAGTAGACTGTAGCCTTTGAAGGCCCCGTAAGCTGGTACAACAGTCCAAAGGAGCCACCCCCAGTTACCAAAAAGGATCACGAGCACGACGGATGCCCATGTTACCCAGATAACGTCAAACATATACTCCGTAAGTCCAGGTGAGGACAAGTCCTCGCCAGCCCTCTGAAGCGCCTTCGTTGTGGGATCGTATCTAGGCCGCCCCGATGACTCTAAGAAGTACTCGCATATGAAGCTAGGAATTGAGAGGATGACATATAGAAGTATGGATCGCTTTTTAAATATGAAGTTGAACAAGACGAAAAGCGTGTTGACAATAAGAGTGCCGGTGTGAAGGTTTGTTAGAGCCGCTGCATTGGCCTTTGCTGTGTCCTTGCGTGCTTTCTGTGCCATTTCGATATCGTGCCTATGAAGAAGGAATTATGAAGTTTTGCTTATGGCGTATACATGAGATACATCTATTGTACCGTGTTCAGTACAGTCGAAGGGTGTGTGTGTTGTGTGTTGTGAGTTGTGCAGGTGAGTTATGTGTTTGATGTTTTAGGACTTAGACTCATATTGCTCTTAGTGACGAAATGCTACCTAAGTTGGGAAAAATGATGTGGCTTTATCGACGAGGCTGGAAATGGAATGGCGGCTCCAGCACCTGGGCAGTCAAAGAGCGGCAGGTGGGGGGGCTAGAGCTGTAGCCTGCAGCCTGCAGCTGTTTACGCCTTTTTATTTTAGCGCCCTATGGTTGCTCTGGCAGGTACTGTCCGGTTGCGTATAAGAGGTAATCTAACCAATCAAACCAATTAACCCCCTGACAACGGCTCTATCCACCATAACATCCCAAATCGCGAGGAAAGCTTGGACTGCGACCGACAAGGCGGAAAACGCTACCTGATCGTTTTCTTCATCCCACTACGATACAACGGAATAACTTTTTTTTAATACCATTGAATGGTATTGCCGGGGTATATTGTTGGGCTAGGAGCTGGGTAGCCTGCCGGACAATATCGTCGTCTCGCCACCTTCTAAAATTCGCCTTGTCCCGTTCTCGTGACGGCGTGTTGATGGGAGATTCTAACGAAGTCTATCCTCACGCTCCCAGTCCCAAATCCACAGTGATTAGAGATGCCTGTTAAGAATAACCAGGATCAAGTCGACACATACTTCCATTTCTTCACGTCCGATCGGTAGTTTCGGTTCCTCAGTAAACGATTTTTACGCTTCTGGTATTCCGAATTTAATTCATTATTAACACTAATCATTGTCAAGGCTATTGTCTTTGGAAGCACGCAAACCTACAAACCTAGCTCTTTTCTGGTCGAGTCCTTCTTAGCCTGGTCTGCCCCTTGCTTTGACCTCTGATATTTGTCCACACTCGACAACAAAGCTACACCACCTCCTCGACGCGACCACATGGCAATTTGCGAATAGAGTCGGCTATCCGGATACTATCGATCGCACCATCTTTATCCCAAGATGGCGCCCACAAACTCGGCCGTTACGGGCCAGTTGAGGCAGATTGTTTACTACCATCTCGACAACATGTCCTATGAAAGTGCACTATTCTTTGCGGAAAGATTAGCTGCCCATGATCCTCGCTCGAGCGAATCGCCGTATCTCCTTGCACTCTGCCATTTTCGACTTGGTGACTACCACTCAGCTTATGAAATCAGCAAAGCTGTCGGATACCGTGGAAGCAATGTCTCTTGTTCGTACATATTTGCACAGTGCTGTCTCGTACTTGAACAATATAAAGATGGGATCACAGCATTGGAGAAGTCTAGAAGTTCGTGGCCTCGGAAATCAAGTCTGGGCAAGCACAACGCAACGAATAGGGCGCAATATCCGGACTCGGCGAGTATTGCATGCTTGCTTGGTAGGCTCTACCGGGCCTACGATGACAAAAATAAGGCAATAATCAACTTTGAGGAGGCGCTCAAGCTAAATCCGTTTATGTGGGATGCATTCACGGCTCTGTGCGATATGGGCGCCGATGTCAGGACAGCTAATATTTTCAAGCTGAACGACATGCTAATAGATAGCTCGAGCACGACCCAACTGAATGGGATTCTCTCGGAGCAGAAGGATAGCATCGCACCTAATCTAGCGGAAACCCAACCTAAGAAGGCTGTGTCCCGTTCCGCGGTTTACGACACTATAGGGGACCCTTTCGATTCCCAAAGGTCAACAGCTGGAAACGAGACGCTCCTCGGCACTAACTTTCTCTCTGGTGAGAATGATTTTGCGTCTAAAATCAACGCAGCTCGCTCTAGGATGGCTGCCACTGCCGAAACTGGGTTTGAAAGCGTGGAAACGCCGACAACAAACCATACGGACTCAAATATTCCTCGAATTAATCACCCGCCAGAGCCCCCTCAAGCTCCTGCTAGAAAAACGAGGAATGCCCAGCCTATCGAGCCCAATCAGATGGATGTGCCCTCGAAGATAGGATATCGAATGGGTGCCAAGAGAACTCAAAAACTACAGGATAGGTCTCAAGAAGACTTCCCTCCAGAGCACAATCCTACTCTTCTTAGGCCGACTGCCTCTAGTGCGTCTGGGATAGAGAGAAAGAGGACTGTTTCTGGTCACCTTGTCCAACCAAGGCAACGGCCGGATGAACCAGGCGCCCCCCAAAGACGGAGCGCAAGATTAAACCCGTTTGGGGGTGCTAATGCGAAGGCCAACTCTGCGTCAACTGTTGGCCCGACACGAGAATTGAAGAAGGCTAGGCCCCCTATCTCAAGAATCGTACGTCCGAATTCGAGCGGTTCCAACGTTGGCAGAGCTATTAGCGGTAACAGGAAACCGTTGGAAGAAAATGGTATGGATGTAGACCAGGCTGAGGTGCCACGGATAAAAGAAGTCCATTATCCGCCTCCCGTTACTAAATCCGCGGAACCGGAATCTGTTAAGGCTGAGGAGACGTTAAAATTTCTACTGGAGTTATTGAAGAAATTCGGCTCCGGCTATTTAGCACTATCGCGGTATCGGTGTGCTGAAGCTTTGGCTTTTTACACGGCGCTACCGCGGACGCACCAAGAAACGCCGTGGGTGCTTTCACAAATTGGAAGGGCATACTACGAGCAGGCTGCATACGCAGAGGCAGAGAAGTTTTATAGGAGATTACGAATACTGGCTCCCACTCGCCTTGAAGACATGGAAGTCTACTCTACCATTTTATGGTTCCTTAAAAGAGAGACGGATCTATCTTTCCTTGCCCACGAACTTGTCGATTTGTCATGGCATTCCCCCCAGGCTTGGTGTGCGCTTGGCAACGCTTGGTCGCTCGCCCGAGACCACGAGCAAGCATTGAGATGTTTCAAGCGAGCCACCCAACTGAACCCCAAGTTTGCTTATGCATTTACTCTGCAGGGTCATGAGCACGTTTCGAATGAGGAGTATGAGAAGGCCCTCACAGCGTATCGTCAAGCAATATCGGCCGACCGTCGGCATTACAACGCGTATTATGGTATCGGTAGGGTCTATGAAAAACTGGGCAACTACGATAAGGCCTATATACATTTCCACTCAGCATCCGTTATAAACCCTACCAATGCCGTCTTAATATGCTGCATAGGCAATGTCCTCGAAAAACAGCGACAGATTGTCAAGGCTCTCCAATTTTTTACCAAGGCCACCGAACTTGCTCCACACGCCGCACAAACTCGATACAAGAAAGCTAGAGCTCTGTTAGCTCTTAATCAGCTCGATGAAGCCCACAAGGAACTTGATATTCTGAAGACCCTCGCTCCTGACGAGGCTACTGTGCATTTCCTCCTGGGGAAGTTATATAAGACCTTAAATGACAAGGGCGCCGCCGTACGGCATTTCACGATTGCACTGAATTTAGATCCCAAGGTTTGTTTAATCCTTTGATTGCGTAACTCGTATTCTCTAACTAAAAGCTACTAGGCAAGCCAACAAATCAAAGAAGCTATCGAGAGCCTTGAAGATGACGACAGCTTTGACGATTCTATGATGGCATGACAATAGGGCACGGTAGAAGCATTTGTGTTTATTAAGCGGGATTTCTTTTATTGCCATGATTACAGCGGCATAGGGAGGTTCGGCTAGATTCGAGTATATCCCAGGGCAATGCGTCAAACGTCTTTGGGGGCAGTCGACATCGGGTGCGGCACGACGTTATAGATGTCGACCTTATGGGTATTTGACATTACGAGGTCTGGCGAGGCATATGCATCGGCGTTTGGGGAATTCTAGTGGCGCGTTACGTCCACCATTGTCAGGAAACTACGGTGGTCTTGTGTATAGGTAGGTAGCAAAGGCTTGCATGGCGATAAAAAGGTGTATAGTAATCCGTACGGGGTGAGCGATTAGATCCACTAACTGCTCGTCCCGCCTCTTCCATGATGCAAAAGACCACGAACAGAACAATTTAGATTTGCCGAGTGCCTATTCACGTAGGGTACATGATGTATGATTTTCAACACGAGCCCCCTTCTTGTAGGGATATATCGCGGAGCAATCACATGGTAATAAGTCTTGAAGGTCAGTGTAGGTCTGGTATGCCTGGTATGTTAAGATATGAGTGCCTAGGTAGGTACTTAAAGTAAAGATTAGGTACGTGTTGTGAAGAATGTCGGATCCACTTTGATGTGTGTAATGGTGTAATGTTGTGACTGTCACTGAGCTGTTAATATTTAAGATCTAACATGGAGTGAATCACGTGAATGCTGTAAATGCTTGCAAACGCCCTGACGCCTTGAATACTTGTGCCCCACTTACATGTAGTTTGGAAAAAGAATAGTGCACGGACCAAATGCAAGGGTCCATTAAATCAGTGAAATTCGGCCTAAAAGGGCAACTGACAACCAAGCGCCAAAGCAGCGCAGAATAACCCGTTTTCAAGGACCCCAAATAAGAGAAATAATCAGGCGCAACAAGTCGCAATTTTTTATTTTTCGAGTTCCCCAGGCTGATGCCGCACTCCCCAAATCAGACTAGCGACTTCCCGCAATTCGAATCAGTAACACCCCTCCCTCATCCACATAAAAGCCTACCTCCTCTCTCCCGCTTTCTTACAACTCTTTTTTTCCTATTTCCTGATTTATCCATCATCAACAAACGCATTTATCTCTCCGCAATTTGCCATCGATACCATACACTTTCCATCAATAAAAACATCACCAAAACACATCTAAACCTCATTCAAGATGACTGGACGTAAGTGCATTGCCTTTTTCGATTAGTTTGCCTTGCTGTCGCGTCGCCAAGTTCTGGTTAAGGGGCGCTTGTGGTTGGCGGGTCTGGCGATGGCTTCGCTATCCGGACGCGTCTTAACTGGAGACTACCCTGACGCGACATGATTTCAATTAAATACGCGATTATTCTAAGCCTTTTACAATTGTACTGACATCGCAATAGGCGGCAAGGGCGGTAAGGGTCTCGGAAAGGGAGGTGCCAAGCGCCACCGTAAGATTCTTCGAGACAACATCCAGGGTATCACCAAGCCCGCTATCCGACGTCTCGCCCGTCGTGGTGGTGTCAAGCGTATCTCAGCTAGTAAGTCATTGCCTTATACGTACAGCTGTAAGATGAAATAGTTATTAACAGATCATTTAGTGATCTACGAAGAGACCCGTGGTGTCCTCAAGTCCTTCCTCGAGGGTGTCATCCGTGACGCTGTCACCTACACCGAGCACGCCAAGCGCAAGACTGTCACCTCGCTGGACGTCGTCTACGCCTTGAAGCGACAGGGCCGCACCCTGTACGGTTTCGGTGGTTAAGCGTTGTGTTCTGTGTACCTTTTTGGTTGGCTGGCTGTTCATAGTAATCATTCCCAATGCAAGTTAGTGGACAGCAGCAACAGCAACAGCAGCAGCAGCAGAGCAAATCGCGTAATGGACTAGGGATTTGTGTTTATTACATTAAGGATTATTGGCATGATACACATTCTGACATCGGCGTTGGTGGTTTATGTTACGGTTCATGGTCGCGCGATGACTTTTGAGAGATGGCGTCTAAGGATAGATAGCCTATGATAGTGCTACGGCACGCTGAATATACTTGCATCGTATTGCACCTTGCTGTTAACAAATTTAATGTTTCGAATACTTGTGATGTGTTCAATGATGCTGTATTATGGAATATTGGCTCTGACCGTTTCTGAACTCGAAATATGAGTCAGATCTAATGAGTAATTGCTGCCTATATAAACGCCAAACGCCGTACATCGTTCCATTACACCTATCTTACGTTCAGTGTACCATCATGGGTTACAAATACTTCCTCCCGGCCGCAGCAACCCTCTGCCTAAACACCGGACTGCGCACTTCCATATTCACTCTATAGAAGGGGCTCATGATAGCCTTCACCCAATTCTCGTAGACCTCGAGCATAAAATTCTTAATAGCCTCCTCGGTCTGGGGGCTCGTAGGATTGGCACCGATAGACGTAGAAGATCGCGTAGAAGTCGTCGAGACGGGCATAGTCGGCTGATGTAGTAGGAGGAACTTGACATTACCGCCGGTTATAAAGCAAGACACGTAGTTATTGAAGAACTTATCGACACACTTGAGGTACCTTGATATCGCAAGCGCCGCAGTCAGTAAGTACTAGCCCACGTCTGTTTGTCCAATATTGCCCATAGCAGAAGATAGGGGGTCTGCGCTCTGCTGAATTCAGTGCATAGGTTAGGTACTTACATCTGGCCGCCTCCCCATTGGACCTCCTCGACGATGTCCAGACTGCTGTGCACGATGAACTGGTTCATGTGGCGCGCCTGCTCGCTGAAATGCGGCATGCCGTCGCCGCCCTGCTTCGACGTCCCGAAATCGTATTCGAATAGCGGGTTGTCTTGCGTGCCGACGATGGCGAAGTAGTATGACATGTTGGGCGGTTAGCTGTCGAGCATTTGAGACGGGGCTGAGGTGCTTTGTCGGGAGTGAAGCTTCAATGTTAGGAGTGCCGGATAGCTTCAATAGTTAGGTACATGGATACTTCTGTAGAATGCCTATCAATGTTCAAACAGCCTTATCAGGGTCGCGCAGTGGGGAGGTACATAAGTTAGGTACTTAGGTACATGTAATCGGTAATTGTAGAGGCTTTAAACCGATCATCTAATGTGGCTCGTGCGCTATCAATTGAACTTTTCTAATCGCGATTTACTCCGATACTAGGATGTGTTTTGAGAGAGAACACTGAATCGTCGAGCAGTAATATCACACACAATGTTCGGCGCATTCAGAGTAACGAGTCCGTTGTCTGGCGGTCTTCTATGGTATGTGATGGAATAGACAATTCTTAACTGACTTAGGCCCCAGACAGTTTAACAGCGTGTGCTAACCCTACGATTTATACAGGAAGATCCCATGGCGCCTGTCTAAATTCCAGAAAGCAAGGCAACGAAAGCGGCTCCGTGGTGTTGATTCGGTGGTGGATACGATAAGCAATGCATTGGCGAAGAAGGGCGAGACGCTGAAGGCCCTCGAGACGTGGAAGGAGACGATGCCTACCGAGGCCGAGATGCTGCCTAAAGACAAATACACCATGTTTGACAGGAAAGAGAAGCGATATAGAAAGGGCATTCACAGTACGTCTACACTTATTTCTGCTTTGGGGAGGTGTGTTAGTATGGGGAGATTGCTAACTGCAGGGAATAGAGCTCCCAAAGTGGACGAGAGTATCGCAAAGAGTGAACCCGCCTGGATATTAAGCATATATATCATATTCCAGCAATTGAGGCAATTCCACGCTCCAATATATCCAATATATCACTTTACGGGATACACGTTATTAGGTTATCAAACGAGAGGTATCCGTAAAAAGGCATATCTTAATGCGATAGTCTGAGGCCGCAGATCATAGCCCAACGAGTTGTACATTACTGTACTTAAAACAAGAGAAGCGGATATACTTCTCTCTGTATATGCATGGAATGAGACAATCAAAGCTAGTCACATCACCACAATAGGAACCAGTCGTGTTGCGAATAGCGGGTAACTACCTGTTGACCATGTGTATTCTTATAAACTATTAATGTTCGGGGTATCAACAAATCAGCCAACCAACTAGCAGCCTATAGCTTATCTTAGGCGCCCGTAGTCATCTTCCATGTGTTGATCCCGTTCCCTATTTCGTTGTCCCTCGCGCTCTCGGTCTGTCTGGATCGCTCTGCCTAAACCACCTCTTCCCTCGTCGTAGTCATCTCTGTACTCGTCTCGCACTTGGCCACCGGACTTGCCTCGGCCGTACTGGCGGCCTTCCTCGAAACCAGGATCTAGATCAGTTCGGATGATGCGTTCATCGAGCTTGGTGCCACCTATATATTTCATGCAATCGAGCGCATCCTGATGAGTGTAGTACTCGACAAAACAAAAGCCACAAGGGGTCTTGTTGAATCGATCTAATCCCATGACCAGACGCTTGATCTCACCGCACTTCGAGAAGAGTTCATAGACTTGTTCTTCGGTCGTGTAGAAAGAACTTGAATAACTGTCAATGGCTTGCCTAGGGGAAACAAGATGATATTGTAGCGAACTTACAGATTTCCGACGTAGATAGTCGTGGCATTCCTCAGAGGATCTTCTAAAGACTCTTCCACCGGGACATTCACCTCGGCTTCGCCATCTTTATTATCTCGGCCGTGGTCGGTTCGTCTCCTTTTGTTCTGTTCCAATTCGACGTGTGTTAGCTCACAACAACACAACCTATAGAGGCCAAGCAGTACATAATAAAAAGAGCTTACCCGACTATTATAATATGCGCTGGGACGGTCTAGCCTATCAACTGTCGATCGAAGTACGGAAGTCATCCTGGTAAAATATTCAACCTGCCGTATCGAAAAGGGTTGAAAGTTATGGTGATGTGTGAACGAGTAAATGAATTAATGAATTGAGGGAAGGCTGAAATTGAAAGTAAACGTCTGGAACGTTGATCGAGGAAGGCTGAAGCTATAGACCCGCTTTTATTGATACGGGTAGTTCTGATTTGCTAAATCTACGGAAATATGGTCTCATGGCGCGTTTACAGGCTATACCTACCGTGTCAGATCGCGCTTGGGTTTTTAGTCGTTTTTAGTTGCTGCGCAGCCTGCGCTGCTAGGTCGGTACATTCAGCCGTACCGGAACATGCACAATCTGGTTTCCGCCACCGTATAATTCCATAGCAACCATTTTAAAGGGTATGTACTTACCTCTATCTTAGGTAGATTTTTCCATGTAGGTACACCATCCACCCTAGCTTCACCAGAGCTTACCGCAAGCAGCTTGGCAGAACAAACAAAATTAACTTACCTAATGTAACTGCATCCTACATGTAATTTACAGTTTACATTGAGCTCTTCTTCACCCATCGCAGGAATAGCTTCATATAACGGATACTATTCAATCCTGTCCTATATCTCAGGCAGAAATGCAATTCTGCTAATGACAGCATAACGTTAGCATCACGTATACACACCCAACTTTGAAAAATGCCCAAGATTAAGAGTTATACTCCAGCCTGGTTGTCGGCTCCCTCGCCCGGCTACGACCTCTTTGTACCCAATGCCAACGAAACCCACGATACTTCAGCATATATATCCAAAACCGTCTCCAAGGAAGGTCCGCGACGGACAATTGCTCGTCGTGGTACCGAGGTATTCATTGCTGTTGGAAAAGAAATTAGATGGGCAGATCTGCTTTACCTAAAAGAACGATGGGAAGAGAAACAAGCCAAGGCTCGAGGTGGCGTCCGCATCAAACGTGAGGATTCGGATAGCTTCGACGATGATGGACTCAGAGAATCCATAGAGAGTGGGTGTGCTGAAGGTTTCCGAGTAAGTAATGTCGCATTACGTATATCACCACCAAGCAGCTGATCTTTTCAGACCATTACAACCTCTGTTGGTAGCGACATCCAACAGCTTATTATCTCGCCGTATGCGAACTTCATGGCAGTTGTCACTACCCATACCGTTCGTATCCTCCTCCTACCCGACTCGTCCCACCTTACGGCGCCTGGCCTTGACGCCATCAAACCAAAGTCATGGACCTTGGGCCCAACAACACATGTTATGAACCGTTCACCAATCGCCTCGGCTATATGGCATCCATTAGGGGTGAACGGCTCCGCGTTGGTGACAGTTACAAAAGATGCCACCGTGAGAGTCTGGGAACTTTCCCAGAGAGACCGATGGTCTTTCGATTCTCCCTCCCTTACTATTGACTTACAGAAACTTGCGGACGGCACTTCGCTAGACCAAAATTTTGCCGCCTCGCCCGATGTTACAAATAAGGGATTCTCCCCGGATTCTTTCGAGATGGACGTAGCAGCGGCATGTTTCGCTGGTAGAGGTTCTGGTGGTTGGTCACCAATGACCCTCTGGGTTGCGATGCGAGAGGGAGATGTATACGCCCTATGCCCTCTACTACCGACGCACTGGGCCCCCCCGCCTACGCTAATTCCGTCTCTCTCTATCTCGATTGTTGGGAATTTAGCAGCGATCGAAGACGACCCGAACGTATCTGGACAAGCGAAGTTGCTCGCCCAGCAACAGCTCGATTGGATGTCGGACCTTGACAACCAAGAGCCTAGAATTATCGAAGGTCCCCCTGGAGAGCCGCCTACGGAGATTTATACTCGCCCTACACGGCCTGGCGTAGTCCCTCGCTTACAAGGACCCTTCGACCTCGAGCTAAGCCCGGAAAGTGAGGACGACTTAGACACAGAGCTGACGGATATTTTTGTCATTGGACAAAAGCTTGACACTGATGAGTTGATGATGGGAGAGGAAGATGAACTAGATATGGAAGACGTTGAAGGAGAAGGCCTATCACTCTCCGTTATATGCTTACTATCATCTAGCGGTCAGCTACGAGTATGCCTAGACTTAGATGGTGTCCAAGCTCAATGGCTTCCCCCTCGAAATAAATCTAAGGCTATGGGGCGTCTAGCCGGATCTCCGTCTCTACTGACATTTCAGAGCATGGATATTTTGAACTCTTTGGAAGTTACCGAGAATGCCTGGCCAACGTTTAGCCCGGACGTTACTTCAAGGTATTCTTTCTATATCACCCACCCTTCCAGCATTACACATATCTCTCTATCTCCATGGGTTTTCCGCCTGGAAAGCGAACTGCAGGGCGATTCGCAAGCCGGGTCCGAGTTTAGAATTGATTTACTTGTCAACGGGCAGAGCTCTACTAGAGAGCGGCTCTATACAAGTACAATCCAGGGCGACACGCAATTTCCCCTAACAGCTTCAGTCGCTATTCGCGATCCCGACCTTGGCTACTTTTTATTATCCGCAACGCCATTCGATCCAGTTGCCTTGGTATTTGATACGCCAGAGGATGATCTCGCCCCCATCCGATCCGCCTCACCTTCTTTTGACAAGGATGCCGAGGTACAACCCCTGGAGTTCTACGAGCCTCGCCCCGTCTTCCAGCCATCACACTCCTTCGACATGGGTTCGGCGCTACCAAAACTACTAAACCAACTCAGCACTAGTCGTCAGAAGACAATAGTTAACCAGGAAGTTCGACTCTCTCCAGCAACCCTACAAATTTTCACGGAAGCGCATCAGATACTTAGCGATGAAACCCATAAACTAGGCGTGGCAGCTGCCGAGGTATTCCGACGATGCATTCAGTTACAGACGGAACTTAAGCAGCAAGTCGTCAAGGCTAATGAAGTTAAGGCTAGGGTTGAGGCTGTCACCGGGGAGGATCAAGATGAAGACGAACCAGAATCGAGCAATGCTGCAATGGAAAGACGGATACAAAACGCGAGGGAGAAGGGCGAATCCCTTAACCGAAGATTGGAAAAGATGCGAAAGCTAGTCAATAAGGCGACCAGTCGGGAGTTGAGCGATAAGGAGAAGGCCTGGGTCAACGAGGTCAATGCCTTGGATGCAAACTTGTTCGGGTCTACAACGACAACCGGGCCAAGCCGGCTAAGAATGACTAAGAAGAGGTATGAAGAGGTGATGCGATTAAGAGACGAGCTCTTAGAGGAAGCAGAGAAGCTAGGCGCGTCGGTTGAGGAAGGAGAAGAGGGCTTGAGCGCGTCAACAACTGACTTACGCATACCATCGGAGCTCCGAAAGGCAAAGATCAACCAAGTAAAGGGACTCATCGAGCGTGAGACGGCCTTGGTAGATGCTGTGAAATCACGGCTTGAGCGACTATCAGTAGGGTAGGTAGAAGCGCGGCAAGCAGGTGTGGCGCGTCGGGATGCATCCCGTCGAAGGATGTACCCCACCAAGGACTGTATTAAATATAATACTACCTCTATTCTATCTAATATGTGTCCAGCTAAGAAATAGGGCGATTGGACAAGTTGATTGTGGCTTGTGGCGGGTTTCACTAACTAGGATATAATCAGCATTATCGTTGTCGTGGCGGTCCCTTGGCGAATCTTACCGTTACTCACTGTGACGTCTCGAAGCAGTATTGCCAGATGCCCAATTGGGGTCAGGGTAGGGTAGAAAAGCAGGAGTTCCAATGCTGATCGTTTCTTTCTCTTGCCTCCACCGTTCCACTACAGGAGTTACAGGAGATGGATCTTTTCGGCACGTTGCGTCCAATAGCAAACGTCCAAAACATCAGTCCACCTGCAGCCTTGCAATATACAAGTCTAGACGGATAGGCTTCCCAAGATAAGCCATTCGGTGGTTAAGAATTGAGATCAAAGGAGATCTAGCTAGCCTCAAGTTCTACCTGACGACAGCGCTGTGGCATATCGACAAAAAATAAAAAACGACAGCAATAGAACTATGAGACTGAGGTAGTTAAATCCTTACGCTTAAAGCTGCACCTCTCACCTGGTTGCACGTTATATAACTTAGTGACCCCTTCCACCTTAAGAGAAGAATATCTCTCTTTCGTCTTCCGATGTTTTCATTACACGCGAGCTGAATACGTTGCAATAGTTACCTCTACATATCTTTCATAAAAGTCCTTGTAGAAGGTTGCTAAAAATTCCCAACACTCCCGAACCGCCTGCCAATGTTCGCCCTGTTTTTTATTGGCCATAAATGTCTCAATAAGCTAGCCCGGTATTATTCCATATTCCGCCCATTACCACTCCGCGTCCGACCCGAAGGGCTTCTAGGCGCCATGTCTCTGCAGCTTTTCACGCAGATGTGTCTCGGGGCGACGATAATCATGGTCTTTGGGGTACATTTACAGGATAGACGGACAGCCTGCAGTGGCAAAATCCTGCCCAACCCCCAGGGTCTTCCCTTAGAGTCTTTCCTTAAATTGATCAACCCGGGGTGTTTGCATCTAAGTCGTGCATCCCATTCGTATGACCTGGGGGCCGGTACCCATTCTCTGCCGGTAGAGAGAAAAGAGGTGTGCCCCGTACAACCTTTCTCAACATGCTGCCGGGAATACTCGCCCAGCACCGAGACCTAGATTTTCCTTTGTGTACCCCTTTATTACCACCACCGTTAGTCAGCCTTTGCAGCCATTGACGTATCAGCGAGGCATACATTTCGCTTGCATCTTATTGGCTTCCAAAAAGAGCATCGGGATGTATCATTCATATTAAGTTACCTATGTCATACGGACCCTTCTTGGGCTGAGACTCATTCCCTCGGGGCCAAGACAGGTCGTCGATAGATCTAATGCCACATAGTTTGCCTCACTTCTTTTTTAGTACCTAGATGCTGCATGAAGCTGGGTTTCTGATACATGAGGTATCTAGATGGACGGCTGTACGCGGAACTTGTCTTTCGCCGCACATATGTGTATATAAGACGGCACATCTATAAATCGATCCAAACTTCTCAACTTGAAGCTTACGGTTCACAAATCTTAATCAATGCTTATACGTTCCTGCGACCAAACCTTCCAAGCATCGTCTTACCGTCAGTCAACATTCAACATGGCGCCCTCGACCGTAGTCTTCGATTATAGGGGCCAGATAGTAGGCAAGTAGCTTACAAATTTTGTCACCCTCCAGCTCATCATAATATCTGCTAACACATGTCTATAGATAACTGCGAGTTCTTCTTAGCCAAACATGACGTCGTCTCCGTAGTCACCGTCAAGGACGTTCTAGGAGACTATAAAGCATATGCGATTCGGTCCAACCAGAGCTCACGAGACGCCCTTCTCTCCTCCGAACCCCGTGCTACCCCTCTACTTGCCGTAGAATCGCTCCATACCAAGTCGTGCGAGGCCGTCCAGCAATTCATCACTACCAACGGGTTCTCGTTTCCCCCGGACTCCAAGAAGACTAGGTTTGACGATGATGACGAGGACGAGGACGAGGATGAGGATGATGGGAACGACGACGACGATATAGCCTCCATCTTCTCCAATATCCTATCTGATCGTCCTGCACTGTCAACCGCCGTCCCGTCTTACAAGGCCAGCTCGGATAGCGAGGTAAAAATGACGCCTGCCACATCCACGTCCACGGTCCCCGTCACTTACGGCCGCGAGATCAGAGACGAGAGAAGCAACAATATCAGCAAGCCCCGCACTAATCCGCCCCCACCAGGTCGCCAGTCCCCCGAAGCGTTCATATTCCCAAACATCCGGCCCCCTTACACGCTTTCTCAGGCAGAAGAGCTAGTCATGGAGCTTATGAACGGCCCCCTATCCAACAACTACCCGCGCTTCCCCGGCCCCCCGCCGCCACCACCACCCCCACCGCCCGGATACAACACGGCCCCCAAGCCTCAACCCGCCGTGCCCTCCTGGCCCCCCGTCGCGCGCGGCCCATCCCTCCCGCCAACAAACTTCTCGCCGCCAGGTTCGCGCGGCCTGCCCCGCGGCCAACCCCCCGCCGCCGCCGCCTTCCCGCCGGCCGGCCCGCGGGTGTACGACATCGCGCTGACGATACGGTGGCTAGGGCACGGCGAGGCGCGGGTGCTAGCCAGCTGCAAGGCCAGCGTGCAGGCGCTCAAGAACACGGCGATCACGTACGTGACGCGGCACGCGGGGGCGTTCGATAAGGACGGGGCGCCGCCGAATAGGAATAACCCCAAGTGGATGGGCTGCGCGAGGTTGAGGCGCGCGAGCATTCGGAATGTAAACGACGAGGAGTACGATTTGAATATGGAGTTGTATCAGGATGATGACTTGACGAGGTTTTGTGGCGGGAGGGGCATTCCGAGGTTTGAGGTGGAGGTGGAGGATCAGGTGGATGGGGCGATGTAGGGGCGAGGCTTGATATGTGATGTGTGATGCGATGTGATGTGATGTGATACGATACGATACGATACGATACGGGGCAGATTTAGGTAGGTTAGATAAAAGCGCTCGAGCTTTGGTTGATAGAGACCCCTTTTCTGTAAGCTTGGGTTGCGACGGGGACGCGGTTCAAAGAGCGAGCGCTGAGAAATGGGTGTACGGAGATGGGATAGGGGTTAGATTGTCACTTTTACGCGGTTCTTTTCTTTCCTACGGTGTGCTACGGACTGTTTGCTGTCTCTTTACGCGTATCGGGTATCTCTGCTGGTCGGTTGGTATGTTGTACGAGTACGTTATGAATCCATATGAATGTTCAATGAGGATTGATGATTTGAGTATAGTAGATTGGCCTGTTTGTTTAAGCATATAGTTAGTTCTAGGTATTTCAAAGGTGTTCAGTTACTTCTATAGACAATTATGTCCTACTCGTTTGGCATGTAAGGGTGTTATAAAGCATATCAAGATCGTCACTCTCAACACTTGTTACCTATAAAATATAGTATTCTAGGACTCCTCTCTTTCTATCTCAAATAAACTGGTTAAACGTTCCTCGATCGCACACGGATGTGCGAAATGATTGTATGAGTTATATCAACTCTATAGTTCCCATAGGTTTGGTTTAAAACAGCAGGATGAATATAGCCCATGATCCGCAAAGGAAGTGATCCCTCAATAAGCCTTCTAGCTTATTTGCTATATTTTCTAAAAGCAATAAGCCCCATCAACAGATATGGTGTAATAAACATAAGTGTTTATGCTATACTATTGTTCGTAAATAATAAACCTGGTCATATATGTCTACCAAACAAAGTGCAAACTTAGACCTATTTACTTTAATGAGTCTTGCCTATTAATTAATAGTTAAATTCATGACCAATAACTAAATATAAGATCCAAGTGTATAGGAATGATTGTGTACATTACTATATCTTACTAGGACTCCAAGAGAGTTATGTTAAAGATATATAACTTACATGTATAGTTATTCCTTTAGACCTTATTATAACTCTTCATAGCCCTTTCGTCTTGATCTGCCAGCCAATTTCCATTATACAACCAGATATGTCCGTACCCATTAGAAACCCCCCCGGATTTAAGAGGGTTTACATCTACGACTATATCCTCAGCTATACCTCTCGGCGTATTAGATACCCCGCACCGAATGAATTATCACTGCAAGACGTACCGTCTATTCTCACCTATACGGCCTTTGGTCGACTATCTCCGGGGGCCGTCTCGTACTCAAGAAGGCACCCCTTACTAGAACTAGAACCATGCCGCCGCCTCACTTCCGCGGAATATTCGGGTACCCATCTTATCCGACGCAAGGGACAAAATGACAAGCTCATTGTATCCAACCAAAGCGCGGATTCGCGAGATTCTTCGCCCACCTCACCGCAGGTGACGCCCTGACCTTCTATATCTACGTCGCTGACGACGTCGACTGGACCATCGTGGGATCACACGCGTTATCGTGTCACTACTCTGACAAGGCGACTCTGATGTCCAAGGCCCTATCTCGAGTCGGCGGTCTTTTCGACAGCGCTATGAAACTCCGCATCACTGGTGTTATTGGTGGGGAGGTCGAGGAATGGGCTGTGATCGAAATGGCCGCAGATGGGATAAGCAAGAACGGTAAGCTCCCTCTCTTTTACCACCTGGCACGATATTCCACTATTTCCTCGGGGAAGGGAAATAAATACATCCTTCCTCCAACTGTTGAAATTCCCCTCAGCATGAGCTATATGCGGGTTGACGTTCGCGGGTGTGTCACACGACAGCTTCGCCGAGATGTAAGGTAGGTATCTAAGCTATTGACGCTTCTGCTTAAGTCTGTCTGGTATACAATAGGTAATACTTACTCGTGGCCGACGCGGTGGTGAGATGGCAAGATTGTTCAAGTTCGAGCGTATCTCGACGGACTGCTCTTAAACCGTGCTTTGGCAGAACATGAAAATAAATCTTGATCATCAGAGGCGTTTTATTAGGAGTGTTCAGTTGTTTGCTGCTGAATTAACACGGGAATAGGGATCGAAAGTGTAGGTATGTAGGTATATGGATTGTCTAATGCGGCAACCAAGCTCATCACATCCCGCTATGATTGGCCAACGGTGAAATTCGCCCTTGTAGTTAGCCAAGAGCTCGCGGCCGCCAATTATAAATTTGCCGGTCGGGAAGCATAAAGGTGACTGCGGGACGCCAATGCTTGCTTGCTCACCTCTCTCCACGATCCCGACTCATCTCCGAATATATCGGTCCCCTCTATACAGACAATCTCATCTGCCGCCCCTGTGAAACATGGTGTTGGAGCCGTCTTCATGCTACCGGCTATATCAATTCGTCGTGTCTGCAGGTAGTGGATCTCCAAGCAAACCCCCGAGATCACGAAGCACGCCATCCTGTAGCTGAGACGTATACGTAAGATGCCATTATGATCCGCTCTCTCTCCTCTTCCTCCAACCGAGTTTCACGGCCTGTTTCGGAGATGGGTGCTTAGTGCCGTAGATTGTAACTCTTGGAGACTTGGAGTATTCCCCCCCCTTCGTTCCCATACACATGTCCACTCCTATAAAGACATCTAGTCTTCGTCCCATTTGACCGTAATATCGTGAAATAAGAACAATCTCGAAATAGATAGCAACCCGTTACCTCGTTACCTCAGCCTCAACTAAAGTAAAGCAAAGAAAGCAAAGTAAAGCAAAGCAAAGATGGTTTCCCTACACCCCCTCCTCGACAACGGCATCACCAAAGGCGACCCCAGCTTCTCCGGCGGCACTCTCTACTGCAAATGCGCCACCGACCCCGTCGCCGTGACCCTAAGCTCCAACATCGCCCACAACCACGCCTGCGGCTGCTCCAAGTGCTGGAAGCCCGCAGGCGCGCTCTTCAGCATCGTCGGCGTCGTGCCGCGGGACAACCTATCGGTCACGGCCAACGAGTCGAAGCTCAGCATCGTGGACCCCAAGGCCGCGATCCAGCGCCACGCCTGCACCAGCTGCGGCACCCACCTGTACGGCCGCATCGAGATCGACCACGCCTTCAAGGGCCTCGATTTCGTCCACGCCGAGCTCAGCCCCCAAAAGGGCTGGCAAGAGCCCCAGTTCGCCGCTTTCGTGTCCAGTATCATCGAGCAGGGCTTCGACCCGGCGAAGATAGGCGAGGTTAGGGAGAAGCTGCACCAGGTTGGGCTCGAGACGTATGATTGCCTTTCGCCGGTGCTGATGGACCTTATTGCTACGTATACTGCTAAGAAGACCGGTGCCCTTAAATGAACATTGAAAACTTAGATAAAAAGGGTTAGGTTGATACATCTGTACATGTCTGAAGGCGGCCGACAAAAAGAAAAAGATACCATATTGTGACATAGGCAGGTGGTGCAGATATATATAAATAAAAGCCCCAATATGTGGTGTCCATCAAGGTGTCCCTCTGGATGCTGTTCGTATCCTGGTATTCCCTGCACTCTATGTATACCGGCGACCTTGTTTATTGGCTGGGGGATGACTGAGTGTCATCGGTAATTGATAAAAGTCCATATCATGCCGACGGTGGCGTATGCGCATCCGTATCCCCAAATCGAGTGCTTCATGGTTTATTTCTTTTATAGCTAAGTATTAAACAGGCTACCGTATAGATACTTAGGTAGGTATCCTCTAACTATTAATCTTATAGCTTTATACTCACTTACATATATATATACTAAGTTGTAAATAGAACGATATGCAACCCATAATGCTCTTATGATCAATGTCACGTATTTTGTGATATCGTAGATCTTGCTGCGATGGATTGGCAGGTATGTGACGAAGGCGGAATATGGTGGTGTACATATGTAATAATTGTAGGATAGATGTAATTTTATCAGAAATTTAATGTTTAAACGTTATGCTCCCTTGCTATTCTGAGTATAACAGGCAAAGACTGTTTAGACTTAGTTAATACGAAATTTAATATTGTTTCTAGTCTGTATATGAGAAGACACACAGATAATCTAGTTCCTTGAGACAACGTGTATTGCGTTTCTAGAGACTAATGCTATCCAATTCATCTAGGAGCAAAGAACGTATGCGCCCTGGGCATCGAGGTTACAAGTTATTTTCGCGTCTCCCAAATCAATATGCGGCACCACTAGTCAACAAGTCCATCAATGCTTCATCTCTATTTACGAGTCTAGATCGATATCGCCCCACCACTGTGATCTAGTCATTCAGATATATAAATGTCCTAGGCGGAGGTTAGTCCAAGCCGCTGAATCTATCGCCGACAACGCCGCCCAAATGCCATGATGCTAGCAAACAACTCCACGAGGCCTCGACGGACGGGCCAAAATGTCTAAGCACCTAATATATACCCTGGGTGCGGTATTGGAAAGTGTCATAACTATGCATTGTCAGTATCGCATTCAACTTGGTTAAGGGGAGGGTTGGAATTACAGTCGTGTATAGTAGCTACCAAGGGACTTCGTGATGAGATCAGTCTCCACGAAGTTTTCGGCTTCGTCGGCGCTTAGATGTAGCTGGAAGCGTTGCTTTAACGTTGCCGTTGCTTGCGTGACCCCGGCTGCATAGCAGGGCATTTTCGAGTCTAGTCCCATCATTCTGACTAAATCGACAATATTATCTGCACACCGACGTAGAGCTGAAGAGCGTTAGATGTAAAACTTCGCCTGGATACTTAGTCTGCTTGGACTTACCTTGGAAAGCTTGCTTGCATAGCGTCTTAAAATCTTCAAAATCCGGAGAATCAACTCCACCCAATACATCCACATATTCCCAAGTTAGTTTGAATGGAGCTGCTTCAAATCCAACGGAGCCGGGCGAGTTCGAGAGCATAAATCCAAAATCGATGTGGATAATATGCCCTTCGTTGTCAATGAGCACGTTGCCATTGTGTCGATCTTTCAACTGTAATATATACGAGATAATGCTGTATGCTGCAAGGGAACGCTTAAACGCGTCCACAGCGGCTTTATAGGGCTCGCTCCCGGGCTTGCCAAACGTTTTAACCCAATGGTCCTTCAGCGTAGCAAGGCGATGTCGAGGATTAACGCCCGACTCGATCGATGCTAAAGTCAGACTCCGCTTAAGTGAATGCAGGGAGACGCCGTTTGTAATTGTTTCGACAAGCCCCGAAGACTCTCCAGTGACTAATATTCGCATGAGTTTCACCCAGACAGGTACGCCAGCATCGACCCAAATCTTATCGCAGACCTGAATGAGCTGACACGCAAACGCTTCCTGTCGAAGATCGTCTCCTGTTTTGACGATAACGCTGACCAAATCCCAATTTTTCATCCATCCGTACGGTGACGTTTTTCGTATCCGCTCCTTTTTCATGTGCCACGCCTCCCCAAATACTGCGGCACTAGGATCGTCACGGTCACCTGTTCTCTGCACTCCTCCTGTCATTGCGTCGTTTTCCATTCGAGCGGCACCGGCATTCGGGTCGCTTGTTGGGTCAATATCTTCCTCTAAGTCGTTGCTTTCCGAAGCCTGGGCTGCTGCGCTAGCTTTCGCCATGATCAAATCAAACGTAGGACCTTGGCCATCATCAAGGTCAAAACTTTGTTCTTCGAGGCTCTGCATGCTTGCAATGATCTTCGATCTAATGGCTGCGACTTCTTGCCGCGGGCGTTTACCACTTGTAGCATCAAGCTGGGCTAACATTTGTGACGCTGTCCTCATATGTGTTGCCAGAGCCGAGAAATCGGGTTGCTCAGTGGACGTATTGCGTTGGCTCGGCAATGTTACTCTCCTCAATGGACCAGGACTGCTTGATCTCGACGTTGACGCTGCCGACGTACGCGATGGGGCTAGGTCAGTCGTAGACGCGCTTGCTATGCCATTAGACACGCTCTTTCGAGGGCTGGGTTGTTTCCCGTTTCTTTTACCGAAGGACCCATTATCATCGAAGGGCTTCAGCATCGGTGATGTTCCTAAGTCACCCGATGTTGGTTCGAAGACGCTATCTATATTCTCCAACACAGGTTCAGACACCCGTTCGGTAGCAGGTGTCCCCGGCGCATCTGATAAATCGAAGAGTCGCTTACGAGTACCTTGCTCAGCCACGAGGTTGCTAAGTAGTCTCTGGTTCTCTCCGGAGCTAGGATCGAAAGTAAAGTCGTCGCGAAGGATCTCAATCATGAGTAAATATGGCACCTTTTCGGCACTATTTAGAACGGTGGCTTCGGCAGGGTTGACCCTGACGATACGGTGATGGCGACTCTTTGCAGGCGAGCCATCTACCAGAGTGGGCGGGCATATGATGGGTATATCCAGCTCAGCTGGTAAGTCTCTAGCAATTAGTGCGAGTTCGGCGCGCAAAGCACTAAGGCGAGCCGGCTTTGGCACTATAACTAGCCGATTAGATATATCCTCCAGCGCCGTCAGAAATGCGGTTTGGCAGTGGAAATAATTCTGTCTGAGCAACCTGGCTTTCTGGGTCTCAGTCATCTCTGCTAGACTCGCAAGAGTCTTCACGTGGTGGGAATGCCTGCGCGAGATTGTGTCTGTTGGACGTGGAAGGCCAGCGGAGAGTGGAGGGATCGGCCGTGCTATCATCCTTGGCGACCTCACTTCGGGAAGAGGAAGGGATGACGAACTTAAGCGAGCGTCTAACAACATGCTGTCGACGTAGGTCGGTTTTCGCGATTCGGCCGTGGCATCTTCGCTCCTTTCGGGACTCGTAGATATATGAGTGACAATATGCGGTGGTCTTCTCGGTGATGATATAGCTTGTTTGGAATCGGACGCATTTCCCACTCGAGCTAAATCACGAGGTCGGCGTGATCTTGTTGTATTTCCGGTAACAGTCTGACTCCTGGTAACCTTGGACATCTGGCTTGGCTGGTTTGACTGACTCGGCAGGCTCGTTTCCGATATGACATTGGTAGATGGTTGCGACCTCCTCGCTTGCGCAACAGCTAACGGGCCCGCCCATTGTGGAAGGGTTGGGAGGCCGATACTGGCCAAAACAAAACTTGCAAGTACTGTAACAGGTAAAATATTCTCTTTAATCTTCTCGTGTCTTGCGCTATCTGAGTGTCCAAACACAATATGTTGTACTTTATTATAAACTCTCCGGCAGGTTTTGAAGGCCTGAGCCTGCGGTGTCGAAGCGAGATCGTGAAGGTAAGTTTGGAAGAGCCAAAACGTCTATAAAGCATTACTCAGCAAACTATTCTTACAGCACGGTTTCGGTATGGGCGCAGACCAATAGAGCAGCAGTTACGGATTCTTCGCATAGGTCTAGCAGAAACTCCTCTAATGCCATAGAGTCATTGTCGACACTTATTATAAGGTGGCATAGTTGAGGTAGGAAGAACTCGATGTCCTCGTAGGGAAATTGGCGGAGCTTTGAGCACAAAACATAGTGGATTCCGACATGGTCTGCATATCGACTGTATAAAATGGGTCAAAAGGTTGTCGTAGTTAAGTTATGGGAGGGGTTTGCCTACGATAGATAGGAAACAGAGAGAAAGGGGTTCTGGTTGAAGACATCACTCTGGATAAGGCGCTGGAGTAGATCCCACGACATAGCGAGTTGTCTTTTTGAATAGAAGAGATCGTGAGGCCTGATGCCTCACCTATGTTCGACATTAAATGATTGTACCGAATAAGAAAGATAAGCTGTCATGGCTATCGGATGCAGCGAAGCATGGGATGGTGAGCGTGACGAAACGTCGAAACGTCGAAATGTCGAAGTGTCGAAGTGTCGAAGTTGCTTTGGCCAAAGATTTGAGGGTTTGGTATCGGCGCGCTGCTTCTCTCACAAGTCAATACGACACAAGCATCGAGTAATAAATGTCCCTTTCTGGCCTTCTTGGCAGGTACATGTACTTTTAATATCCACTTCTAACGGACTCAAAGTTTCTTGATTGGCTCACGTATTCTTAGCGTTACTCTTATTGCATCGCTTATTACACACGAGGAAAGCGTCAGTCCATACCCAGTACCTCCCTGGCCTCTATTCGACGGTAAGAGCTTCCGAATCTACCGAGAGCTGTCTAAACTTTAATAATAGGTTCGCCTGTAAGACGGGACTTGATGTTACACATCTTTAGGTACTTTAGCTTGAACGTTTAAATGCTTAAAACAATACAAAAACTACAGTAACAAAGGTACCTTATAGCATATGTACATCTAACCTATAGCTATGCCTAATGGACTATTATAAAATCTATACGTTATTAAGCTTCTTAACAGGGAATTCCTTTGTATTGACTCAACCTTATACTGCCAGAGTTGATAGCAATATCTAATATTATGCTAAGCAGAGCGTTTGATATCGAGCCTCGAGTGTTACTATGAATAGAAAATAGAACAGCAAAGAAATAAAGCAATCGCCAAGAAACAATCACATCGAGGTATCAGTCATAAACAAAGATGTGTTTACTGCCATAGTTACGGCACGTACCGACTGCATTCCTTGTCTAAGTACCTAATTACCCCATACAATTGGTGATATTCGTCTTGCAAGCCGCCCAGGTCCGTCTTCCAATCATAAATTCAGGGTAGCCCCTAAACCTCCAACGCCGGTATAATGCCCCTAGGTATAAACGCCAGTGGCCTAAATCATTCATCGTGACCTCATTGCTGTCGTGTAGCCCGTAGAAAGAGAACCAGATGACACAGTATTAGCCAATGGCTACGCAGGCACTTTCTTCTTACGTCCGCCCCTTCCCTTCTTCTTAGGCTCTCCGACGTCTCCCTCTTCGTCACTATCGCTATCAGGTTTAGTTCTGCCGGAGCTCTTGCCACCTTCTTTCTCCTCGCCCACCTTGGCGACAATGTCTTGTAGGAAATCCCATTCAATAGTTGAGCTTATTGCCTGCTTGAGCATTGGCGCCGTGATTCTTTTGGAATTCTTCTCCTTGGCCACCTCGGCGCTCTTACGAACGAGTTGTACCATGAACAGTTCTAACGCTTTTCCAACTGCGATGGGGGTTTGCTGGGCGACCTTGCCCACTTCCTCATCAGCTTGCATTATACGCTTAATGCGCGCTGTGGGGAACTTGGTTTTGACTGGAGACGGTTCCACCTCATTTTGCTTTGCTGCCGGCGCGATCTTTCGTGGCGGCATAGTGCTTTGTGGTTTTGACGAGTTAAATTGGTTGGGAACAGCAGGTGGTTGCGAGGTTTGGGGTTGGGAAGGCTGTGTTTGTAGCTGTGCTTGTAGTTGATGATAGATAGCGGGTGATGCAGGCTCGGGATAGGACGAGTAGTAGGACACGGAAGCGTTCGGGGGTTGTAGAATATATGGCGATTGGTTTGTTTGGGCGAATTGTGTTTGTTGTCGGGGAGAGAAGTATTGTCCTTGTTGTCCGGCGGTGCCTTGAGACGGATAGGTGCTGAAAGCGGTGTTGTTGCTGCCGTTACTACCGTATGCAGGAGCGCTGGTAGGCGGTACAGAAGACGGTATGGATGATTGATAAGTGCTGTATTGGTGGGGCTGTGGCTGATTATATCTTAAAGGAGCTCCTGTACCAGCTCCTGGACCAGCCCCAATTCCAGCTTGAAAGAGATAGCCACCTGGGGCGTTGTGGTTCTGGGGAATGTCAGACGTTGAGCTGGAATAAAAAGAAGAAAGGTCGGGCGACTTTGGCGCATACGAGCTGTCTTGGGTTGACATGGTCTCAATGTTAAATGTTAAAATTTCGCAACGGTAGACCGTAGAAAACTGGGGAGGGTCAGAGCTTTGGAATGGCGGGGCAGCTCCTTTGAGAGTGCAGCCGTTTTTTTGTGGTGAAATATTTGGGTAGATGCAGTTTGTGTGGCTGGTCAAAGTCGCTAGGAGAACAAGGGTGGCCTATTTTTTATCTAGTCGCGACCAATAGTTATAAAAACACCTACAGTACAAGATAGGTACGCGGGCAGGAGGGAGCAGGAAGGTAGGGGTGGACTAATGCAGGAGGTAACACCCAATGATCATACGCACACAATGATGCAGGTCTGAGGTGTGTTTGCGTTGTATGCCTAAATAGTCCACCGCGCGGGCAAGAACACAATTAAATGGTTGGTTAAGTACTTGTTCGTACCCGAACCGTATAGTACTGAATGTACTGAATGAGTCAGGAGGTTTCGCAGAAAGAACCTTGTGACTGCTAGAGGTAGTGACTGCAACCGAGGGACTAAAGGACTTGTATGTACTTATGAATTGAATCGAATTGTACAGTACAGTCCAAATATCAATCCAAAACACCGTTTCAACTTTGCGGGTAGGCCTGATTCGGTACGCCGAGCATTAAAAAAACCTTAGAAGGTAAAGGCCAATAATTGATGGGATACAGCGTCTCAGCGTTGTAAATTGCCGGGCGGTGAAGGTGGGGTGTGATAATAGGTCCGTGCGTTATTGCTGATTATGTTGCTTAGTTGGTTGGCAAGGGAAGGCTCGGGTCTTGTTAGAACCAACGCAGCGGGTTCAGAATTCTGCGCCAAATTCTGTCGACCGCAGCACGGGCGGCGAAGGAGCACTGGTTTTATATCCGCAAAGACCACCAGAACGGCGAAATCAAATCAGGGGGTCCCAGTAATCGCAATTAGCACCGCCACAGCATAAAAAAAAAAGGTACAGGAAAATAATACAACCTAGAAATCCAACACCGATTTTAATGTAACATTCTTCCTTGTACTCACCGAACACCACACCCTCCACGAATTGTCTATCATTATTGAAGGATGGCCACTCAACTCTTCCATCTACACATCTACAAATCTACACATTCGTGTAGATTTATGCGAATTACATGTCAACTACCTCAACACAGATGAATTATCAAGACCAAATATCCATGTTGATCTTGTCACAAATGAATTTAGCACGTGTGTGTCGCCATCGACACTAAGAGGATCGAGGACTTTTGTCGCGCATAAGCCGGTCTCATCAAGGCTCCCGCAGATCATTAGGCTACAGAGGTCGGGGGCGATTTTCTCAAGGTAAATGACTCTTGCTCAGCCTTATATTGGGTTTTTCTTCTTCTTTTCCTATTATAAGATTTTTTCGAATGAATTATCCCGAAATTCATGTGACATTGCTTCGGACTTTCTATAATACATCGTATCTCATTACCCTTCCCCCTTCGGTGTCCACTTAGTATACAGCCTACCTACATAGGTGCAGTTGTTACTCCAAGGATACCTACTTGCTTCTGGCGAGAGAAACGCCTTGGCGTGTCATGAATGATGATAATTATGCAAAGAGCTTTGTCCAGAGACTAAAGTAATAACATTAGTTTAGAAGCCGAGTGTTTTATACCCTATGGTTTCTTTTCTGTTGTTTAAGTTTATGATGGCATTACTTGATCTAATCTGACATGACATCAGCACGATACAGAACTCACATGAGTCTTATGCCAAGCGGCTGCGTTACTATTATATTATATTAGATAATAGATTTGGTTTAGATCTAATGAATATTATCTCGAATTTCCTCTACTAAAGACTTTAGTCCTTTTTTCCTATTGCTTGGTGAGCTACTAAGAAATAGACAAGCTACCGGCCAAGCATGAATTCCTCCTTTTTCTTCTTTACTGTGAACTTTTATGTTATTTTCCTCCAAGAACTTGATAAGAGCTGAAATTTCGGGCGCAAAGACCTCTTCGGCACCATAAGCCACAAATATGCCTCTCGAGGGTGTTGCATGCTTCCACCACGAAACGTCTCTACAATTGCCCGGTGATAAAAGCGGATCGTTTACCGACACTTTCTCTCCTGCGTACTGGTGTGCATATCGATGCAAATTTTCGGCGTTAAGGTAGTCACTTGTGGTATTTTGATGCTTGCTAGAGACCAGCGTTACCCAAGGTGAAATAAGCACTGCCATCCCAGGTTTTGCCAGGCGCCATGTCCCGGTAGTTCTATTCATCTTTTCAAGGTGGCGGCCGATATTAGCAAGATGGAGCAGCAAGCTGAGCACAATGGTAGCACCAGCTGAGTCTCCGCTGACGCAAATCCTATTAGCATCTTGCACCGTTGAAAGCACATGCTCGTAGCCGGCAATGGCTTCCTCTAGCTGCGTTGGAAAGTTGGCATCGGGGACCAGCGAATAGTCCAGAGCAAAGACAGCTGGGTTCTTATATCCGCTATCATTTAATAGGCTTAGCCATGTGAGCAGAAACTCGAGGTAAAAGTATGCCGAGCCCATCGAGAAGCCACCCCCTGGATCGCTGTTAGTCACTCTCGGATCTCGTGCCGGATTTGCATATTTATCTCCTACCATGCGCGTAAAATATGCAAACATCGGGTTTTGCTGTTGGATCCTTGATGATCCATATTCCTTTGAAACGCTTCTGCGGAATGATTAGTAGGTCCTTCAGACGCGTTCACCTTCGTTAAAGTCGAGAACTCTCTTACATCATTATGCTCATGCCAATATATGGGAGATCTTAAATAGCCATGCCGCAACATTCTAAACTTCAGGAATGGCAGGGCCACCGGCTTGGAAAAGAATACCCTCCCAACCTTAGGAGGTATGTTTGCAAACGCATAGCGAACACACCGGATGACGAGGTCTTCAAATAGGGATGCCTTCTGTACGAATGGAGATCGCTGCTCATATCTGACAAAGTAGCGTTCGCGGATCAACTCGAAAGGCAATTGAAATACTGCCGCTGCATTAGTATTTTCCATATATCCTTCAATTACGGACTCACATAAAAAGGGCAAGCATTGTAAACCCACTAACACGGTTTCGAGCAACCCGACGTGTATGATCAGCTGCGGTGCCAGAAATACGCAGAAAACAATGCAATCCAAGTACGAAACGGAACCTAGAATCATCGTGTCTGGAAAAAGCGAAAACCCACGAGCGTACCTATTAGTATCTATACGTACATTGCCTCCGGTGAGGGGATAGGGGATTAGAAAGCTGCTTCACGATATTCCTAATGAGATCGAAAGCAATAAACAGTCCAATGCGACCAATGCGACCAAAGCCACGTGCGCGTCCCCTAAGCAATTAATGAATGATATGTAGTATTAGTCGCATGTTTTTACATAGTAGTTGCGTGCTAGGTCTGCGAACTCATCTGTTTCGTGGTTAGATACCAGCTGATGACGTCGTCGAAGATTGTGGGCTCATGTAAGACTAAGCCACATTTACCTCGCTCTCACATGTCTCGGATTATGAAAAGGGTTAATTTGCCATCACGACTCCTAGCCGGCGCGACAAATGTAGAGATGTGTTATCTTACTTACATAGCGGTTAAATGTAGGAGTTATGGTCGATTGTTAATAAATGATCTTACTAAGCTGCAGTATAAAAACCGACCTATGTCAAATATAGTAGCTTAGCAAGACTTATACAAAGATATGAAATACCTAGGTAGGTAGTTAGACATTTACAACTTAAGTTAAAGGCCTATGAAACTTGTTATCATTCATCACCTAAAAGTTGAATGATATAAGTAATACTTCATTATGTAGAGATATATTTGCTTGTCTTGTACAAGGAGCTACTACTTGGATCTAGGTTCGATCTTATATGAACCACATTAACTCGCTCCAAACACCAGCGTCTAACAACCTAAAGTGAAGATATCATTTGTTGTGTTCAGTCTTGATCTTAAGCTACTACATCATAGCTATATCTAACCCATAGACCAGACGTCTAGCGCTACATATAATAGAACCCCCCACTACCTCCTTACTTACACAAGAACATAGGTACTCTTCGTCATCCCTTGCTCAGGTATATATCCTCACAACATCAGAATTCTAAGCTAGTCTAATTATGCGCAACCTCCAAGATCCTCTTCTCCATATCCTCAAACGCACCCAGCACCTTCCCATAGCTCGCGAACGCCGCGTCGCGGAACCCGTCGTCCACTTTCTGGATAGCATCCTCCTCCCGCCAGCGCTTCCCAATCAGATCGTCGAAGCTCTCGTTCTCGTCGCGCCGCTCGAGCGCCCATAGCGCTTTATACGCGCCGCCGAGCGCGCACGCGTTGCCGCCGACGTCGAGTCGGTATACCCCGTCTGCGCCGCCTAGTACGTCGCCGAATACGCGCGCGATTGCCGGGTTTAGCGATCCGCCGCCGACTAGGTAGATGCGGCGCGGTTGGGCTGGGAGTTGTGGGCGGTCTGTTGGTTTCGATACTAGATTCTGCGAGCGCAGGCGCATCGATAGAGCCTGGGACTCGACGATTATGCGGGCGTCTGCCTCGGCGCCCCAGTCTGACGTCTCCTTTAGGTCCGAGCCATCTGCGCTGTTGCAAGTGTACCGCCAGGTACCCGCCTTGATATTCGGCACGATTTCCGGTAGCGGGAAGTATAGGCCCAGCTTGGCCTTGTCGCCTTCCTTCTTGACGTCTAACGGTGGTGTCTCTAACACCTGCTTGTTGAAATTCTCCCAGGGGTCTGAGCCCGACGGTTTAGGAAGATTATCGCGGACCTTCTCGCGAGCTAGGCCACCGTTCTTGTAGCACAGCATGAACATGAAGTGTCCCTTTGTGGTGGGGTGATTCATGAAGTGATACGAGGGGTCAGGCTTATAGCTAGGGGTATTCATAAGGAACGTACTAGACGTGCCTAGCGAGACGATCGCATCATGTGGTCGCAAAGGTAACGATAAGATCGTCGCGGGATTGTCACCCGTAAAAGGCGCGATTTGGCAGTCGGGGCTGAATCCGTACCGTTTTACAAAGTACGAGGAAACGCCACCTAGGCTGCCACCGCCGTCCAGTGGTACATCACCAAGCTTCTTCCGCAGCTCGGGTACACCCTCCTTAGTTGCTGTCAACTCTAGGAGTGACTCATTCCACTTCTCGCCGGCGATATCCCATAGATTCATACCGGTAACGTCGCTTATGTCTATCGGCGCAATGGCTCCTAAAAATAAGGAGGCTAAGAATGAAGAGGCGAGCGAGATGCGAGCAGTTTTGCTGTAGACCTCAGGACGTCGCCTTCGCATTCTTAGAATTTGTGTACCCGTAAAACGCTACTCTGTATTAGTTGTGTTGATTTTCAGTAAGGTCACGAGACCACTTACATGATGAGCAGCGCTCCCTGTGGCATCGGCCAGCTTCTGCTTGGAGCCCAGGTGAACATCGAAGTGATCACATTCAGTCTGGGTGCTATGGTCTTGCCAGTTCGGCGCGAACTCGTAGGCGAAGGCATTGGACAGCTGGTCGAGTAAGGATTTCCCACTATCGAGTGTCTTTAAGGCAGACTCAGCATGTTCGCTCCAGTAGACGCTTGAATGCTGCTGACCAGAACCGCTAATGCCTTTAATATGCTCGACAGGGCAACCCTTCTCCTTCAGCCGGGTTAGAACGAGGTCTACGGCCTCAACCCACATGGCCACGGGTGCATATACTTCGCCCTCATCCTCATTTGTTTGAACGCCTTTCTTGATCTTATACTTGGCAGCAAAATCGGCGTCGAAGTCGACTTTGGCTTCGGAGATAACTTTGAGATCCGAAGCAATTACAATTGCTGTTGGTGGTCAGTGAAAAAAATAAATAAAATAAATAAAAAGAGGGTTCCTCTCTGTATAGAAATTCTAGCGCATAGTTAACAATTGCATGGACTCACCCTTTAATTGCTGGGTTGAGAGATCAAACCCGAGGTATAACGGCCCCGCGCTCATATTGCTCTGCTAGTAAATCAACGCAAGCGTATATCAGAATTAGAAACGGTAGGGATTCATAAAGTCTAAGATTTAAGCATGGGAATGACACTCTAAAACAAGGAAAGGAATCCTGGAAATATCGAACTCTAAGAGCTGTTGATGCAAGATTTACGGATCGTACGTCTAATATTATGACACCAGTGACCCAGATCTCGGTATCGCGGGGCAATGCCGCCCCTTATCAATTTAGGCTAAAACGTCATTAGCTCCAATCTTGGAAACTGATAAAGCTGCTCTAGAAGACCCGAGGGGGTGTATTGCATGGGGAACTGAGTGACCCGACCTATGCCCCACTCCCCACCCTACCTGTGCAGGGGCAGCTTGTGTGAGAGACCTGACATGACCTAACCTGTGTAAAAGTTCAGTAGACCTATGGAATAAAGTTTACCTAACCTATGGACCCTTACTATTTAGCAAATTTTTATAAGGTATATTCATCTGTATAGGTAATGACTTGGGCAATAAAATTACTATTCGGTTGTAGATCCTAGGCAATAGTAACTGAGGCATGATTCAGGCAACTAAATCTATTCAATGATTTAGGCAGTTACTGCATATATAAACATAGCTAGATCCTAATCCTGTAATCCTAAATAATCGACTTAACAACGATGTCACCACTATTCTAGGAATCACACGGTTAGCGCTCACAGAGTACTCAATGAGTACTCAGTAAGTAGTACCCGTGGACCCTTACCATATATAATAGCCGCTGTAAAGAACCAAAATAATATCGGTAAAGTGAGTACTCAGTGAGTACTTAATGAGTATTGATCAATTAGATTATAAATGGCTAAGTTGGACCATATATTTTACTAAAGTAGTAAAATATTGCTAAGTGCTTAGTTGAGTACTCAGTGAGTACTGATCAATTAGATTATAAATGGCTAAATTGGTCCATAGGTTTACTGAATTTTATTCCATAGGTCTACTGAACTTTTACACAGGTTAGGTCATGTCAGGTCTCTCACACAAACTGCCCCTGCACAGGTTAGGTGAAGTCAGGTGGGGAGCGGGGCATAGGTCGGGTCACTCATGCTCCCGTATTGCATGCATTGCATGTACGCTAGGTACCTAAGTAACTTGTTACTGTACATAGGGATTTGTACCTTTAGAGCCACGGCCTTGGCGCCGAGGTTATGATATGTGCAAACGTCTCCGAACTCGCATATGCTACAAGTCTTTCTATGTTGCTATTGCTAATGCCATGATATCTGCTATGCGTAGTAAGATAAAAGTGCAGCCAGCTTAAGGACTTATCTCTTCGAAGCTTCGCAGACATCCCCTTTCTACCTCTGCTATGTTCATCAAAATGCTATTGTTAGCAACATCGAGTGCTAAATCTTTCCGAATACCGTTCGTCCGGTGATGCGGGTCGAAGATATAGTACACCCAGGCTCTGTCAAGAGAGCCTCACCTTTTATTCCCGGGTAGTTTTGGTATCATCAAATGCCGACCATCCGAGGTGCCTAGAATGTAACCAACGCCCTAACGCCAAAAGTGATTATTCTCCTCATATAGGTTTACTTTGACTTATCGTCTCCGTTCCCATTGTGGCTGTGATTGTGATTGTGGTCGTCCTCGGGCTCTGGGCTTGATCGAGGGCTCACGTCGCCAGGGATGAATTCGTCAAACTTGGGGGTAACGCTATCCTTAGGCAGGAAACGGACGCGTACCCTGCGGACGCCTCGTACCTTGCTGCCGACCCGAGTTCTGATTTGGTTCTCCATTTCGCTAACAGCTTCTACCGTCCAGCTTCCCGGCACGGCTACCTCTAAATCCACCAGGTAGTTCTGACCAGACTTGATACCTGTGACACCGCGGAGCTCTATCTCATGCCCCTCAGGAATATCTGAGAAAGCTCTCTGGACCTGTTTTCGGACCGAAGCTTTGACTTCGTCATCAACACTCTTATCGGCCAATTCGAGAAAAGCCGCCATAGTGTTCTCAACTCCAGCCTTCACCACCATCAAGGATATCAGGAGACCCCCGACAGGATCTAACCATGCTGCATTTTCTACCAAGTTTGCACCTAAGATCACTGCCAACGTAACAATACCAGTGAGACTATCGACTCGGTGGTGGACGGCATTCGAGGCGAGGACCGATGACTTTCGTTCGCGAGCAACTTTCATAGCTATGAAGGACGATTGGTTAGTACCTATATTTACCACAGAGTTTCGGCGAATTGGTTGGAAGACTTACTTGCATGATACAACCACTCCTTAATGGCAACCGTGCCCGCAGCTAACCATGCAGCATGCAGACTGGGTATTACATCGGCACCATGTTCATGACCATGACTGTGACTGTGTGTATGCGCGTGTGCCATCAACTCTGCTGCAGAGGCCGGATCAAGGAAAAAGTGACCATAGAGCGTTAAGAGACTGCCGTAACCCATATAAAGACCTCCGAAAAGAAGCATGCTCGACACACCCAACGATCCTAAACTTTCGATCTTTCCAAACCCAGTAGGATATTTATCCGTGGGGGGTTTCAAACTCCAAGATATAGTAGCCAAAGTCAGAATATCAGATGCGAGATCTGTTAAGCTATGAATTGCATCGGCAACCATTGCTTTGGAATTAAATAAGTAACCACCAGCTCCTTTTGCAATTGCCATACCAAGATTTGAGTATAGGCCAATTCGGGTAATACGAACGCCAGCATCATTTTTATTCTGGGAAGTAAGGTAAACATTATCATGGTGATGGTGTCCGTGACTATGCTTGTGGCCGCTATGGCTACGCGTCTGAGAGAGCGTGGCCATGATGGGAAAAAGACGGGTGAATTGGCGATGAATAAATGGTGAAGAATGAGTGATAGAAAAAGATTGTACTTGTGAAGAAGGATAACAAGAAGTTTGAAAGACTCGACGTGGTTGTACCCGGTGTGGTTTATGTGTCCAATTAATGTGATTAAAAGGCTGTTGCTGACGGATAAAACTTGGGCTTAATCCGGTAGTCAATGTTGCAAGCTCAGGCCCGGCTGCGACAGCCTGGCGCAGGCTCAGGCCGCCTAGGCACGGCCAACCTTGGGGAAACATCTTAAGAGGGAAAGTACGCCGACCATGTAATAGTGTGTAATGGAGCAGGTACAAGACTTAGATCCAACAATCTGACAAGTGACGCGCGTTAATGCCTAGGACTGGCAAGTAAAAAGATTATGTATATCTAAAACATGAATCACCGTTGTACTATGTAGAAATGCTTGCGATGCGTGCGTGCGTGTTCCTTGAACTGCGACGACATCGGATGGGTCGGCGTGGGAGAACGGTGCCAATTGGAAGCCAATGAGAATCCATCTGATTTGATCTTTTTAGCTGAATTGAAAAGAAAAAAAAAGGACCCTAGACTACGTATGTATGTAGAGCTGCGTCAGCTGCTGCGGTAGCGTTCGATCAGGGAACTGGAAAAAAGCCCCTATGTAGCCGACCCCACGTCTTCAGGGGTCTTCAAACTGAAAGTCACCGTTATAGCGGTATCATACTTGCAATCGCACTCGATATAACTATATGTACCTAAGGTACACAAAAGAAGTTCTCTAATAGCGTAGCACAGCGTCTAATAAAAAGATGGCGAATGCAGCTTACTTACGGGTCGACCCGCCGTTACCTCATAAGCCAGCCAAACCTTACATTTGTAGCGGCTTACCTCATCTTTCTTGACTTCTCATGGCTCGACTTAGGTAAGATACCTAATAAATAATGACTTCACTTCACCAATATTATTATTAAAGATTTTGATAGAATGAAGAGTTACATGCCCTTGTTATACTTCTTTATATGACCAATTATAAATTAGATTTTATTACCCATCAAGTTCTTTAATTAAGTTCTTCAAATTAATTATATCTTATTGTTAATCCATCCAAATGCGCAAACCATATATGCGAATTCCGTATACGGATGTCCTAGCATCTCCCACCGTCATCCCCCAGACCGCGAATACTATTTCAGGAGCTATTGCGGCCCTGCAGGAATTCTTTGGAGCAGCATCGGCAAGAGGCTCTCCATCTACGGTGGTCCTTACAGGGGCTGGTATATCTGTAGCTAGCGGACTCGCAGATTACCGAGGACCCAATGGTACATATCGAGTAAACAAGACATATCGGCCCATCTATTACAGCGAGTTTCTCCAGAACCACGAAGCTAGGAAACGGTATTGGGCCAGGAGTTTTTTCGGCTGGACCACTCTACTGAAGGGAAAACCCAATGCTGGTCACTATGCGGTGAAACACTTAGGCGACTTGGGACTAGTTCAGAGTGTGATTACGCAAAATGTGGATTCGTTTCATCCAAAAGCTCATCCTCAACTCTCCACAATCGAGCTACATGGCTATTTAAGATCATGCGTATGTACGTCATGCCATGAAGAACTGCCGCGAGACACATTTCAGCATGAGCTAGCTAGGTTAAACCCTGCCTGGGCAGCGTTCCTACAAGAAGTCCTAGCTTCTGGTGCTTTGGATACAGAGAATCCGGATGAAAGACGAGCTAGGGGGTTGAGGACCAATCCTGACGGTGATGTTGATCTCCCAGATGCGCCATACACGACATTCCGCTACCCAGCTTGTCCGAGATGCCTTACATCTCCGCCTGCCATTGCGGATGGGGGTTGTGCGAAGGTTGAGGTTGATACGGACGGTGCATGGATGCCAACTAGCACGGCTGGAATTTTGAAACCAGCAGTCACCATGTTCGGAGAGAATATCCGCGTGCCCGTCAGGGCTGCAGCAGAGCAAGCCATTGAAAATGCTGGAAGCTTGTTGGTCTTAGGCACATCCCTGGCGACTTATTCTGCGTGGCGATTGGCTAAGAGGGCTAAGGATCGAGGCATTCCCATTGCGATCATTAACCTTGGAGGCGTCAGAGGGGAAGAAACATTCTTTGCTAACCTCAATCCGTCTCAAAAGGGAAATCAAGGAGCAAGAATAGAGTTGTCCACTGACGAGCTGTTACCTGCTCTTGTAGAGCAATTAAGACAGTCCTCCAGTATAAATGTTGCTGCAGAGGGCCATGATCATAGCCCTAAACAACATAACGCCTCGGTATTCAAAGACATGATGTCGTAATAGCACAATAGTCGTGTTGTATATATGCAACCTACAATATAACTTATAGGTTAGAAGAAACTCGAGTAGCTCCCAGTCTTCGTCTTAGGATGCTCCTTAAATTCCGCAGCGGTTGGACCACTGGACTCGGCCTTTACGGAATCTACCACGGGTTGGTTTGGCTTTTCGGGTTTCTTCGTATTCTTGAGGATATCTTCGCGTTCGATCTCTCTGAGTACTTCCTCCCACTCTTTCTCTTTCTCCGCATCGCCAGTGCCTAAGGCTTTCTGGACATCGATTTCTTCGCCTCGTTGTAGTTTCTCTACGACCTCACGTAGCAACTCAATGCGAACCTCGGACCGCCTCATGAACGTGTCGAAGTCCTTCTTTAAGGCGATCATCTGGATAGCCATGGATCCAATGAAGAGGAAGATGACAATGTAGAATGTTGCTGGATTCCATTCTTTTGACTTAGGTTTCTTAGACACACCCCAGTTCACAGATTGTTTTGAGCGTCGGAATGGTTTCGGTATCATATTCTTCCAAAATGATGGCTGCGTAATCGACGGGACCGTGCTGGCATGTCGGACGAGGCGGGGTTGATTGAGGAATATTATCTTCGTGGCTGCTGGTGGGAAGGATGCCGTGGCCTTCATAGCTTTCCGCCATATTAATTTATCCATGTTGGAGAGACGTATCGTGATGCGCGAAGAAAAAAGAAAGAAAAAAGGTTCTGATATGTGTTGAAGTAAAATCATTGAAGTACATAGTAAGGTACCATATTATCTAAGATACATTGCGATGTATCTGCAGCCCCATATCTAAAAACGCACAGACCCCTTGAAACAGATATCGGTACTTATCGTTTCGGTTGCCCGGCCAACATATTTAGGTTTATCTTTTAGTCTAAGTTTAGCTAAACAGCATCCACTCTAATATGGATTCAACATAGATTCACGCAATAAACTCCTACCTTCCTTGTATTTGCTGTGAATTGCACATCTTATCAAAGTCCATGAACTCGAGCTTACGACATTAAAAATATTCTACACATTTCACATCTCCTCCGCGTGCTTTGGCTAATCGCTTTCTTAAGTCCTTCATTCTTTTCTCCTAATGACGATATGAGTAGAAGTTGGCAAATATAGCAATTCACCCCTCATGGAATCCATACAAGCCCGCGCCGACTCTGTGCGAAATGCTGTCACATCGGTTTCGACATGTACTGCTACAATCTCAGCTACCGTCAAAGAACTTCTCCAAGATAACGACGCGAATAACGAAGCCTCAAAACCAGTCTCAAAAGCGCGGTCGACCAAATTAACAAGAGCGCCAAGTAGAACAAATACTATATCAGGAGGGCCGCGTACACAAGGCAATGGAGGATGTTTATCAGCTAAAGAAAAGGCTGTCCTGGCTACTCAGATTGTTACCGCCAGTCTCAAAGCTCTGGGAGAGGCAGCGAAATCTCCATCTAATTCAAGTCCAGATGCGCGTGAATCTACCAAGAGCGATCCTGCCAAAAGCGAAACCCGAAATGGCCTTCAGAGATCAATTTCAGCCCCCCTGAAGCCATTATCATCCCGGTCTTTGAATAGAGTTGCGACATCGCCTGCCGTTTCGAAGGCATCTCGATCACCCTTACAATCTACCTCTTCAATGGGATGTTTATCTTTAATAGAATGCGCACGCGTGGCTTTCGCAGCATTAGCAACTCTAGAGTCGTCAAAGGCTGTCCAACTTCCTGAACTGCAGCTGGAGGCGGGAATGTCATCATTTATCAGCAAACTCATCGGGCTGAATCAGTTTGATATAGCATTAAGAGAGCTTAGGGTATTAAAACGACGCTTAGGACGTGTGGACAATGAGGAAGTTAAGAACGCAGCGGCCCGTTCGAAACCGGAATCCAATATAACATCGAAAACACTTGCCGAGTTGCTGGATTTCACTATGATTGTTGCGTCTGGCCCATTACTTGGTCTGGTCATCACAACTCAACTTCAGGCTCTTCGCATCATACATGGCCTCAAAAAGTCCTCACATCTTGAGGGCATCTTACCCCTACTACGCGAGACTTGTTCTTCTTCGCCGATAAAACTACTCCTATCGTCTCTTAAGGGTGCCAACCCAGATCAGACCAAATGCGCTAGACAGCTGGAGAGTCTATCTCAAACTCTTCTTTCTTTAACGCCAAGCGTAGCGGCTAAGGATGATGACTTTGCAGTGGAGCCGAAGCTGTCCCCAAGTCCCGAGGTGGCATTAGAGGTACAAGCTCTCGGTTTGGTTACGCGTCTGCAGTCATGGAGTGTATCTGGACATAGGGGGGATGTTGATAAGGATATCATATCACCTCTCTCCAAATGCCTATCTGCTTTTGTTAGAAGAGCATCCTCCAGCCGCTTTCCAATGGCGATTACCGCTTTCTCCCAGGTCTGGAAACGTGTCGAAAAGTTAGGACTCAGGCCGACAGAATCATCTCGGTCTCCCTCAGCTACAATATACCAAGTACTCGCCACAGCGTCCCAGGAATCTGGTAATACCAACGAGGCGAAGAAGTGGTTAACAAAGGTCAAATCTTTAACCAACCCAGCCGTGGATTCCGCGGCAAGGTGTTGTGCTGTCACCGCTAGACTGTTGGCGCTCTCTCTCAAGCAGTCCTCTCAGGTTGACGAGAGTGTACTGATGGAAGTCTTGGACGGGTTACGAGGATCGCTTGGTGGTACAAGTGCGGAAATGGACGACCTTTTAGCCAGCGTGTGTCTCCTGCGGAAATCTGTGATCAACGTGATCATGGAAAAGAAAGATAACTCTACTACGATTCCGCAGAATATTAGTGAACATCTGGATACTTTCATTTTCCAACTACCTCGATTTTCTCTGAGATGGCTAGGCAAGCCACCGAGTTCGGCGAACGCCGCAAAGGACTTTATTCGGTTCGACCAACGTCGGGGGTTATTATCAACCTATTTACCTCACACCCTCGACTCAGCTCTGATGCTTTCAAAATTGCTGTTAGACAGTGGTCGACTCGCCTGGGATGTTTTGGATTCTACTCTCCAGGACAGTTTGGCCCTTCTAGAAAATATTGAAGATTTAGCTCGATTAGAAACTAAGAGCAATCCATCTCCCTCATATCATATCAAAATATCTCATTTATACTACCAACAACACCTTGCTTTACGAAAATCCATCACGAAGACGACAGAAATTACATCTCTTAAGGCGCTTCGAAAGTCTATCGATAGTGTGAAGAACCGGCCTGAAGCGGAGCAGACCCGAGCTCAACTATTAGTCAAATGGGAGAGATTTGCTGAGCTATGTAGAGCTTCAGGTAGATTAGACGATGCTACTGATGCTCTCCGCTCCATTAGAGATCATCTTGTTCGGCAAGAAGTTGTGTCAAACATTACCGCCAGCCTCGCAACAGAACCCTGGTGGATAGCGTGGAAACAGAATTCTGATGTCGAATTACTTTCAAGGACAGTCTGCAACCTTGCTAAACTTGACCGGAAACACAACGATTGGACTTGGTTGCTTGTTGGGCCGGATAAAGCTACTGCTCTTGAGCATGATCTCTACGCCATCGTTTGTAAAGATCAGAAGTTCCGCTACGAATCGGATTTATCAAGTCCTATGATAAAGACTTTATTAGAGTTTTACTCTGTTGAAAGGCACCCAATCCGCAGGTTGAGAACCCTGCTGCAGCTTCTCACTATCCACATGGGCTCACAAGATGGGCTTGCCGACTTGCGGGCCGAGGTGGAAGGGGTTCTCAAACCGATCAGTGAAGAAGCCCTAGCGGATGATTCTGGCCTAGTTCGCTACATCCCGCATCTACAAGCATCAGCAGCGTGCATATTAGGGTTGATCGACTCGAACATAGATTCACCACAAATTAAAGAAGCCTTAGTTAGATGGAAGCACATCGTCTCCCAATGTCAATCCACTGAGCAGCTATTGGCCCACATCGATAATCCATCTCAGCTACTCACAAACCTGCAGTCTCTTGTCGATTTCGCCAGAATCAAGGGTCTAGAAACCCTACAAACAGAGATCCTCGAACTCTCGATGAGCCTCTCTAAGCTTTCGGGAGATTGTAATCTTGAAGCATCAATAAGTCAGGGCATTACACTCTGTCTACAACATTTGAGCCATGGCTGGTCATCCAAAGCTGAGAAGTTTTTGATAGACAACCAAGAAGTAATTTCTCAACCAGACATCGCCAGAGAGCTTATTGTGAGGTTTCACTTATCTGCTGCCGAGTATCACCTCTCCTTGGGAGCTCTTGACAAGGCTGAACAGCATTTGAGTAATGCTCGAAATGCTGAGATGGGCTTGTCATCCGAGCTAGAACCAAGGAAAGGGAAGAGCTCCAATCGAAGAATCACAACAGCATACGCGTATTTCCTATACTCAAATCTCGAGCTCGAGCGTGGCGACTGTTATCACGCACTTCGCTTCGCCAAAACCGCTGTCAGGAAATTGTTCCATGATTGGTCCAGACTAGATGAGATGAGATCCGCCGCCCACGATATTTCCATAGAAGAGTCCTCGCAATCAGATGCTTCAGATAAGGATACGAGCCTCAATAATTCCTATATAGAGCGTTCCGATCTACCCCGTGCGAGCGCTGGCCCAGAGTTTTGGGCACTAGCTTACCAGCTGTTTCGGTTTCTTCTACAATTGTCTTCTACCTACTCACACGTCGGTATGTATCAGGAAACACTATATTATGCCGAACAAGCACATAAAGTAGCGAAGAGCATGGAGTCAGCAGTGTACATGTCTCAATCTCTTGCATGGTTAGCACGGGTGTGGCTCATGGCTGGTAAGCTGGAGAAGGCAGTAGAGCTGGCAGCTGAAATCAAGCCTATAACTCTAGGCTTAGAGCCCACCTATCAGAACGCGAAAGTGCTGTGTCGTCTGAGTTCGGTATATGGAGAAATTAACGATGAAGAGGCGCAAGAGGAAGTAATAGGCAGGGCAGAGTCCATGCTCAAGATCTTGAATAGCGCCCACGATGCGAATAGTTCAGTTGCGGATGTATTAGAATCAGACATGGCAGGGCTAAGGGTCGAAGAAAAGCCAGTTGTTAAAGCTGTAGGACGCCGCACTGCAGTAGCGAAAAGACCAAGAGCTCCAACCAAGAGTATCTCGAAGAAGCCGCCGCCGAAAAAGGAGATTCCCCTACCCGAAGTCCCGGTACAAGTTAAACCCGAAGAAACCCAATTATCCTTCTTACGCGCCTCGATCCTCCAGATTCAATCGACCCGTCTCCTTGATGCTAGTGATTGGGCGGCAGCGGTGACCACCCTCCGAACAGCATATGAGCTTTCCAAGTTGCCCACAGACGTGTCACAAGCCAGCTTCTTAATGGGCGTGGCCTTGATTGGGCAGAGTCTAGAACAGATAAGCCACGACGCTGTATTTTCCGTCATCCAGGATTCAACTCTTTCATTCCCTTCAGTAGCGGGATCTTTTAAGGAAAGGATCGCATCTGATCGGCTATCCTTAGCAAAACCAGTGGCTCCTCGCAAAGGTCGTGGGCCATCGAAGAATGCTCAGAACACGCGGTCTTTTGTCGAGAAACTACGCGAAGCACAAGGACACTTGCTAGCGGCGCATTCTATTGCGAGTCTTAATGGCGATGGCGACTTGGTTCATCGTATTGCCACTGTCCTACAAAATGTGGTCATCCTTTTGTCGAATACGAATTCATCCACACCGGCGGCGAGCCATCCTGCTCATGCCACTTGCTCCGTTGAACTGGCGCGCAATCTGACCTGGCGCCGCGAGCGCAAGACACTTCACCTAGAAGCCGCAAAAGAACCAAAGTTGGATTGGCCTGTACTTACCGATAATACCTATGATAGACGTACCAGCCTTGGGCTTTCCCTAGATATGGATTGTTTCCAGAGAGATTATGTCGATATTATCCCCAAATCTTGGAACGTCGTATCAGTATCACTAAGCGACAATGAGCACGATCTATGCGTCACTAAGCTCCAACCAGGCCACAGTCCATTCGGAATTCGGCTTCCGCTTGAGAGGGCGAGCTCCAGGGATGCAGACTCTGAGGTGTTCAGCTTCCGCCAAGGACGAACAGAGTTGCTCGAGATTATACAGATGGCTAATCGCACCTGTCATGATGCGCGGGATATGAGCCAGAAAGGTGCAAAGTCCGCGTGGTGGGCTGAACGGGAACAACTCGACGAACGCTTGAAAAATCTTATGGACTGCATCGAACAGTCATGGCTCGGAGGGTTTAAAGGCATATTTTCGCATCATCGGAGACAAGAAGATCCAATTGTTCAGTTTCAGACGAGCTTTCAGAGTATTCTCGACAAAAATCTCCCCTCGAGGCGCAAAGTCCGCGGCAAAAAGACGAAAGCAGCTCCTGCAACCCAGGTCAACCTTGATCCTAGGATATATGAGTTATTTATCGGCTTGGGAGACCCAACAGCTCGCGAGGGCGATTTAGACGACGCTTTAACAGACTTGCTATACTTTGTTGTCGATATCCTCCAATTCCATGGCGAGAGGAATGCTTACGATGAAGTCAACTTTGACGACATGGTGGTGGAGACCTACGACGCTTTACATGCGTATTACGTTGCTGCTAAGAGTGCTAAGGACGCGGACGAAGCTGTACATACGATTTTGATCCTCGATAAGTCCTTACATGCATTCCCCTGGGAGTCCCTGCCTTGTCTGCAGGGCTTGGCCGTATCTCGCGTTCCTTCGCTCGACTGCCTGCGAAGGTTGATTTTGGAGGCCAAACCTGGTAACCCAGATGCCGTCGACGAAGACGACCAAACCGGCAGTTTCAGTCGACGACAGGGTCACTACGCATCAATTAACTCAGGCACGTACATCTTGAACCCTGGCTCCGACCTCAAGAACACTCAAGCTACCTTCGGCAACGCATTATCCACCCTTCCCCCGGCGTGGAATAGCATTGAGATGCAGGAACCGACAGAAGCCGAATTCGAGTCGGCCCTCGCTGACAAGGATTTATTACTGTACTTTGGTCACGGCAGCGGCGCCCAGTACATTCGCGGCCGTACGATTCGTAAGATGGATAAGTGTCAAGCGGTAGCACTGCTCATGGGCTGTAGCTCGGCATCGCTCGCGGACGTGGGTCGCTTCGAGTGCCACGGCCCCGTATGGAACTATATGCTGGCCGGGTGTCCCGCCGTCGTGGGCACTCTCTGGGACGTGACGGACCGCGATATCGACCGCTTCGCCGGACGGGTGTTCGAGGAGTGGGGGCTCATGCCTAAGGGCACGTTTGCGGAAGACGCGGGCTCGAGCGCGAAGGGAAAGAAGGTCGCGAGAGGAAATAAAGGGGGCACGGAGAAAAAGAAGGCGACGACTGGAGAAGATAGGGGTAATGCGAGCCTTGTCGAGGCTGTCGCGAAGGCACGGGATGCGTGTCGCTTTAGATACCTGACGGCGGCGGCGGTGTGCGTCTACGGTATTCCGGTATATATTAGCGATCAGTGAGCCGAGGCTACCTATATCCTATCCTAATAGCAAATGTAGGGGGAGGGGAAGGGAAGGTGACTAGAGCAGATTTCGCTCGAGGAGTCGGGGTCAGGTAGGCGGCATAATGCGGCGTTCGGAGGTCGATAAATTAGAGCTCTAGATACCTTTGTTGTTGTCGTTGTTGTACATTGGATCACTAGGCGTTGGGGCTAGGATACTCTACTTGCTTTCAGAGTACGTAATGTTAAGATAATGATTCCCAGAGTGATGGCTTGGGTACCAGCGGTGATTATGATGTTTCGTCTTGTTCTGTAGATCATACGGAGATGTGTTCGAATTATGGTTATGGAGAGCGCTCCGGAAGGGGATCTAGAACATCCTGTTTTCTTCAGCGGCACTTTTGGACGAACTTGCACTATTAGATGGGATTTCTCTAGACTGTTTCTTGCACATACGAATAGAGATGAATAATACTAATAATAATCATAATAGATTTAAAATTAACCTATGTCAAAGTTGGTGCTATGGAGGTTGAGTCTTGCTTTGGCGGGCCTATCTATTCGCTTGTGTATTAGAGAATCTAGTTACGTATTAGACTAGGTTAGGTACCTAAGCTAGACTTTCCATCTAAGGGAATAATTATGTAGGGAGAGTAGTAAAAGTAGTAGTACCAACGGACCGCCAGCGCCTCTCCTATATTCTAACTATTATAAGGTAAATAGATAGTGTTAGTAGAGAAAGCGAGTCTAAATTGCCCGGTCTCCTTTCCTTATCTTTACGAGCCATGATCTCGATCTTCAAGTCTTACTTAGAAGTATACTAAGTTACGTTGGGACCGTTGGCACGCGTTTCTGAGCGGTACATAACGGTACATATGCCGTCGTTGTTATAGGGCTCGGGGCTGCTACAAGAGGGAGTTCGTTACTTACCTGTTATTGAACCCATTACGCGTTCTACCTACCTACGCATCGACGACACGTATACCGCAGTATAAGAGCGTTGAGATCCGTGTAATCCCATTATTGGAGCCTAGGCCCGTCCGCGCTGTAGATGCAGGAGGCTATCGTGATACACGTGGCGAATGTCTGGCTGGTAATGGGCCGATGGAAAGAGGGGAGGGATGAGCAGGTCAAGATTGCTACTACGGCCCTCGTTTAGAGCTTAGTTGGGATATTGAAGGGCAGACAGAGACCACTGTTCGTAATATAGTCGTCATTATGGGTCTGCGTGCGAGCGTATGCTGCTGTGTAAGAATTCAATAGTGCTTGTCCAGTCATTTACGTCGTGATCCTGTCGAGTACTGCGAGATCTAGGTCAGGTAAGCCCGAGGGCAACACGAGATGCTTCGAGGTCTAATTTTCTACGCCTGTCCTTCTTTGCTCAGTTCGAGGTGATATGCTCTAGAGTTCTAGCCCTGGTTCGGATGCATCATCTCTGTTGCTGGACGGTGGATGGTTCGGTTGGTGAGGAGTAGTAACACCGCTCTTAGAGCTTCTCTATCAGTCGTGGATGTAAACGGTTGTGCTCGGTCGCACAACTACCATGTCACAGCATAGCCGTCGAGTAACTCCCTCCTTACCTGCATACAGTAGTCAGTGCTATGTATATCTATTCACCCTGGGTTCTGCTTAAATTACTTGAAGAAAGTCGAGATGAGTGAAAATTTAATCGTACGTGGGCGCCCTTCATTTTCGGTACGGCAAGGGCTTGTATCAAAACCCGCCCGGCTACCTCCTAGAGTCGGATATTCTTCTCTACGCCAGCGAGGCACAGTCGGCCAGGAAAGGCACGGGCTCAAGGAGGGTAGACAAAATGTACCACAGAGATCGCCTCGTAGCCTGGTGCAGATCTTGAGGGTCCACGTCGCATTAGGTTAATCGCGAATGTACAAGGAGGAAATAAGGTAGTAGAAAATTAAGATACAACATAAATCTTTTTTTTTTCCTTTGTGGAGATGTGTTGCATACTTTACCGTCCGACCCCTTTCCTTCCTCTACCTGGAGAATCTTGGTAGTCCGGGGAAAGCAAGGCGTTGCGTGATTTGGTCGATCTTTCGACGAAGAATACATTATATGACTGTTATTATAGATAAATAGGTGCTATAGTCGTTATGGGACTGCATCTATATCGTGTGGTATTTTAGTCTGCGACACGAGTATGACACATGAGATTCTACATGCAATAACATGATATAAACCGCTTATTCTTTATCAGAGTAGCCGGAAGTTATGCTGCTTCCGACGTTGGCCAGCTTAGTACATATCTCAAAGGCGAATAGCTTTCCGTCTCTAGGTTGGTGGAAGTTGGAGGAGTTCCGATACGGAGTAATATATCCCCATGGGGAAGCATCGCATACAACCCAAGTTCGATATAATGTAGGTAGGGTACCTTAACGACGTATCACTTAGGGTGGATAGTATAAGTCTTTCGAGTCACGCAAGAGACTTAGGTAATGCCCTCCTGCTGAATTGGGGGCCTTCGCGGTTGTCCATCCGCCTTCAACAGCAAGGCTGGGGCGCCTGAAAATGCAGGTCGCGCAACGGAACCAAAATAGTAGACCGCTAGCATCGCCAAGCATACTGGGGCTTTAATTTTCCCATCATATCCAATTCGCTACCGAGGTTCGCATCCGCAATATGTTGAGACGTCGGGAATTTCGAAGTATTCCATGACCATTCTGCGCAGCTGAATGGGGGGGAACGGCGGCAAAATACGTATCGCCCACATTAAGCGGAATATACAGGGGTCACCTCCCCTATTCAAGCCATAGCTGGAGTCGCTTCTTCTCGAAAGGACCGAGTTCATGTATGTATGATGATGTCTCGGCCGCATCCTTTCTTTTCTCTTTCCATCTTATTTTACCTTCTTCTCATCCTTTTCGGCTGCCTTCATTACGGTAGATAGCTGTGCCACGAGACCATCTGTAACGTCGGTTCGTGGATAAGTCTCGGCATCAAGACGAGAGATACATGATGCAGTGAGACCTTACCACAAGGCGCATCTCGCCTCGCTCTAGGACACGTCAGGAGCTTAATCATCGAGACTCCAAGCTCCATACGCGTCCGTATACAAGAGCCCAAAGTAGAATGTCAGTAGAAATATATAGTATATGTAGTTTCATTAGCGCGGGGGTAATTGTTAACGAACTAAGGTGAGTGGATCTATCATTGGAGTTGAACGATTGAATGCCCAACGAGGTACGTTGCTGGCTTCCGGATCCGGAGCTCCAGGTAGCATGTGTCAAGGGGACCTTTAAACAACATGATTGTAGCTTTGTATTCTATTTTGTAAGATCAAGGGAGATTCTAGCTGTCTGGTAGGACGGAGCTGGCAGGGATGGATTGTTTGAATGTATGATATGTGAAGAAGGAGAGGCCGAAATCGCCACCCCTGAATTGGACATAGATTTCCGGCGGGTCTGGGAGTGGCCAAGCTAAGTTAAGAAGATGTATGGTGACATTCCGAGATATACATGGTGCCGCCCCCGTGCTAAGAGAGGCCCGTTGATACAGCTGATCGACATGCAAGCAAGTTGGCGCGCTAGTGTTTGGTTATGAGAGGAATAAAGTCGCTCGGGACTTGCTCGCTCTGGCGGATGCAACCCTATTCTTTTTGCTGGGGTTAATATGAAGCGCGACTATCTGTCATGCGGCTTTGCGTAACCTTTCGTGCAGATAAGCCATGATGCAGATTTTGTCCGGAAATTACTCTAGATGAGCGAAACGAGGGTTAACACGATGGGCAAGACTATCGGAAGGTAGCTCTCCAAGTAGGAAGTGATGCAAGTTTCGGCTTCGTTAAAGTTTCTGTCCATGGGGCGGCGATAGAAGCAGTTACTTATGTCAGCCTCATAAACCCGTTTCCGCTCCATTCCCGTTTGTCGTATAGGATGAGTCTATAGCTAAGCGGGGTCTCATATAGGTATGCACGCATAAAATCAAAGAGGATGTCTTTAAAACAACCATCCTTCAAAGAGGATGAATTCTCCATTACGCCGGATAGCTGGTTTCATCTATGAAATACATAGTAATAGGCTTTTATAATCTCTTGGTTAGGCTACTACTATGTTAGTCGTCATGATTTTATGTCAGAGTATTGCTTATCAACCTATCTGAGTCTTTGAGCAACAACGGAGACCTGGACGATCTGTCGAAGGGCATGTTGCTTCGATAGTCGACTAATACCTTGTTTCTAGGGTCTCTATGGCTATGACCTATTGATCCGTAGGTAAGACGAGTGCGCTAGGAGATCTTCGGGAGCTCCCAACGACCCGATCCAAGGTAAGAGTGTCACCTTCATTGATGATATTCACTTGTTGATATCATCTATGTGATCATATATGGGTTAAAGAGAGGATAAGGAGGGGTAGTTGTAAAGGTTAAAATCTAATATATTCGCCAAAGCATAACAAGTACTTTTGCAGGGATGAGGTATGAAGTATGGTTGTTTTCTTCATGCAATTGGAGAAGAAGAAAAAAAAGATAGAACTTCCCGGCCGAAAAATGCGCGACGCTGCACGCAAGCGCAGGCAGGAACGTTGACTCGTGGGCAACTGCAATTGACGGCCGGCCATTTTTTTGATGTTTTATGGCCGAGAGCAAGTACTAGGTATAGTACATAACCAATTAGAATTAATAGAATTCCAAGGTCTTGCCCCCACTATTTCTTTCTTGATCCCTGAATTTTCCCAAGGTTCCTAAGCCCCACTGCAGACAAGCTTAGCCAAGTATAGCAATATACTAACCAAATACTAATCAATGTCATGGATTAAAATGTCCGATTGACTTTGTAGCGGGTAAAAGACCCTATATGATCTTTTCAAACTTGACATCACGTCTATCATGATGTGGACAATACAACAATACGTCGAGAATAACGATTGATTTCTCCAAATCTGTACCTATCCAGCTATCCCACAGTAACACATCCATCATGCATCCAGCAATAAATAACGCGTTCTTACCCTGAGGATGCAGCAGCAACTAAGAGAGCTCGCACCGACAATCCTGCAAGTCGTGCGTGCTGACCTGGCTTAGAAATCCTGGCAAGCCAACAGGGACCCTTAACGGTGCCAAGACTGAATTTGGTCCCCACACTCTAATGATACCCCGGAGGCTCCAAGCTGTAGTGTAGGTATATAGTGGAGAGTACTCTTAAGCCCCACTATTATTTATCAATCGGATGGGTCGGTCTATTTTCACACTTGCGAACCAATCCATTCAACATCGTTTGGGAATGCCTTAAACAGCTCATCAATCTCGTTTCTCAAATATCATATCGAACGGAGGGAATGAACTTCACTCTATAGGAAGAATCGAAAGCGAGTGCCAATGCGGCGTGACGACATGGATATGGATGTAGATCCAGTTAGTACTAGGTACATACTGTAATTGCAACGAAGTCGAGTGATTCTTCCCTTTGCCTTCGGTCACATTGGAATCGCCGGACGAGTATTGTGATTGTGATGGTGCTGTTCATATCTCCTCGCCAAGAAGTTGCTTGGTAACTTTGAAGTGGCACGAGACCGTTTGAAGCTATAGGTAAGGAAAGACTAAGCAGGTCTGATCTAGTGTATCTAGTGTAAAGTCGAACAGCATTGAGGAAATACCCAGCTTTGAATCGCTTGTTACTGCTGTCTTGGACTATTAATCGAAGGCGCTACGCTACTATGTATGGCTTCGTATGTGGATATGGCGAATGTTGGCATATGTACAAAGTAGTCTGATCTGCAGACCAGACCTACTTTCTGGTGCACCTGTAGCTGAGACACGAGGCATTGATAAACGAGTTCTTCTATGTACAGCTGGGAGTAACTAAAGTAACTAACACCAACATGGCGCCTCGTGGATTGCATAGAGAGCCGGGCCGCGGGCTCCACTTGAACCTAAACCCTAGTTATATTTAGAGGGTGAATAAGCCAATACCAATTATTACATGTACCTATTCGTGCTAGTAGTCGGTATATCGGACGGGGTAAACTCGGCATCATAGGCTAACATACGTCTACAATTAGACGTCTATTCGATTTGAAATAGGCTGTGCTTTAGTAAGTCACGCACGCATGAATGTTAAGCTATTCAATTGCTGAAACTCTTCTTCTCTATTTATCGACACCAAAAAGGTAGTTGAGGTAGTAGAGTATATACTAGTATCTACATACGTGTGTTAATGTATAAGGTAGTTATCTTCACCAAAGACCCACTTTATGTTAGTCGTGTTCAACAGATCCTCAGCAGGGCTTAGTGGCTGGCTGAACAGGCTAGGCAAGACAGGTACTCTACTGTTGGCATTGGCCAGAAGAGTCTGGTTTATCATTTATCATTGATGGATGGAGGCCAGGGTCCTTAGGATAAACTGACCGCTGTTCGCCAATAGGAGGACTCGTAATGTCTTTCTATCTACTATTACATGTTGGTATTAATGTATTTACAACGTCAAGTGATAATCAGTATAGTATCTAGCATACCTAAGCTATTGCTAAAGTCCTACTTTTCGACCAATCTTGGCCCAACTCTTCCTCCGTGTTCTTGAGCACTGTGCGGACCTTTAGTCCGTTTCTGAGAATAGACGCGTGTCTTAGCCGTGTGCGATTACATCCATATACTGTGCATACATCTCTTAACGGACTTGGAGGTACGAGCTGCTGTACCATGTACGTTCCGCATATGTACGTACACAAACCCATGACATTTTAAAGGTTCCACCCACATTTAGTGCTCCATCAGCTTAAACCGCACTGGTTAGCTTCATTACCCCACAATGCTAGCCCGAGCACGCATGGAGACCCACATATGAAGACCCACACAAGGTTTGCAAGGAGAGCGGTTTCCAATCTCTCAATCGAGTGAATCTGCAGTTCTTCTTTTCTGATGACAAGACGTTTATCTAACCGGTTGCGCACCCCCGTTACACTACCTAACTTAACCTACAATCTTCCCAGCGCCACTCTACTCGTTGTCGTATGTAGACGAACTAACCTCCCCTTTCCATCTACTCGGAGGTTTCCTCCTTCGCATTGCTTTTTTCCTGTTTGTCATGATACATTCTCGCACGGCGCTGGCGTTCCTGTACTCTGATACCCGGGCCCGTTGAGGGCGACGTTGAAATATCCGGTCGCGCGGGGCCGAGAGCCTCTTGTTACTTGCATTGAGCCCTCGTAGTAAGAAAAATAAAGAAAAGGAAAATATTAGAAACGAATTCTTCGACTGTTGAAAGTAACGTTGGGCGTCGTTGATCTTTCCCTCTTTTCACGGTCGTGAAGGGCCATCTAGCCCCCGAAATGTCACCTAGTCAATCTCACCTTGATGCTCAGTCCTTCCCATCTGGGAATATCGATGGCTCACAGCCCGTTGTTAAATCGGAACCCCAGCTTAACTCGATTGAACCGGCCGACCTTAATGGCTTTTCCTTAGATAACCACCACGATGGCCTTTCGAGTGACACCAACTCGCACGGTCTGATCGACACTTCTCAATTTTCAGATTTCCATTTCCCGTTCCAAGATATCCCCGAGGCCGGCCAGATGATCTCATTGGAAGACCACTCGAACGACTTGTTCGCTACGCCCGGACACGGCTCGATCTCATCAATTGGCGAGCGGAAGGACTCAACCGCTTCAGGCCCTCATAGTACCACTTATACCATGGTTGACCCTTCACAGCATAATAGACGGCGCAGCATGGACGGGTCTGATGATGGAAGCCAGGAAAGCGTCCATGTTGGCACCAATTCTTTGGAAGACAATATGTCGGATGAGTTCGGGTTAGCGACGGGTGGGCCTGGCGACGGTACCGATTTGGGAGGGAAGCTGAAGGAAAACAAATCCGATCCCGCACCAGCTTGGAGCGAACTAAAGACGAAGGCAGGGAAGGAGAGAAAAAGATTACCCCTGGCATGTATTGCATGCCGGAGAAAAAAGATACGTTGTTCGGGAGAGAAGCCGGCTTGTAAGCATTGTCTTCGGTCCCGGATCCCTTGTGTGTACAAGGTCACTACGCGGAAGGCGGCCCCGAGGACCGACTACATGGCTATGTTAGACAAACGACTAAAGAGGATGGAGGACCGGATTATCAAGCTTGTACCTAAATCAGAGCAGGACACATCCACCAATAACGTTGTCCGGGGCGTGGTAAAACCCGCTATCCCCGGAACCCTTCCCACAGGGAAGCAAGCAACAAAGAAGCGAGGCGCAGAGGAGGCATTTGGTGCGGAACTCGATCATTGGGCTAGAAATGGCCCTAAGACTAGGCTGGAGGGTTCCAGTAAGCCCACGTCGTTGCAAGTGCAAGAAGCAGAGGAAAGCAAACTGCTATACGAAGGCGCTGAGGCTTTACCACCGAAAGATCTACAGGAACATCTCGCAGACGTATACTTCGAAAATATTTATGGCCAAGCATACCACCTCCTCCACAAACCAAGCTTCATGAGAAAACTTAAGTACGTCTTTTAATTATCCCTGGTATCGTAACTAACACTAATTACTATCAACAGAGCTGGAACCTTACCTCCAGTTCTAGTGCTTTCCGTTTGTGCAATTTCCGCCCGCTTTTCGACTCACCCAAAGTTCGCGATAACGAACAATTTTCTCCGAGGAGAAGAATGGGCAGCTCCAGCTCGAGATATCGTAACGAGGCGCTACGAATGGCCCAATATTACGATTCTAACATGTCTACTGCTGCTCGGCTTGCACGAATTTGGTACGTGTCACGGAGGTAGGAGTTGGGCGTTGGGTGGTCAGGCCACTCGAATGGCGTTTGCATTACAATTGCATAAGGACTTGGAGTATGATCCCATGCGGCTGAATCCGACGAAGCAGCTTAGCTTCATCGATCGCGAAATTCGAAGGCGAACGATGTGGGCTTGTTTCCTGATGGATCGTTTCAATTCTTCGGGAACGGATCGCCCTATGTTCATAAAAGAAGAAACGGTCAAGATCCAATTACCAATTAAAGAAAAACTCTTCCAACTTGATATGCCAGGACCTACTGAAGATCTGCAAGGACAAGTTCCTCACCCGGTACCGATGGATGAGGGACAGCTCTCCGATGCGAAAGATAACATGGGCGTGGCAGCATACATGGTTCGCGCCATTGCCCTATGGGGGAGAATAATAAATTTCTTAAACCAAGGGGGAATGGACTCAGACGAGCATTCGATGTGGGAGGGTGACTCCGAATATGCCGTGCTGCTTAAACAAGCAGAAGATTTTGCTGAAAACCTACCAGATGGATTGAAATATAGTGCCGAGAACCTCCATCTGCACCAAACAGAAGGGATGGCCAATCAGTTTTTATTTTTACATATCTCGATCCAGCAAAATGTCCTATTCATGAACCGATTCGCGGTGTCTTCGCCAGCCGGGTTATCGAAAGCAGACGTCCCTAATACCTTCATTACACAGACGGGATCAAAAGCGTTTGCTGCTGCTAATAGAATATCCGAGCTGCTGAAGGATGCGGAGCACTACATGATCGCGGCGCCTTTCGTCGGCTACTGCGCATTCCTGTCGAGTACCGTTCATATATTCGGAATTTTCTCGGGCAACTCTACCGTAGAGACAGCCGCAAAGAAGAACCTGGCTATAAATGTTAAGTTCCTCTCGAAGATGAAGCGTTATTGGGGCATGTTCCACTTTATGGCAGAGAATCTACGCGAGCAGTATAAGACATGCGCTGATGCTGCGCGCCAAGGTACTCCGGCGGGCGATAACTCAGCAGCCTCGCCTATATTCCAGTATGGAGATTGGTTCGATCGGTACCCACACGGCGTGTCGCAGCCAGAATTCGTTGAACCGGCTTCCTTCAAAAAGAAGGAAACTGGCGAGGATGCAGTGCTCGAGCAGAAACCAGAACTTCACACGGTTGAAGAATTCTTCACGCAGCTCTCACCGCCGCAAAGTACGGGCGAGGGACGTGAGAATGCTGGATCTAGCAGACCACCTTTAATGAAACGGAAGTCGATAGCAAAGAAGGGCAGCATCTCTTCGCGTGGTGAACAGCAACAACTGGAACCCCTTCTTACCGATCTCAACGGCGCTAGTATACCCGAACAAATCCAGCGCATCCAGCATGCGCAACAGCAGAGAGCGCAGGCACAACGCAACTATTCTCGTCTAGGCGGGCAAACTAGTGGGCCGACCTCTTTCAACTCTAACCTCGCACACGCACGCTTACAAAATGCAGCAGCGAACTACCACGCCCTATCGCCGATTAGCCCTGTCACCGTTGGCGGGTTCCAGCACGGCCACGGACACGGACACCAACATCCCGCCTTCTATAACCAGGACTTACTTTCGCTGTCCCTCTCAAACAATGCTGCGGGAATACTGCCGCAGCTGGATCGCCAGCTCGTATTCAACGCATATGGCAACTTAGATCCTTCAACGATTAGCGGTCCTGAGGCTATTATGGACTGGGACGCGTTGGCTGGTAACGGAAGTAACTCAAGTAGAGGACATAACGCGAACGGATCCAATGCTGGCTCTGGTGACGGGCCAAGTAATCATCATGATAGCTTGCCTGGCGGGTTTGTTTCCGAACCATCTTCTGCATGGTTTATGCCATTCAACATGGAGCCGCCAGAACTGGGCCAAGATCTAGGCGGTATGGGCGGTGTTGATGGGTTTGGGCTCTTCAGCCCTGGCGTGCATACTCCCGGTGCTGGATTAGGCCTCCGGAGGGGGGGCCGATAAGACGATCGAGTTACTTCGATGTCGCTCGTTTGACTTTGTCCTGTACCGGATAAACTATCTTTGTGAGATTTGACACCGTGTCATGATGTGTCACTATACGAAATAACTGTTTTGGTTATTTGGTTGAGACATACTTGCCTACTCACTTACATCGTTGTAGTATATACCCTTACGTTTGGAGGGAGAGAAGAAGTGATAGGGAGGTACCGGCGACTTCATGCCCCTTCAACGGATGACGCATACGTATCTTTTTTGTACATTTTAGAATACATCTGAAGGACTAGGGCATGTCCTTTTGAGCGAATGGGTTCTTGTAAAGGATTGGGTCCAAACGGTGTAACGGAGTTGAACTTGAGGGTTTTCTCCGGAGGGTTGGCTGGAAAGGGTCCTCCTAAAAATTTAAGAAGCGCTAGCCTACATCGTTTTTTTATGGCCTGCTAGCTTTGCGCTCGCTGTTGTTTATATCTGTTTATACTTATGTTACGAGAAGGATATCCGGAGGAAAAGATAGGGCCAGCCCGGGAATTTTGAAATGCCCATGCGAGAGAAAAATTCTCTTTCTGTGATTACACCTGTTTGTCATGTATGTAGCCGGAGCCTATAGCCAGAATGCGGGCACGCGCTGTTGTCGTTCGAGATGAATATGATACCACCTGATATAGCATGACGGGAGAGATCTTGGGACGGCATTTTTTGGCGCGAACGAGGGAGAAGACAGAGAAATCGAAAATCAAGAATAAGAAGAGAAAACTATTGTTTCCTAGGTCCTAGGTAATGACAACTACTTTATGTATTCAAACACAACTAAAATCATTCCTCTCCCCCCCACGTTTAGAACAAAAAAAAAACGTGAGAGATCCTCGTAGCTTTATATACCTGTAACGTACAAAACCTATCCTTGCCGGGTCGGGGTCCTGCGCCATGTAAGTGGTACGATGCCTGGAACCCCATCGGGCCACAATGGACATGGCAACTAAACCCAGCGGAGCAAAAGCGCCAGCAGATCCCGCTTAGCTCGGGATGCGGGAACGGGACTTGCATGAGAGGATCCTGACACCCCCTAGCAGCATGCGAGATCGAGATGAGCTTTTGGCTTTTGCCTTTTTTTTGCTTCGCGCGACAAATTAAGATCTAGGGTATCATCAATCTATCTACCGAGATGCTCTGCCGAAGAGAACGACCAAAGAAAATAAAATTTTGGCTGATCGGGGTGGGTGCATCTACGCCGCAGCCACCGCCACCGCTTCGTCTTCTTCTCCATGCTTCGCGCTCTTCTTGGCCCTAGACCGCTTGCGCTTTTTCTTGGAACCGCCCTCAATTATATTACCAGTTCCGGGTTCCACCTCAAATTTCGGCTTCCCATCATCTTCCACGAAAGCGCCGGGATTGAAGGCCGGAGGCTCCCTCTCAAACTCGGGGCCGAAAGTTTCCTTGCGCCATTGCCTTAGACGAGCTTTCTTGCCGAGTCGTTTGCGGTCTTTACTCTGCTTGTCCTGCGGTCGGAAGTGCGCTAGCTTTTTCAGGCCGGCGAATTCGTTGAGATCGGCGTCGGACGCCATGAGGATATCGCGCGTAGTGAGGCCGAAGGATTCAGGCCGCGTCTCGCGGTAAGAGAAACGCGCCGGTCCGTTATCTCTCGACGAGCTGCCGGCGAGGATCTCGGGGTCGTCAATTTCCATCTTCGCATCGACGAACGCCTCGAGCTTAGCTCGCTCTTGTCGTACTTCTTTCTGGCTTTCGAGCTTTTCTCGCTTGCGTTGTTTGGTAGTCTTCTGTCGCTTAGCTGAAGGTGCATCTTCGTCTTCCTCTTCCTCGTCGTGTTCAATATCAGTAAGAGTAATATTAGGGCGCTCCTCATCATCGAAATCTGGAATGAGATCCTTGATGTCGACATCGTCGTCCCATTTAGGCTTTTTTATCTTCTTTGACTTATTGTCATCGACTTCATCATCGTCCTCATCGCTAGACGCATTCTCCTCGGCTGCGGCATAATACTGGTCGTCGAACGTCTTCTTCAGTTGTTCTTCCCATTTGTCGTCTTCCCAAGCATCTTCAAGTAGCTTCTGCCATTCCTCGTCCTTTAATGTCTTGCCGGATAGGCCTGCAGCCTTCTTGATCTTCTTTAATTTTTCCTCGGCTTCGTCAAGTTTAAGGCGACGTAACCGTGCTCTTTCTTCTTTCCTTTTTTGTTTCTCTTCTTCCTTCTTCTCGCGCTCCATTTCTCGTTGACGCTTGCGCATGCTCTTGTCTTCTCGTCGGACTGAGCGCGCTGCAACGACATCACGAGCATATGACTTCAAGACCTCATTGCTCTTGTTAGGATCTTCGAAGCGCAGATTATACGCGGCTTCCCACTCATCTGCCTTGTCGTCTTCGCCGTCGTCGGACTCGAATGCCTTCCAATTATTCTCGTCTTCTTCAACCCAAGCGCGGGCGGCCATGAAATTTGATAGGAAAAGCTCCGGGTTCTTGTCTGCATCTGAAAGCTCAGGCTTTGGAGCCTTGATCTTGCTAGCCCTGGACGGATGGATGCCCTGCTCGGGAACAGATCCAGTCCCTTCTTTAGCTTTGATGAAATCCTCGTCGCTGTCGCTATCTTCAGCATCATCTTCGGCGCCTAGTTGCGCTTTGATTTCATCCTTGATAGACTGCTTCAAGTCATCCTGCTCTTGTGCGTAGGTTTGCGGAGGCTTTTGCTCGTCGTCAAAATCGGCTCCGGTATCTCCGCGCAGGATTTTTTCTCGGTGGTAATCTTGTAGGAAGACGGGTTTCTCTTTTTTCTGCTTTACTGACACGTCCTCCGTTGTAGCACTTTCTTCAATCGGCCTGTAGAACTTGGTCTTGCCATCGTATACACGAGGGTCTCTATTCTTGATTGCTTGAAGCGTGGCGGAGATCTCGGCATCAAGGTCTTCTGTTGCTAAGAAACCGTTTTCATCCTCTTCCTCATCTGAGGAGGAATCGGATCCATCATCATCTTTCGATTTGTTCCCATTGACTTGTTTGGACTTGTACTTCTCCTCCACTAAGTTGTTTAGTTAGGTTTATTAAGAGAACAAAGTAAAGTATAGGAAGGCGTAGCTTACGTCTTTGTAATTCCTCTCGTTTCTTATTATGCTCAAATCTTTTCGCATACTCGGAATTGATTTGTAGCTTAACACCTCCATCTGATTCGTCGTCGCTATCATCAAACAAAGATTTTTTGCGGGCGTCGGAAGCCGCCATCTTGAAATGGCAACTAGAAACAGATTTTGGGGGATTTATTGTTTGGCTAACGGCGATGCATTAAAGGTGGTTGTTGATTCACAACTCCAAGATGGCGCGAGTTTGCTGTAGTGAAAACACCAAAGAGCTTTAGACAGCTGCGAAACAGAAAACCGGTAACTAACTTTTTTTTCTGCCGGTTTTAAGAGTTGGAGGGGTCTTAACTTTTTGGCGGTGTCGGCCCGCTGATGTTCCGTGCACTATTTTATACTAACCGATCTTGTATTAGCGGCAGTTTCTCACTAACGCCTACGGCTAGTCGGATCCTCTGATGCGTCGTCATTCCTGATTCGATACATTAAACCCATCTGCCTACCTCTTACTTTACTTCAAGCAACTAGCCCACTACAACCGTCCCGTTTGCATGCGACCGTTTCCCTTCAGAGTGTAAGGTAAACTTACAACTGGGTTTTCTCCTATCATTTACAGAATCATCATAACAGAATACCGGTCTTCCAAAACATCATCCAATTCCACATAGACATTCCCACAACATGGCCGACTCAAATGCTCCGAAGCCGAGCAGTAGTGTCAAGCTGGTGCTGCTTGGTGAGGCCGCCGTAGGAAAGGTATTTTCTCTTCGGGATCCCGCATAACTTATAAATACTATACTATACTAAGCGACTTATAGTCTTCGCTTGTCCTGCGATTTGTCAACAATGATTTCCAAGAGAACAAAGAGCCTACCATTGGTGGTAAGTAACCCTTGGAGCCTCCACTTCCAGCAGCTCTAAGCTAATACTGTATAGCCGCCTTCTTAACGCAAAAATGTAACCTACCTACGAGAACGATCAAGTTCGAGATCTGGGATACAGCAGGCCAGGAGCGCTTTGCTTCGTTGGCGCCTATGTACTACCGAAACGCCCAAGCTGCGCTCGTCGTCTACGATCTCACGAAGCCAACGTCACTCATCAAAGCCAAGCACTGGGTAGCGGAACTGCAAAGACAAGCATCGCCAGGGATCGTCATCGCTCTTGTTGGTAACAAGCTGGACCTTACTAATGATAGCGAATCCGGACAGGCCGACGGCGAAGTAGCTGATGGAGAGGAATCCGGGGACGCCCGAAAGATTTCCACAGAAGAAGCAAAGACGTATGCTGAGGAGGAGAGCCTGTTGTTCTTCGAAACAAGTGCGAAGACAGGTCACAATGTTTCGGAAGTCTTTACTGCGATTGCGAACGCCATCCCCGAAACGTCACTAAAGAGCACGAGAGGTCCAGGAGCCTCTAGCGCGGCCAACAGAGGTGGTGAGGAGCAGAGGGTAAACTTGAATGGACCTCGAGAAGCAGCAAAGGAAGGGTGTGCATGCTGATTTCTCCGAAGGGATGGTAGGGAGTGTCGATGGTAGTTTCATTACGGTCATGACTACATTTCACCTTGTAATATGGAGCGATGGTTCATTGGGACTCGGTATCTGGACTCTTTTCGATGAGTATTTTTTCTTCTTCCTTTTTTGTTATTTGCGAGCAACATACAGCGCAAGCCCTGAAGCAGACAGCCTCCTTGCGACGAATAATAAGTCCAGACTTTAGAGTAGCACACGAGTCGGGTGCGACCCCCTACGCATTATCGTAGCATCAGACTATGTATGTTTTTCCATATATGCATTGGTAGAATTTATTATCGCGTGTAATACATTACAATATAACATATAGTTGTACGGCTTTGTCTCGGGTAAAATGAGATCGCTTCAAGGTAGGTACTAAGATGCCTTGCGCATACATACAATAAATCATTGATGTAGAAGTCTTACCAAAGTACATCAACTTTGTCGTTTGTTTTAAGCACAACGGAATTGTTTAAGGAAACAAATATCATAATATAAATGCTCTATAATATATAAAGTATCGTTTTATAAGCTTTTAATTTTTTTCTTCTCCAGTGTATCATTTCCTCAGAGTTACCTAAGGCTTTTAGTTATTCCTTGGTACTTACACCACTATTGTAAGCTTCTAAGTGCCTCTTGGAAGTTATTCCTATCGTATATGTAGGTACTCGCTTATTAGAAATACTCTGTACATGCATGCATAGAGCCCATTAGCGTAAAAGATAGCCCCATAGTAGACCCGAATAAGCGTAACCCCAATAAGCGTATGTATGTCTTGGACCCACTCACCTAAACTCTAAAGTCATATCAGGCGTTTGCGCGTAGGTGTGCAATTTTGCTATCGACTAAACATTTACAACTTCCGCCCATTTCGTCGCCAATATCTACTCGACTTGCATTACCACTAGTCGTCATTTGGTCTGATGCGAAGCGCAACACCGGTCGGGTTTTATTCTTGAGTAGTCTCTACGTCCCACAAAGCCCACTGGTTTTTAACCTCGAGAACTGTTTACCTGGCGCTTTTTACATCTTCTTATATCTTTACCATATGTACACGAAACTGCGCACTTGCCACGCCTTCCGTGTTCAAGATGGCGGCGCTGACACCGGCTCAGATTGAGCTAGCCAAGTATGACACACCTACCAGATAAACTTGTTGAGATTCAGAAAGCTAACTTTCATAGCTCTCTCACCCCGGCCGAGTTGCCTACGAAGCTACGATGCGCCGTCTGCAGTAAATTGGCCGTCAACGCATTTAGATTGCCCTGCTGCGAGACTGCGATATGCGAGAAATGTAAGCTCTATTTGTTCCCTTTGTTTTAGTTCTCAAGTACAGTCCCTAATGACAGTTAGGCCAATCCACTCTACCCTCGGTCTGCCCCGTCTGCGAGCACTCGCCAGTTTCTGCCTCCGATTGTACCATCTACAAATCTCTTAGAACTACCATTAGGGTCTTCTTGAAGACCGAGGAAAAGAAGCGGGAAGCTGCCCGACCAAAAGCCAACGTATCTACCCCGACTACGCCTGCGCAGGATACACCGACGCCAACTCAGACGCGCACCCCTACCGAGCAACCTCCTGCGAATGATGTTGCCGATGGGCAAGCTGGTGTAGAACCGAAAACTACGGATTCCGTACCACCCTCTGGTGCGGCTGATTCCGAGGGACCCTCGGCTGCCGAGCCGAAACCGGACGTTGATGCTCAGCCTAAAGAGGTAGGTCTTAGAAAATTTCCCGTCATTAGAAGCTATATCTAACAGAAGTCTAGGATGAGCCTGCAAGTGGGCTAGCCCAAGAGCAGCCTACCGGAGACGATGAGTCCGAAGCCGTCGTCCCTCACGACCAGGAAGGCCAAGATAGAGCAGCTGTAGAAAATGTCCAAGAAGCAGATCAGGGTGGCGATGGCAAGGACCAGTTAGCGCAGTCCGGTATAGGTTCTAGCTTCGAATCTATGAATGGCAATTTTAATATGAACTTCGGCAATGGAGATTTGAATCAGATGCAGATGATGATGGCCATGCAAAATGGAATGAATCCGTCCGCTTTTGGCTCTTTTCCTATGATGGGTAAGACATGGTCCTACTAGGTATTGAGATATGATAGCTAACTTTGAAAACTAAGGAATGATGGATCCCATGGCGATGCAGAATATGATGATGAATGGTGGTTTTGGTGCACAGGGCATAGGTATGAACGGCATGAACATGAACATGGGCATGAATGGGTTCAATGGAGGCGGCAATGACTGGAACGGACAACAATCATGGAACGTCGGCCAAGATAATTTCAATCCAAATGCTCCTGGAATAGGAAATGGTGATTTTGGCAACTTTAATGCTGGCTTCCGTACAGGCTTCAATTCAGGTAATTTTGGCCACCACAACCAGTTCAATGATTACCGCCGAGGCAATTACGGATATCGAGGACGGGGCCGGGGCCGGGGCTTCTACGGAGGCTACGGTCGTGGATACCATCAGGGTTATAATAACGGAAACCAAGGCTGGGCCGGGCAGGCTCCTCAATATTCGGGCGATAAAGATGACTCAACCGTACAGGAAGTTTCTCAGGTAGCAGAGCAGACTCCCGGCAATGTTGACGAGTTTGGCCGAGCACTACGAGCAGAGCCAAGTCAAGATGCACAGACAGCCGGTGAGAATGGGGATGCCGAGACAGGGAATAGCCATGATAGTGTTGCTGCTAATGGAACCGACAAGCTAACACTGGGGAACTTTGAAGTAACCAAGGAGGATGGGTCGCAATCTGCGCAGGGTGATGTATCTGTATCCTCTAGAGATCAGCATTCAGCACCTCAAGGTCCTCGTGGGAATGTTGGCCCATTGCGTCTTCAAACTTCGGTTCCGGATATACCGTTGAATGCACCTACTGGGCCGAAAGCCATGCGGCAGGGCCTCCCTAACACTAGTCTTCTCAACCTAAGAGCTCGTGGCTTAATCACTGATGAGAAGAGTCCCAGCTCACGTACTAATCATCCTCCCATTGTGGCAAGCCCAGTGGAAGTTAAACATAAATCACGGAGTAGTTCTCCGCAGTCCTCTAAGGATAAGGAGCGCCGCCATCGTGAACGTGATCGAGAACATGATGAAGAGGAGAAGAGTAGGGGGCATCGTCGTGATAGAGACCGTGACCGTTCTAGAACGTATACCGGGTCTAAGAGTCGAAGTCGAAGTCGAAGTCGAAGTCGCAGTCGCAGCAGGGATCGTAAGGAGCCCCGTAAGCATAGACGACATCGTTCTCCGTCAATTTCCGAAGATGATCGTGACGGTGGCCATCGCCGCCGCAGGCATAAGAGCAGAAAGCAATCTACCAGAGACGACGATGATTATAGAGGTCGGTCGAGGGATGGAAAGCACGATGAACGATCCAGATCGGCCTCTCCCGTGGATCGCGAACACAGGCGACCAAGTCACAGGAGTCGTCGCGATAGAGATGAGAAACGTCGAGACCACGATGTCGAAAAAGATAGCGACTACGACCGACACCGGAAATCTGGCCATAGGTCTCACCGGGATCGCGACCAAGATCGCGATCGAGATAGAGAACGAGAGAAGGAACGAGACAAAGACCGTGGTAAGGATCGTGGCCGCGATCACGAAGAAGATCGCAGTCATCGCAGCAGTAAAAATCCAACTGCCCTACCTACACCGATAGAGCCTTCGGATAAATCATTCAATCCCCCAACAGGTCCTCGAGGTAACTTCTCGATCAAAGGGGCTAGTAACAAACAGGTTTCTGTGTCTGATATCAAGGGCGGCAGCAGCAAGCCTTCTAACTCAAGTAGGCGCGAAGGCGAATCATCTCGTCGTGCCTCTCATTCCTCGGCTGCAGTTCAAAAGCCTGCATCCGGAACGACATCCAAAGACCCACATACGCTAGAGCGTGAGGCTAGAGATCGCGAGCGACTTCTCAAAGAGGCGCAGCGAATGGCAACTATAGGTCGCACTACAGGCGTCAAGCGTAGCCGTGACGGTGGGGACGATCGCAGTAGCCGTCGGAAAAGCCGTCGCAGCGAGGCGGTAAATACGGAGGACGAGGAAGGCCGTATGAGACGTCTAGAAGCGGAGCGAGAGGGGCGCCGCTGGGATTAGCATACGACAGGCACCACGTCGAGCAAAAGGCGAAGAATGCTAAGGACCGGCAATACAGAAACGGTCAGAAGTCACGGCATAGATAATCGCACCTCGAAGAATCCCGTCTTTTCCAGGGTCCGAGTTCTGATGCCGGAGAGGCTTAGCACGAACTTCCTTCGATTACGAACTGTTTTCCCGGGAGGTACGAAGCAAAAGAAGAAGCAAAAAATGGAGCTGCGTTTTCTTTTCTTTTTTTATTCCAATCTGGGCTGTATTATATTGCACTCGAGAGCGAGGGGGGGTTCACTGCATACATGCATTCTTGTACTCAAACAAAACCACAGCATAACATTCACAGGAGGGGGGACTAGATATACTAAGGGGGGTTCCAAAGCATTAGGCCTAGAAGAGACGAGGGTTGACCGTTTGGAGGGAACAGCGAGTCTAACTATAATAAAGAAAAGAATCAGTACAGTACCTATTAATTGACACTCGTACTTGCCTAATTAATATAACATGCTTCTACGCCGGTGATTTAATTAGCGAGATTGTGAGCTGTTACGACTTTTACAAGCACTGGAGGTCTGTGTTGTCGACGAGGTTCGGATACCTATAAACTTACCTCGGCGCTGTAGCTTAGTGAAGAAATAGGTAACAAAAGAAATGGTCCTGATGAAGGCACTGTCCCACAGTAAAAATTTAATTCAAACTGGCAACTATCTAAATCATAAGAGAGTGAACGAGTATAGTTACTAGAGGTCACCCCCCGGATAACACCCCGGGTAACACAAAAGCCTAAAGTTTACACCGCACCATATTATTTTACCAATAAGACCTGAAAGACTCTTATATAGTAATCTAGATTAAAAAGGATTAAATGATCATTTACTTTTTAATGTTGTTTAAAAAAGCCAACCACAACGTTACGAACACATACACACATACAAATAAACCAAAAAATATAAACAAAAGTAAAAAAACATAATTGTGTAAAGTAGGAAAAGTTTTGCATAAAAACGTAAAGCATATATCTTAAATAAAAAGATTTTACTCGCATTTAACACAATATCCTAAGGTAAACCTTAGGCACTATAGCCTCACAACTATCTATCATTCACGTTTGAAACTTATTTATATCCCAAGTAACAGGTTGAAGTTTTACTCAGTATATACTGTTAAAATGTTAACTAACTTTGCAAAATGGTAATAAAACATTGCGAGTATTGATCGATACTAGTTGATGTATAATCGACTCTCAAGGTAGTCTCGTAAGCATCTTCTCTGACTACCTCCTTACTATCTTGCCAGTTAGTATACAAAAAGCGACCCCTGACCGCCTAGTAATTAGGTACCAATAACTCCGTCATGCTGCCCAGATGCATCCTTCCATGCTAAACCTTCTATGTAGTATACCCAAACTCAAATCTCCAATGCTACCTATGCTCCTTATACATTTATCTCTATCATCGTAGCATTAAATCAGTCATGCTCTCCTTATTCTTCCCACCATTAAACTTCTGACGCGTGTCGTGCTCCTGTTCTAAGCTGTACTCTTTTGTTGTAAAACTGGTCAGCAGTGCCACACCACTAACCACTGTCATCAACAGCCAGATAACATGTAAACTGTCCGAATATGCTTGCTTTAGGTCCGTTTTCGTGGTTCCGTCCGGTAGCGCTTTAATGATACCGACTATTGCAGTAGCGTCCCTGCTGTACTGCGCTGCAACAGGGGCAAACTCTTCGTAATTCTGCAGCTCGCTCTGGAGCTGGTTTTGAAATGCGACACCACTGACAGCAACACCGATAGCCTGGCCAAAGACACGAAGGAAAGAAAAGAAACCCGCCGTATGACCAGAATCTTGAGGACGGGATGCGGCTTGAGTACCCAGACTCATTGCGGGGAACAGGATACCAGTTCCAATCGAGACGAGAAAGTTAAGGAAAATCCAACCAGGAACAGATGTATCGGGTGAAAGTATAAAAAGGAGTCCAGAGCCAGCAGTCGTACAGACCCAACCTGACCAGAGAGCCCAACGGTATTTTCCAAATCTTGTACAGAGGACAGCCGCAATTACGGACACGGGAGCGACTAGACCCGTCTCGGGAAGGATGGCGACACCAGAAATAATCGGCGAATATTCTTTAACGGCCTCGTAGTATAGCGGTAGGAAATATAGGAGAGACCAGACGACCACTCCGTGTAGAACGGTTGAAAGAAATGTAATCAGCATCGTGTAGTTGTTGAAAATAGTGAAGCGAACAATAGGTTCGATATGTTCACCTGGCAGAGAATTTCCCTCGGCGTCAAATGCTCTCCTCGAAAGCCACCATTCGTAAATAGCGAATGCAATAATCCCGTCAAATCCAATTAACAGTGGAACTATTGTTCGCCAGTGGTCCCAAGGATACATAACGCCACCTGAAAACAGCGTTAGATAATAGACGAGGGTAGAATAGATTAATAAAGACTCTTACCCCATGTTACAGGAATTAGGAAGCCTACGGTTCCAGCCACGAAAATGATCGATCCAATCCAGTCGAATAAGCGGAGTTTAGTAGACAATTTTCCGGGTGTGGATTCGAGCTTGAGAAAAGGGATGAGAAGAACCATCCCCACGCCGACAATTGGCAGGTTAATCCAGAAGACTATGATATACGGAGTCAAAAACTGCTAATATAAAAATGATTTTGAAATTCACTTACTCCACTGCCATGTCACGCTTTCAGCGAAAACCGCTCCTAACAAAGGCCCAGCCACGGAACCTAACGCCCATGTCGAACCAAGATATCCGAACCAGGCTGAACGATATTAGCATAGGTAATTAGAGGGAAAGGGACTAATACGTACTGCCTCGAGCGACGAGTGGAACAAGATCCGTAACAATGATTTCACCTAGTGCTAATATACCACCTCCACCAATACCTTGGATAGATCTTCCCGTGAGCCTTAGACACGCTATGTTAGCTATTTGCAATCGGGACAACACCATGGCGCTCAAAATCCTACTTACATCACGGTAAAGTTTCTGGCAACGGCGCAGATAATAGCTCCCACGACAAATAAAAAAGATGATATAATGAGAAGATTCTTTCTTCCGAATACATGACTTAAACCGGCGATAACGGGTTGAAAGACGGCAGAGGTGAGTAGGAATGACGTTCCTGTCCAGAATGCTTCGATACCCGATCCCTTGAGATCTTCGGTAATGATAGGTAGGGCGATACTAAGAGACGTCGCGTCGAGGGCGGCTGCTAGAGTGATAATACAAATAGAAATGAAAGCGAGAATAAAGTTCCTGTCTGGCTTGAACGGCGGGTTGTCCTTGAGTATTTCCACATCTTCTCTTTCTTGCATCGGAGGGGCGATAGTAACCATAGAGTCCTCGTCGGTCGATATGTATCCGCTATAGTCCATCGAAAACGGGACAGGGCCCGCCGCCACGGAGGGATATGAAGCCATCGTGAACTAAATCCTGTGACTACCCTCTTGCATACAGAGAAAGGAACAAACGAGAAAAGAAATGCCGGTACTGTTACACGATGAAGAGAACGAAACAAGTTGGAAAGGCTAGGGGCCTAACATATTAAAGTCAGATTCCGTGTGGCTTTGAAGACAATCCGGTACTAAAAAGTGACTAATTACCATAGGTGAAATGGATTAAGAAGAACCATGTGCGAATCAGCGTGGCTGAACCGGGTTCCTAGTAAGCTGACATGCAGCGCGTGGTTTCAAGTGGTCGGGGGGGGAGGAACGGACGAAATGCTAGTTCCAGGCACAGCATCGCCCGCACATGGCACCGGGGGGGTCGTTGAGCTTAGAGTTAGGTAAGGCTATTAAACGAATAAAAATAGACAAATAGTATATACGGACACTAAGGTTCCCCTAAAGTACCGATATCACATATAAACGCGTTTGCGCCAGCTCAACTCGGATGAATATTCTAGCCGAGGGGTATACGCTTGCTAGGCGTGGCATTTTTCCCGTGCTGGACTTTTGTATCCGGCCTCCCGATGTGGCTTTTTCTCGTCCAATAGCTGTGCATCTTTCGTATATTAGCACGGATCTATTAGAAAAGGAAAATCAATGCGTACAAATCGATGCGGACCATGTTGGTGGAAGCCTCACTGGAAGGAGAGTGATGCTGGCCGCCAAGTGAGGGTTGTGATAGATGATCAGGGCCCAAACGGACTACTGAATCATCCAGTAGGGATGAATACCGAATCGCTTATTGATGCCTTTATCAATATTTATACTGTATACCTATACCTACTACCATAGTGCAGGCGATCATGAAAAAAACAATTCGGAACCCACATGGAAGCTAGTCGATCAGAAAAATCGAAGAGTCTCTTCAAAGTGCAGTGGATGCATTGTTGAGTTTTCGACCGACGTAGCTTTAGTTTACTTTTCCCACATATAGGATCGTGCTTAAAATAGCAACTCACGATACGTTCTATCGAATAAGAAGACACCGTAAAAACCACTAATGTAAGCTGACGTATAAACAAAAATACCCGTTGAATAAGGGACTAGACTGAACTCAGTACTTACTAAGCAAAAGCCCCAATGCCATGATAGAGAATAGGTATTTATTTTGCCAGAGCCCCCATTACCCAAGATGACTAAATACGGCGACGAATACAAACAAGAGCCTCTAGAATAAAGCTTCCAAGCTTCCTTCAGACTGCCGATATCAGGAATTCCCGGGGAAAGTAGGCAGGTGGCGCATGGCACGGGTTAAGAGTTCCTAGGCTTATAAGTACCGTGTGATCTCCTCAGCCGTATGATGAAGCATCAAAGATACGTGTCTTCGGATTAAGAGCAGTACCCCTTATCCCGCATCCTAAAGGTATTGGCCCGGTCTGTCTACTTGCGGGCTACCCGAGCCCAGTGTAAGATCTATATCTCGAATACCTAACTATCCTATAAGATCTAGCTACTTATATCCATATCTAGCAATGTCGCAAACGCTTGCTAGTCCTTGAGAGGAAAAAGCAAAAGCGAAGCATCTAGTCACAAAACTACGCATAGGACTTATCATGACTCTTAGATCTTCTGCGGTCTAGGCGTCTTATCTTACGGATCCGTGTCGGGATATGGTAACAAAGCAACGCCTGCTTTGGATTCTACCTCACTTGACGTGAGTAAAGTTATCCCTATATCGTAATCTATACCCACTTCCTTACTCTAGATAGTAGCTTAGGTGAAGTAAACACTGGGGTTATTCTCGTAACGATAGCACAGCCCAAAGGAGATCCAATGAGACCCAATAAATCCAATTACTCGTTAAAATCGCCGACGAACGCGATGTTCGTGGGGAAACCTAAGCCCAAGTTATGTCATTCGGGACTAACGGCATACCCCAGAAGTTCGTCGATGTCTTCATCGGGATAATTTCTAGTTAGAGGTAAAATAGCCAAGGTACCCAAGGACATGGTGACAGACTGGGCACCATGAGATAATAATATTAGGATTGAGCTGTCTCCGAGTGGGCCTTTCGGTAGCTAACCGGTACTTGGGAGGGCGAAATGCCTAGTTTGCAAGGTTAGGTGTATTTATCCCGTCTTGCGTGAGAAGACAAGAGTTCTCGGGATAAAGGCCCTAGACGTCTTCGAGCAGCTGAACAAAATCCTATGCAGATCAGGTTTTTTGACAGTGGTTCGCCTAGGGTCTTGCGCCACGCAACCGGATTCCTAAGTGACAACTCACCTATCCAGTCCGCTAAGCAATGGTGCTGGTTCGGTACGCAAACATTGTCTTTGAGGTTATGCGTAATTTAGCCAACTCAAAATTCAGAGGGGCCATGATACCAAAATATAGTTTTCAATAAGCTCCGATGCTACCTCTTTAAGTTTATAAAGCCTGAATAATTTGTTAGTAGAAAAAGGGTACATACTCGAGGTTCCGCATCGGACCGGCGCTAAAGCCGAGGACCCACTAAAGTTCGGTCGGGCGTATAGATTGCATGTCGATTGGTTGAGTAAGCGTTAGTCGAGATACGGATCCCGGGCAGACGGGGTAATGGCAACAATCAGCGGTCTGAAAGTAACCCTCCTGCCCTCCTCTAGAAATTTAAGATGATGACAACAAGGAGGATCGGAACCGAACTCATCTGCATCTACGTGGTCTACCCAAGATTTACTTTACGACTTGTTACCATGACGGGTAATGATCTTCTGACTAGGTTTTGTTATGATCTTGCTTTGCTATAATAAGAATTCTAAGCTTCTGGACTTTTGAAGAGCCGCAGTTATCCTTGATCTGGGGTCTATACGGTACTTGGTTGGTCCATCGTCCACGCCGTAACCTTATTTTTGAGCCCTACCATACATACGTGCATGTGCAACTCGGCCGACGCAGCTTAGTGGGACGGACTTGTGGCTCTCCTATTTTAGATCCTTCCGGCAGGGATGTGGCGTGCATCTCCAGCTAAACCGAAAAGTTCTCTATGGCCACGAGATAAATAGGATCGATTACACAATTACTAGAGCACCGTTCTAGGTAATTACAGGCTATCACCTATTGCAACGCTAGGGCTAAAATTTGGACGGGTACCTAGGTATTTATTAATGCCCAATGTTGTCTGCGTAGATCCTTTAGACTTTGACAGGGACCCTCTCATTCTCATGTTGTTTTCCAGAATCCTTCTACGGGCGAATCTAACCCCAGCGAATGACGTTTACAGCTTGTTTACAGAGTACATGATATGAAGGCAATGTGGCCACGGGCTACTTCTAGCTGCCATTCCCTTCTTCGAATACCTAGTGCAGTGCATTGAGTCTTGGCGCAATAATATAAATAAAACACGAACGGGATGAAATATGCATCACCCCGCGATGACATCAACCTAGGACTTTTCGTGTCTAGATTGTTAATTTCGTATAATCCAATTCCCGTTATACTACATAGGTAATTAGAAGTAAATAATAAATGACTACCGATACAGGGGATTCCATGTCTTCTTTAGGACCATCGAAATGCCGTCGGCGCAGCGCATTAAGTCCCGGAAATGAAGCTCTCATTTCTCATTTCTTCACAATCTGCTCGACGACGTCTAACCCGACCATCTTCTTAACCACACCATCGAACAGCCCAGATGGTAACACCGTTTGAGTGCGCACTAAGCATGCCGACTCACCTCTCCAGATAACTGCAGGCGGATTGCTTTTCTGTAAGTCTTGCACCACCAGCCCCGCCCACTGATGCGCCGGCATGCCCTTGCCCTCGAAGCCTTCTTGGCGTAGCGCCTTTTCTACCACTTCCTTAGCGGGCTCATATATCGAACCCTTAGGAAGCTTCGGGTTGCTGTTGTCCTGTAAGTTTTTGATCAAATTGGTCTTGACGACCCCGGTTCTCAGGTCAACGACCTTGATCCCAAAGGGTTGAAGCTCGAGCCGGAGGGAGTCCGTAAGCATAGCAAGGGCCGCTTTGGAAGAATTGTAGACGGCCTGGAATGGCATCGCAAGGTTGGCCCCGATCGATGTCTGGTTGACGATGATGGCGTTGGGGGACTTGAGTAGTAGCGGTAGGAAAGCCTGGATCATGGCGATATGACCCCATACGTTTAAATCGTACAACTTTCTTGCCTCGGCGATGTTAATGTCGACAATCGGCATTAGGAACTGGAGTCCAGCATTGTTGATAAGAATGTCGAGCGACGGTACCTTGGTGACGCAATCGGCTATTGAGGATTCTGATTGTATATCCAGCTGGAGAGTATCAATCCCCAGCGATACAAGTTCTGTCATTTTAGACGGATTTCGTGCTGTAGCGTAAACATGGAAACCGGCTTTGTGGAAAGCGATTGCGAGGGCGCTACCCATGCCGCCGTCCGAGCAGCCGGTGATGAGGACGGACCGTTTTGGAGTAGACATCTTTACAGTTTATGCGAAATGAATGATTTTGTACAAATTTTGTGACTACGGCTAGTATAGAAAAATACAACGAATATAATATCGCAATGATAGTTAAATGCATCTCGACTCCTAATATATAGGAAGCGAGCACATGCGATGAGTGTCGCCGTACCGAATCGCAACGCAGGGTACGTACCCGGGTATTGCCGTATATGGTAAGGCGGCTAATCCTCATTGGACCTTCACAGTAAGTCGAGCTCCGGCTCCGGCTTAATATCGCTCCTGCCAATCCGGCACCCCGGCTCGGTTCATTTTGTCCCCCGCACACGGACACGGAGTTGCATTTTAGCTTCTCATGACATATAGCACTGCGGCGCATGTGTTTAGAATGCCGACTTGGACTATTAACATGATATTTTTCAGCAGTTGGGTAATGGCATCACGCCGAGAACCAACGGCTACTACAAGCCTTCTGCCTCACTTATAGTGTTCCATGAAGCATATCGAGCATCGCATACAAATCATGAAGAGCCGATATGCAAGCCTCTAGGTTAGCACCGGGTGTCTTAGGATACTAAACGTGGCGTGTTAGAAGCGCCCATTCACGTGACTTTCACCCTATCAGATCGGGCAGAATACCTGTAAAGTCAGACCGTACTTCCAGGATTCTACTCACAAAATCATATTTCGACAAGAAATCAGAGATATTTTACAAAGCTGCGAGTTCAAAGTTCATTTAACACTAGATAGCTTCTCTGAAAAGGTACTTTAAACGATTTGTGGTCATGCAGTAACAATTGCTAGTGTACTACCCATGGAGTGGAACTCGTGGGGAAAAGTGTGATGAGAGCAAACACGCATTTAGCACCGCTTAGCCACAGGCGTATACTGGTATGCCGGTAGACAAAATATATAAGACGGACTGACAATATCCTACCTTTGACCTTTTTTAGCGCTGTGCTTTTCGGGAATGAGTCTTTTGTCTTCAAGCGCGTTCCTAGGCCGTTCTACGACCTGTCCCTACGCCTCGCAGCCGAGTTTACAGACTCCCATCGGCTTCGAATGCATGTTGATTGTAACTGAGAGGAAGGCATTCTGGTCTATTCCTATCTCAGAAGTACCTTACTTGCCTTGATTCAAGAAGACCCGGACTTTCCTCTAGTGGGACGGAAGAAGATTCTTCGATGTGTAGGAGAGGCAATACAAGGACTTAATAGTCAAGACTGGATCCACACCGGTACACTCTATGCAAGCCAGAAATTGACATTCAAGGCCTCTAACTGATCGATCTATCTTGAGCAGATGTGAAGCCTGATAACATTTTGGCGAAGCCCAGAAGGGCAGACCGGAAGGGGTGTGACAAAGGCGTCAGACATATTCTCTTTTGGACTCGTGGTAAGAGGTAAGCTACGTTTATGTTTAAGAACTTATGCTAAGCTCTATTTACAGTGTAGATACGTTTTTGGGGTTGGGGAGTTACTGCTCTTAGATGATTACCAGGAGCTAGTAAAGAATGGCATAAGGCCGGAACAAGAGATCCTGGTTCGACACTTTTTTAATTTTGGGTTAGTTCCCGAAGGACTCCTTAAGAAAGTTAACATTGAGGATTGGTGCTACGCTTTGGAGGGAGCGCCAGAAATAGCTGAGGAGGCAGTGAAGGAACAGCCTGGACTAAGATTCGAGCGGTGGGAGGAGGAGCTTGGTCCTGAGGCACAAAACATGATATCTAGAATGAAAAAGCCAGACCTGGCGGCTACACCAACGATAGACCAAGTCTTGACACGTCGATGGTGGTAGGCTGATTAGTCACATCACGGTTGTTGGTGTTGGTTCGAATATTTTGCCGCATAAGTGGTAATGCCCTGACACTAGGGGCCCGGCTGTCTGGCTCGGTCAGCTTTTTCTTCATGCTAGAAGCAATAATTTCATGATATCTTCAGGATAAAGGGAGTCAGTTCATTATAAGTATAGATACATAGTATTAAAACTCTTGCCGGGCTGAATACCTAGTTACTAGTATTTTACGGTAACTAGTAAATAACACTATCCTCAGTAACCAAGCCCAAAGATCCACACGAATAAGCTTATGACCATCGCACTTAGCAGTGCGACTATCATACTCCAATACAATTAACTGATGCATACTAAATATATTGCTAATAAAAACTATCTATACCTCTAAAAACACATTATTCCCGTTTCTATGAATATAATACATGGTGCTATTGTTCTAAATTAGAATAGCATGTTAGGCATTCCAAGTCGCCTATTCCGAGCTAAAGCACTGATGCCCTGATAAAATGTCGTCAGAGAGCTTCTCCGCAATAGCATCTGCACAGAAATAGACACTGTTAGCCATGTGATCTTGAAAGCTACCTACGGTTACGAGGTAGTGAAACATGAACACATAGAACTTACAAACTGTTGACATAGGCTGTCCGGGTAAAAGTACCGGCATAATACTAGCATCAATTATGCGAAGGCCAGACACGCCGCCCATCACACAACCGTGCGTATCCACCACCGCAGACTTATCGCTTGACTTGCCCATCTTGCCTATTCGCAACTTAGGTTAATATCTCATAATCTCCGTTCTAGAAGATAGGGCTATTAGGAAAAATAGGGTAAACTCACATGTACCAACAGCATGGTGACTAGGACTAGCAGCACCCTTGACAAAATCTAAGATCTGTTCGTCCGTTTGCACGGCGGTGCCGGGTGACAACTCGCTCTGAAGTACCCCCGTAGCGTTTGCAAATAGGCGGAGCCGTCGCACTGCTGCTATGCCCAGTTCCTGGTCCGCTTTAGTGGTAAACCAAGCCACATCTACCAGTGGATTTTCGGCTGTATCAGAAGAGCTGTTTAGGGTTACCGAGCCGACAGACGAGGGCTTAAGTATTACCACGCCCAAGCTTAGCAGGTCACCTGGGGTAGTATCAGCGGGTCCGGCGGTGTTGAAGATGTATTGGATATCCGGCCAGTCGGCAGGGAAAGAATTCAACGCTGCGCGGGTTTCCTTGCTGAGCTTTGTGTTGTTGGGGAGTTTTTCCCATACTGCATTGGCGCTGGTTAGCGAACCGTCTATTGTTAGATAGTAGGGCAAAAGGGGGAGAGGGTAACGCACAGAGGTAATTGCTAGCGAATGCGGTCAAAGCGCCAGATCGGCTAGTGTAAAACTCCTTATATGCCTCATTGGCGAACGTGACGTTGTTAAATAACCGGTGCTGAGACTCGGCGTTGACTGAGAATAGAGTGCCGTATCCGGGGTGATCCTAAAAGTCACTCGCGGTCAGTATATAGGGGATGCGAACGCTGTTAGAAATATACGTACGATTAGATTCTGACCGACCCCTGACAACGTGCTCACTGCAGGGATATTGAATTTCTGTAAAGTCTCAGCTGGTCCGATACCAGAAGCTAGGAGAAGCTGCGGCGAGCGGAGCGGGCCAGAAGCCACGATGACCTCCTTGCGCGCCGAGAGTACGTATTCCGCCCCGGCAGTACTGACGTGCACGCCGGTAGCCGTCTTATTCCCTGCAAAAAGGATATGTTTCGCTAACGTATCCGGATAGAGCTGCAAGTTAGCAAACGTGTTGGCAGCTATCGCAGCATCGAGGTAAGACGTCTGGGACGAGTCGCGAATCTGCTTGTCGGGATGCAACGTCGCTGGGAACTGTGCATATCCCAGCAGACTTCCGCTCTGGATCTGGCCTGTCTCGGAGAACCCTAGGCGTTTCAACCCGCGGGCAATGTAGGAAGACACGGGGGCGTAGTAGTTCCAGAACGAGACATGCAGAGGGCCGCTTGAAGAAGCGTCGAATGCTGAGGCATCAAAGGCTACTGGAGGACCGCCACGGAGAGTGATATCTGGTGGTGTGAAGTGGACGCCTTTCTTGAAGTACGGTAGAAGGTTCGATAGGGAGTAGCTAGTATCTCCCACGAGGTCCGCCCAACGATCGTAGGAGCCGACTGTGCCTCTAATGTGAGCACCATTGATTAGAATACTACCATCGCAACTTTTACCCTCAGGGTCAGATAGTTTCATACCGTTGATAGGCCATTCCATTACGCGCAGAGCTTGTGCCTGTTAGATCTGGCTTAAATAATTCCTTTCCTAACTGGGTGATGCTAGGCTACTTACGAACCCCCGAAGGTTTTACCCTGGGAATATCTAACTGAACGGCCACCTATTTGCTTTCAGGGGAGTTATGTGAGCGGAAGAACCGAATCTAGTTTGTGGGCAACATACCGCTTGGGGCTTCGTGTTTATCCCCCATTCAACTGTGAGAGGCACTTCCAAGAACTCCGACTCGTAGGCGGGAATCTCGGTTACGTTTCCGGCCGTCTGGTAGAAACTACCGGCCTCTACAACGGCGACGGAATATTTACCGCCGGCGGAGAGACGCATAGCGGCTACAAGGCCAGACGTGCCTCCACCAACTATCTAGTGTTGAAAGTCCGTCAGTAATAAATATCAATATTTATGTATGCAGCACAGGTTCGAATAGGGGCTTTTTCTACTTACTACATAGTCGAAAGTGTTATTCTGACCTGCGAGCCCAAAGGAGTTACTGAAGAGCCTCGTCGAATCACCAGTTTTTTCTCGTCTTGGCTCGAAGGGTGCTGCATTACTCACTCCGAGCAAAGCCGTCACGGCGCAGAGGCCTGTCTCCATCGTAAAACTTTTCATTGCTCGTAGTGTACAGATTAAGTAACATGAAGCTTCTGCGATGATATCAAAGAATCCCTCGATTTCTTGGCTTCATCCATCGCCATTTTTATTTACTACTGTGGTGCTGGCCCCCAACCGCTCGCAAGCGGTTTGTAGAGCTTCAGGGAGTCTCGTGAACAATAGCATCTCAGCTACATCGTTGAATGATTCCATCTTCAAGTTAGCATGACCTCCTCTCGGGGAAGAGTCAGCGGTTTTCTTACACCACTGTCTATTTCGGGCTGTGTGTTTCTTCTAAGTCTGAATCAGTCGACGTAATCCAAGGATCGAGGTACTTCAGTATCTCCGGATTTACGGACTTAATTTATTGGCTTTATTGTTTATGTCCGGGTTACATCTTGTTAATTCCGTGAAAAGGGGTGAAAAGGGGTGAAAAGCGCGAAAACGCCTCGGACATAACTAGGTACCTTTTATCTACGAGCTCTCAGCAGGAAACGCCATGCCACACGGCATTACAACGGTTATTATGTGAGACGTTTTCTCTGTCTGTCGGCGATGTTAAAATAGCCCAGCGTAACCAAAAATCCTTTCGAGCCTTGTCCTGAGGAATCCCAAGTTAACCGCATTTTGAAAATCACAAGTCTTACTACGAAATCAGATATGGCCTCATCAGGGAAGAAGATTGTCTTCATTACAGGTTAGTCGATCAGCTGAGATATGTTTTATTCTAGGATTATCCACTAAGATCAAGGACACAGGGGGGAACCAGGGCGTTGGCTATGAGACAGCAAAGAATCTACTTCTTTCCTCCGAGGAATACCATGTGATTCTAGGAAGTCGGGATCTCTCTAAGGGCGAAGCAGCGGCTAGAGAAATTCAAGCCGTAGACGGTGTTAAGGGCAGCGCGTCTGCGGTTCAGATCGACGTCACGGATGATAAGACAGTCGACGCCGCAGCTGCGCGTGTAGCCTCCGAGTACGGTAGACTAGACGTTCTTGTCAATAACGCGGGGATTATCTCCACCGCCAATCCACCGACTCGCGAGGCTTTTCGGCGCGTATTGGAGACCAACGTTGTTGGTTCCTTAAGCGTCACTGAGGCGTTTTTGGACCTGTTGCGTAAGGCGGTCCACAAACCGCCTCGCCTGGTCTTCGTCACCTCAAGCATGGGCTCGATTACGCACGCGGCAGATCCTAGTTCTCCGTATTACAACCCGTTGGGAACAGAGTACCGTACCAGCAAGGCTGCCGTCAACATGTTGATGGCCATGTATTACGCCCGCTTGAAGCCAGAGGGCTTTTTGGTATTTGGGGCAGATCCTGGACTTTGTGCCACCAATTTCACCGGCGATCCCGTCTCGTTGCGAAAGAGGAATGCCGCTGAACCATGGGAGGGAGGCGAGCGTGTGGCGTCAGTTATCAAAGGGGAAAGAGATGCTGACGTTGGAAAGGTGTTGGGAGTATATGGGGTGTCTCCATTTTAGGGTAGGGCCCGCACCTTGCAACGAGGCTTTGATTCTCGTATAACATGGACACATGGCTTGGATAGATATAGCTAGTTCGATTACATTCGTTACGTTACTCATGCCATCAGTTGAACTTCGAGTGATGGTGCTGTAAGCTTATTCTAACTCCAACAGTTTAGTTGACTTGTCATAATAGTCTGTCCGAGGAAAAGAGAATCTCCCATAGCCGTCGCAAACTAGTTACTATATCAATTACATTATTTCCGTGAGATAATTCGGGATATCTGCGCCGCTTCTTTTGTCCATCCCCTCTTATTATGTCATATTAGGATTCGCTGATCACGATAGACATACGCGTAGGTTAGGTGTTAGAAAGTCGGGACAGAATCGTTGAATTCTGGGTCGGGCTTTAAGAGCTGAAGGAAAGGAGGTGGTCAGAGTTTGGTTGCAGTTTTCTCATGGCGCCATCCCTTGAAGCAGCAACTAAGCATCGAATACGAACACTAGGATGCAATTGGCTGTAGTAGAAAGGGAATTTCTTTTAGGGCGTCTCACATATCTATAAAACCCCCGATTGGCTAATTTAATAACCTGTTCAGGTGATATCAAAACGTTGTTGGTGTTACTTCTTCCACTTTAATATCGATCTATATTCTGACATGTCATCGGCGGCTCCACCGTGTCTGGTAATAAATATCCTATATAAGTCCCGTGATTATATATGCATGCAAAATAACTAGTCCTTCTTATATCGCGATTTATATCCGAGCTGCTCCCACGTATTATATTAGAAGTTGGAGTTTTCTCGCGAGCAAAGGTTACATCACATCTACATAAGAGCAATAAATGCGGTTTCACGACATATACCCCAGAGGCGAGGTAATCAATAAAGCTCAAATTGCTTATTAGAAATACGGACGTGGTACTAAGCGAACGAGTTAAATTATTGTTAAGATTTCGGACAGTTAATGAAAGTATCTTATGAAAATAACCGTGCTACCCCCTTTTCTTCCTTCTACCTAACTTGAGTAAGATGTTGTGCAACTAGCTACTTCGGTATACCCCTAACGGTTTTCCAACACTTGATATACCTTCTGAACTCTCTGAGCCCCCCACTCTTCACATGTCAAGATAGGCAACTTTGCTTTTTCTTCCGTCAGTGGCGGTATAACCGGGCTCGGTAGCGGACGCATCAAAGTAGTGAGGGCAGGCCGATATCCCAGAAGGACGCTGTATTTATCAAGATGGGCTTGCTCTTTGGGGGGGCTTACAACACGGTGAAACCCAGACTTCAAGTGTTCGTTGGTAAGGATAGCAAGTGCATCCCCGAGATTGACAATGACATGTCCTGCAACCGGCTTTACCCAGCGCCAGCCACTTTCGTCACCCTTCATGGTAGCACTGATATCGTAGCCTGGTTCAAGTATCTGGAGGCCAGCAACCCATGTGAAGAGCATGGCGACACTGACAGAGTCCCGATGTGGCGGGAAATTGAACTGGTGAGGATCATCGCCTGGCTCGGGAGCCGGATATCTTAGAACACGGAGGAAATCGTTGGATGGCTCAATGATCTTATGAAGAGACGAGAGAGAACCTGGTTCTACTTGAAGCTTCGTCTCGAGAATTCCAAGAAGAATGTGGCAGATAGAGTTCCCTGTCTCCATAATGGAGCCGAAGAGTTCTTTGTACTTGGCTAGCCATTGCGGTAGCTGGAATCCAGATTCCTTGTCGACGAGTAACTCGTAGAAAGGGACCTTATTATGTAAGAACGACGGGATCAAAAAATTCATTCGCTCTGTGGACTCACATTGAAGGCTTCGCTAAACTTTGGCTGCCCATTCTTCCCGACGCTCGGGCATTTGTATCTGAGCGGGCACGGCGGGTCAGCAATACAAGCATCTTACTATCCCCAGGGTAAGAAAGCTTAATCAGAGTTATTACCCCATATCGAATACCCCCGACCTATCGCGGGCCTTGTAAGCAAGCTTCTCCTCCATCGAGAGATTGGGGAGCACCTGTTGCCCAACTCGGCACACTTCATTACCTTCCTGCAGGAGCTTCTGCCCAATTGGGTGATCTGTCAAGTTGAGGTAGAAGAAGCCGGTTTTGACGGATATGTCGAATACCTTGCGGCTTTCTTCCTCGTTATTTTCAAGCAGACCTTTGAGAGACACTCGCGGGAGGTCAATGACAGGAAGACCTTCGGGGAATGGAACTGTTTCAAACTCGGTTTGAGAGGTCTGGGCCATGGTGTAAGCGTAGATTGGATGTAAGTAATCTAGTAGGATTAGAAGTAAAGACCAACGTGTCTGAGATACTGATGCAATCCTGGACAAACGCGTATTACAGAGTCCTTATATTCCTCAGTTCCCCGCAAGAAGTGGCACTCAAGCGGCGGGTAACGCGGAAAAGGGATCAAGGAGAATCTTCGCCCAACACAGGTCAGGCCATTTTCGAATTCCCGAATGCCACGTCAGCTTTGAAATGTCTCTTATCTTGAGTTAGTAGGTAGTAGTTTGCATATGTGATAATGTCCGCATGATTACCTATGTTGATAGTCAGTAAGCAGAGGGTACTAGGTATAGAGCATACCTAGGTAGTCATATTATTTATAAACCTTTTCGGAGTTTATCTTTGTATTCTTCAGGGTCTAGAGTTATTTTTGTATAGATATATTGTGCTTTGAACGGCAGCAGTTCATGATAACTGATACTAAGTACTACGTTAAGAGGTAGGTACCTAATATATACAACTTTACACCATGTTCCCAAATACAGTGTGTGAATTCTTCACTCCTATTAAATTTTAGCTTTACAAGTGTATATATGAAATCGACTTTACACCAACAGAAGTTACACCAATTGCGTATATTCAGGTATAATGATGTCGACTTCTCGAGATCGTCGACCCCCAATGGTAAGCATCTCACACACTCACCGATGGAGTTAGGAAATTTCTATTGACCGAGATAAAGGAACAGCACTTTCCCCTCATGAGTGCATTGTTTGTAACGGAGATAGCTGTAGATATAGCTGAGTGAGCTGACCGCATAGTGTTGATAGCTTCCAGTTGGCGGATAATAGTTAGAGGTGGGATGGCGTCTTCTCTGATAGCAACTCGTAGAATAGTCGAGACCGCTCATATCAGGTACACAAGATGGGGTAAATGATTGTAAAACATTTATATAACAGCTCGAGTTGACTAGGTAGGTATAGACTTCATATAACTCTGTAACCTACGAGTACTGCTAAGTTACAGTAGGTAAATATACAGGCCTGTTACTTGGTTGAGACTCTTCCCTCCCTCCTTTTATATCACTATTCAACATTTGCTTCAAGATGCCTATTAGCAACATAGCCCCAACTTCTCAACAGCAGTTGGGTAATGGCACCACGCTGAGAACCAACGGCTACCACAAGTCTTCCGGCCTGCTTGGTCCAACAAACGGAGTAGCAAACGGAACGAAAAATGCAATCCGTCCAATTGCTATCTGTGGAATGGCAATGCGTCTTCCCGGTGGTGTGCGAGACGCTGACACCTTCTGGGACGTGCTCGTGAACAAGAAAGACACTAGAGGCCCTATCCCATCCAATCGATATAATGCATCCGCATTTACTGATAAGTATGGCAAGAAAGGTGCCATAAAGACTCAGTATGGCTACTTTCTCGATGAGGACCTCAGCAAGCTGGACACATCGTTTTTTACTATGAGTAAGAATGAACTGGAGAGAACTGACCCACAACAGCGCCAGCTCCTTGAAGTGATCCGGGAGGCTTTTGAAAACGCTGGTGAAGCTGACTATAGAGGCCAGTTGATTGGCTGCTATGTCGGTACCTTTGGAGAGGACTGGCTTCAAATCAGCGCCAAAGAAACCCAACACTCGGGCGGATATATTAGTGAGTAATGTTTAGAATTTGTACATTTTGACACTATTCCTACGAAGATTGCTCTCTATTGCCTACCTTGTAAAACAACTCATAACTAACTTGAGATCCCGTCCATAGTGACTGGTCATGGTGATCTCATGCTTGCTAACAGACTATCGTTTGAATACGATCTCAAAGGTCCCAGGTTAGCCGTTCTATTATACTCCTTTTCTTCCTCATATTTGTAACATAACTAATATTCCAACCTTTAATAGTATGGTAGTTAAGACTGGGTGCTCTGCCTCACTTATAGCGCTCCATGAAGCATGCCGAGCATTGCAACACGGCGACTGCACAGGTGCCATTGTTGCTGGTGCCAACATGATCATGGGCCCAACAACAACGGCTGCGATGACGGAGGAGGGCATTCTATCCCCCGAGGGCTCCTGCAAAACCTTCGATGCCGCTGCTGACGGGTTTGCAAGAGCCGAGGCTATCAATGTTGTTTATGTCAAACTTCTTGATGACGCCATCCGTGATGGAAATCCGATTAGGGCTATCATCCGAAATACGGGAACTAACAGCGATGGTAAGAGTCAGGGTCTGATGACGCCTAACGGAGCTGCCCACGAGAGCTTGATGCGCAAAGTTTACGCAGATGCTGGACTTCCACCACATGAGACAGCATTCGTTGAGGTGAGCCCCTATTGGTACTATAGTCTATTTATCCAATATTAGAATGCTAATACGATGAACTTCAGTGCCATGGGACAGGAACACCGACCGGCGACCCCTTAGAGACGAATGCTATAGGAAATATCTTTGGTTCCCAGGGGGTGTACATAGGTTCCGTGAGTGATACTAGGCTCAGATATGAACCCGAATTGTTAATTGACCATGCTATCAGGTGAAACCCAATGTAGGCCACTCGGAGGGTGCATCTGGACTTACCAGTCTCATTAAAGGGGTCTTGGCGCTGGAGCACGATATAATCCCACCTAATATCAAGTTCAACAAGCCAAATCCCAAGAGTAAGTCTCAGTCTGATCCATAAGATTATACCTACAATAGTATTGACTATACGAAGTTCCATTCTCGAGTAGGAAGCTTCGGGTCCCGATTGAGCCAACGAGTTGGCCCCAAGACCGAGCGAAACGAATTAGCATCAACTCTTTTGGAATAGGGGGTTCAAACGCTCACGTAAGTAAAAGTCCCTGGATAGGTATCTAGGAAAAATTAATGTTGGCTAATCCCCTATAGATTGTCTTAGACGCGAACCCACACCCCATATCGAACGGCCTGACACATAGCCCAAAGCGTGCACAGCTAGCCATCCTCTCCGCAAACACACAAGAATCCCTAAAGACGTATATCGATAACTTGCAAGAGTATGTCGATAAACATCCCAAAAATGCTGATAACATTGCCTACACACTCGGCCGACGTAGGGAGACATTGCCCCACCGAGCCTTTATGGTCATCGACAGCGATGGCGCCGTAGTCGAAAAATCAGCTCCCGCAAAGGCGCCAGTCGGCGATCCTGACATCGTGATGGTATTCAGCGGACAAGGAGCACAATGGCCGGAAATGGGGAAGGAACTCTTCCTCACGGACGAAGGATTCAGAACTGACATCGTAGAGATGGACCGTCTCCTCGAGTCACTTATTTATCCTCCGTCGTGGTCAATTGAAGGTAGAGTAGTTTATTCAACGTTGCCTTATCCTTACTAATACTGGTTATAGCCGAGTTATTTGCGCCGCCGGAAAAGAGTAAGATCCATCGCGCCGAACTGGCCCAACCCCTTTGTACTGCAGTCCAGATTGCCCTTGTCCGAAGCCTTCACAGGGTCGGCATCCAGCCCGCAGCCGTAGTAGGCCACTCTAGTGGAGAGATCGCGGCTGCCTATGCGGCTGGAGCTATCTCGCTTGCGGAGGCCTTAATATCGGCATATTATCGAGGTTACGTGACAAGGGACCAGACCTTAATCGGTGGTATGGGGGCGGTGGGTTTAGGTGTCGCTGATGTCTCTAAATATGTTAAGGAGGGCGTAGTGATCGCTTGTGATAACAGTCCCAATAGTGTCACACTTTCCGGCGACGTGGGAGCGCTAGATGATGTTCTTAACGCGATTAAGGTAGACAAACCCGATGTACTTGCGAGGAAGCTTAAGGTGGACATGGCCTACCACTCAGGTAAGTAACTCGCTCACGGTCGATTGAGGAGAATACTTATGTGCTAACTCGATCGAATAGGCCATATGAAGGGGTTAGGGTCTAAGTATCGAGAGCTTATGGAGCAAGAACTTAAGCGCCAAGGTCTTGCTCGCCAGCAAGCTAGTGTACCCTTCTTTTCATCTGTAAAAGAAAGGGTCATCGAGCATGGCGATGACCTTGGGCCGGACTACTGGATCGCGAACTTGACTTCACGAGTGCGTTTCAACTCTGCAGTACAGCGCATACTAGAGCAACGTCCAGGACGACTCTTCGTTGAGATCGGCCCTCACTCAACACTATCCGGACCACTGCGACAGATCGTATCAAATTCTGGAACCCAATTTCAATATATTCCCACAATGATCAGGGGTTCCAACAGTGCCCACAGCCTAGCTTCGGCGCTTGGCCAACTATTCCAGAGCGGCGTTTCAATCGACAGGTCTGCTATCTTCCCGTCAGGAAAGGTGCTAATAGATCTCCCCCGCTATGCTTGGGACCACAGCGGCGGCTCGTTCTGGTACGAAGCCCGCGTTTCTAAAGAATGGCGTTTCCGCCAATTCGGGCACCACCGTCTTCTCGGTTTACGCATCCCTGAAAGTTCGAGTTATGAACCTTCTTGGCGAAATCTTTTGAGCTTAGAGGATGAGCCTTGGCTGTCAGATCATAAAATCCGCTCAGATGTCGTCTTCCCATTTGCAGGGTATATTGCCCTGGCCGGAGAAGCAATAAGACAGATTACGGGTATTGACGCAGGATACCAAGTGAAGCGCGCAACAGCTCGGTCAGCTATGGTACTCTCGGACCATCCGGTAGAGGTGTTGACGACATTAAGACTTGCCAAATTGACTGACACGGCTGACTCAACCTGGTTCGAGTTTTCTATAACATCGTATAGTGGCTCGGCTTGGATCAAGCATTGCGAAGGACAAATCAAGGCAAGCACGAGCCCATCTTCATCGCCATCTCTTACACCGGATAAGGGTGAACTTATCAGGAAGATCCCCGAGTCAAAATGGTACGATACAATGAATAATATTGGTGTTGTGTATGGACCAGAGTTTCAGGGGCTCCAAAATATCGTCTCGTCTACCACCAAGAACCTGGCTGCTGCTAAGGTCAGTCTTCTGCGTCACCACGAAGATCCGGCTTTCATATTCCATCCAGCGGGGATTGATAACTGCCTGCAACTTGCTCTAGTTGCGCTGGCAAAGGGCATTGGGCGAAACTTTGGCGACCTACGAGTGCCCACTACGATTGAGGACCTTTATATCTCTAGGAGCGCCGCAACGATGGATGCTGTGGCGACTAGCAACGGTCGCGAGTCCATCGCTATTGATTGTATTGCAGACGGAAAGGTTGCCCTAAGACTACGTGGGCTTGAATTGACGACGATGGATAATGACACTACGCAGCAGACTGAGCCGCATGCAGCGGCTCGTCTAGAATGGCTTCCGGACTTCGATATGGTCGACCACGCGACGTTGTTCAGTCCGCCTCGGTCGATACCGGAAGAGACCAGGATGCAGGAAGAAATGACACTTTTATGCATGCTGGAAACTGCTGATAGAGTCCGTGGCTTAGAGCCGTGTTCTTGGCACTTCGAAAAGTTCCGCGACTGGCTGGAGCTCGAGATCGACCGCGCGAGGAAGGGGACATACCCCTTATTAGAGTATTGCAGGGAATATGTAGCACTCTCCTCTGCAGAAAGAAAGCCAATGATCGAAGAGAGATATCAACAACTCCTGCCCCTTTCAGAAAAGGGCTCCGTGGCCATCGGTATTAAGCGAATATACGATAACTGTGAGGACATCTTCGCGGGCAAGATAGACACTTTAGAGACTTTGATGCAGGACGACGTCCTTACGGAGATCTATAATGCCGTCAGTTTTGGGAAAGGAGACTTCTTCAAGCTACTATCTCACTCGCGGCCAAACATGCGCATCCTCGAAGTCGGTGCGGGTACCGGTGGCACCACCGAAATGATCCTCCGGACCCTCGTGCGAGAGGATGGTCATCCACCATACTCCGTCTATACCTTCAGCGATGTCTCTGCGGGCTTCTTCCCGCAAGCCAAGGAGCGATTTTCCTATGCACCTAACATGGACTACAAGGTCTTCGATATCTCGAAGTCTCCATTTGATCAAGGCTTCACGGCCGGAACTTACGATGTCGTGCTCGCACCTAATGTAGTCCACGCCACACCGTCGCTACGCGAGACGCTTCTAAACTTACAGCCGCTCCTGCGACCAGGAGGACTTCTTGTTCTGACTGAGCTGTGCGCTGTTGTGCGAACTCCAAATTACATATTTGGTAACTTCTCTGGTTGGTGGCTCGGCGAGGCAGATGGCCGACCTTATGAGCCTTACGTCTCCGTCGAACGATGGGACGATGAGCTCAAGGCAACCGGTTTCTCCGGGGTCGACACCGCACTTCGTGATGCTGCTGAGCCTTACCATTATTGTGCTGCCATCGTATCAACCAAAGTAGAAGAGAATGCCACTTCTGAAAAGGCGCCCTCGCCAGTATCAATCCTGTGCGACGATCCCGAGGGAGATTTAGTAGGACTCCTTGTTGAAGGACTTGCAAGTTCTGGTGTTTCGGCAAAGGTGTTTCGATTGGGACAAAGCCTACCGCACGACCAAGACATTGTATCCCTTCTTGATCTAGAAAGCTACTTCTTCGAGAACATCTCGCCAGAAAGACTAAATGCGTTTCAACAGATATTACAGGACTACAAGTCAGGCTCTATAATATGGCTGACCAGACCAGCTCAAGTAGACTGCAAAGACCCGCGATCCGCTCAATCCATCGGTGTCGCACGATCCATCCGAGCTGAATCCTCGGTACCTTTCTATACGCTAGAGATTAGTCCCACAGAACCTCAATTCTCGACCTTAGTTCAGAAAGTATTGAGCAAGATTCGACGTATCGAAGACACCGACTTGCTTGCGCCCGATAAAGAATATGCCGTTGACGCTGGTGTTGTCAAGATTGGCCGATACCAGCCATTTTCAGTTGGTAAAGAGCTACAACAGAACGCTAGTGGTGCTGTGGTTCAGGAGGTGAAGGCATTGGAGACTGCCAAGCCTGGATCCCTGGAGAATGTCGGCTGGGTCGGCGAAGCTATTTCGAGTAGCCTTGGAGATGACGAGGTTGTGATTGAGACACGGGCAGTGGGAGTTAACTTCAAGGTGAGTATATGATAATTCCTCTACGCTAATCGGCGTTAACAATGAAGTAGGACGTCCTCTATGCGATGGGTATTCTGAAGACCAGTACAGAGAATGTTCCGTTAGGTCTCGAACTGGCCGGCATCGTCCGCCAGGTTGGTGCAAAAGTAGATGGTCTAGCTATCGGAGATCGTGTAATGGCAACTCCACCGAACGCATGCTTCAAGACGCAGGTTAAAACGCCGGCTTCTCTTGTCGCAAAGATACCGGACGATCTCACTTTTGAGGAGGCGGCCTCTATGCCTATATGTTACACAACGGTGATAGAGTCGCTTCTGAATATTGGGCGACTAGAAAAGGGACAGGCTAGTATATTTCGTCTCTGTTGCTCGAGCGCTGGATCTAACAGGTTGCAGTCTGTTCTTATTCACTCAGCGGCTGGAGGTGTCGGGCACGCAGCAATACAAATCTGCCAAATGGTTGGCGCAGAGGTATGTCTTAACCGTTTCAACCGACTTACATGAGTAGAACTAACGGAGAGATACTCGAAAAGATATTTGCAACTGTCGGAAGTAAGGAAAAGGTAGAACACCTTGTAAAGAAATTCGGTATTCCGACTAGCCACATATTCCATTCACGAGACGATTCATTCGTTGCCGATTTGATGCGTGAGACCAATGGCCGCGGAGCTGACATTGTGCTCAACTCCCTTTCTGGAGAGCTATTGCACGCTTCCTGGGACTGTGTCGCCGAGTTCGGTACCCTGATCGAGCTCGGGAAGAGAGACGCCATCGAGGGTGGTAAGCTTCGGATGAGGAACTTCATAGAGCATCGGTCATACTCCTGTGTCGATATGACGCATCTTGCACAGAAGAGGCCACAGAGAGCTGGAGCGTACGTACTTTCTTACCATACTCAGTATCAGATGCAAATTTAAATACTAACAAGTGATTTTATATAGGGGTTTGAAGAAGTGTGTTGAACTCTACCGAACTGGTTGCATAAAGCCAATCGGTCCGCTCTCTGTATTTGACGCAGGCGACGTTCAAGATGCATTCCGCGTAGTGCAGGACGGAAACCATATTGGCAAGGTGGTTGTCCGTGTACCTGAAGATTCCTCGACTCTCACAAGCATGCCTAAACACTCTGAGTTGCGCTTGAAGAATACCGCTTCATATCTGCTAACAGGTGGCTTGGGTGGCCTTGGGAAGGTTATCGCTACCTGGCTCGTCGAAAAGGGGGCTAGATCGCTAGTATTTCTATCTAGAAGTGCTGGAAAGACACAACAGGACCAGGAGTTCTTCCAAGAATTGCGAAGTATGGGGTGCGATGTGCGCGCTGTACCGGGTCGGGCTGAATCAGTTGAGGACGTTGGAAGCGCGGTTTCGCAGGCTCCATATCCCATCAAAGGAGTTATCCATCTGGCGATGGTTCTCCGAGTAAGTTAATTTCAGCTCTCTCTTTGGCAGTGTCTTACTTATTTTTCGTTAGGATTCACCGATTGCAAGCATGAAACATGAAGATTGGGTGGCTGCAAATGCCCCTAAGGTGACTGGTGCTTGGAACCTCCATGAGCACCTGAAGGAACATGCCCTTGATTTCTTCGTCATGGCTAGTTCCATGGTAACTATTGTCGAACAACCAGGGCAAGGGAACTACAGTGCTTCAAACACGTTCCTTGAAGCTTTCACTCAATATCGACGTTCCCTATCTCTCCCCGCGACTGTGCTTAATATCAGCCCAATAGACGGCGTGGGCTTCGTCGCTGAAAACCCATTCGCAAGGAAGAACATGAAAGCACAAGGACTGTACTTCTTGAGCGAGGCGGAGCTTCTGGACTTTTTCGAACTGGCTATCATCCAATCACGCCCTTTCGAAGAGCTCAGCTCCACAGGCAACTCCACGCTGACTCCTTGGACGAGTACCGGCCAATTAGTTATGGGTTTACGATCCGAGGGTGACCTAAATGACCCAAATACACGAACTAACTGGCGCCGGGACCGACGAATGGGCTTCTACCACAACAATAATGAGAAGGAAACCAATACAAGGGGCAGTTCCAGCGAGCTAATCGCGTTCCTAGCACGGGTAGCTGATGATGTCGAAGTATTGGACGACCCGCAAAGCGTCTCATACCTGAGCCACGAAATCGGTAAGAAGGTATTCAGCTTAATGCTCAAACCTGAGGACGATCTAGATATATCCCTAACATTATCGCAAATTGGATTGGATTCGCTCATGGCAATTGAGTTGCGCCGCTGGTGGAAACAGGTGTTGGGCCTACAAATCAGCGTCCTCGAAATCATGGCTACTGGAACGTTAGAAGCGCTGGGAGGTGTCGCCGCTAAAAGCTTGAAAGATAAGTTCGCTGGAAGTGATACGCCCGAAGAAAAAAACCGGATGAGTTAATGGCGCCAAGCGAAAGCTAGGTTCTGTATTAATTAAAACCACAATTATAATATAACTACCTCTCGCTCAAACACCTACATGTCTTTATTAGTCAAATAAGGAGATTATAAATGTTGACTTGCAAGCGAGTAGGAGAAGAATTAGATCCAGGTGTCTTTCATGTGGTATAGTAGTCGTTGCTATCTTTCAGTAACGATTCCTTATTGATGTTGCTCTCATTGGGAACTATCCCCTCAATTTGATTGTGTCCCTATAGACCCTATTGCTGCATCGTAAATCTGAAGGAGCTGTCTGCGACATTCCACTCCTTAATCTCTCATACCGACCCGAATTTCGGAGTAGCGGAGACAACGAAGAAAGCCTATTAATGATCTGAAAGAGGCCATGGGATTCTGCAGAGCTCCACGTTCTCTTATCAATACGAATGTTTTCTAAGGGGCCGGGGGAAAGTCGGTGTATAATCAAGGTCGTTGCAATTCATCGACCGGTGAGACTCTCGGCACCCGGCGCATTGTGGAGAATTCTTGCGGACTGTAATCAAGTTTAAGTCAATTCAAGAGACATCGTGGCTGCAAGATCCCCCCACCGAACCGTTTAGTCGAATTGATCCCCCGGAGCAAATATCTTGAATGTAATGAATATTGAATATGCGCTCGATGTAAAGCTGACGTCGTTTCTCTCCCCTTTCGACGATTTCGAAGGGACAATGTGACTAATCCTAGCCTTCTCAATAAACTCTTCGTCAAACTGATGACACTTATAGGTGTTGAACTGAGTGTACCCCAAGGATCGCATTTGGATTCGACGGACCATTTACTAGGATCATGGATGTTACCGTTGCGGAGGCTGGGCCGGTAATACTAGCGACGTTGAATCTGTACGGCAATTGTTCAGATTTGCCAGCCCCCCCGGATCACCCGCGAGGCGGGAAATGGCAGCTGAGATGTTCCGCATCTAATTGCGTATTCTGTATTCACGTGAAGTAAGAGGACACTCTCCGAGCAATAACGACAGGGGCCACCATACAGCCATTTATGAAAAGGTGTAGAAAATTCAAAACTGTGGACTTTACCTGCAGAGGTTCAGAAACAATTACTTGGCTTTTTCTATCATGATCCCTCAGTATTTCAAATTCTGTAGTGAGTGAGGGCAGGTCCGTTTGCTCCGCGGTGGATACTCCTCGATACATTTGGGAGCTATTATTAGGTACTGGATATGCTTGATTCGAAGATGCAGTCTACGTTGCCGAATACTTGAGGTCAATCGATAGGTGATAGAGAACGCCTAGGAATGAGTTTGTAGCGCCACATCTCGAGTATTCGACCTCGCTCGAGCAATTTTGGTTTTTTAAAGTGCAAGCCGAGCGTCTAAGTAATCGATTTAATCGTTTTGAGGCGCCTGTAACAGGGCGGTATCGGCTCAGATTGCTCGGAATTTGCGACTCGAGATGTAACCGGAGGCAAGCAGGCCGCTAAGTCGAGTACAGGGTTGATTCCTTATGCGCTGCGTGATTCAGATCCTGCATGGAGCTCGGCGCCAAATTAATAACCCTTGCCCTTCACCAACAGCAGCTCCTTCATTTCACATGATATTGAAAAACTGTGAAAAACAAAGGTCGTATCGAAACTTTCACAAGCAAAATCTGGGGAATAATGATGAAAACGAATGCTGGTCCCCCGCGAACTTTATTTGATTTACTTTTCGAGCCATTAGTTTCCGGGGTTATCCGCTATGCGCCATGTATTTAAAGCTGCTGATCTGATGGATTCGGGATTGCTGGGTTGCTTGCTGGGTTTAATGCAGGGTCACAGCCAAACGTCATGAGGTAGTCTTGCAGTAGTGCTAGGTCTCAACCATGGAAAAGGGAGGTAGGGCGGCTAGTAATAACCCAATGTGTGATGCGGTTCGCCTCGTTTAGGCTAGAGTTGTTAGATACGTGTTAAATGGTGCGATGCAGTGCATAACAGCTGGATTAAATCTATTGGAACGTCTAACGAGGGTGAAAATTCTTTCCTGCCCAAAGGAATATGCAAGCCGCAGCCCGATCGACGTATCGACATTATTACGTGGCTGGGCTGTTCCATTCTAGTTCGTCTGGCACGATCACGAGGCGGAGAATGTAAAAGTAGAAAAACCACAGACGTTTCCTTGCGCGAGTTCCAACTGAATTTTATGCTTGATTGCCCCATCTGCCCCTCCTTATCTTATCAGGGCCTGTCTTCCTTATCTCTTTTCTTATCTACCTAACATTAGGTAAAGAGAGGTTGGGGCCACTTGGAGACTTAAATCATGGGGACAGCGTGTACTTCGTATCCGTGTGATCAGTCTCCTAGAACATTTGATGTCGACGAGTATTATAGATTGCATCAACTTATACCTTACAGAATGCGTCAAAGAATTACCTTCTTCCATAAAAACGAGAACGGAGTAGAGCCCGCTGCTCTAAGGCTTTTGGGTCGCTACATTTCGGGGCCGGACATCACCGCTGAACGGGAGGACCGGATTACACTAGCTCTAGAGGAGCTTCCGGTCGAGCTTCAACACCTACTTCGAGAATCTCGCGAGTTATTCATTCGATGGCAAAAACCTGTCCCCTACAAAGCGATAGGTCCTTGGACCTCAAGGTTGCCTCCTGGTTTGCATATCTTTTATACGCCCGGCAATAGCGACAGACCTGATGGCGGTCGCCTGTGCCGCTTGTTTCGGACGGCGTTCGGACCATTAGATTGCTCATCTACATCTGTAAGCTACTCTCACAGAAATGGCATTAGTTCGCTCTAGCTCTCTAATAATTTGTAGGGGTCGTTTACGAAATTACCAAATGACCGATTCACTCATTCGACAGCATATCAATATTATCAGATCCTAAACGACCTATCTCATTTCACTTCATACCTCGAACAATATGCTTGTAGTTCCGGTAACTCCGAATGCAAGTCGCGAGTTCAACGGCTTCTTGACGCCACTTCGGTTGATTTCTCCTACGATGCGCTTTCTCATGTTGTGAAACTCACAGCTGTGTGGCCTCATGAACGGCAGCCATTGTTTATCAACTCTCAGCACGATCATAGAGCCGAGGTTGGGATAATGACACCGGACTCACCTCCGCATCTAGAGTCACATGAGCTTGGTGTCACGGGACTGCTGGCGGTCTTAGGTGAAGATTCCAGGCCTACACCAACTCTTTTCTCGTTCCCTTCACGCCACAAGAATGCCGACGATGCGAGTTTCGAGGCCACTTTTCTCCGTCCGATGGGCTTACACCCGACTATGCAATTGCGTCTCAGCTCAAGTAAGCCGCCGATGGACGACGCGTACTGTTCGCTGCACACGTACCTTACTCTTCCTCGAACCGTGTTCATCGACAAGTATCAACTTGGGGATGAGCTATTCATGTCATCCAAGAACTTGTCGGCGTTGCGTTACATCAGCCAACCGGTGGACCTTGAAGCTCCAGACTACGCCATGAGGCTTTGGGGTTCCAGTGCCCTCCTAGAGCTGCAGCCACCGAGAAGCGGGAATGACCAACCGTGGACGGCCGAGATTCCACTCCATCTTAGGTACTTGGCGCCAGCGGATCATGGCTACAGAAACGTTAGTATCCCTTGGCCTGTGGTTTTCTGGGCTTGCGCGGCCGAAGAGGGCACCAAGTTCTCCAACAGTCCATTCGACAGGACGAATCTAGGATACGACGGACTATTTGGCCCCCGTACGCTGTTCTGGCATGTTGAACCGAAGCCAAGTCCAGGCGAGAACCTCTATCACGAAATTCGGGTTCCCGTTCTTGACCTTGGACAGTCAAATCGGATCAGCTCTGGAACTGTAACCGTGGTTCTCATGGGACTTGTTTTCGTAATATGGAAACTCGTATCAGTCTGCCTAGGGATAAACCGCGACAAATACAAACCGGAGAAAGTAAGGAGAAAGAGGAAGAGTCTATGATAATGATTTCAAAATTGAAGCATCAACAGTTGTGCATTCTAAACTTTTACTGGGTCGGGGTGGGAATTAACGACGGCGTTGAGGTCATGTGATTACGTATTATTTGCATTATTTTCAATGTTGTTACTATAACGGGGCCATGGCAATGGCACAGAACCAAGGCGTTAGGGACAATCCGTATACATACATACCTTAGGTAGTGAACATAACTTATACTACATTATCTTACTCATACACGCTTAAATATATCGACAAGTTTACTTAAGAGCCAATTTAATGATATCGTGATGTTTTCATATGTTGTAGCGGGCATTGCCATTTTATTATTTACATACAACCCAATTCTTCAATACTTTTCTCCCGAGCCATCCTGTCTTCCACGGACCGCTCGGCCTCGTATAAATGAATCCCTCCTTGCCATCGATGCAGCAAACCAAACAGCACCGGACTGTCCTCCGGATTCATACTCAATTCATATTCTTTCAAAAGCGCCAATCGTAATTTATATCGAGAATTTCCTCTCCAACGATGAGCGGTCCCATTTGCTAGAGATTAGGTACGTTCAGTGTGATGTTTCTTTCGTCATAAGAGATACCTGCTAACAACTCATAGTGAGCCGTTGTTTGAGCCTTCGACCATCACCCACGATGGCGACTCGACGCAGCGCGATGCTACAATTCGAGACTCGGAGGTCGCATTGATACCCCGTACCGACACTGTGCGATGCATCGAAGCTCGTACACGAGCTATTCAGGGCTGGCGCGACGACTTGTGGATAGAGCGTCTTCGTACACAGCGTTACGGGGCGAACCAGCACTACGCGCATCATTTCGACTGGGGCTCCGGCGCTCGGGGCTGGGGCCGAGTCAGCAGCGTTATGGCTTGGGTGCAAGCTGAAGACGTCGAGGGAGGAGGAACCGAGTTTCCCCTACTCCGGCGAGAAGCACCCGACAACCCGTGGTGTCAATGGGTTGAGTGTCCCAAGCTACCCGAATCCGAGGGAGAATTCCCCACCACGGGCGGAGAATTAGTTGCGGGCGTTTCTTTCAAGCCTATCGCTGGTAATGCTGTATACTGGGAAAACTTCCGTCCCGACGGAACGGGGAGAGGTTGGGATGAGACTTGGCACGCGGGTTTGCCCGGTACGTAACCCTTCCTCCTTCTAAGACCGCCATTTGGCCTCACCATGAGCTTTCCGTTCTTGGCAGAGATCTTAATATTCCCCTTACTATTACTTTTTCTTATTTGAGACAATCCTTAACTCTTTTCATCACAGTGAAAAAGGGGACGAAAGTCGGTCTGAACATTTGGAGCTGGGGTAGGCTTAGCTAGAAAGGCTTTTTCATGGCTCATCCCATAAAAGCAAAGTCGGTATAGCTCTAAAGGAGAGTCGTCTATCTGATGGCTTACGCTGCGGGCCATATATTATGAATATTATATTCAGACAACGTGGAATTACGAGCTTCCCACACTTTATACCTTGTTGCGGACAAACCCGCCCGAATCAGACACCGCAAAGTTCCATACCTATGCTCGGACAATTTATTTAACTTTCAATACCAAAACCTCTATATATCTCAGCAGCCAATAAGATAATAGCTATATATTAACCTCGTCATCAAAACAGATACAGACGATCAAAGTTTCGGTCAAATATGAATTAACTTCAAGTCCGGAATAACCTTACTTCGTTCTATATCGGTGAAGCAAAGATCCTCCACAGTTACAGGAAAAATCTGTAAAACGAGAACCAATTAGAAGCTTAATGGACCCCCACACGTTCCGCAAGGATCCCGATGTCGCCATTTTGATACAGGATCGCAACATAGACTTCAACAGCAAATCTAGATCACAATTCACCAACCTATTAATAATGGGTTCCGCGTAGTTGGGTGAAATCGAAAGATATCTATCGACTTTAGTTTAGACAACCATCCAGAACCATACTTAACGCAGTAAACCTCCCACGCCTATGTATAAAAACGATTACGGTCTTTTCTCGCCACCGTGACCTGCCTGTACACTACACCAAACAAGAAGCGGTCTCGAACTGGTGTCATCCTCTACCTTACATATGTATGTACAGACATACATGTATACCCGAGATACATGCCACTCTCGAACTCGTTTTACACCCACGCCGCCACTTCCAAGACCACATCGTGCATCGTCAAGATAATTGCGCCCTGCTACGCCGCCAGCCGCTATACCCCTTTCTCATTGCACCGGACCGCACATACGAGCCGTCGGCCCAAAGAACGGCGGCACTTAACATAGGTACCTAACAATGCATGACGTAACTCGAAATCAGGGTTCAAAATGGATCTAGAAGGCATCCGCACCAGATTGGCCCTAACTTCCGGTGGCTAGCCTATAGGGGCCGGGCGTTCTAGGTATTAGACTCGGTAGGTTCGACAAGTGTAATCCGTAAGCTTTGATAAAGCAGGTACATGTATGTACCTACTTGTGGGAGTCTACGATACGTGGGTGTTGCCCGTACGCAGTACCAGACGCCATGTATATATATGGCTTGGTAAGACCGGACGTACCGCTAGACGTGGACCGGCTCCATACTCTATGCTCCATGTTCCATGTATCAAAGTCGTTATTTAAATCTTCTTACATACATGTATCACATCTTCCCCTTTAGGTAGGTCTCTAGCAAGTGCGTTTAAGCTACTTCAGGTACTTGGGGTCTGCGAAACTTCGTCCTTCAAGTTTGCTCTCAAGTTTTCTCTCTTCTCGATCTGTTCCTACACGACATAGCAACTCTCATATTGTCAGTCGCAACTTGCAAGTTCGATAAATAAATGCAATTGACTTGCTTTTCGATACTTTCAGCCACCAATTACTTTATGCGTGGCGCGCCGTACAAGTGAAAGAAGCAAACATTTATACTTATTGTCTCATTTAAAACTCGGATTGCAACATCGAGGCTCGATATCCACCATGTCTAACAAGCCTGTCTTCCTAGCCACGCACCCACGGGCATGCTCTACCGCCTTCGAAAGGGTTAGTCTCGTATCATACCATACCATCAGAACCTATACCGTATTTACTAAAAACGTATTAGGTGTTTATGACCCGTCGGGACGTCCTAACATGCGCCCATGAGCCATTTGGTGATAGCTATTACTACGGTCCTGAGAGACTTGGCGAGCGCTATGCCAATGATGAGGCCGCTAGGGAGAGTAGTGGCTTTTCTAAGACCACCTATCGTGATGTCTTAGACCGGCTGGAAAAAGACGGCAGCGAGGTTCGAAATCTCCTGACACCCCAATGCCCCTGATCCCCTTTCTATGCTTGAAGCTCCTCGTCGTTGTCATTCCCTCCATATTGGTTCCATCCCCCATCGCAAGTGCGAGGTAGGATCAGCCACATATGCAAGAATCAAATTCGGGGATGACATTACAGTGTTGGGGTAAAGAAATGGAGGCGCCACCAAAAGATATGCCCCAAGTTCTCAAGTTCACTGGCGTGTCCCAAGAGCAACACTATGATATACAAAGGGTAACCAACCGTATAACTCCAATATCTTGGCCTCTTGGATACCTATCCTTCAAAACTGCACCCATTTCATTCAACTGTATACGCACGAATACCGATATTCTGGCCCTGCTAGTTCTGAGCCTCATTATGCGCCGAGTACTTACTCTATCCTGCAGGGCAAGCGTGTCTTCATCAAAGACATGGCTTATTACTTGATGCCTCCAAACTCGCAGCCTGCGGTAATCCCCAAGTCCCTACGCAAGGGTGATAGTTACTCAGAAAAGGGGAACCCAACAGTGTTACCCCTCGACATCCTGAAGAACTTTCACTGGACATTCCTTATCCGTCATCCGCGACGAGCAATTCCTTCATATTTCCGATGCTGTGTGCCTCCGCTAGACGAGGTTACCGGTTTCAAGGAATTCCTCCCTAGTGAGGCAGGTTACGTGGAGCTCCGCCGGCTGTTTGACTATTTGCGAGAGCAGAACATAATTGGCCCGACGCTAGCTGGAGAATCAAACGGGAATAAGGCCGATGGTGGAGTTACCATCACTGTTATCGATGCCGATGATCTTCTTGACCATCCGAATCCCGTCGTTAAGGCATTCTGCAAGGAGACCGGGATCGAATTCACACCGGAGATGCTTACTTGGGAGGACGCTGAAAACCAGGACTACGTCTCGGAAGCTTTTGCCAAGTGGAACGGTTTCCACAACGATGCTATCCACAGCAAGAGTCTCACAGCCAGGACTCAAGCCCACGTAAGTTTACAGATATACGCAATTCTGGATTGTTCTCGTGGTTTTATATACTGACTTTACTTGGATAGAAAACTGTCACCGAGGAATCTGAGAATGAGGAATGGCGACAGAAATATGGCAAAGAGGCCCAGGAGCAAATCAGAACCTGTGTGGATGAGAATATTCCACACTACGATTATCTCAAGACCTTCGCTATGAAGTTTTAGATTGCCGGCAAGTCTATACACATAGGTACCTACCTAGATAGTACACTTGAATACAGTATTTCTAGATTTTGTAAAGTGTATCGTAGGTGGAGGGTTACTTAATTTTACACTCTGTCAAAACTGCGGCAACAGTAAGACGTGATAACCTGACTTTATACAGCTCTTATAGAGAGTTCTTTTGATCTGCCTCCTTTTGATCTGTCCTCTTCTGGCCTATCTCTTCTTGGTCGACTGACTTCTGGTCTGCCGCCTCCTGGTCTGTCTCCTTCTTATCCGCCCCTTCCTGATCCTCGCCTTCTTCCGTTGCTTCTGCCAATTCCGAGTGTTGCTCCACGAGCTCTTTAGTGTCCATTCCCATCTCCTCTATAGTGGCTTGGTCGAAGCGGTAGTGCGTGACATTAGGAGGCCAGCTTTTCGCGAAGTTCCGGTCTTTATCATCGGCCCACCAGACCTGAGCTTTGACCAGGGCCTTAACAACGCCGTCCTCGTCCTTCTTGAGATTCTTCTCATCCCCCGCTTCCAGGTTGGCAAGTATTTTCGGGTCCTGTGACACGGTCATCCAGATCAGACTGCCCTTCCCCAGTCCCCCGAGCACCGCAGCCATGTCGGCAATCGTGTTGGTCTTCTGGTCGTTGATCCTCTGGCCCCGCTCGAGCTTCGTCAGGGGCTTCCCGAGCTTGTCGTAGAGCATGTCGTCGGTCCACGATAGCTCGTGCAGTTTCTTGCACTCTCGCATGCGCTGGTATATGCTCCGCCCCACGTCGCCGAAGCCCTCGGGGAACTGTATCATGGCGAAGGGCCGCCAGTAGTCGCGTCGGAACTTGCTAGGCTTGAGCTTCTTGCCGTTGAAGGAGAGTTGTTTTAGCGCCTTGTTCGCCTTTGCAATTTTCAGCGTCAGTACCTCGGCGCATTCCAGGACAATGCCAGATAGATAAAGATGCTATGTAATTTCATACCTTGAGCACGGGCCTATGTGATAACACCGTCATGCCCTCTAATATGTGGGCGTATATCCATATCTTCTCGCCATGGTGCTCTGGGAATGTAGACGCCGCTAACTCCTTCTCCCTCTTCTCTCTATTCGGAGCTGTGGATTTGAACCGTAGGCCAGTCCATGATATGCCGAGGGGCAGCCTACTGAATTGGACTGTTATTGAATTGACCCGCAGAGCCATGGTGGGCGGTTCTACTATCGAGAGCTCCGGTCAACTGAGGCTGATATCCAATACCACGGATATTGGCTGTCGGGTTCCTTGTTCAAAATTTCCGTCGCGATAAGGATCGAATTAGTGGGATTGGTACCAGACTGGCAGACTGGGCTGACTGGTAGGGCCTTATCTTAGCGTCTAGCGGTACATAGATACGAACAAGGGCTAGAAGTACCTTTGGTGCCTTGAATAACAATGACCTTGTTGGACACATGGACAACGAATGATTCTTTCCCACATACATACTATGTAATGATTACGTAGGTACCTACCTAGGAATGTAAGAAGCCAATCGCAATGTAACACAACTTCTATGAGTCTTAATCAAGGCGAGACAATACCATCCGTACCTCTTACCTTACATATGTTAGGTTAGGTACCTTTGACAATATAGCTTATCTTATCATACGAGCAAAGTCGGAAGCAGCAAGATCGATTACCCGATATTACCCCGCGATTGGCTAGAGCTGAACGTTGTCGTCAGGCAGGCTTGGCAACATTTACATAGGTCATTTAGGTTAGGCTAGCCATTAGCTGCCCCACCCACTAGAAGCTTCCCAGACGTTCTATGGTAGTAACCAACACGAAGCTTCTCATTCTTGCTAGAAACCTAAAGGAGCTTGAAGAGTGCACCGGAAGGAACTACCTAGGTAGATAGACGAATGAGCTGACTGAGTGCCCCAACTTTCTCAACTTTCTACCTAACTATCTCATCATCATCGCCTGTTTCTGTCTGTTTCCTCCCCGCTTCTAGCGTTTTCAAGCAAACAGATAAATACAAGTTCAACTTCTTTGTCTTGCTATTCCTTTCTCACTTGAACTCACCAGGAATAAAGACAATCAAGAAAATCAAGAACAACAAAAATCAAGAACAACAATCTTAAAAAAGTGATACCCAATTCTTGTAGTGTAAAGCCAACACAGTAAGGCTTCCACTTACAACACGCGCACATCATCTACCTACTACTTTTACATTCTACCAGCACATGTTTTCTCATTTGATATTGAGACACACATCAGATTAAAACACCAAAACACCAAAACACACAACCCTCACAATGACTTCCAGAATGGAATTCACAGATCGGGGCAAAAAGGCCCTAGAGGATGCCATGGCGTTGGCAGAGCAATACGCTCACTCCCAATTATTACCAATCCACCTGGCAGTCTCTCTGCTAGATCCCCCGCCAGACCAATCCAAGGACCAGCAAAATGCACAACCAGGTACCACCAACAGCCTATTCCGACAAGTAATTGAGAGAGCACGTGGCGACCCTCAACTATTCGACAGAGCACTCAAGAAGACGTTGGTCCGTCTGCCAAGCCAAGACCCCCCGCCAGAGAACGTGTCTATGTCACCATCATTTAGCAATGTTCTCAGGAAGGCTCAGGAGTTACAAAAGACGCAGAAGGATACATACATCGCAGTTGATCACCTCATAACTGCGCTTGCCGAAGATCCAACAATCGCCAATGCTCTCAAGGAATCTAATATCCCCAAACCCAAGCTGGTCCAGGAGGCCGTCCAAGCTATTCGCGGGACGAAAAGGGTGGACTCCAAGACAGCCGATACCGAGGAGGAGCACGAGTATCTTTCCAAGTTCACAATCGACATGACCAGTATGGCAAGGGAAGGTAAGATCGACCCTGTCATCGGCCGAGAAGAGGAGATCAGACGAGTTATTCGGATTCTCTCACGACGAACAAAGAACAACCCGGTACTAATTGGTGAGCCCGGTGTCGGTAAAACTACCGTCGTCGAAGGCCTGGCTCAGCGGATTGTCAACGCCGATGTACCTGACAACCTTGCCGCTTGCAGGCTGCTCTCCCTTGATGTTGGCGCTTTGGTCGCCGGCAGTAAGTATCGTGGTGAATTCGAAGAGAGAATGAAGGGTGTTCTCAAGGAGATCCAAGAGTCTAAGGAAATGATCATTCTCTTCGTTGATGAAATCCACTTACTTATGGGTGCCGGTGCTTCGGGTGAGGGTGGCATGGACGCTGCCAACTTGCTTAAGCCCATGCTTGCCCGTGGACAATTACACTGCATTGGTGCAACCACCCTTGCCGAATACCGGAAGTACATTGAAAAAGATGCCGCTTTCGAACGACGATTCCAGCAGGTCATCGTCAGGGAGCCAACCATCCCTGAGACCATCTCCATTCTCCGAGGTCTTAAGGAGAAATACGAGGTTCACCACGGTGTCACTATCTCTGATGCCGCCATAGTCGCTGCTGCAAACCTTGCTGGACGATACTTAACTTCTCGGCGTCTTCCTGACTCTGCTGTTGACTTGATTGACGAGGCTGCAGCGGCCGTCAGAGTCGCCCGAGAATCTCAGCCCGAAATCATCGACTCTTTGGAGCGCAAGTTACGACAACTCAGGATTGAAATCCACGCGCTGTCCCGAGAGAAGGATGAAGCCTCGAAGGCTCGACTCCAGATTGCCAAGCAAGACGCCGAAAACGTCGAGGAGGAGTTGCGGCCTCTCCGAGAAAAGTATGAACGTGAACGAAAGCGTGGCAAGGACATCCAGGAGGCTAAGATGAAACTTGATCGCCTGAAGGTCAAGATGGAGGATGCGGCCAGAATGGGTGATCATGCTACCGCTGCAGATCTCCAGTACTACGCCATCCCCGAACAGGAGAACGCGATCAAGGAACTCGAGCGCCAGAAGGCCGCCGCCGATGCAGCTCTAAGTCAGAACGATACCGGCGGTTCCATGATTACAGATGTAGTCGGACCAGACCAAATCAACGAAATTGTCTCGCGCTGGACCGGTATTCCTGTCACAAGACTAAAGACCTCCGAAAAGGAGAAGCTTATCCACATGGAGAAGGCTCTCGGAAAGATTGTCGTTGGACAGAAGGAAGCAGTGCAAGCAGTCTCCAACGCCATTCGGCTGCAACGATCTGGGCTTAGCAATCCCAACCAGCCGCCGAGCTTCCTCTTCTGTGGTCCATCAGGAACCGGTAAGACTCTATTGACAAAGGCTCTTGCTGAGTTCTTGTTCGATGACCCGAAGGCGATGATCCGGTTCGACATGTCCGAATATCAAGAACGTCACTCACTAAGCCGAATGATTGGCGCGCCGCCGGGATATGTTGGACACGACGCCGGTGGTCAACTTACCGAGGCCCTCCGCAGAAAGCCCTTTTCTATCTTGCTGTTCGATGAAGTTGAGAAGGCTGCTAAAGAAATTCTGACTGTCCTTCTCCAACTCATGGATGACGGCCGTATCACCGATGGACAAGGTCGTGTTGTCGATGCCAAGAACTGTATTGTCGTCATGACTTCCAACTTGGGTGCAGAGTATTTATCTCGCCCAGGTGGCCGTGATGGCAAGATTGACGCCACGACGCGGGAGCTGGTATTGAACGCCCTGCGCAACTACTTCCTACCAGAGTTCCTCAACCGTATCAACTCAATCGTCATCTTCAACAGGCTCACAAAACGCGAGATCCGTAAGATAGTCGACCTACGGCTTGAAGAGATCCAGAAGAGGCTTAACGACAATGACCGCAACGTGCGCATCGAAGTCTCAGATGAGGTCAAGGACTACTTGGGCAACGCAGGCTACTCGCCGGCCTACGGTGCTAGGCCACTAGCCAGGCTAATTGAGAAGGAAGTTCTTAACCGCCTGGCCGTCCTCATCCTGCGCGGTAGCATCAGGGATGGAGAGGTCGCAAGGGTCGTCATGGTTGGTAACAAGGTCCAAGTCCTACCCAACCACACAGATAGCGAACTAGGCGATGGTGATGACGAAGATATGCTCATCGATGAGGAGGATGCGGTGGAGGACGTCGCACCCGACGGTATGGATGAGGACATATACGATTAGAGGGGGGTACGGCTACTGTATAATCCCAAGATTGATGACGAGTGATGAATGATGAGCTACTTAGGAACGAAGGGAATGTAACCATTTCTAAGGGTCATGGGATACATACATACCAGGTACTTATGTAAGGGGGTAAGTGAGCATGTTATTTGCGGAAAACAATGGAATCCGGCATATGGCGTTGCAAGGCGTCCGGCAAAGGAATTTGAGGGTTAGCTGATTAGCTAGCATTATTGCAAACCAAAAGTCTTAGGGTAATACGAATAATTCATAAATAATATGCCTTCTTTAGACTTGTGAGTGGTAAGTGAATGTGGTTACTGATTGGTGAGGTAAGGCTTTTATAAGACCGAACGCTAAGTTATCTTAAAGTTATCTTAAAGTTATCTTAAAGTTATCTTAAAGTTATCTTAAAGTTATCTTAAAGTTATCTTAGAGATATTCTTTACGAAGATTATACCATTCAGAGACTATGCCCTTGGGCGCCAACGTAATACACAGTTGCTTTAGTATAGTGATACATATAATCATATTGTAAAGTGAGGTTATTATGGAAGAATACCTAGGCATAAGGTTGTCTAATTACCTGATCATATTTTTTTTGAAATAAGTAAAGTAAGTTATGTAGCACGCTGGCTCTTAAGGACATCGTTGCGAGAGATTACAAGTTATATTTATACTAAACAGTACCCGTGACTACCTCCTTAGGTAGGTACTAAGTATGTTGAACAGGTGCAATATAACCAAGTCTCCTATACAGGTCACCAGGATCTTCAATGCTATTTAGTGGAGATGTTACTGAAAAAAGCGAGGTATCAGGACACTCGAAATATTATGGCAAGATACGCATCTCGTATTTCGAAAAGACTTTTATCATCTAAAATTACCGGTTTAAGTAAAGATTAAGCCAGAATCTTCTAAGAGCTTTGTACTTTACCATACAAATGAAATAGTATAATACTTATTAACTGTTTCAAGTAACATCTCCACTAAATAGTGTTGAACATCCTAGTGACCTGTAGAGTAACTTGTCACATAGTATATAGCCTTTGCCTGTAAAGATCTTATAGAGGTGAATTTCTCCTGATCAAAAACTAAAATGTCATCTTCATTAATATGCACCCTTTTTTTCGTTGTTTTCCCTATTATAATACAGCACCCGTTATGTTCATACTAGTCCATACTTTCTGATCAGATCTTGTTCATTCTTATTCTTATTAATTCCTATTCAGTCTTATTAAAAGTGTAACGCTTTCACCTGCAGTTGAATGTCTCATAACAGGTGTTTGAACTGTTGAATCTGAGTCCGGGGCATTGGGGAAAAACTTGGCCACCGTACCATCTTGTAGATCTGGTCTCGTGTAATACATAATTGCCTGATATATGCATCTAATATATTTAAGGAGATCCTTTCATCCTTTAGTATATAACAGATGGCTCCTCGTTTTAATTTTAGTCAACACACTATTGTACATGTAATTTTTGGCTCTATATGACCGACATCCCCTAGCGTGATATATATGGTAGAAATAAAACCCAAATGGATCATAAAGAAACTAACATTCATATTATATGTCCCTTATATACAAGTACCTAAGACATTTAGAAACCGAAAGCTATAACTCGCTTTCAGCGAATCTCACATTCCGTCATAACGCTATGCTCATCGAGAATTCTCCACGCATCCCCATACTTCTTGGCTGTGTTGAAAATACTCCATGGATACTCATGCATCTTGGCTGTATATTCCATGATACCCGCCCTAGAAAAAATGTTCTTATCCTCTTCTTCACGGCGGAGGATCAGATAGTATCGTGTCATGCTCTCCCCGGCAGTTGCGTTGGAATCGGCAAACATCCAAAGTAAGCACACCTTCTGTTGCCGGGGAACACATTGGTACCCATCATCATCGTGATCCATATGAACCTTCTCAAGGTAGTTCCCCTTTATATAAGTATGACCTTTTGAATTCATTAGGCTCGCCCAATTACCGACGCGTGGAATAGAAATTCTGCATTTCGTATCGGTATACCACTCTACCACGCCAGGCATTAGTTTGCCTCGCAATTTCAAAAGGCTTTTTGTTAGGAAGCCTAGGGAACTATGCCCGTCGTAGGTGCATGAGGCTTCGGATACTGCCGCGACGACTACCCTTTGAGACCACTTTCTAAGCTGGGGAAAGTCAACATCACTCTGTAGAGATGCCCACGACCAAGTTGGTAAATGATACGGTCTCCTTATATCATCTTTCCAGCCGCGCCTGTTTTCTTTTAAAGACGAATCGGAGCACTTCCAGAGCAAGTCTTCGATCAACGACCCCGACCACAGACCTACCAGGTAGGTTTCGCTAGGACGGAGTTTTTGGAATTGCTTTGCCATAGCACCAAGAGCCGCCAGTCTGTCCTCCGGTCTAGTCACTAATAGACCGCTATACCCCTTCACGATGTATTCTCTCCACGTCTCTGCAACCCATTGCCATACATCTTGGTTCTCTTCGGTTGTCACTGTGGTTCCCCGACTATCGTTTTTGAACCCGTGATCATCCCAGAATATAGAACTAGGTTTCTGAACTGTTAAACTCAGATCTCTTATTGCGCCACACTCACAATTGGTATGGCTATAGCATTGGAAGATAATCTCACTTTCCGTAAAGTAAAGCACTCTTGGGCTAATCATGCGCTCTTGATATGCCCAGGCTCGAGATAGCAGAGGCGACCGTTTTTCTACTTCCTTAGACGAGTCTGGATCAAGAATTAATTCTAGATAATGGGGAAGCCGCGTGTAAACAGGCCAACGCTCATCATCAAGTGAGAACTCTACCACTTTAGTTAATTCGTTCTCCTTCGAAGTTGAGCGAAGTCCAGATTTGCTTGAGCTTCCATATAATGCAGCCAGTGTCACATGAGAATGTTTGTATATATCCCACATCAGTCCTGCTTGCCGGTGCCAGTCCCTCCTATCGTGTTGGACTATACAAAGACTGTCGATCCATAAATACTTGACGCCGAGACTGCGTGTAAATCTGACTGCATCCCTAAAAGTGGCAGGCAATTTTAACCATGGGATTCTTCGCATGTTCTCCTCCAAGCTGTCAGCCGTGGTCATACAGTCCGGGTCGTAGCCACCCCAGCAGTAACTGAGTGTAACATATGCTGATCCTGGAGATATAGAAGTGCCATCTTCAAGTACCACATCTTCCCCTAGTTCCCCAATACTCACGTTAATTAGACGTGGGGGAGTAAATGAGACGCCTTTGTTGGCTTGACGGCATTCCAAATGGAAATTCAAACAACCTGAAATTTGCTTCTGGGCCCACTTGGATGAGGCTTCGAAAAGCTGGTCCATATAAGTCCATGTAGAAAAGAGGAAATTATTGCGACCAATATATCGCATAAGCGGTATTCTGTTGGCACTCATAGGCGTAACGTAGTTCGGCTGTATCCGTGATTGGGTTCGTGAAAACCCCTCAAGTGAGCGATCTAATGCAGCTCCTGCAAGAGATAAAGCATGATTAACTTGACATAAAACACATCTGTAATCCTTTGCAGGTATGTTTATGTTTCTCTGATAATAGAGAGCTCTACTGTGACAATGACAGCGAAAGAACCATTCCATATCCTCATCAAGCGTATCTTGATCATACCAATCTAGATCGAGCTGGGGCAGTTGTATTATAGTAACTGACTGGCTCCTAGGCTCGTCTTCGGTGATTGTATTTCCTTGGGACGCCCCGCTAGGTATTGGCGTTCTCGCTAGATTTTTAGAATCCATTATGCTGTATTGATTTGGAATTAGGGTTACGATAACCCAGTAATTACCGTCCAGCTGACCAACGTAGCAACAGAGAGGGTGCGAATTTTATATACTTATGTATACTAAGTAATGTAAGATGCATATAGTGTGCGCTATGTCACGATTTACAGCTACCTCTACATAATACTACTAGTTATTATAGCTTCCAAACTATTTACGAATGGTCAACCTCATGGACAACACAAACTAATAAGTCGGTAGGAAAATGTGCCTTACCTCTCATCGTCACAACTCCATACGTGGCAGGCTTGGCCAAATTATGCCATCCTCACCCCATTTCTCCAGCTTTTCTCCTATCCACCATTTGCTCAGCCACCGGATGGAACGAGAATGCTGTTTCTACTGAGTCGTACTAAAGTCTGAGAGCAGTGTTGACGTTATGATCTTTATACGAGCTTTCCAAATATTTGCATTAGGTAGCTGTGCAATAATACATGGGTAAGGTAGTATACATGATAGTTACCGGGCCTGGAGCAGACTTGATGCAATAAATCGACCCGGCCCTCACATGCATGCATAAATAGTAGGTTGGGGCGGTGGTTTTATTGGCAGTAGGATGGCGATCACATCAAGCAAATTGCTTAGGGTGAAAGACTCTAACTATCACATCTTCATAGCACAAGGCTGTACCGGAAATTAACAATGCACCTTTTAAATGAAGAGCCCCTGTATATTTGTGACGTTAGGAATAGGGGGGTAGCATTTCTTACCTCGCCTCGATCTGCACAGTTTCCAGAACGTGTAACTCCGTAGCACCTTGGAACGAGCCGTGGTGCCCCGTGGGGGCTGTCACACCGCAGCGACTCTCTGCAGTCTTAATAATAAACCTGGCCCTTCATAAGAACCCTCGCAGTACGAAGCAAATCCGCCGAGACGATCCGGCCGTTCTCCGTCGTTGCCCCTATCTCGACCGTCCCGCTGGGATGTCCAATAACAACCGGTCCAATTTCACGTTTTTCTCCTTTTATCCTACGGACCTGTGCGGGTAGAGTCCCAGGCATATTCGCAGCAGCACCTAAACATAAAGCTAGAGTCAGAGGTACAGCCTTATGCGCCTGACCCATTGACAATGCTAGACATCTGATATCGACATCCGCCGAGCCCGAGTCTGAGAATAGTAGCACGATCTTGGGCACGCTTTCCGTCTTTGGATCCAGTCCCATCTTTGCCGCGCCCGCTTGTCGGATGGACTCCAGCCTAGCTTTGAGTACCGGGTCCGATTCGACTGCTTGAGGGGTGAAGGTATCCGGGCTGGCGTCTTTAATTCCTAGATCGTCTATCCGGACAAATACTCCCGGATTTGACACATCCACCAACGAAGCCTGAATAGTACTTTCATCCGGCAGCGCCAACTCATCGACCGCATTCCCCGTCGGCAACGCCTTTCCCGTCTTCGCTCCAGCAGGATCCAAAAAACTCAACGTGATTCTAGACTGCGTCCCCGGAACACCATCCATCTCGTAATCGCCCTCGGGGCAGTACACCGGCGGATCCCCTGCGACTCTAAATCGCGAATGTACGATCTTTGAGGTATTTGTATTAAACACCCTAACCACCGCCTCCCTATACCCCCCCTCCCCCTCCCTAATCTTCTCCCCCCGCTCCCCAACCACCCCCTCATCCCAAGCCGCCGGCCCAACCGCCGACGACATATTCCCACAATTCCCCGCGAGATCCAACACCCCATCCCTAATCCCGACCTGCACAAACGTAAACTCCACATCGGCATCGGGCCGCGTCGACGGCGCTAAAACGCATATCTTCGACGTCGACGATATGCCCCCGCCCATCCCATTTAACTGTCTGCCATACGGGTCCGGCGCGCCCATAGCCGCGGGGAGGACCGTGTGCCATTGATCCTGCGCCGGAAGATGTTGGCGCTGGATGACTAGGCCGTTGGATGTCCCGCCTCGGACGAACAGGGCCGGAAAACTACGGTTAGGACTCATTGTGGATATATATTTTATCCTATTGAGGCTCTTAGTATGAGTTGAGTAAACTGTCCGGCGAGACGTCTGGTATGTATAAGCTAGGCGTCTCATTTTCCTTAAGGAGATATAAGTGTCGGACTTGAAATATTATGTAGTTGAACGAGCTTCATGGAATGAGACACGATCCGGATATTAATTCGGCAATGTCAAAATCGTAGTAACGAGGTGCTTATTACCCTCAGTAGCATATATTCGATCACATCTTTATATCTCAATACCAATAGCATTCTTGCAACAGTACTTCATTTTTGACGTCATAATCTATAAGCGGCCTGTTGGTAGGTATTTAGGTATATTTCATTATCATCCTATATCATAGGAAGTATCTCAAGTGCCTAAACGGCCAAGGTCTACTGGAAAACCCTGCAGTAACAATATGCCCCTTTTATAGTATACAAACAGACTGCCTTAATCTTCTTCATCCTCATCCGCAACGTCTGCCATGCTGGTATCTGCGGCGCCTGTCGCTGGTTCAGCATCCGAGTCTCCGTTAGCCACAGCATCCGCAGCACCACCACCTTCACCTTCATCCTCGTCTTCGTCACTATCGTCAAGGACCCTACCACGCCGAGCGCGCTTGGCCGGTGCACGGCTAGTTGCCTCTTCCTCTTCTTCCTCTTCATCATCGTTTTGTCCAGCCGTGTTATCTACCTCCATCCGATCCTCGTCGCCACCAACTCTCGACGCGTCATCGGCGTCCGAGGGAGCTGAAGTGTGTCTCTCAAGGGCTCGCTCGGCACGCTCGAGGGCCTCCTCCTCATCATCCGAACTATCAACCACGATTTCTGCCGACTTGTACTTGTTGGACTCTTTCTTGGACGCAAGCTTGCGCTTCTTCTTTGGTTGGCGTTCTTCCTCTGACTCGTTATCCTCCCCGTCGCTATCAACCTTCTTCTTCCGCGAGCGACCCTTTGACTTAACCTCGCCGCTCGACTTGGGCCTAGTCTTCCGCTTTCTCTTGACTTTCTGACCTGTTTCGCTATCTGTAGTCATTTCGGCTTGCTGGGCGGCCATTTCTTCCTCCGCTCGCTGCTCGGCTAACGCTCTATCGCGGGCTATGATTTCCTCACGTTCCTTGCGGATTTTCTCTCGTCGTTCTTCCTCTAGCGCGAGCGCCTTCTGTCGTTCCTCTTCTCGCCGCCTCAGCTCAGCCTGTCGCTGTTCTAGAGCCGCGGCGAGTTTCTCCTTGTTCTTCTCTTCGTATTCCTTCTGGCCCTCGATTTGACGACCAAGCTGTTTGCGCTGTGTGTTGCGAGCCATGTTTGCTCGCTGCTCGAGATCAGCCTTAGGATACGGAGGTTGTGGATGAGTAGCAATCTCGTCAAGGGCGACAATAGCTGCTTCAAGACCTTCGGAAGCTTCCTCCAGTTCAGCGAGCGTACGTTGCGTCTCAGGCACATTCATAATGTGCTGGACTTGCTGAATTTGGACAAATGCTACGTTGAACTTGAAGTGGACTTGATCCGGTGAGACTTCGAGAGCCTGGAACCTGTCAGCTTTAAATATCATGAGCCTTGTTTAATCGATCTTACCTTCTTCGCGTATTGCAGAGCGGACTTGTACGCATCAAGACTTCGCTCATGTCTACCCCTATTCAACCACGCCCGACCGAGGCACGCTAAGATACCTGGATCGTTCGTCTTGCCCTCCTTTGAGAGCGCCGTCTCGTAGCTCTCGATCGCTTTCGAGTACTGTCGCAACTCTGCGTATATATGTCCGATGTTGATATAAACATTTGGATCTTTGACGGTCTCGCGAACCTTCAGGAAAATCGGGAGCGCGTTTTTATAGTCTTTCTTGTCCTCAACGAGTGCGATAGCAATACCTTGAGCAGCATGAGCATTCTTTGGATCTAACTGCAGTGCCTTGTCGAAGAACTCGACAGCACGGGTGTAGGTAGCAGATCGCTTTTGCTTCTCTTGTTCAGTTTCTCGACGCATCTCACGAGCAGCCATCATGTACAGATTACCCATACCGACTAAAGCGTAACGATCATGTTTGTCGTGGTACTGAAGGGTATGCTTGTAATGTCGTAGCTCGGGGTCCTCATTGACGTTACCCGACTTCTTCCGAGAACTCACGCGACCGAGGTACCAGCCGTACAAAGCACGAACTTCTAGATCGGAGGAATTGTCTTGTTGTAGTTGCGCGACGGCATCAGGACCTTCCTTATTAGGGTTCTTGCGCAGTTTAATATAAGCCAGTCGAGCCTTAGCATCTATGTAGTCATTATGACGAGCTACTAGCTTCTCGTAGACTTCAACGGCTTGATCTGTGAGGCCCTGTGACTCGTAACTTCTACCTAAGTTGAAACTTATGGTAGTAACCAAGGCATCTGTATCAATGTCTTCACCCTTCTCCCCAATTCGCATACAGGAGCTCAAAGCAGCCTCGAACATCTGGCTGGCCAGATCATGCTTCTCGGCCTGAGAATAGAAACAACCGATGTTGTTAAGTAGTTGCGGGGGGAGGTTCTTGCGTAATGCATTGCGTAGAGCGGACTCATCTTCAATACCGGCTGGATGCTCCGAAGCAGGAATTTGATCTAATTCGAGCTGTTCAACCTGTAAGAGGCATTCGAGAGCCTTGTCTGGATGGTCGCTCTCGTAGAGGCGCGCAAGGTTTAGTAGAATTGCTGAATCTGGGGATAAATTCTTCTTGGGATCTTTCCACGCCGTGCGAACATGCTCTAAATATTCTATCGCTTTTCGCATCTCCGCAGACTTATCTTCTTTAGCCGCAGCATATTGATTAGCAAATACTTCCTCGGCGTACAGAGTGCCCAAGAGGATCATAGCTTCGTAGTTTCGTTCATTCTTGTTCGCCGATTGGATGATCTTCTCCAGGCGGAGCTTGGCTTCTCCTAAGTCATTGTTCAAGACTGAAAGTTGGGCGACCCCGAATTTTGCCGGTAGATAACCCCTTTCGAGGCCACCTCTGGCTTCATCTGCACGGCGGTAATAATCTGCCGCGGTTTCAACGTTGCCGCTGAAATGCTCTTTTCGGGCAAGGAGATACCAGCCGTCACTTGCAATTGCGTTCACATCAGTGTACTGAATGGCTTTGTTGGCCAGCGAATCGACGTGAGCAAGGTTTTTGCTAGACAAGAAATAGCTAGCGAACGTGGCGCATGTTAGGGGCTGGTTTTTGTCGATCTTGAACGACTTTTGCGTATACTCCGTCATAGCCTTCTTATAAAGTCGAATAAACTCGGGACTGTTCGTAGGAACTCGACTGCTAGCGTCGAGATAGTATAGACCCAAGAGAATGTTGGCCGTTTTCGATTCTGGATTTATCTCTAGACATCTCTCCCAGGCCTGTTTGGCATCTTCCTTGTGCCTAAGTTGCCAGAAGCAACATCCTATTCCGATTCGAGGATCCGGGTCCACTAAGTCAGGCATTTTCCTCAGAACGTTCTGGTATGCCTCTAGCGACTCCTTGTAGTTCCCGAGGCCAAATAATGCCCTCGCTCTCCCAAGCAGGGCCAACATGTTCTTCCCCTGAGACACCTTACTCGCCTGGTCGAAGGCCTTTAGGGCGCTCTTCAGCAGATCAGCCTTGTCTTGCTCAATATGACCAGCTCCGGGGGCCTTGGAGGGTGCCTGTAGTGAGGCTTTCAACAGCTGAAGCACGCCACGGGCTAGGAAGAGCGGCGGGAATGCCGGGTTTATACGCGAAGCATCGTTAAGGGAGGAAGTGGCTAATTGAAGGTAGTAGTCTTTGGTCTTAGCTTCGGATAGGAGCGCGCCCTCAGGTGCAACACGTGGTGCTTCGCGACTTTTCCAAAGATACATCCAGCATAAGCAGGTGATGATGCTAAGCTTCTCTTTAGGGTTATTATCTTGCATAGCGTTACCGCCTCGGTTAAGCATTTCGATAGCATGATCGATCTTCTTCTGCTTCGCATATGCGAGGGAAACGGTCATCCAATACGTTCGCGCCGCGCGCTCGTTCTCAAATAATGTGCAAAGTTCGGTGGGATCATCGACTAGATCCTCCAGGTCGATCTCGACAGCTTCATCTTCTTGGTCGCCCTGAACAGGAATATCGATGGCGCTAGGAATGTCGGAGAACCGCTTGCTAATCGGTGTAGGAACTATGTCGCCATTTGAGCCGCCGTTGGCATGGCCGTTTCGCGTGGCCGACATGATGAATGAGGAATTAGAGATGTCGATGAATATACAATTGCGACAGTGTTGATGAAGGAGAATAAGAGTGAGAGGTAGGCAAAAGTAAATAGATTCTAAGGGTACAAGTAAGGTGGTTTGGAGACGTTTAGAAATCGTCCCCAACTCAAGGCATCATTCTTAGAAATAGTATTGCAAGCAGGAAAACTCATTTGAAGCGTCCTGCATACAATCGAATGTTGTGCCAAGTAGGACTGATTTATTCAAAAGATGATGCTCTTGGGAAGATGCAAGGCTTGTTTGATGAGGCTGAGGAAGAGCAGATACCTGCTGTACCGTACCTCCCCTGCAATTACCACCTCAAATTGACTAGCGTGACACGCTTACCGTATTTCATTGGTCCGTGTTAGCCCAAGCACGAGCCACTTGTGGCATGGCTGTATGAGTGCAAGATCTTTGTGGCGTGAAAGCCAGTTAAGAGAGGTACCTATCCATGCATTACAGGGGTCCGAAAGGCGGTTCGCGTACCGCACCTTGCAGCACGCGTTATACGGGTCAAATTGCATGGGTACCTAGGTACTCAATGAATCAAACTGCTATAACCGTCAAGTTATGTAATCAATTTCAACTAATCCAAACCTTCCATGATTCAAACTCACTACTTCGTACCTTAATAACAATACCTAACCCTCCTAAAGTCAAGCATCCTTAAACCTCTTCCGCAATACCCATATACTCCATTACCCTCCATACACTCCATAGAACACGCTGCATAGAAGCAAATCCAATCGTACGGTCAAAGGCCCAATCATTTGAGAAAGCTAGAAACTCATTATGAGCCGCATGGAATCTCTTTTGCGTACTGAAACTCCGGTCTCTCCTTATCTGCTGCCACCTGTCCCATTTATTGCCTTGAGCCTGTTTTTTCCCCTCTCGCAGTTGAGGCTCAGTGATATTCCATTCTTTCTGAAAGTCTATCAGTCGATGTCCCAATGGTGCCCAAGCTCCCCCGTGACCATTCACCAAATCAATGCCGTTGACAAGAGTCCTCAGTGCAATCTCAAACCCACACTTGTCCCGTCTAATAGCTTCATCGATCTCATGCTTGGGGAAATGTCCTATTCTGTCGATATACCCAGTCTGCACCTGAGATCCAGGCTGACAATTGCCTGAAGATTGAGAGGTGCTTCCGGGTTGGCAATTGCATTCGGATTGGGAAGGTTGGGAAGGGTCGCTAGGTTGGTGACTGACTCCAGGTTGAGAAGTACCGCCAGGCTGTGAAATAGCACTTGGTTGGTCATTGCTTCCGGGTTGGGGCGTGGTTCCAGGCTGATGACCTCCTCCAGGCTGAGAGTTGTCTCCAGGTTGGGGTGCATCTCCAGGTTCATAACCACCTCCAGGTTGAACAGTATCTCCAGGTTGGACAGTGTCTCCGAGTTGGGGAGTGTTGCTAGGCTGCGAAACGGCTCCAGGCTGGACAGTGCAGCCAGGCTGATCATTGCCTCCTGATGGAGGACGGGCAGTACTAGGTTCAACAGGTCTCTCATCTTCAACCTGTTCTGGAACCACCTGAGACAAGAGATCTTTCGCATACGCAGCAGCTGCTGCAGCAGCATAGTATTTCCAGTCGTCATTCGGATGGGTATCTGCATAGTCGCATACACCACGAATAACAAGACAGGGGAAGTTGTTCATCAGACCCGCTGCTTCCCTCTCGAAACACAACGCCCCCTTTTGTTCAGAAAGCCTGTATCTAATGACAGCGTCATTCATTTCCTGGTTTGCAGAAGCAATTAAACCATAATGGATAACTGAGTCTCCCAGGGCATCTGTCCGTTCAGTCCGTTGCACCAGTACGTTGGGGCCATTACCACAGGTATTCCAACATGTATCCTGTACATTATGGCCTTGGTGTACAACAGTTGACCTATATAGCCTGTCGGTCAATGGATCAGGCTGTCTGCACCTGCGCTGAAGCCGTGGGTGAGCAGCAAGCATAGCCTGGACCTTTTCTCTGATTTGAGAGCCCCGGAGCTCATGCCTAGTCCTGATGGCGGTTACTGCTGTCCTCAGCGCTCTAGGAGGTCTGTTTAAGTACCCAGTGTAATGGAATTCCTGATCTTGGATCGTCCTTCCATAGTCATACTGGAAGACACCGCCATGTTCGCCTTGCTTATCATCCTTAGAGCTGACCACGACATCGCCTAGTCTGATATCGTTCGTGGAGCTTGGTGCGCCACCACCGATACCAACCAGAACGCCAATGCGAATGTTGCGGAAGGTATGTAGCATATCGTTGGCAACATCTGCCGCGGCCGCTATTCCAGGTTCTCCATCCGGTAAAACAGCTATGGCGACGTTGTTCCGCCCAATGCGACCGAGGATGTAGCTGTTATGGTCACCCCGAGCTTGGTGAGTAAGGTTGTCATGTTCCTCGTCTAGAAAAGCAGCTGCAGCCGTAGATTCAACTTTGCTAGCGCTGATCCAGCCTATAGTGTAGTCATTAGGATTCGACATCGTTGATATTGAGCGTATTCAAGTAGTAAGAGGTCAAAAGTTCTTCGGGAATGAACACTGACAGAATAGTGCTTGTGTTAATAGCATACTAAAACCCTTGTAGGCAATTTCAACGAGATTGACACGGGAGAGACGGTTTAATATAGTCCAAATGCAAGCTTCTGAGTGTCTACGATGCGGGTCAATTATCTGAGTATGCAATACCCGTTGAGGCTCAAAATGTCTCTTCCGACCTTCTCTAAATCCCTTCGCAAAAGGCGGAAAAGTATTCATCGGGCATCAAAATAATAGTCATTGCAGTGTCAGCTGGATGAGTCCAGCCATATACAATACTAACCTAAGGACCAATACCAATAACAATCACTAAAAGTCCAACCTCAATTATCCAAAAGCAGTCATATATTACTAAATGTTCCAGCTGAAAAAGTGCTGGCATCAACCAATAGGACCCCATTCGTCACGCAACCTCTGAACTAGGCTATCGATATGCCAGCCTGCCGCTTTAACACGACTCAGACAAGCAACTATATCATTTTGTTGTGTTGGGTGTGTCATTCGTCTTGCCGCAAGCGCGAAAGCCGCTATCATACACGGGTCCCAGCAATGTGTATGTTCTGGTTCACTATTCAACGCAATGCCGCACACACGTCGCGCGTGCCAGAGAGGTGACATATGTGCCACGTCTAGCTCTGAATTCCTATGTAATTCGGCGAGTGATATAGATTGTGGCCTGTTGCTAAGTAGCAAAAGCATAGCGGTGTGGTAGAGAGTATTCGACGAGACGCCAGAGCCGCCGGCAAAGATGACAACGGGAAATGTGGCTTCGCGGCCCTCGACTTCCATCAGCTGCTCGAGCTCCGGAGGACGGTTCATCTGCCATTTCCGTAGTTCGTTGAGAAGTTCTTTCCATTTCGCGACTCGAGATGCTCCTACTAAGTGCAAAACCACAGCTTCGGACGATGCCACGTAATCTTCTGCTTCTGATATCGGAAGGCAGATATTCATTACATCGGTAAGGAGATCAAGACAGTGGAGAGAAGCATGTAAAACTTCATGAGACTGACTATCGGTACCAATATACTTCTTTGTCAGACGAAGTAACCGGTGTATATCTCCGGTGATCCTGTCGGGGGATGTCTGATTTATGAGGTAATATGCAATCTCTTTGCATGTTAATACTTCAATTAGCTAATGGACAAATGAAGGAATGAGGGGGTCGATCTATTAAGAGGAAAAGGGGCAGATATCATACGCCAACAATCTCAATGAGGTGTAACGTACCCAATCTCGAAAGTAAGGCCAAAGAACTAGACCATATTCGCCACTGACTTGCATCGAGCAAACTGAGTTTATCGGGACGAAAAGAGCTTCCGCCTTTATAGAAGGTGGGCTGCCACGTCTCAGGAACATCCTGGACGAAAAGGCGTGTCCTCACCAACACAAAACTGGCCATAAATCGATATTCTAAAAGCCCAGTTTCTGCGCCGGCCGGGTTTGAAAGGGCCCGAAGGTGAAGAGCGCCGACACCACGGCGTTGTATTATCTCTACCGGACGACCTGAAAATATTGCCGAAACCTGGAGTATTCCATCTAGCACGCAAGGTGAAATCATTGCCAGATGGGTAAAAAGATGGCCAAATGTTTGAGCTTGGTCATATACGTCCAGCTACACAATAACATGCGTTCGGAGTTCGCACAATCAGTTCCAGGTTGGAGTTTATCGAGAATGGAGGCTTACCCAAGGGACAATATGATGGCTATAGTATTTCAGAAGATCGACTTCATTGCCTGAAAGCGAACTACGTCCAGCTAGGGGCCATAGGTTGTTTAGGTTCTGGGTATGGAAAGTATTGTTCTCATCTTGCTGAGCTTGTGAATAAGCCATTGGGAATATAGGTCGTGATTCTGAGGGTTTTTCCATATTATCATCCTCTCTTCGGGGCTGTCTAGTGTGATTTATCACTGTCGAAGTAGAGGGTGAACTAGAAGCACTTATTTCGATGGAAGAATCCTTGTTGACGACAAACTAGAAGCCAGGATATTGTGTTAGTTTTTCTCGTGGCAGTATTAAGATGCCATCAACGTACTTCCAAAGTAGGATATTCACGCGTCGCGACAGTTAACGATGGACTCGGATAAGTAGCGCCTGGAAGCGTCCGAGAGTTCTTCTCTAGAAAAGACACGCGGGCAATATATTTGCACGCAACCCCTGAGTCAGTGCAACGCCGGCACTGTGGTTTTTCTTCGTCGCCTATAATGTATTTAGCATATTTTGTATATTTTACATTCTAATGTCTCTTGTATCGTCATTGATAATTGACTTACACTTGCGATGTTGTGCGCGACATCGTTCACAGCCGGTTCGAGTACGCTTATATCGACGCTTCGCATGTTCACGAAGCCCATCATCTCCAGCCGCAATAACAGGTGTCTCCGGCATTATAACAGCCTATCAAATGACATACATGAATATTTTACTTGTGAGTACGTCAGACCATGCTTTCTGAGCCGACCCGATCGAGGTTATAATGCCGCCGAGAAGTATGGCGTGTTCCGAAATAGGCATCTAGATCCGCCCATTCATAAGCTAGATGCGGATCCCGCTACCCCTTTTAGCGATCGGATCGTAAGCGGTTCTATTAGCCGCATCAGCCGCATCGGATAGAAAATCATACCAACTCGTAGAACCATCATATCACCATATTCGCACATGTTGACAAATACGGTATAGAGTCGCCATTCAAGTATGTTATTGAAGACCAGGTTTAGTCGCCGATATAAAGGGCTTGATAGATAGATGCTGTACTCCTATTCCTGAAATCATGCATACCAAATTTTATATCTCTTTGCCTGGTTGGTATCTTGCAGCTCTTACACGATGGTCGACATACCGAAAACCATGAAGGCGTGGGTCGTCACTCGAGCCGGGAAACCTCAAGATATCCTTGCGTTGAAGACTAACTGGCCGACTCCGACGCCACCCAAAACCGGAGAAATCATGGTCAGAGTCTCGTACGCAGCACTCAATCCCGGCGAGATCAAAGTAATGGCCATGGCAGTTCCATGCAAAGCAAATACCATCGCCGGCATGGACTTCGTCGGGGAAGTCGTTCAAGTTGGACCGACCACCCCTAAATCGCCCTCGGATGTGCGCGTCGGCATGATCGTCGGTGGCACGGTGCCAATGATGAATATGTGGCGTGGTGCCGGCGCATTATCTGACTATCTGGTGGTTCCTGCGCATGCAGTCGTCGAGAAGCCCAAGGATCTCGACGAATCCGTCGCGGCTGGGCTCTTGGGAATTGCCGGACAAACGAACGCTGTGATGATGCGAGCCGCCAATTTGCACGAAGGCGACAAGGTTTTAATAAATGGTGCCAGCGGTGGCGTGGGCTGTATTTCAATCCAAGTACTCCGTGGGATGGGCGTGCACGTCACAGCTATCTGCTCGGCGAAGAATGAGGCATTCGTTCGGAGGCTAGGTGCTGAAGAGGTACGTTAATCATGACGATATAACTTAATCTCTAATACTCCGTGGAATAGCATTGATTAGCATAATTCTCACAAGTTTTCCTCTTATAGGTTATAGACTATAACGCTCACAAGTCCCTCCCAGAGTACCTCACTTCTGTGTGTGCGGAACCAGGAAACAGGCCTTTCGACGCCATCATCAACAGCATAAACAATGAACCGCTATATACCCATTCTCCTAAATATCTTAAACCCGACGGAAAATACCTGGACATCGAGGCAGGCCCTTTTGCACTTTTCAAGCTCAGCACCTGGTGGCCCGTCATGCTCGGAGGAACACCACGCGCACGCATAAATATTTTTAGCTACCCAAGCGGCAATTCAGCTAAGGATGCTGCGGCATGGATTGAGAAGGGGTGGATTAAGGAGGTTCCTGTCGATTCCACCTTCGAAATGGACGACGCCCTACAGGTAAATTCACTTGAACGTAAAACTAGCTTCTATTGCTGACAGCTTTTTTTTTAAGGCTTACGAAAGGATGGCATCAAGCAGGGCTGCTGGGAAGATATTCGTGAAGGTAAGATAAGGAATCGTAGCGCTGTTTAGTTTGGTTATTCGGATGATTTTTATATATTGAGTCGAAATAATGCCAATTAAGCACTTGGTGGCCCCTATTAGAACGAGGCGGACTCTGTCTGGTTCTAGTAAAAGGGGGAAAGACCAACTCGGGAAATACCCCCCTTAGATCAAGCAATAAGATGATATGCACCGATTTCAAGGAGGGTTTCACAGAGATATACACAGATACCTTACTCTATTATAGACCTACATTAACACGTATGAGATGATGTGAATCTAAAACCCTGATCATTCAAAATATAACAAGGTCCTTACCTCTGTACTTCGATCAGATAATTGCACCACAAAAAGCTTTATTGTTTTCTTATGGGATAATTAAACCAACTCTATTAGGTAATTTTGTACCTGCATGCAAGATTGATGAGATCAACTGCCTCAAGTAGTGATTGTAGTATGTAGGTACATATCTTTTAGACCTTTGAATATCTACCTCTCATGTACGTCCAGACGCTTAGTACAATCAGTACACCCTTAATTCCAAGGGATTATAAGTACACGAGGGGTCATTACTACTTGTCGGGGCGCACATCTGTCATTCCGGGCAGGTGCCGAGTCTCCTTCCGGGTCCGGGCCGGGTCTACCTGCGAGTACTCCGAACCCATCCCGTTTAGGTATCATCGCAGCGCAGCGTGACTTCCACAACAAACCCATAAGTTCATTCTCAAGTTACAAAAAAAACAATGGGATTTATTTTCATCCTCCTTCCTTTAGCCAACTGAGTCTTTATCCAAAATAAAAGGCTCTCGGGCGAGATTAGGGTCCTCGTTAACATCTTGTCCCTAATACCCCCCTTCAATCACAAACAGTCACTTACTACGTGACAACAACCTCCCTTCATTTAATTTCAAATCCGGCCCTCGTCTTCTATAACAGAACCAACAATCAAGATGGCGGGAGAACTTTGCCGTCCTACCCTTCTCACTATTGTATTCCTGCTCCTTACAGGTCTCTATGGTTTCGTCAAGTTCTCGCATGAGAATGACTATGCTGTATGTACTATATCCCATGATCAAATCCTATCTCAACGAAGAAGACTAATATTCGCAGACCGAAGGTAAAGCAGCAGCAATTGACTTGAAGGAACCTATTCATCTCACCTCTACTTCCGGTCTTCATCTCCTTGTTGAACATCCTATTGTTGATTCTACTCGTCCACTCATTACCTATGCATACACTGAGTCCCTGGCTGCTCGAGAGAGCCTAATGTTTTTCGTCGAACATGGCTTGCGTAAGTAACCCCTTGAGACTGTGATAAGGTTGTATATGCTATTGATGCCTACTACGTGAAAGCGAGCTAGGAATAGATCATATTCCTCCAGAATGTACTATAGCTACACCTCACTAACTCTACCTACTACAGATGGCAGCGCGGACTTCATCTTCATCCTCAATGGACCCACCAACGTCGCCAACCTAATCCCAAGCAAGGCCAATATCCAAGTCATCTCGCGACCAAATGAATGCTTTGATCTAGGCGCCCACGGGGAAGTTCTCCGCAAGAATGGACTGTGGAAGAAGTACAACCGCTTCATCATGCTTGGTTCTAGTATCCGAGGGCCTTTCATGCCATACTGGAGCCGCAGCTGTTGGAGCGACGCGTTTCTAAGCCGTGTCACTAAGGATGTCAAGGTAAATAGCACTATCCTAAAAGCTAACCCGAGTAGTATATACTGATAATACATATATCTAGCTCGTAGGAACAACAGCAACCTGCCACCCCAAATTCCACATCCATCCCACGATCTGGGCCACGGATTTACTCGGCATGGAACTTCTCCTGAACCCACCCAAGAACCCGCCAGACCCATACGCACACCACGAAAGCAACCAAATAGTCGCACTGGGAGGCTGCTACAAGAACCAAGCGCAAGCATCCCGCGGCGAGATCGAAGCAACATATGTGATCAAAAAGGCAGGATACAAAGTCGACGCCATGACAGCAGCATTCCACGAGACCGGAAGCTACGAAGAGGACTGTTCCAAAGACTGGGCCAAGGAATCGGTGCTGTACCAGCACTTCTACAGCAGGACCGCCCATCCGTACGAGACGTTGTTCATCAAGGCGGACAGCGGTGTCGATCCAGCTACCCTTGCCGCTCATACAGAGTGGTACAAACCTCGTGATGGGAATGGCAGCTGGGATATGTGTCGTTAAGAAGGCTAAGATGGCTAAGATGATTTATCTGGCTTGCGCAGCATTACGAGGTGCCGTTGCGCATTGATTGTACTGCGAGTACATACGTATTCATAGGCTAGTCATTATTTTGCTTGCAGAAACCGTGTCGTAAATAACTCGGACATGAGTACATAGTCTCGAACACATGGCACTAGCATGTGGTAATCAAACGAATTCTTCGTTTATATGAGAGCCAGGGGCTACTTTGCAATAACTTTCCTATTCTCACAGGTGTTGAAACCCCAATTGGTGATACACTATCTCTGCTTGATGCCTCAAAGTCAACAGTAAATGCACGAACAACCGTCACTACTCCCTCGAGGGGAAATTTAATTGAACATAACGTTCTCTTATATGCATCCGTCGCTGATATCTCAAGTTTGCCATATACATATGTAACCCCCTATTCATAAACGCCACTACCTTGCGAGCACCTATCTCATGCACCCATGACCGTCGCTATCCCAATAAACTTAATGAGCACCTCACATAAACATGTTAAACCCCTCTCCCTTCTTCTTTGACTCCCCGGGCGCCGTATAATCCACACCACCTATATTCGTCAGGTCTTTCTCAAACGTATCTTGAATCTTAGTCACTTGTTTTAACTGCTTATAATCAACTTCCACCCCGTCGAAAGCAGCGAGACTCTCGGCAGCTTTGATGACGTTTTTGATCTGGCGACCGTTGAGGTCGTGTTCAGCAAGATCCTGGAACTCTTCCTCGTTTAGGTCGACGCCGCCGGGCACGCGGTTACACAGGTTACGCCAGATCTGCAGGCGCGACGTCGAGCTGAGGTCTGTGTACCTGATTGGAACGTGGATGCGACTCTTAAAGCCCTCGTCGAACGTGCTGACCCTGTTCGTGGTGAGGAATAGGATGCCACCATAGTACTCGAGCGCCCGCAAGAAAACGCTCACCATCGCGTTCCGCTGCACGTCGTGGAGTGATCGTTGTTCGAGGAATACGTCAGCTTCGTCTATTAGAAGCACTGCTTTCCATGTCGAGGCGAGATCCATGATCCGTAATAAATTGTGATCGAGATAGCTACTGTTTACACCTAAATCGCCGGACGAGACCATGTATAGGGGCCGCTTGACGTATTCCGCTACGCACTCGGCAGTTAATGTCTTGCCAACTCCAGGTGGGCCACTATCCAGATATCACGGTTAGCTAACGTTCCTTTTAAATATCATATTATGTGCCTCAAATGTAATATAGTCCGATACTAAATGTTACTGGGGATATCCTAAACAAGGCTGGGCCCTTCTGGCGGATCCAGTAACGGATAAGGAAATTTGGGAATACGTACTGCAGCACACACACGAGCCCCTGGCCCTTCCCCTTCACGATATCGTCAAACCCGTCCCGCTTGCTCGAATGCGTAGATACCACGGCCTGAACAGTTTTTTTTGTTGCCGGGTCGAGCACGAGATTGTCAAAACAGTGGATGTTCCATTCAATTGGCGAAATATTATCCACGAAGAACTCAAGGAACTGCTTAACTCCAAACGCGTACCCCCGAACAGTAGCGTTAGTAATCGAAGCGTCGTCGTCGGATAACTTATCGAAAGTCTTCGCCTCGCGGACAAAATCGATTTCATTTATGGTCGTCTTATGACTAGAATTGATAGAGCTCATGGGCTTTCCGAATTCTTCGACATCGAATGCGTCGTCGGCTTCGAGCCTATGGTATGTCTCGCAGTCTATCATTATGCGCCCTTTGACGTTGAATTTCGCGTAGCCCCTTTCGGTCTTCTTGAGCCCAACACCGTTGTATTGCTCAAAGTGCTGCCCTATGTAACTTTCGAATTTCCTGCCACGCTCGATTAACTCGGCGCGAATCTCGACACTATTGTCTTGAAGGTCAAGCGGGATGGCGGTGAGCTCCGTTAACTGCCGCGTTCCCGCATACTTCTTGATAGACAGCTCCGCCCTCCTCGTACCAAGCGCGTTACCATCGAAGTCGATGAAATTAGCCCAGAGGTTTAGGTGAGGATTGTCGCCCTCCTCATACCAGCAGCTGTGGACGCGGAATGCGCGGTTTTGGTTGAGTACTTTGGCGTGTATGATCTTGTTTGGCGGGAATAGGGTCCATAAACTTTCGTAAGGGATAGCTCTGAGACCAGAAATACACTTCTCGTAAGCAGAAATATCGTTCTCGAAGTGAGATTTGATCCAGTTTATAAGCAGTTCTAGTTGAGCTTTGGAGTCCTCGTCGTTCTTGAACCGATCTAGACCCTCTGATTCCAGCTGCTTTCGGTAGTGGAACAGCGAATAGTACGGCGTCTCGATCTGTACATCATCGACATCTATGGGGTCGTCTGGGTAGTCTCCAATAATATCTTTCAGTAGTTGCCGAAGTGGTTGGGGGTTCACATATAATCGAGTTGTATCAAGCTCATCGTCGTCATAATAGTGCTTGACAACACAAAAGGCAAACAGCCGCCACCAGTCCTTCTGTTCAGGCTTCTCAGCTTCCTGTTTCCGTTCGGCAAAGTATTGTTCGTCTTTTTCGTTCCAGCGTTGGTCCAGATGCTTGATTTCGCACTTCATAGTCTCATCCACTACTGCAGTCGTTGAAGACGGGCTCTCCTTCTCAGCCTCGTTGTCAACCTTCTTTTTTAAGCCTTTCCTAAGGCCCTTGGTTAGTCGCAACCATACGGGCTTCGCATTTGATGCAATCATTTTTTCGCAGCTCATTGTTGCCTTAGGCAAGGTAGGTATATACGATGTTGCAAAGAGTAAAGCTGAGAACTAAAAATCAGATGTACACTTCGAACTTTAAGTATTAGATGTGAAGTATAAGTTTCACCGTGTCAAATGATCCTAGATATTAAAACAGTAAAATGGAGGATGCAACGTATTAATAGATGATGGTTTAGTGATAGTGACAGTGACAAGACAAAGGGTATGAATGTTCGAAAGCGAGGGAAATATGCCGAACTTATGACTGTGCTCTCTAGTCACACCGTGGATTAGGTACCTTAGGTAGTGTAAGATGTAGATACCTTGTAAATACCTACCTAGGTAGATATTGTAGGATAGGTATGCTAAGCAGGCAGGCTGCAGTCACTGCAGGAAGCTTCTAACCATGTAGGGCTTCTCCGAGGGGCGGTACCTAGCTGTTGAGTGATTGGAATAAGGCAACCTAGTCAGCCAAGTGAGGCAACCTGACTACCTTGCTGCATAGTACGCTTTCACATCCTGGGACAGAACTGCGCCGAGGGATAGTTGGATGGACCGTTGGATGCAATACATCATGATCAGCTCTGGGTATAAATACTGTACAATATATATTATAATGTACTTAATAGGCAGGTACCTGTAGGCGTGTCCGTACGAAAGATAAATAAATAAAATCGCACGAGTTTGCTAGGGTTTAGAAACGCAAATAACTGACCTAGACATATAATTGTTGGTTCTAGGTTTCTCTTACTAAGACTGTGAAGGATAGCAATGGAAGCAAAGCAGGTACCTAATGTAATACTGTACTACCGTACCTGCGTACTGCGCACTGCGCACTTTGCGGCTAGCGTAGCACGGACCACCTATTAGCAGCTTCGGGATTCCCCGTATCAGCCCTATTACATTAGCACTTGAACATCGAATTACTTATGAGACATCCTAATACAACTACATGTATAAAAAGGTCTAGGTTCACTATTCGAACTACAAAGACAACGCAGCAATATACCAGAACCAACTATAAAAGGGGGCCACGTATGTCCTTTGTAACGAACATTAGCTGCAAATACCACGTAAGAATACAAACTAACCAATTATACCGATTTTATATCATTTTGGCCCCCAGCTGTAAGCGGGTATACGAACTATCGAATCGCTAAGTGGACACCAAGTATCCGTTGCCAACATCTTCAATACCGGGTAGAGATAGATTATAACCACGATAGCCATGTAGAAAGGAATCAGTTAGCGAACAAGCTTTTGGAACGCATGTCTGGATTGATTTGCATATCTATACTATCGGGTTACGCATTACCTTTACCGCACGCCTACGCTCGCAAAATCGAGCCTCAAACACACGCACACGCACAAGCACACGCCTCCAAAGGTAAAAAGCTTCCAAACTCTCCGTGGTATTGATCGTGTCTTCGCAAGTCTCTTCTATGCAACCAGCCATTTGCTATGAACCTAGGTTAGGGTGCTATTCGGCTCTTTAGTACGGGGACCCGGTAACACCACACGTGTTACCGTGTCCCCATGATGCAGCCTCAATCCATGGATATACCGCATATCCATGTCAATCATGCAAGTGCCTCGTCTATATGTTCCAAATCGTGACCGCGTCTCATGCAAACCTTTATGAATCAGATGAACTGCTATCCGCCAACGCCCGCAACCTTGAGGGGTATAGGGGAATCGACAAGCAGCTCCTAGACCCTAACACTAACAAACATGAGGTGATCTTTACGTCGGAGGGGGGGAAATTAAGGGGGATAAAGTATTGTAATTAACCATGCCTGTTTATTTGGCATGCTTTCGGAATGCAAGTAATTCGGAGAGGCTCCCGAGCGGGCAACCGTGCTTCAGGAAATCGTGCTGCAGGAGTTCATCCGCCGAAGCACGACTCTTGACGTCCACGCACAAACAGACAGACAGGAAGGCTTTCAGCTCCTTGCTGAGCTTCTCTGGCTTCTTTAGGCGTGGTGTACCGTTGGTTGCAATAAGGTAGAGAGCCTTCAGAGGCTCTTCGTTAAGATATGGAGGTTCAGACTCGATCATCTCGATTGCCATGATACCTAGTGACCAGATATCGACCTTCGGCCCGTACTCCTTTTGCTTGACGACTTCGGGAGCCATCCAATAAGGAGTTCCGACCATGGTTGCTCGTTTGGATTTTGTCTCGGTGAGCTTGGCGCAGAAACCAAAATCAGCTGAAATTTTGTTAGTACCTGCGTAATAAGAAAGGATCCGCAGAACTTACTAATCTTCACGTTTCCGCGAGCATCTAGAAGGACGTTGTCACTCTTGATATCACGGTGGATAATGTTCTGAGAGTGCAGATGTTGTAATCCAGAGCAAGTCTTCAAGTCTCGTTAGCAAAGCCAAAATAATGAATTTCTAGCACACTTACCTCGAGGCAAATTGTCGAGATCTGTTCCTCAGTAATGACTGGGTTGTTATCGATGACATCCGTCAAAGCACCACCCTCCATGTACTCCATGACGACCCATAATTCGGCGTTGTTGTTCCGTAAGAAAGCATCAAGGAAATTGACAATGTTTCGGTGTTTGCTGTCCTTCATGACCATAATTTCGTTGACGATGAGCTCCTTGCGTGGCTGGTGTGCCAAATCCATCTGCTTAATAGCAACCTGAGCTCTGGCTCCCTGAGAACGAAGGACTTCTCTAGCAACCCCAGAAACAGCGCCCTCCTTGACCTTTGCCACATAAACTGAGCCCGAAGCACCCTGTCCAATCTTCTTCTGTTTGGAGTACGACAGGTTAGGGTCATCTTTCGAGACGACTTCAATTAGCCTTTGCATGACCTCCTTTTCGGACATAGTAGACATGCGAACATCCTGCTTCCTCTCTGCCGCCGTGGGCTTAGCTGTTAACGCAGCCTCTGCAGCCTTGACACCGTCATTTTGCTGGGCTTGGCTAGGCTTGGCTGGGACATTTAGAGGCTTAACAGTAGCAGGCAAACGTGCCTGTGCCTGGTTCTGAACCTGGCCATTATTCGGGTATCGAGGGGCTGTTGAAGGCTGGTCGTTTCGCGGCGGTATACGTTGTGTTTGGCTAGATTGCGAGGTTTGGACGGGGCTCGAGCTTGTTTGAGAAGTCAATGCAGGCCTGTTAGCAGTCGAGGGTGCCGAGGCGCTAGGCGCTGGTGGAGCAGGCCGTTGAGCGCGAAGACCGCCAACTTGCTGGTTGGCTAGTTTGGGAGCAGGGGGCGCCGCTCGGGTAGGATTGTAACGGTCTGCTGAACCGGAAGATCCGCCGCCGTATCCGCCAAGCTCTTGCTGGGCCATAGGCAACTTTTTCTGTGGGATAGAAGCATTATAAGCCTCTAGGTCCCGTCGGTTTTGTTCCTCGATCTCGCGCTGCCTCTGGAGCTCAAGCTGCTTCTGGCGCTGTTCTTCGCGCGCCGCATCCGGTGACTGACCATAACTACCGCCTACGTTTTGTGCTGGCTGCCGCTGCTGAGACATGTCTGGGGGATTTGGTCGTATCGGAATAGTAGTGGGTTGCTGCGACGGTCCATTACTGTAGCTGCGCTGCGCGGGTGGCATCGGCCGTGGGGGCGCGACAGAAGTACCGCCGCCGCCATATCCCAGCTGCATGTTCTGCTGACTACCAGGAGGAGGCGTTGGGGTAAGACTTGGGAACTGCTGAGGATTCTCTGCTCTCTTAGTGAGATCAGAGTAGAAGTCCAAAACCTCGAAAACGGCTTGAGGATTTCGTTCATAATCTTCTTTGGTAATTGCGGAAGAGTTCAGCAACTTCGACCATTCTGGCGGCAATCCTACAAATTGACCCGTCTGCGGATCGAAACCGACGTGAACCGCATGAGAAAAGTTGGTCGGATTGCTTACTCCACCCATTGTCGGACACCGGCCATATAAAAGGTCAATCCAATCGTAGAGATCATCATCACTTTTAACCCTAATATTTAAGGTTCTAATGGTGCCATCGTCATCGCCAGGACTGTTGGAAGTCCCTTGCGCGTGTCTCTTGATCTCGAAGATGGTACCGGCAGCCTCGACTCGGCCAACATTGACAACATCCTTCAGATAAAGAGTATAAGAAACCTTGCCACCCTCGGTCTTGTGAAAGTCGAGAGCTTCTTTGCGCAAGATAAGGTATTTTTGCTTCCATGGCTGGATAAAGTTCCTACTCTCTTTGACCTGCGCCCAACCCTCTTTTATAACCGCGACGCCTCCCATGCCATCTGCCTGGTTCGATCGCTCACGAGCCAATGGTAAAGAGATGGTAGACCCGGTATATGTAGAAGTCGCGGTGCGCGTAATAGGTGACGAAACGTTCGTCATGCTTCCTGGATAATTAGTGCTAGGAGTAAGGTTGAGACGTGGTTGTTGACTGGTCGGTGGTCTTGGAGCGGGGCCGGGATTCATAAACTGCTGGTTGTAAAGTCCACTGTAGTTCTCCATAATCAGCTGATATGTTCTTTTTAATATGACCACGTATGCTGCGTGTTGAAAATCAACCCTTATAAGGGGAACTCATTTCTTATCACTAAGATCGGGATCAGGCTGGGACTGGTTCACGAGTCTGGAACCTCCCTTTTTGACAATGAAGTAAGTTGCGCCCATAAAATAGAGGTAGTCGGCTTGATCGCATGTGGATTGATTGGAAGACACGTACCTGTTCGGCGCCGCCATTGTAGACAAAGCCTAAAGAATTCAGTTACGACGGTGGTTTCCTACAATGTAGAAAAACCAATGCCTTCGCCTTCAGGGTTTATGAGCGGAAAGCCTAGTTCAGGCGGCTTTGTTCGATCCGAAGCTAGAGCGCCACATCCGTTAGTCCTCAGTTCAATCCTAGAAAAGATCCGACTCAATTTAAAATGACAGCTGAGGGGTTCGGCCAACTCACACCGACAGAGATCGCAAGATATGTTGCGAAAAGAGAGTAATCAAAAATCGATTTCAGCATAGGTTGTACGTCTCGGCTTTTGCCCCGATAAAAGAGAACAGCTAAGCAATGGAGCTAAATTGCTTTCGAGGGCAGTGACCACCACAGGAAAGGTCTACAGGAAAGGAAGGTTGTGACTAAGGCCGATCTGTCTACAAGTCGATTCGAAGCGGAATCTCGGTCGGTCGGGAGAAACAAAAAAACGAAGGGGTCGACTTTACATCCGAAACCCAAGCATTAATGCCGTGTCGAATATTCGGTATCCATTAGCTGGCACCTCGCGTGTCGACGTTTTGCTTGTTCGTCGAGATGAGGGGACTAAACAAATAACGTAGTAAAACGTATAAGTTGGTCGACCGTATTCGACTGCTTAGATGTCCGAATATAAGGAATTTTATCTATGTGTGTGGGTGTGAAAAAGTAACAGTTCCTAGTTTTGGCCCGGGGGAAGGTGAAATGTAAGACATGGGATGTCTAGTCAGCAAAGGAGAAAGGGGTTCATGTTGAAGGGGGGGGGGCTTTCAACTTTAGGTACCGCTATATGAAGGAATGATTGATTGATTGGCGTTGGAAGGGTCTCCCCTAAAACCACAGGGGATTTATAAGTATCATGTACATCTGATATATCTTATTTTATAAAGAGCGGACCGCTTTCATTTCGGCAAAGTGGATACCTCCAACACGTACTCAGATACATAGATACATTAATAAAGGTGGTCACGGCCTTAGTGGTTTCAATGATATTGAAGACGCTAATAAACGCTAGTTAAACGAATGACAATCCTCGAGAATTCCTAGCCTTACCTCACCTCTTTACATACATTGGTTGTACCCAGCTTATCATCCCAACTTTTCCTCTTAGACAAACCAACCATATGCGTATATATATGAATGCGTATATATACTCCTTACGCCCCTATAGACAGATATATAGATATATTTGCCACATTTGTTCTATTAAAGATTATCGATTTTCCTTCTTAAGGTGTGATGGCCCGAAAGACAAGACTCGAGTAGTTCTAGGTAACGGCTCTTGGCGGTAAATCGAGGTGCCTCGAGGCTGGAATTAGTCGTGTCGTTGTTTCATTCAGGGTCATATATGAGTCTCGACAACATAATACATAATACTACCTTTAGGGGCGACCAATAGCCTACCACATCCTGCGGCTCATCGTGCATCCTAAAAAGGCCTTATCACCTACCGGGTTCCGATGAACTATACCAACATGTCAAGTATTAGCAACAACTCTGGCTGTCAGCATGCTATCTCACAGACTCGCTCATCCGAGCAATGCGGTGTAATGAATTGCGATCCACTCATACTATACATATTAGACTTATAGTCCGCTTAGACTACATATAGATGAGAGAGACATTGGTCAGCCGAACAGAAAAGACGAAAGACGCGACCGAAGCTCGCCGGATCTCATATCTCTTCCCGTCATAGCATTGTTAGGCGTCCCGAGTGCTACCGCGGGAGGTGACAGCTAACATTCTACGAGTCGAGCAGAACAGGCTTAGATCCCTTCGCCTATGCAGGCATGAGGAGGAGCGCAAGGGTTCCCACAAACAACCAACAAGCCGGGAGCGCTCAAATTAGAACGAATCTTTTTTCTTCTTCTCTTCCTTCCCGGGATGACAATAATAATAATTCCTCTTCCATCCACTGCCCCCCCAAAAAAAATCCACGAAGCACCTCCTTATGTGTCTTACCCAACCCAGTTTTGTCAACGGCCTGGGTGTACATACGACGGTTTCACTCACAACCTAGCCGCGGTCTTTCTGCGGAAGCGTGCCGCCAAAGCAGCGAACCTCAGCTGATTCTCGGCGATCGTAACCGCGCTTGGGGGTTCGTTGCGGCGAATCAGCGGTTTCGACTTTCCAGAATCTCGCTGCGGTACTGAGGTATTGAGAAACAGAGACACTACCCTTCTTGCATTGGTTTCGCCAGTATGCGGATCTGTCGCAGAAATGCTAGTGCTTGGCATGCCGTCGAACCACCCCTTGCTTTAGCTGTTGCGCGTAATTGGTTACGGACTACGTGGTTTGCTACCTGTTAGAATACCACATGAATTTCTTATCCCATAATAGGATACCTTGATTGTCGCCGAAAACTACTGTTGATCTAACCTATAGCTCTTATTCCAAAATGATTAAAAGTTATCGGACAGTAGGAGATAATTGTAGATCCCTAAAGCAGCACTCTTTTAATCTAGTGGTTTGTAGAATTATTCCCAGGTAGAAACTCTTTGTTGCTTAACCCCTGTTAGCGGGCGGGAACCCGCACGTGGCCCAAGATCTACAGTTGAAACTACATCTGAGAACGAAAATTAGTAATAACTAAGCCTTTTAATATCTATGGTCTGTCTACGTATCTGGCCTTGCTTGCGACTGAGGCCTCCTGCTTATTCTGTCTCTGCAATGAATAGCGTTTCGAAGTATCTAATACTAGGTATGAGCCACATTAACGAGTGGCGACCTCGATCTCTTGCCCTTCAAAAATGGGTAGCTCAGCCTCAACATCTTTCCACTCTTTGCTCCCGTCAACTACGGACTGGATCGCGGCAATGATCTTATCCTCATCTGCACGAACTTGTTTAGTCGAGTCTCGATCTCGCAGCGTGATAGTGCTGTCTTGAACAGTCTGGAAATCAACCGTAATGCCAAGTGGCGTGCCGAGTTCATCGTTACGGCTGTATCTCTTTCCGATCGTTGCGGAAGAATCGTCGATACGGCTAGAGACTCCAATTTTCCTAAGTCGCTGAGACAGCTTATAGCAAATTGGTTTGAACTGCTCGTTGGATGATAGTGGAACGATGAGCACCTTTGTGGGGGCTACTGTTGGCGGGAACGAGAGAACCTAGATAGAATTAGCAACTTCATTATCCTATGGGAAGGGAATTGAGCATACGCCACGCGCTTCGTCGCCGCCCTCGCTGGCTCGAGTCCAGAAGTTGTGCTCCATAAGAGCGTAAAGTATTCTGCCAATACCAAAAGAGGGCTCGATGACGTTGGGTGTGTACTCCCTAACGTGCTCAACTCGTGTGCGTCGCTCGATAGTGATAAGATCCTTCGGGATCTGAGCCTTTCCGTCACCAACACCGGGAACTTCAACAGTAATGCTCCCCTTTTCGCTCAGGTCCTTTGCTAGTGCTTCTCGCTGGTCCTGCGTAGTCGCCAAAATAGCGGCCTCCACCGTCTTGCCATCTTTCTTGAAATGGGGACCAAACTTCTTCTTGTTCAGATCAACCTCCCATTCCTCGATAACTAGCGGCTCGGCCCGTTGTTCGCGAACAATAAGGGGGGCGCCGGTCCTCTTAGCATGAACACTCAGATCGTAAGCGCTACGGTCCGCACATCCAACACATTCAACCCATCCGTAAGAAGTGAGAAGTTCTGCATCCCAGCAGTCCGCAGCGTAGTGAGCCATCTCATTCGCCATATGCTGTCTAAAGCGTATCTTGGATTGATCAACACCAATCTTCTTAAGGAATAGATGAATTCGGGCCATAAAGTAACCAAGAGTCTCGTTGTCGACGATGCCATCAGTTACTGCCTGACCAATGGATATCTTTTCAACGTGCGTTTTACCGGAGAGCTGAGTTGTGCGGTTCAATAGTACCAGTTCAATGTCTTTGACTTCCTGGAAGCGTGGGTGCTTCTTTCCACCATCAGGATCCACGAAATGCTCAATCTCCGCCATCAGGAACTCTCGTACTCGAAGTAATCCAGCTCGAGGCGAGATTTCGTTTCGGTACGACCGGCCAATAGACGCCGACGCAAACGGTACTTGGCCCTGGTTGAATTCTAGCAGCTTGGAGAAGTTCAGGAACTGTCCTTGTGCGGTTTCTGGTCTTAAGTAACCGGGGAGATTGCTGCTGGGGCCAATAGCTGTCTGGAACATCAAGTTGAAGGCAACAGGCGGCGAGGGTTGCACACCAGAAGATGGGTTCCTGAGATCATATTTCTTGATCAACTCGCCAAGTTCTTCGCCATTGTAGTTGTCAATCCTGGCCAATACTTCCTCGTATTCCTGAACAACAGCATCGTCAAGTTTAACAGCCTCTTGCACGCCCTTAGCCTTTCGCTTCTTTTTCTTAGGGTCTTCTTCTTTCTCCTCAACCTTCTGGCCGCGGGCCTCCTTGTCTCCTTTTAGTCGGCTTTCGAGTATTTCCTCAACGAAGTGGTCTGCTCGAATGATCTCGCCGTTCTTCAGATCTTTGCACATCCAGTCGGCAAACTTGTCCACATGACCACTTGTCTTTAGGACCTCATGCGGAGTCAAGACTGAGCAGTCAACTTCCAGCATGTCCTCCTCGAGCACGAAATGCTTCCTCCACACATCAATGATGTTTGCCTGGAGACTACAGCCGGGTGGGCCATAATCGTAGAGACCAGCAACACCTCCATAGATCTCAAACGAAGGGGTATAGAACATTCGCCGTCGAAGCATCGAGTCCAGGGCGGGACGATCCAAGGGTTGCCCCTTGAGAGTAGTAGCAGTCGTCGCCATATTTGCGTTTTCACTATCTGTTTGTGTACCGTAAGGATATGAGGCTAGCTTCGAGGTGGTGAAGCCTCTCAAGTTAGAGTTTGCGACTGAAGGTCTACAAACGTTACCAATTGTAGTACTTAGAGATAGTCTTGTAATAATTCCAAGAGTCCTCGAGGACAACTTAGAAGCGAAGCGAAAGGGAATTGCGGGGACTAAGCTCGACGCAGATATTCCAGTCGCGCAAACTGCCCGGATCATGTAGTTGATAGAAAGAAAATATGTGACTCTAATTCAAGTGACTTACAAGCTTAAAAATTGAGTCACAATGTGGCCGATAATTTTCATTTCTTAGTACATGTATTAAACCTACAATTCTACCCCTCCATCGGCCCCTCCATGAGAACCACCCCGGCAGCCCGGTTAAAGCCTAGCCCAGACGCGCTTTGCAGATAAGGGACCCACTTGATTCGGGACCCGCTAAATTTTTTAGATTCTATTGAAGTCTTCGTGAACTTTCAATTCCCATCCAATAAACATTTCGACTGTAGATATCGACATCCAAGAACACGACAGCTCTACCCGGACCCCTCCTGGATTGACCTAGATCAGGCTGACAGAACTATGGGTCCACAACGATCATCTACCTCGTTGTCTAAGAAGACAGGAAATAAACTCCATCGCCAATCGCTATATGTCAAGCAGAAGAGGGACCGTGAGAAGGAAAAGCGCGAGGCTCGGTTTCGAAGGAAGAAAGAAGAGGATAGAGAGCCTGAGCTAAGGGCTGAGAGAGTTGCGCGTAATCTGCCAGCCACCATTGACCGGAAACGAGTCTGGGACGACGTAGACGACGATGGGCTGGGCGCAAGTGTCGATATGGAGCAGCTGCTCAAAAAGCGACGCTTACAACAAGAAGAACTCGAGGAGAGATTAGCTGCGGGACTGGATGAGGCGTCTGATTCTGGAAATGACGACAATAATGACGATGCAGACAGTATGTTAGGTTCAGACGACGAAGAGGAATCCGACGAGGAAGCGGCAGCAAAGGCCCGCGCGAAGCAAGTTATTCGAGATGATAGTCTTGCTCCCTCTACTACGTCAACGAATCTCGATCTTACACCGGAATCTTTGGTGGCTAAATTTCCATCGCTCTTCTCTGACGATGGGCCTGCGGAGCCTAAAGTCCTAGTTACTACTACTCTCAACTCGACTCTGCATGATCAAGCGAGACTACTCTGCACCCTATTTCCGCATAGCACATATATACCGCGGTCGGCGCACAAGTACAGTTATAAGTATAGCGTGAGGGAGATCTGCAAATTCGCAGAGAATAGGGGCTTTAGTTCTATCATGATTCTTAGGGAGGACTTGAAGAAGCCAATCGGATTGGATATTGTCCATCTGCCTTCAGGACCAACATTCCACTTCAGTATCTCAAACTGGGTTGAAGGGAAGAAACTACCGGGTCATGGTAATCCGACAAACCACTATCCGGAACTACTACTCAACAATTTCAAGACACCGTTAGGTGTTCTCACTGCAAGACTCTTCCAGTCGCTTTGGCCCAAGACCCCTGAGCTACAAGGTCGTCAAGTAGTTACCTTACATAATCAACGTGATTATATCTTCTTGCGTCGTCATAGGTACGTCTTTCGAGATAAGCGAGCAACAGAGAAAAGCGTAGTTGGCGCAGACGGGAAGGAATTAAAGGGAGTGGAAAATATTCGAACAGGTGAGTCAACGACTGCTTACTGCATCGTTATTAGTAGCTAATTTCTTACCTTTATAGGTCTTCAAGAGCTAGGTCCGAGGGCAACACTTAAGCTTAGGCGCATCGACAAGGGAATTGGCCGGGCTGGGAGTGAAGGAGATGACGCCTTGCAGTGGGAATGGAAGGCTAAGATGGAAAAGCAACGAACTAGATTCAACCTCTAAGCCTTTTAAGCTTACTTTGTTGTCATATGCAGACATAAGCCATGAGAATAATTCAATATACCCGTGTAGTAGCTCGTATTTAGGTCTTGACAGCATTACATGCAGATATTAAATGTTGGTCTTAGTAAATGGTAAATGACATATGTATTGAAGATGTTGATAGGAGGTACGTACTACTACAAATGTCGGTATCCGGCATCTAGCATTTGAGATAAGATTAGGCATCACGGTACCTGGTAGGTATTAGGCAGCGCGGGGAGCCACTTGGCGATCTTACATTTGTGGCTTATAAGGGTCATACAGCTGACAGGGCCCTTAATAACTTACCTTCCCTGTTTCCCCCATGACAGTCCGCATATGACCTATTCTACCATTTCACCTCCAATCCATTGTTGCACCTTATTGCGAGGTCATCATTACTACCTCGTATTCAACAGCAATGTAAAGTGTAAATACGATCTTTGATGTAGCACATATACTACCTAAACCTATTCCGTTTCGGCTGTGGTTGTTTGCTTTAGAAGCCTTAGGTGTAATCATAGTGGTATCGCGCGTATTACAGCGACACCACGTCTAACCCGCCATGGACCGGCTTCGTACATTATTCCGAAAGACAGAGGACGAGCAGGAGTACCAACCTTTGAACGATGAATCACAATCCCTCGAAGGGCCCCCTGAGCACACCGAAAGTAATGGCATCCCTTTCTCGTGGGTCGAGTATAGCATCTTCGGATTGCTGGGTGTTGCGATGCTATGGGCTTGGTACGCAACATTTCCTCTAAGGACTTATACGAAGATGCAATAGCTAATAGATAACCTGAAAAGGAACATGTTCCTCGCTGCAGCGCCCTACTTCCAGCTTCGCTTTCAGGACGATGATTGGATTCTCGACAACTTCCAATCGGCCATTATATCGGTATCGACACTAGGAAACTTGGGATCGATGGTCGTATTAACCAATATCCAATCCACGGCGTCATACCCGTTCCGAATCAATCTAGCTCTTTACATAAACGTCGTTATATTTGGGTTCTTAACTGCCTCAACTACGACATTTCTCGATACCTCGTCCTCGACGTACCTTGGATTCGTATTGGCAATGGTAGCACTCACGGCATGGGCGGCAGGACTGATACAGAATGGCGCATTTGCGTTTGCTGCAAGCTTTGGGAGACCCGAATACATGCAAGCGATCATGGCCGGACAAGGCGTAGCAGGCGTGCTCCCCTCGCTTGTTCAAGTCATTTCAGTCCTTGTCGCACCACCAGCAAATACAACGTCCGGGACCAGAGAAGAAACTTCACCGGGAAATGGGAAAGCAGCATTTATCTACTTCCTTACAGCGGTAATCGTATCTATCGTAGCGCTCGTGGCTTTTATACCGCTAGTTAACCGTCACAACCGTATTGTCGAGAATCGGATGATGGAGCACATGGCCACGTCGGTGACGAGCATCGAGTCTGCAGAACGTGCAGAACGTGCAGCGCGGAAAGTCGTCAGCATGCCGAAGCTGTTCAAAAAGCTTCACTGGCTCGCGGGCGGTGTTTTCATGTGCTTCGCCGTAGCCATGTTCTTCCCGGTTTTCACACCTAAGATTTTATCTGTGACACCGCCAGACGAAGCGAGCCTATTACTACAACCCGCTGCATTTATCCCACTCGGCTTCTTCTTCTGGAACCTTGGCGACCTTGGAGGGAGAGCCAGCTCGCTTTTCCTACCACTCCGAGATCGGCCAGCCTTGTTATTCGTAGTGAGCATTGCGCGGTTGTTATTCCTTCCACTTTATGCTCTATGCAACCTGCACGGTAAAGGGGCTGTTATTAATAGTGATGTATTTTACCTCCTATTAGTGCAGTTCCCGTTCGGTTTCACCACCGGCTGGCTTGGATCAAATTGCATGATGGCGGCCGGTGAGTGGGTTGAGGAAGGAGAACGGGAGGCTTCTGGAGGGTTCATGGGATTGTCTCTTGTGGCTGGGTTGGCATTTGGTAGTCTGCTGAGCTTCACTGCCGCCGGGATATGACGGTGGCTAAACAAGAATGATAACACCTCAAACGATATAGAGAAAGGATCATATCAGGCGTTTTATACATGTTCGGGCATGATGTATGGTGTAATGGATCTTACCTCAGTTATTAGTGTTGCTAACATCATTAATATCATGAATGTTCTTATTTGCTTACCATGACAGCCATGACAGCCATGTAGCGAATACCTTTTCCAGTTTCGTTATAGGCAGATAGGCAGATACCCGAGTGGGTGGATATTAGATCGTCGTGCATGTGCAAACCAACGAATAAACGAGCCGGCATGATCCCTCGCGATGATCCATTTCTCATTAGTTTGGTACTGGGTACCTTAAACCTTGATAACCTTGCTAACCTTGCACTATAAACCCTGCTAAACTACCTAGTGTATTTACAGGCTTTAATTTAATCTCGATCATGTCGGTCACACGGAAACATACCTTGCCTTGCAACCATTGTCTGCACCTATCTGCGCCTATCTACGCCTATCTGCGCCCATCTGCAAGCTACATTACATACGAAGTATAGGCCCCATTAGCCAATTACATGTATCCATACAAACAAATCTAGTTTTCCTATTCGACCGGCTTTGCGAACCGCCGGCGTCCCCTACTAAATTTATCTTTTTAGTATCTTTTTAGTATCCTTTTAGTTTAAGGAGGGAGGGCTACTATCTTTTCCAGGACTGCGCCACTATGGCACTATGGCACTATGACACGCACTATGGGCTCCATGGCTCCAGCTCGGCTGCCCGCAGCCGCACCTGGGCAACCAAATGCTCCTTTTTTTTTTAAGTCCCTAAAGTCCCCAGCGTTCCCCAGCTGCCCAGCGGCAGTTGAGCTTAACGTCATAAAATGGAGTCTAGTTCCAGATCCAGTTCTCCATTCCCCTTTCCGAGTTCGTCTCGATACCGTTCGACTTTTAAGGGAGGGTCTTTGGTTTAGTTTCTTCTTCCGCTTCTTTTTACTACTTGCAAGACCTAATCATATAAGTTTCTATAATTATACCTGCTCGGTTTCTCTGCTCTAGTCACTAATATCCTGTTTCTTTGTCATCCATGAGTCCTTCGTTTAACTCCATCCAACTATCAACTACTCACGCAGCTACCTAATAAGGGAGAGTCAGGTGTTATCAGCTGGGGGTTGTTGTCGTCTCAACTCAAGAGTTTAATATTTAAGTTTCCGCTCTCTCGGACAAAGAGAGTCGGTCTGGTCATTGTTGCAATCTCTCACTACTACGAATTTACTAGATGCGCTTCTTCCCATATTCGATCTTTTCAAACTTCTCCCGAGGTTCTACACCCGCTTAAGCTCTAGAAGCTCATCATGAAGCCTCTAAAAGACGTTTGGGGTGAACTCTCCAAACCTCTCCCCGCAGGATTGGGCGCCAAACGCATCGGGAAAGCCCTCACACCCAAAGAGCTATATGAGTTGAGCTATATTCTCCACCGGTCTGAATTCACTCACCTCGCTGAAGGTCGCGCCAATGCCGTCTTCAGCATTAGGGAGCCAAAGGATCCAACGGTTCCCTCGGGGTTCTTCCGGGGAACCCTATTACGTGTGCCCAAAGCCACCCCCGATGTCACGCCGTGCGACTACGAAACCCTTCAGGACTTTCAAGAGAAATTCGTCGACGTTCACGTCGGACGGCAGCACATCGTTCCCCAGATTCTCATTCAGATTCCCCAGGCTGTAGCAGATGCTCTTAACTTTAAGCGTGATAACGCTCTTCGAGCTAAAGGGATTAGGGGTGACCAGAGCATCATCCAAGCTGGACATGCCATGCTCGTGGAAGATATGGGCCCGTCTCCAGATTATATAGCTCTGGAGTTTAAGCCAAAGTGGCTGGCCCAAGCCCCGATGGCCCCCGAAAATGCAGCCCGTTGTCGAACTTGTGCGAGGGAGGCCCTACGCAACGGCAAGTTGAGAAAGCGAGGGCATAAGATAACTACGCCCGTGTGTCCCCTTGGCCTACTTCACAAGAGCCATGCCGTGGTCATGAGCACCATCGACCAGCTCGCACCTAAGTGGAGCGAGCGGGACCGGGCTCGACTAGCCAAAGCTCTCAGAGAGAGTGGCGTGCTTGAACGCCTTAGGGACCTGCAAGAGGAAGGCGATTCGGGAGATGCGTTATTTACCAGGCCTTCGGATACGAATTTCGGTTTATCTATGACGTTACGGGACTGCTCTTGCTTCGTCCGCATGCCGATCGACGAGGACGCACCCGTCATCATCAAGCTTGCCGACGTAGACAAGAAAAACTGGCTTCAGAAGCAGTCGTATTGGCAGAAGCGACACGACGACCTCGTCATGGGTGGGTGGTACGACGGTAGCGAGAGCCCGCCGATAGAAACCGCTTGCGTGCTAAGACTTGATTACTGTCTTAGACGTGGCCTCGAAATCCCACCGGCGTTTCGCGCGAGGCTGAAGCGTTAAAGAGCTGTAGAAGTAAGGTGTGGTTACGCTGCGTCCGGAGGGTTTTCCTATACGTCACGGGGTTTTCCATTTATTTTTTTCTTCCATGCAATGTCTTACGGTCATGAGAAGATGATAATAAATACTACGAGTAATCATACAGGGGCCAAAAAGGGGGGGTTGGGGGAGCTTCTGGTTGGGTGGGTGGCACGCTGTCGTTACACACGATTATAGATATGGTTTGGTCGCAAGACCGTGAGTTGGCGGAATCTTCCCCTTTTCGTTGAAGCCTTGCTTGTTTTCTATGCTCGAATGCGGCCGTACATATAATAAGGTATTTGAACAAGTGAGAAACAATAATATACGATATAGCATAATAAAGCTTCTCTTGCATATAATCTCTACCTAACTCGTGTATAGTCACGATTGGTCGTTTACGTCAAAAGGGAGAATGTTTTAATGTTTTAAATTAGGTATTGCTGGATCTTGTCTTACTATACTCCTTACATAGGGTATCCTTGCGACTTCGGACGCCCGACGGCGGCGAGACTAGGTATAGCACCGATAACTACCTACCTGCCTATGTAAGCATCCCGACCGTTGTGGCTGATGACAGGTCTAGGGATATATCAGCTATCAAGTTACACGCGGAATTCTAAATTAGACGCAGAGATTTTCCTTTCCATATAGGTAACCTATATGACAAAGAAAGAAAAAAAACTACGTATCATAAACACCTCGGTGAAGGTGGTGAGAAAAACGCAAACACGGATTGCCCGGACTACGCGAGGATACCTAGGTAGGTAGATATTTCCACTAGATCTAGTCCGGGTGGATGGAAAACGGGCAAGACAAGATGCTAGTTGCCCGTTAGGTCCTAATTGACCCGTTAAGCAGCAACCGGCGTCAACTCTAGACCCGAGGGAGAGGTTGGCAGTTCCCTTAGGTCCCTTACCCCTAAGAAGTAAGTTTTATAGTACGTGTTGCTCGCGTGCTCCCCCTCTTGATATGGCAAGAGTGGCAGGAGCAAGGGTAGTTTACATACATAGGTACATACCTAATATGTACATGTAGGGAATGTACATACACTATGCACCTATGCGGTGGCGGTACGGCTAATGAAACCGGCGGTGTCAGTCGTAACCGTCAGTCGGAAGGCACACAGACCACCCGGACATTGTGCACATGGACAGATGCATTACTGCCGAGATTGGCTAGCGCGTACGAGCATAAATCGCCCTCGAGATAGCGCGTCTTCTCCGCAGGACCCGTATTATTATCTTCGGGAACCAACCAGCACCTAGGCCCAGCTCCGCCAGGCACGAACAACTGGAAGGGAAAGAAGGAAAAAATCTATTCGCGCTATCTCATTTTCTCCATTCATCGTTCATAAAACTTGCATTGGGTCGCAGCGCATTGCGCATAGCGTCATCTTCCTGCACAAATCCCTTGGAAAAATCCCCCAGTCCGGTCCCCTACGGCCTATGCCCTACAAATCTTCCAATTATTTCCAATCCATCTGATCGATCCAGCCCATACAATCCGTGCAATCCATACAAAGCCATACAGAACCATACAATCCGCATAGACCTAAGCTCCAACGACCCTCTTTCAAAGTCCACTTCATCCCATCCTTAATCCACTCAAGACTATCCTATCATACGATCTACCTATTACCCTGCCGCCTACTGCCGCCTACTACCGCCTACTTCACCGCACACGATCAGCCACTGTCTTGTTATTGTTTTTTTGTGGTCCGATCGACGAGACCCCCCCGGCCGGCCGCCACCACGACCGACTCACCGACTTGCATTGTATTTTAGTCCCATCCTAATCCAACACCGCTCGTTTCTCTCCCCTGTACCTATCAACCACCCGACCGCTCTGCATACCTACCTACAGGTTACGATGCGAATCTACTAAATGCTTCACTCGCCATGGCCTTCAACTTCAACTGGTCGCCGCTCACGGCCGACGCCGAGTTCTATAAGCGAGCTCAGGAGCTCCTCACGGACGCACTCAATAAATCTCCGAAGCCCCCCATAATCGTCGATGATATCCTCGTCACCGAGTTCAACCTCGGATCCGTACCGCCGGATCTGGAGATACTGGAGATTGGGGACTTGGCCGAGGATAGGTTTCGCGGCATCTTCAAGATGTGCTACTCGGGTGACGCCTTCTTGACATTGCGAACAAGAGTTCAAGTAGGTGCTATATATTTCCTTTTCTTTTTTTTTAGTTGCGTTTGCTATCGCGGAGAAAGAGGGGTTGGGCAAAAACGAAGTCGTTGATGGGTCCTAGTGTGGTTATCTTGGATTTTCTTTTTTTTTATACTACAATTTTATATCAAAGCTTTGTCATGGCGTTACGAAGCTTCCACCCTATAGCTTATTACGTCGATGGCTTCGTTCATAAAAGCAAATGTTGCTGAAGTCGCACAAACATTTTCACAAACATTTTCATCCCAAATCACAAAAGTTACCCATTATCGCAGCTAAAGCTACCTGCTTCCCTTTCCTAGCCCCCTTTCCATTGTTCAAACATCCGCGGAACCAAAGATGCTTACACATTTTTCGCGTCTGTGGAGCTCTTAAAAGTTTCTGCATGAATCTTTTGTAATTAGGGTCCAGGGGTTCGCGCTTTTTTCCTTCGGAGATTTTTCTTGAGCTTCCCCAATTACCAAGCCTTTAGGGCTCGTGCGTCATAAGATGGCTAATATCATTATAACAGGCAAACCCCTTGAATACGTATCTCTCAGCTAAGCCGACCTTCACGTCGCCGCAACCACTAGCGGCTGCATCAAGTCTGACGATACCTTTGTCTATTACCTTATCTGAGATTAAGCTATCTGCTTTCATTATTTTGGTTTTTTCGAAGCAAAAAGGTCTTACCTTAGTCTTCCGAAATGATCCTCTTGAATCACTCAAGGTCTCTTCGACCTTTGACTCTATCCAGTTTGTTCGAGACTACCTTCAGAGAACCATTGAAGGAAAGTTAAGAACTTTAATGATGGATGAGCTACCAGCTATTATTCATAAACTCTCTCTACGGCTTTGGTGTCCTGACCAATTACCGAGAGAAGACGTCGTGCCAAAAGAAGAGGCCGAAGATGAAGCTGTCATCGACCCCTTTACCAATCTACCTGCGGAAGCAGTCGACTCAAATGGACATGTGCTTGATCCTAGTGAGATTGCGTCGATATCTATGGACGGTGGTCCGGAGATGCAGTCGCTCTTCTCTCAGAAGAATCTGTTGAGATTAGCGGCTCTTACCGATTCCCATCGGACATTGTCGCTTTTTACACCTGGAATTCGTGATGCGTTATTCAGAGCTTGGGCAGGGTCGATGGACCGCAGTGATACCGGTTACTCAACGCCGATCACAACGACGCCTAGTCTAATGCGAACGCATTCCGTGCAAGGAAGTAGTACAACCTACACGTTTACCGATTCGAGCAGCGTGGATCAAGGCAGTATACCTTCCCGGCCATCTTTAACTAGTCTTCACTCGGCTACCACCGGTCTGGCTCTTGGCGCTGGTCGGCATTCAAGAAGCTCGCGCAAGAAAAAGACTCGTGTGGTTAACTTGCGCCGCAGTAGAGCTGGAGATGAGACGAGCACCGAAACTAGTGAGTCTGTATCGGATACTACGTCGGTTGCTGGCCCATTCTCGGAGCCCATCTTGCCGACTTCAATACCAGAAGATCCCGAGGAAGAGCCAGCAGATGAAGAACCGTATTCAGGTAACGTTCGATTCAGATCCGAGAAGGAATTGCCATCTCGTCCGCCCCTGGGCATGGATATGTTCAAAGATCCAGTTGTCACTGAGGATGCTTCCGCAGAGTCGGCGGAGAACATGTCAGTAGAGAACAATGCGAGTAGTACTCCAGTCCGGCGCCAGGAAAGGATTTTAGAAGCCCTCGCTTTGTCTTCCAGGAGCCCGTTTAATCTAGAACGGCGTCGGCCGATGAGCTCCGATTCCTCATCGGTGATCCTCGAGCAGGCTTGGATCATGAAGATGGCAGGCGAGATTGCGCGTCGTGTATACGACGAGAAGCAACGAAACGAGAACTTTTGGGCGGAGCCGGAAGACACCCCGCCCCCCGCTTACCAAGTGACACAATAAGCTGTCGCATAGAGCACCAGCATTTCAATCTTTCTGACATTTTTTTCGTTTGTCTATACAAGTACACTAGACTGTAAATACGGCACACGGCGTTACGACAAGGCATTACGGCAGGGAAGGCCCTGGCGGTGGAGATATCCGAATGTCTAATGTTTATTGAGAGGCGGTTTTTGCAGCAGAGGCGTTTTGGGCGAACTGGTCTACAAAAAATGGGGATATTGATTATGATTTGTTTTGAAGGGAAGACTGACTATCTTGGTCTATCTGTCGAGCACAATGTTAGTAGCTCGGACAAAAGAAAGACTCGCGTCAGACACACAACAGTTTTTCGATACAGCAAACAAACTGCTTTTAGCAAGCTCTCTTATGTCGGGATCGGATTGCGCCCTAGAGGCCACTATGGACGGAAAGGACGGGTCTGTCTAGGGAAAAGGGAGGTCAAGGATAGGGACCTAGGAGGTTTAGGGTACGGTAGAGTTAGTTAGAGCGTGCTGGTACATAAGGGGTCTCCCAGGGTACGGCCGAGCTAGCTAGCTGTGTCATGGAGACTCGCTCGAGGCTGGAGTCCTCTTGAGAGAAATACTCCAATCTGAAATCAATAAAGATCATATTATGAGCAATTCGATGGCGTTTTTACATAAGGTGAACTCTGGTGCTTATTGTAGTAAAAGAAAGGAGTAGTCTACGCGAGATGGAATTTCGAGCTAGGTTTCAGAGAATTGGGTTTTACGTGTGATTTATGAGTGCGATTGACGTTCAAACTATAGATGGCTCTAGGTAATTTCGCGTCTTCATAGCATAAGAGGTAACGCATGAGTGTTTGTTGCCTGTGTATACCTAATGTAAGGATCAATACCCAGGTGTATGTATGATATGTACAAGTCTGGTCTGGCCTGGCTTAGAAAACAGCGCCTCCTTTCAGCACGATGAATGCCTTGAGTTTATGTTCATTGAATACCCCCCATCATGCCACATCTACCCCCCGGCCAGTCATATAGCGACGATGATAATACCATCTCAAGCTCTCGTACCTAAGTACAGCGCCACGCGTGTGCGTGCAGACATCCTAAGTGAAGCTATATCGAATACGCAGACGTGTAAGCTCAGAGCTGAATATACTCAGTACTAGGATGTTTTCCCTTTCTTTCTTTCTTCTCCCATGACTTTCCATCCCAGGACTCTAAGTGCCATTCGCAAGAGCACCGAGCTTTGGTCTCAACGACATCTTTGAATTATCCTTAGCCTAAGCTCAGGACTACGACGGCGCATCCCTATGCGGCGCCACGCGGCGGCCGCTCGCGAGCTTCCTGAGATGCTTCTTGCGAGCCTTCAACTTGACGAGGCGTGTCCCCGGCTGCTGGGCTTCGGCTTCATCCTCGTAGTCTTCGTCTTCGTCCTCTTGCGTAGCCATAACATTCCTTCTGCTATTTCGCCTGCCGCTAGTCCCTGACGCGTCCTACGCGCCGGAGGCGACCGCCGCCGCAGTCGCCTTCTTCAGGGCCGCGAGCTCGGCCTCCTTGGCCTTGACCGACTTGGTCATCTCGAGCACCATCTGGTGCACCTTGTCCTCGGCCTCCTTGAGCCTCTTAATCTCGAGCTGTTCGGTTTCGCGGCTGAAGGGCTGGCCCGGACGGTTAGTCAGCGGGATCATGGCGCTGCGCTCTTTTACCTCGCTGCCGTTATCTCCGGTATTGGATTGCTGCGCGTTTTTCCCTTTGCCTTTGCCCTTGCCGCCGGCGGGGGCGTTCTTGTCGCGCGCGCCGGTCGTTAGGATCTTGTAGAAGTCTTCGAAGGGCTCGTTGAAGAGCTGCTCTTCGTACACCCAGGCTACGACCTCGCCGCCGTTACGCATGACTTCTTTTTCGGCCTCGGTGCGACCGTACGGGTGTAATCTTAAGTGATGGTACAAAGTCTGGGGTTTTTCGCTGCTGCGACTGTCGTAGTACAGTCTAATCGTAATTTCGAACTCGCCCCATCCCGTCTCGTTGACGACGAAGGATTTCTGGCGCTGGGACGGAGGCTTGCCCTCATTCTCCTTCATGATGGTCTCGGCGTCGATGGTGCGCAGGTGGTTCGGGATGGACTCGTGTAACTTGAACTGCACGCGCCGCAGCCAGTAGAAGATATCGGTGTCGTCGACGCCTTTTACAAACACCTGCCATGAGTGCGTATGATCGGCGGGGACGCCGGCGGGTCGCGGGTTGTCGGTGTCGTTGAAGGGACGCGCGGTGGTGCCGTAGATGAATGGCCGATAGATCTGTACGCCTTTGACACGCTTGCCTACGGGTGGTGCCATGTTTGACGGTGATAGCGGATGTTTAGTAGAAGTAGAAGATATATGGTAATGAGATTAACCTAAGTTCTAGGGATTAAATGATTGGAGTATATTAGTTTAATGATTGGTAGGCGTGATGAAGTAGAGGTCATACAAAAAACCAGTGGCAACTGCCCCAATTGATCACCTGTGTGATACCTCTAAGTTATCATGCAAGTGCTATCGCAGACCCATGGAATTATTGTAGTCGGAGCTAGAACCGTGTAGCATCATCTTATCGATAGTGCACCTCACCTTATTTTCTAGATAATTTTCTCAGCCTTACTCAAGACCCATATTTAATTAAAGGCTATCTAGATCGAACCAATCGAAACTCATACCCACATCCCTGCTCACATCCTCCAGGAATTTCTAGCGGTAAAGTTCCTCAGCCTTACACATGAGCTGATGATGTCGTTGATTGAGAAATAGCATTCAAGATATGCTTCTGACGGCCAATTAAGCGCACGAGAGCCGAATTTTCTATTTAAGACCCCTCAAATGAAAAATTAGTATTCACTGCATGAAATTCGAATAATCTACGGTCCAATTTGCAAGCTAGGGTTATCAGCTGAGCATAGCTAACTCAGTTCACTCAGTTCACTCATTATGTCGGCTAAGAAACTCATAGTTTGCGGTGGGAACGGGTTCGTCGGATCTAGGATATGCAAATATGCCGTTGCTAGGGGTTGGGACGTAACATCTATAAGGTATACCTAGACTACATCACACTTATTCCTCAATATTATATATTATCGTGCTAATAAGCTTCAGTCGTTCAGGTGAACCGAGATGGGACACAGTTACAGCATCAGACAAACCGCCACAATGGGCTCGCAAAGTGACCTGGGAGCGCGGCGATATCATGCGCCCAGCAACATACGCACCTCTCCTCAAGGGTGCCGACTTTGTCGTCCACAGCCTCGGTATTCTACTAGAAGCCGATTATAAGGGTGTGTTGCGTGGCCAAGAATCGCCCATCGGGGGGTTACGGAAGGCATTCTCGGCCGCGCCGCAGCCCGGGAATCCGCTGGAACGTAAGGTGCCGGAAGGTAGTAACCAGGATATCCGGCCGCCTGAAACTCGAAACCAGCTCACGTACGAGAGCATGAACCGTGACAGTGCCATTATGCTAGCTAAGGAGGCTGCGCGTGAAAACGTCGCTGCTTTCGCGTATATCTCAGCGGCTGCCGGTGCCCCTGTGCTACCCGCAAGGTATATTACGACAAAGCGTGAGGCCGAGAGTACTATCGCGAGCGAATTCCCACGTATGCGAAGCATTTTTATCCGCGCGCCGTTCCTATACGATAGCTCGCGACCCATCACTATCGGGATGGCAGCCATGACGGGGCTAGGCGCCGCCTTCAACGGGTTCACGCGCGGGGTCCTAGGCGGTTTTATGGGCGCCGCCGGTGTCAAGCCCCTAAAAGTAGACATCGTGGCCGAGGCCGTCGTCGAAGCCCTAGGTGATGAGAAGGTTAAGGGGCCTGTGGAACTCGCCGAGATCGAGGAGCTGGCTAACAAGTCGTGGAGGAAAACCATGGTCTGAAACGTCGATTGAGCTTTGTGTGTTGTATTAATGCACGCCTATAAACTGTATCATAGCTGTCCAACGCCCTCCCCACCCGCCGAAGAATGCCAGTAGTGTAATCTAATCGTGTACCAGTACGGCCCGTCTGATCATGCTTGTGTGAACGCCCCCAGTACAATAAAACCACCCATCGTCTTTTTCAAATCATAGTCCCGCGCTCGAAGCTGTCCCTAATCTCCGCCGTGTATTTGTTGTAGAATCTAGCCAGTTTCTGGTTGAACTGTTTGTTCTTCTCGTTGATATACGTGACGTCGCCGTCGTCGCCGTTCTGTGCCATCCTCTCGCGCCTCTTGCGCAACCTGACGTCCTCGGCCTTCTGCAGGTCGCCCACCAGCCTGTCGATGGCCGCCTTGTCGGGCTTGTTCTCGGCAAAGGAGGTCGAGTCGGCGGTAGAGTAGAAGCTTCCGTCTTTGTCAACAGCGATGAGTTCGCCATCTTCAGTCTCGATGATTTCGAGACCGCCGGACGCGGCAGCCTTTTCGATGGCAGCCATCTTGTCTTTCTCGTAGCGCTCGAGATCAGGGGCCAGGTCGCGCACCTGCCGCTTGTAAACCTTGTTGCTCTCCTGGCGGTAGTCATGGAAGGCGTTGTTGTCGCGGTGGGCAGCCTTCTTCTTCATGCGCTTATCCCAACGCTCGCTCTCCTCCGCCGTCCAATCCCACGCCCGCTTGCGCTCGAAGTCCTCGCCCGCCTCCTCTGTCTCGGCCTTTAGTAGTTTGTGTGTGGCGACGTCGCGGCGGCGATTCAGCGATACGAGTGCGGACGGGTCGGTAGCTAGGCGCTGAGATTCCTTAGTTGTTTCCGCAAGGTTCTGATCCGATGATACTTTCGCGCGGGCTTGTAAGGCGCGAAAACGTGCCATCCGTTCCCTTGCTTTCTCTGCAGCATCTGCAGCCGAACTAGTTTCTGCGGTTTTTGATGATGTTGCACTATCCTCCACTGGTGTCAAATCCTTCGGCTTTTCTGGTTGTTCTTCTTCAGGATTTTCCTCGTTGGTTGGAGCAGTCTGTTCAACTACCTCTGCTGCCGGAGCGTCTTTTACTTTAGAAGCGGCCTTGGCGGCCGACGCCGTCTTCCTCTTCTTCGCAGGAGGCATAGCTAATTAAAACGGTGAAATCAAAGGTTTCGATGTAGACGTATAATTTGAAGAGTGGTAGAATTATATGTTGATGGTTCTTCGGATTAGTTAATGTAATGCTACTAAATTGGCAGATGGCAAGATGCAGCTGGCAATGAAGCTGTGGCAGTACCTAGGTATCTGTTATTTTAATGTGGGTACACTGTTACGGATTATCTAAGGGCCGTTTCTACGATTGAATCAGGGGTACCTCAACTTATAGCCTGTACCTAAGTACCTAGCGTCAGGGGCCATCTTGTTTTAGCTTATGCTTTTTACCCCTCAGAGCCTAGATAATTACCCCAGACTCCGGGGTAGTGGTAGGTACCTCCTAAGCCTAAATTTAGGTGGGGAAGACTTGGAGACGAACAAGGACAAGGTTTGCATTTTCCTCCCCTTTCAACATGGTCTCGCGATATCAAGGTACATACTCGACAATTACTCGATATTTATTTGATGTAGCACAGCATCATTGAATATTATGGTAGTGACTTTGTCTGAAAATGTTACTATTTTATAAATCTAGCCAGTACCCTCGAAATGCCACCCCCAGTCCAATTATCAAGATCTATCCCGAAGTGGCCTTCACCCAATGCTGTTCTTAAAAGACGAAAAAAAGATAATTATCAGCCATTCGAAGCAGCTGAACTAATCCTCGATCTCGATGCCGAGAATAGCCCTTACGTCCGCCCCTATAGCAAGAGCAGCGATGGTGAACCGTTGCCCCCCGGGCGTCATAGGGAGAGAGAGCTCCGACCCGTCCGCAAGTTCGTCGCCGGGCTAAATAAGCTCTCCAGGGAATATCAGCTACAATTCGCGGATACAGCGTCAAACAAGTTCAATATTTGGCGGATAACCAATTATGATATACTTTCCGTCGCACTCCGCAACACGCCTGTGACAAGACGAAGTTGCGGTGATCATCATGTTATCGATGAGAATAGTATATTCGATCAAAATGGGATACCACACTACATACTTAATAGCCCGTCTAAGACCATTGCATACATGCTACACCGGCAAAAAATATCCCACCGTTTAGAACCAACCCAGGATGACCTAATACAGTTCCGAAAGGCGGTTAAGGCGTGCCGCGACCTTGATCAAATCGAGAGGGTTATCATGGGTGTTATTCGAACCCCCCTAGGTCGCTGGCTCATTGCACATAGCACCAATGCTATCGGAAGAGCGTGCGTAGACATGGCTGGGGAAATGCCACCGGAACAAATGCTCACGTTTCTCAACAACTTAATAATCCTTCTAGAACCAGAGAAGCCGGAGATTCCCCCCTTATTCTTGTATGGAGCTATCCTAGCCTCGGTACGATGTGGTGTCTTCGATGTGGCTCAGAGATATATAAGAATGGCTAAAGACGGCGGTGTTGACTTCAACGCTTGGCTAGTGGCTGGTATTCTCAACGTTTTAGAAACGAACATTTTGGAGGAGTTAACGACTTCGTCTGCTATCCAGAAATATCCTACGTATCCTCTATTAGCAATATACAGTCTTTTAACAGGCCAGATACAGGGAGAAAAAACACCACAACCTTCATTACGGGACTTTATATCTAGCAGCACCATACAGGGTGTCTCTCAAGGACCGTACATTGCTTGTCTTGCCCGTCTAGGAGCGTTCCGAACAATGTGGCATTTCTGGCACATGCATCCTGTACCTCCAGAAGACAAAGATACCTCCAATGCCGACATCTTCGCCCTGGCCATTCATAAAGCCGTGTTGGCCAACCACCACTTGACGAAATTAGCACAGGCTCCCAGCTTTACGCGCGTGGCCGGATCGTACCCCGACGATTGCCAGCTCGACATAGAAACCATTATAGAGTCAATAGAAATACTTTCCTCGCCTAAGCCCGTAGGCGAAGTCCAATACTCTCTACCTAGCAAGAAGGCAATCGAGGAGATTTTTGGGGAGACATCGATTGAGAAATCAATGTTGGCATTGCAACAGTACCTATATGAACTAAATTCCACTATACCCCTCAGAGAAGATATATATTAGAGTCTATGAGGCAGACTCTGGGGCTAGACAGATCTGATGAGGATACCGATGGAGATTAGCTCCAAGGTTGGCAAAACTTAGAATCGAGGCCCATAGATCGTCGTGACACTGCTGGCATATCGATTGAAAATACCATGTTCAGTATTATAAGCCACTCCTTGCAGAGTTCGGCAAAGCTTGTCGTCTTGGGCTTATTACTAGTGACCAATTCAAACACATTTTAAGGCCGACGTGCTAATCCTTCTTAACGCACCTTGCAACTTAAATAGAAGTTTTCAGGGTTGATGCCGGTAAAGATTACTCTCCTGTGTCAGCACGCAAGTACGGCAGAGTAAGTGGATGTTAAATTCAAAATAGCATCTGAACTCCAGTGATTATAGGATCACGGATAGGTATAGTCATTCCGTGAAGATATAGAGTTATACTCTCATAGAATAAGTTTATCAGGTAAAGAGAGACATACTGATCTGGCCCCTTTCCCCTGACAACACTAACACCACCTCGCTATTTTAGTAGCCAGCCCTGGCGAACGCTGACTTATTCAAAGTTCAAGCTTCCGAATACAACTTAATAAGAGATAAATAAAGACTGTTCGTTACGAAGTATAGGTAAGTAAGCCAGGTATATCACGACGTGTACATAAGCGTTTACTTATTAAACTATGTAAGATGATATACCAAAGCCTACCAGCCAGGACGATAATATTTTTAAAGGTGACGAGAGGAGCGATGTAGCTTTAGTAGATAAACAACATAAATATATTTTGATGGAGATATCTTTAGTTTATAATCTTACTTCATCAGATATAACCTACCAACAAAGACAGTTACAATAAGAACTAACTAGTGGCAACACCTCTTTTCTTTACTCCTCGATATCTCTTATGATATACCAACCAGCAAACCCTAGTCGGACCTAGACATCATTCTACATATATACAGGTCTTGCACATCCATTGGACAGCCATTTAGACGCTTAAGAGTATCAAGTAAGGCGCCGGTGAAGAGGCTTATCATTCAAGTAGCCATGAAGCCATCCGACGGTCAATACCACAGCAGATTCAAAAACAAATATTCAAACGTTAACCCCGTACTGTTCCAAACCACAAATAACCCCGACATCGTCGAAGACGCTACACATATATGATATATCCCCCCCCACCTATATCATATCCACTCTCCCTATCCATCCACCAGAAGCAAACTCCACGGCAGAGTCCGTCCCGTGTGATAATGCAAGATCGCATTTAGCATTAACACAAGAGAGTCTAGAGTGTTCCGCTCGGCGCCACCACGGTGCCGAGACGGCCGGCGTGCAAGTTCTCGGCCAGCTTGCCGCACGTCCCGGGAGCACAGCTTGGGGGGGGAGGAGGCTAGCCTCTCCTATTCACTGTAGTGGTATGTGGACACCGTATAGGACGACGTATTAACCCAGCGCATACTTCCCCCACGCCCGCATCCCTTAAATCGACCTAAGAGCTTCCTCGTTCCGTGAACATCGAAGCCAATACCACTACCCCGGCCCGTGCGTCTTGGGGCCAAGTAAAGGGGTTGGGGGCGGTGAAGAGCATGTACACACTTCACCCAGCCCGTACAGTACATACATACCTACCTACCTACATATACTCTAGCCTATGTATCTGACTACATACGCAGAGGTTGATCTATCTCGCCGGATCACCACGTTATATCGACCCAACGGGCAACCACCCACCCGCGCCGCGAACGGAGCTACCGCCGTCCCCGCGGCGCATACTGTTATCTACATACATGCTGTATGTATAGTTTATTATGCTATTCGACGGGGTACGTTCCGACGAGATCTCATTCGGCTTATCCGAACTACCCATGCCAGCCGTGCGGGATGCCGGCGGCCATCGGATTACCTAGGGGTAGAATCCGGGGGAACGTTGGAGGGCGTGTTGGGCGAGCTAGCTAATGTATGTACTTACATAGTAGGTAACTAGGTAAGGAATACATACGCATACCCCTGTCCTCGACGGTTGGAGGGACAAGAGGGGGTTACGGAAGTTCCCCATGTTTTGACATGAGGTTATGTAGTAACTATGTATGAGTGTCATACTATGCTAAGATGGGCACAGCTTGACAAGACCCTTAAGGTCTGCTCGATGTTAGCCTGCGGCGAGATCTGAGATAATGTATGTAGTTGAGGTTGCGCCATGCCATGCCCGTAGCACGAGGCCGAGTGTGGTGCCCCGTAAGCTGTTTTGTCTGCGTGGTCCACGAGGGTGGATATCGTGGATATCGTGGATATCGTCTTTAACTACGGAATACCTAGGTAAGTTAGTTGCTTTGGGGAGAGATTAATTGTGGCTCCATATGTAGATAGATGTACATACTACATATTACATAGTATCAACTCTATCAACCCTATTACCTAATTCCAAGTATTCACGATATTCGAGAATTTCATCCCCTTATGGCGGTGAGAAGAAACTATCTACTCCCTTCGATGACCCATTCTTACGTGGACTACATACAGATATTCGAGTTTCAAGTACGAAAGAGAAAATACGACTTGTACGTAATATATACCTAGGTATGCCACACTGTGCCCTCTTCGAGTCTGTGTCATATACATACGGAATGCTACGACGGAATGGCGAGATCTCGTACAATTCTTAGGTATGATGTCGAGATATTTCAATTGCAGTCCGACCCGATCTATAAAGCTCGCGTGACGCTTTTCTTCAATGGGCGCTACAATCGATACAACCTCTTATAACGCAAGGGGAAGATCGCCATGGTGCATACCGGCTCAAATGGCCAGTAATTAAGCTATTCTGCAACCATATTCGCCACTATTCTTGCGCAATTTCGCCATGTCCGAGTTACCCAATTCGTCAGTCGTACTTCTTATGGCATGTAAGACTTACACAATCGCTGTACGCACCCGGACGGATCGCACTACATGCGCGCGCTTGTGAAGCAGTATATTCGTCAAAGAAGTCTTAGATGAGGTCATTGCAAGCAAGACCTTAGACCTTAGGAATATATGCATGTTGCTGGAGAAGTCTTGGATATAGATACTATACTTAGGACCTTGTTACCTAAGCGATTGATCCTATTCCCGTAATGACCATCGGCTCTGGAGAACACGAATGAATTTTCCGATTGGAATATAGATTAAAAGTCCGCCCTCCCCGCCAATGAGCTACGCTAAAAGCTTGAGGCTCAAGCCGGCGAGACTGTTAATATATTTTGTAAAGCAATAATGATGAAAATTCAAGAATATGGTCAGGTTAATGGCACCACCTGTTCTGGCTTATCACTTTTAAACTCCGGATAGCTTTCTAAGCACTCGCCGGTCTATGCATGCTTATACAGGTGGCGTTGAGCAGCCGTAACAGGTGAAATACTGAAGCCTAGGCAAGTATTAGCTCGCGTGCGAATGCCTAGAGCTTATGTTATAGCGTAGCATGATGTCCACGAGGCAAATTCTTGCGGTGCAAGAGTACTAATCAGTCCTGTCAGTGTAACAAAGTAAAGACATACCAACAGTAATCGGCTCCGATCACGCTGATATGGACCTCTCCGGCTGCATCGCTGCTTATTCTGTTCGTTAGATGGATCTACCTAGTTGATATAGTTTCGGCCTAACATCTGACAGCTGAAAGATAGCTTTCCCGAGAGATAACCTAGCGACGCTAGCAGATTCCCGGTTAACTCCTAGAGCAGATCATATACCTATGTATGAGTCTATCATAGCCTAGCCAAGCTTGCAAATTTGGTTGCTCGAGTTGATTGGTTCGCAAGCGCAACAGGATATGGATGTTTCTGCCTGTAGTGGTGTAAGGATGTCCACGTCTAGGGTACCTGCAGAAATCTGGAAGAATCAAGAGAATCGACATGGGGCAAGCCCAATATAGAGATGCATGCTATTGCAGAAGAAACTTTCTTATCGCGGTCTTCTTCCTGGTACGTGTTTTTGGAAGAGGGTGTGTGAGAGGCTGTGCCGCGGCGGCGGCGGCGGCGACGATAGGTTGGCGGTTAGTTATCTCGCATGGGTAGAAAATTTTCTGGGTTACCATTAACGGATTCAAATTGCTTGCTCGACTCCACTAATAAGCCTTGGATGGCCGAAGCTGACCGAGTTCTAATACCTAACCCGTGTCCGTTTACAGAAATATAATCCATGCTTCTGCCTCTTTGGGAGCACTAAGTGCTATCATCATTGTGGCACTATCAGGGAAGAAACACACAGTTGCTCGTAACCGTACGTAGGTATTTGGATATTATCCCGTCCAAGGCCGTTGGTTGGACTCAGCCCTGGCGATCATTCCTGTTGTACGACACACCCAAAGCAGAACTGACACGTCTGTAATTGAGACACCTTGGAGGGAATAAAGCCGGGCATTAAGTCCAAATAACCCAATAAGAAGCTGACGTCGTCGTACCTTCGAAGCAGTTTAGATTTTCCGCATCAACCGCACTCTCGACAAAACCTTGAACAGAACTTGCTAGAGTAATATGTTCCTGAACACGGGAGCCTATCGGCTGTGACACTCCACGTGGGGGAAGTTGATCCTCACCAGAATTTGAGATCTAGTAAGTTCCGAAATGGGTAATCCGGGTGACGGACGACTGGAGGTCAATATAAAACATATGAATCCATGGTGAGGAGACGAGTCGTAAGAGTCGCAGGAATCAAAGCAGTCCTCGGCAACTCTACCCAGACTGCCAGGCCACTCGCAAACCAGGAGTCGGGACTATCTCTTTTGTAGCTCTCTCCCTTGCAAGTTGTCGTGCTGGATGATGTAACGATGGATTGTTAGGTAGCATGTATGTACACATTGTATATGCAAGCCGCGGCCCATGTCCGTCGGCGGAGCTATAGTGTAGGAGGCGAGCAACGATACCTACCTACATTACGATGAATGATGAATGATGAATGATGAGTGATGGATGATGGATGATGAATGCTCTCCTTTGCCTTGTCACCTGTAGACGAAGCACACATCACGCAGGCTGGAAGGCTACACAGCGTTTTTGCCTTTCAGATAAACAGCAAATACGACATGCAACCCTCTTCCCCCACGAGTTACACAAATTAAAATGGAAACCTGCAATTGCGAACGAAACAGGTAATGAGCCACTGTCGCATGTTGCACAACGACCTTAGTTGATGAGACAGAAGAAGAGCAGAGGGGGCCAAGCGAGACAATTAGACAGGGCGCCAGGGGGGCTCAAGAGCTTCTCAAAGAGGGGTAACGAGATTGATCAGCTATCATTGTAATTGTAGATAGCCGAAGTCGAAACTAATCAATTGACACGACGGGGCGTTCTCAGAGCCTAGAGGTTTGAAGATCTCCAGCGCTGGATCGGCAGTCATGCGCATTGAGACATTGGGGATATGCCGGGGAAGACATGATGGCGAAAAAGCGACGTCGGACAGCCTCAGACATAATTACTTGCCATACGGGCTGTAACCCAAGTATATCACTGCAACGGCAAAATATGAGAAATATGAGGAATAATAGATGACGACTTGTCCGAAGTGGCGTGTTGATGGGAATCGCGCATCGAAAAGGTCTGAATCCCAAATCTTCGATATAACTTGTCTGGGTAGAGTCTGGGTAGTAACTGGTAGAGTGGCAGAGTAGTAGGAGTGGTAGAGTGATGGAGTAAAAGGAGAAGGATGTAGGGTAGAGTCCCGGATAACTGGAGACGTCAATTGCGGGCGGCAACACGGGAAGCCGACATTAGGTAAGTTTGCCATGTACGATTTGCCATGTACGATTCCATATTCCATATATGATTGGAAAGTTCGAGCCGCTTTACACAGGACTAGATTGGAAGTTATTACCAGCTACGGCAGTATCATACATAGGTCGGGTAGCGTGCTATGCTACATTAAAGATAAAAGATAAAAGATAAACCAGCAGACCAGCAGACTAGCAGACCAGCAGACTAGCAGACCAGCAGACTAATAAACTATATTGTGCCTACCGTGGCTGCCGTGGCTGCCGTTTAACTGCACCAGAGTCTGTAACCTCCTTATGTACCTCCCTTACTTCCCTACCTCGCGCTACCTCGCGGACGGTAGGACGTTATTGTACTCAAAACTTACACTATATATGTAGCTCCTGACGGGGGAAAGCCGCGGGCGGTGGGACTACCTAACCTGATACAACGCATGTATAGAGGTATAACATAATACCTAACACAATACCTAACAGCCCACACCTAAACACCCTTTCGGATGTTAGCCCAAGGGCTGCGAGGGTAAAGTTCAACTGGGCTCAGGCCTAGAAAAAAGAGCAGGTTTCATGGGGTCCGGGACCATTTTGCGCCTCTGGAAATCGGCGAACTGGTACACGTGCGAATCCACCCATCGAATTCCAAGTAAAGAACTAGAAAAAACGTGCTTGAGATGATGGATGAGGTGAACTGGTCTTGAAACAAAGTCGTCATTTCCCTCGTGCTAGATCTAGATTTTCTCTTTATTAGTGTCATCGCTAATTCGAACACACAGCTATCGGAAGCTTAATGTATTGCAATTTTTCACCTATATGTGTTCAAATTCGATATGGTCAATTTGAGACTCGGCTCGGTTTAAGTTGCATCTATCATGATTGAAAGTACTAAAATAAATGCGTGTAGTGCGTGTATGTAGACACAGTGCCTGATTGAATACCGACCAATCCTTTATCTGATCCGCAACCACGTTTAGGTAGAGGACCCAGGTACCGCGTACCTTGGATTTGTAACCTATGGCGTAGGCCACAGACTTGACCACTTTACCCATACATACCATACTGGCATTATATGGGTTTCAGGAATGATTCCTTGTGTAAATTATCATATTAGCCATAACAAAGGTTAGAATGAGAAATATGATATTTTACGAGATTATCATTCTTTTGAAAATAATCATTCCTTGTAAAAGAATGATTCCTTGGAATCTAAAGCTTTGATTGGATAGAATAAGTGGGTTTCAAGTCACATGACTTCACGTGACCTTAAAAAAGCTTAAAAATCAAAAAAGCTAGGATGCCTGGGACTCGAACCCCAGGCTCCTAGCCCCACCACAACATCCCCGCTAATGCGGGAGTGTTTTGATTGAGCTAACGGCTCTAGTGGGTGGCCAGTCCACTAGTGCTGTTGACAATTGGTCCGTTGTTAAACCTTATTACCCACACTTTCATTTTTTAATATTACAATAATATATTGGGCCAATCAGAGAAACCATTCCTGTATAAGCAAGGATATCCTGTACAAGAATCATTCCACCCCCAAAATATGATATCTTAAAACCACACATTGCCGGTATGGTAGGTACCCATACCTTACGTAGCACCTAATCGCGACATCTGATGGATGAATTTCGCCGAATCCATATAAAGTTTTTTTGTCCTTCTTTCTCCCTAGATCCTTTTGTTTCTGTTCACCGCATTATACAAGCATTGTACAATCTATATGAGTAATTGTGTGACAAATTGCGCCGAGATATGGAGAGATGGAGAGATGATGCTTCACTAAAATCGTCAACCTGGATGGGCAGACATATATTATCCACGGGGACACCTGGATGGCGTAACGAATGTTTGCAACAAAAACCCTGCGGTGCATGCAGCAGTATATTGTACATGGCAGCAAGAAGAGTAGAATGAGTTAGTAGTCCAAATATTGAAACAACAAAATGTCTGGCAAATATCGCAAATATATCCCGTCGGGAAACTTTGCGATGTTGCATAAGGATCATCCACATTGTCCAAGTGTTTAAGTGTTTAAGTGGTCAGTCCCGCATGTACGGGTGCCTTTCCGCGAACCGCAGCGGAGCTTATGTTGCTTGCATTATTTATACTAACTATCTAAGTAACTATAAGTAACTAGTATGTGCAACGGGAGTGCATGTTGAAATCCCGAGCCATCTTAACCCCTGCCATGAACTCTTTCCAAAAGATTCTGTTCATGATTCTGATCAATCTAAAAGGGTTATTAAGGTGTATATGTATATGCTGTATAGACCTACGTATATACCTACGTAGTGTATAACTCTTACAACGCCAAGCGATCCATGCTGCTACATCATCATCCCTGTTGTGGGTGTTCCATTGCATGTCCATTATGTCCAGTATCTTGTTCGACGTTGCTGGCTACCTATTTTGCCATGGCGTTGAGACTTACTATGTAAAAAGACAGTAACTGACTACAGTATCTGCATAAGTACATATATTATATACGTTAGGTATGTAGATATGTACCTAATGTATATAATATACATTTATCTGATGTCCGTATATATGCTAGGTACATAAGGCTTGGACTGCTTGGGTAACTAATAGTGTTACTTAAAAAGAAATAGCCTGTCAAACGCATAAATACTATCGAATGGCCAGTTTTGGTAGTGCGTTTCGGTAAGGCAGAGTTAATCGTAAATAGTCAACTCAACTTGCAAGGGGAGAATAAAAAATTTTCTCACACGTTTTCTCCTGTCCCCATATTCGATGAGTCTTCGTTCACCTGTCCCAACTTAAGAATCCAAAAGGGCTAGGCGCTAATAGAAGCTCTGTCGTGATAGTCAAGACAATGTAGTAGTCACACGCAATTGGCTCAAGCCCCCAGTCTTGGGTCGCATCTCCGCTTTCGGCATTCTGAGCAGTTGTCAGCCAATGAAAGCACGCACGCAAGCACTTGCAAAGTTAAAAGGGGAAGGGCGAATAGAGAAAGAGTCATCGTTGGTTGATTACTTATGTATTGTGCACACACATCTGTATCATCTGTACCTCCCAGACAAGCCCAGGTCCCAAGGTACCTTCCTACATAAAAAAAGTCATCCAGACAAAACATAACCCTAGCAGATACATGCGGTACCTTACCTTACCTTACCTTACCTGCCAGAATTATGTTACAGCCATGTACAGTGTCAGCCAGGCCAAGGAGTGGGAAAAAAAAAAGGTATGGTACGAAACATTTCCAAGGGTGCTAGAATATATCATCCACTACATCCCGCCTCTTGTCTCCTTCTCAATCTTCAAAAAAATTACAAGCTCGAAGATTTATTTATTGTCGACCAATTCAGCTGTGTCCCTCCCTAGCATTGCATCTTCGAATTTTATATTGCATGATATTTTTATCGAACCTCCATAGTAGACGTTCATCTTATAGATCTGCTTGAACATTCAATTGTTACCTACACTACGAACAACTGTTTCTCTGTGTCCCAAGACATATCCGAAAAGTCCGACTTACACAACTAAACGCCCCCAGCAACTCTACTATCCCAGTACGTGTTACACCACCAAGACTTCTACTACCTCCAACGTATCACCACCACCATTACGAGCTTTCTTCGTCCACACGTCACAGGTGAAGCTATTATCATCACCTTTGGTCTAAAAGCGCAGAGGAGCAATTGGAAAGACGATCTAGACGATCTAGACGTTACCGAACCACAATTCGCTTGTTAACATCGTCATTCCCGTGTTCTGCTACATTTGAAGCTGAGCACGCAATATATCGTTTAACCTTGTTTTGTCTGCTGCTCCTTGGTTCTTTTCCTGCCAAACTGGGCATCCCAGTCTTAGGAGATAGTATTAGTACCTCGACCGTCTTGGGTCCTGCACCTTATCAATTCGGCTCCAAGAACAACGAGAAGCTAAAGCACGTCAATTCGCTTTATCTATTCCACTTGTTAGCAGCGCAATAGTCTGGAAAATTGCAAAACAGCTTTTATACGACTTTCAAACCCCCGCCGAAATTGTCGCGAGATCTCCCCGCCTTCAACCCCTCTCTACAATATATTGGAAAGGGTTCCCCTACTAAGCTAGCCGTCTAACAGGCACGCACTCACCTACTACTCTTTAGAACAGTAGGTTCTGGCCTAGGCTTACCGCCAGGGCCAATTACATAGTTCCAATGCATCACACTCGTCGCAAATCTGGCCATGCCTCGACCAATAGCTCAACGACTGACGTCCGCAAGGCGGTCACAAATTCGGATGCAAAGCCCAGACGGCCACAGACATTGACCAGGAAACCAACACCGCAAACGGTGCTAAAGCTGGGCAAGAACCCGAAGGATCGCGAAAGGGAATTGGAAGAAGAACGCTGGTTCGAGGATGAGCGAGAGAGCTTTCCTCAATTCTGGTACGTATTTTTTGTTCTATTTACACGGCTTAACCCTGCAACGTCCCCCTTGATCTCGATGCTGCTCTCGATGCTGCGGCGAGGCTCGTCGTCCAGGTTGTATCCTTGATGTTCTGCCTAACGTCATTTTGCGCCTGGGAAGGGTGAGATCGGGTTCTCTTTTCCTCTCCTTCTGCGCGACACTTATGCCACTTCAGGCAATTTGCGTGGGCTGCGTCACCACTCGATCAAGCCATGCGGGTGATCAACGCTGGGGGGTGTCTTGTGCGACCAACCCGACTGTTCCTGCATCCCACGAAACTATTTTGTAGACAACTTACTAACTGGTCACGAAACAGCATGACCTGCGAAAAGCAATTCACCCCACAAGATGAGAAGTTTTTATATTGCTCGGAGGCGTAAGCCACATTTCACCTAGCCAATAGATAACCCGCATTACTGACGTCTAGACCAGGTGTCGCGAGCGTGACCAAAATGCAAGTGTAAGAACATCGTCATCGCGCCATTCGTCTAGGGGGCATGAAGGCTTCGGGGCCACTTTACCGTATTATTCGGTTGGAAACTCGGAACCCCGAGACATCATCCCGCGCGCCTCACCATCTCGTTGGTCGCCTCCCATAACACCAACAACCGGTCAATACACCAATGCCGTCTCAGCCCTGAGGTCATTAACCATACGGCCGGTGAGCCCAACTTCGCCGATATCAGGCAATGCAGTTTGGCCGTTTACGCGCAGTGCTGTCACCAGCCCCAGTACGTCGTACACGAAATCGGCCAATAACTTCTACTCGTCAACTTACGATAACGGTTATGCAGTTACGGGCTATGGATATCCCCAAGGTGGAATGACGGACCGACCATTGCCCTCCAGAAAGCCGGGTGCCTACTCGAGACCTAAGAGTATCGAGTTAGTTACACCGATAGTTGGTCGCTGAGCGGGTGGTCTAAAAATGAGTTGAGTTCTGGCTCGCTATAGTGCTGACGTGAGCTTCGGAGAGTTTTTTATACGCATCGCCCGATTTTGTCACGCTCAGCAGGTCAGCTCAATGCATTGGCGTGGGGAGTCGATTGCAGTTACGTCGAGACCTTCGGCCTGGTTACATCGACAGAATGCACAGAATGCGGGGTGGTTCCCAGATACATACCTCTAGGCCAGGAGATAACAGTGCATACTACTCCCCCCACGGCCTCGATATTACACCTTGTCATTACACTTACAACCAACCACGCAACGGTCATATCAGTACATCCGGATCTCCCGATTAGGATTTACTTCTATCAGTCACCCATTACGAAGGGGAGAAGCGGCAAAGACCTCTTAAAACATGGGGAATTTGCAAAATAACATGCTCTACATGGGTGTTGCCAAGAAAATTGGTATCTGGGGCTCGCGGGGAGATGCGTGCCCGATTTCGATACCCCCAGACTTCCGAAGGTGCCGGACGTGCCGGCTTTTGTGGGGCCCCACGCCCTCGGATATACATAGAAGTCCATGTCGGCGATTCCTCCCTTTTTAAATTCTTTCTCATATGTTCATAGTAATCTTTGGAGTATCAGATGTACCTACCGTACTGGTACAGGTTTTGCATACAGAGTAGGAACGGATCTTGCATAAAAAAATTGGCGGCATAGGGACAGGACTGGCGTATTTGTCAAGGGCATCTCCATCTTTTTACCCCTGGCGTACCTAGTTTTACTTTTTGTATTTGGAACAACAGCTTAGCCGGGGTGCAGTTAGGGCGTACAATACTTTGTTTTGGATATGATTGGCATTATTGGCATGATGGCATTTTCCGGATCCGGTATATACCAGTTTATTTCTTGAGAATTCAGGGGTTGGATAATGAGTAGAACGAGGACCTAGGGTTATACGACGAAGGTTAACAAGGCGATGGCAGCTCATGCTAGTCCTTGGACGGCTAGACTACACTAAGATAGGGTTGTAATTGCGCAATCAATCATAAAATGTCTACAATACAGTACAGTAGTACATCATCTTGTAAGCTTTGTCGTGATCCAACGCTAGTAGAGCTTACAGTACATAACACTACATGTAGTCGTCAAGCGAAAGTTTCCCGAGAGCCGGTAGGGGTGGATAAAAAGAAAAAACTGCTCTAGGACTATCGGACTATGGTATGTTAGGTGGTGTATTATGATATGTATGATACATACATTATACACACACACCCGACCTAGACACGTAAAGCAAGAGGCTCAGCAGTCTCCACGTGGTCGTCTCCAACAGCTTGGATTTGTCCCTTTGTTTTTTCTACGGTTGGTCTACTCGTCTACGACATACATATGCAACAGTCATCAATCGACGATTCGATTCTCCGGTCCGCTTTTCGGCCTTTTTCTTTTTTTAGTCCTACATAACATACCCATCCATATACAGAGAGGCCTTTTAGGTTAGCAAGGACCGATGCCGGGTAGTACCTATATACCCCTACGGCGGGAAACCAACCGCTTCTATGACGAAGGTGGACCGAGAAGAGTCCGCCGCGCGCCCGTCTAGTACGTAAGGTAAATTCCGAACTTGCCAAGAGTGCCGAGAGTGCCGAGAGGATGGTGCGGCTTTTGCTGTTGGGCGGAGGCCGAGGCTGCGTGTAGATCCCCGTGTCGACTTTCTTCCGGGATTGTTGCGTTGGGGACTTGGCGGGCGGAGGTGACGGATTTCTGGCAATTTTGTTTCTTCCTGCGTAGGATATGGAGAAGTTCGTGATGGGATGTTTGCTCCTTGGCTTACGAAGGTATTGTTTATTGCCGGATTATTGGCCTTAGCTACCTTTGACTGTTAGAGTTCTTGTCGGATATACTATGTAGGTACCTAAGCTTAGATGATTAACCAGCTTAGTGTACGACTCTTACGATGTGACGAGCCAGTGGATAGGGGTTTATTTGTATGGCGTCACTCATTTAGTCTGTTAGAAGGATAATCCTCTAGTTTATAATTTAAGAAGTGCTAATTAGGCCCCAACTATTCCTCTTCGTAAATATGTTACGAAGCATAGAGCTTGGTTATTTAGTAGGCGAGTGGGTGGATAAGTAGACGCTATAAGCTGACTTTATTGACAAGACCACTTGGTAGCGACAGCTCTATCTGGGATAATCTTGGTGGGTGATAAATGCTCAAATCTTCCTATGAATTTATGAAATGAATATGGAGGACAGTTCATGTAAGGCTCCTAATCTCGGGTGTCCTAGTCGACAGAACAGTGAATGGTCTTGATAGATGATACCTTTGACTGATGGTCTTCTAGTACCAACAGCCACAAGACAATCTATACTATAACGCGGACATACTTGATTATTGCTGTCTATGTCGTACATATAAGTTTTGATTCCGAGTTTCCTTTGGAGCTCTATGGCGGCCCCTTTATGACCGGCGTTCCTACAAACTACCTGGAAGACTTGATTGCTGGGACTACGATTGTGTGTTGGCACCAACACAGCGTTGCAGGATCGTAAATACAGATGTTTGTTAAACGCGTTTATAGATAGATACGAAGAAAAACAGTGAGCATAAACAGGAAGATACCAGTGGCCTAGGAAACACCGTCGCTATGTAGGTTCTTTGTGTGGGTGAGTGTAGTTGGGGATACGCGTTTGTTTAGATGTCTTCGAAAGGTTACCTATACTACCTTATGGAATCAAAAGTGAGGAGATATAAACAACATAGTTTCAGACGTCTCAGTATCCTACCTTACTTGACCTTTAGCTTCATTGATCTGCTACTCATTACTTATTGATTTGTACATACTTCAACGACTCCCAACACTGAACTAGCCCACCGTAGAGGCCTACAACTATTCACATATAGGAATAGTTTCGCTCTCTAATAATATTGAGCCTATTACTCTAACTATTCGCGCCTAGAAAAGATCACGACATGGCGCCTAAGCCGCAAACACCGCATATCCACCCGGAGGACTGGAGACTCTCAGACGATGACGAGTCTTACACTCTGGAAAATAAGGTCACACTTGAGTCCATCAACCAGCGAATGACCATAAATTTCCCCATCGTCTCCAATTATGCTTCTCACTGGGGTCCTGTGGAGGCATTCCGCGAGCTCGTACAGAATTGGTGAGTTGGTGTATTGTTTGTGTCTCTAGCTTCACAATGTCGAGCTAACTGCTGTGTAGGAGAGATGGGATCATCAAGTCCTTCGAGATAGCTGAGGACAGCTTTCGTGTTACATGCACAGAGGACAATAATGGAATCGTATTCAAAGCTACCGGAGCTAAGAATTCTTGTCCAGAGCAAGCCAAAGTACCGGAATGCTTGGGATACATTAGATGGTTTAAGCAAAATGGATTCGGCACCGTGGAGGTCACGAACAGACAAGCTACACTCCAGCCCTGGCACCTTGATATGGGAGGAACGAGTAAGCAGAATGTCAAAAACCAAGCGGGAGCCCACGGAGAAGGTCTCAAAGTTGCTCTTCTAGTTCTACTACGAAGGCCTCAGAATCATGCGGCCCGGTGTCGCTCTGGAGGGTTTTCATGGACCTTCAACTTTACTAATCAGCGAAGACTTGTTGCTAGTCTTACTAGGATGACACCTACCGCAATCGAAAAGGCTCATGATCAAGCAACGAGCGACGTGAAAAACAACCTAGTACCCATTGAAACTTCACCCAGAGAAGATGTCCAGTTTTTCATTGGCGGTAATGGTACTGGCCGGGATGAGAACGGGTTCCCAACGAGGAGGACTGAAGTCACAAAAGAACAGTTCAAGAATTGGACCAAATCGGCACTTTTCCTACAGAGTGTTAACGACAACAACATTGTGAGAACGGAAAGGGGCGACTTAATCCTAGACTCTCGATTCAGCGGAAGTATCTACCTAAAGGGTCTGTTGCTGAAAGAGTCAAAGAATGGTAGATCCGCTAGCATTACTGGGAAAAAGCTGCAGTATGGATACAATTTTGCAGATGGAGTCGCGAACCGCGAGAGAGAGTTCCTAACCCATGCCGACGACGAATTGGCGGCTATTTTACGCATTTGGAACCGGGCCTTCCGTCTCCAAGACAACATGGTCGCGAAGTTCCATGAACTCCTCAACTCCGAGAAGCCAGAATATGCAGATGTCTCACAGGCGGAGTATTCTATCTTCCCAGATATGAGAGATTATATTAAGAAATTCCTTCTTAAAGAGTTCAAGGACAAGTGGCTCTATTCCGCTAAAGAGAGAAGCCAGGTATGTACTAATATTGAATCTACAAGGCCTACTTGCTCACCTTATCCAGAACACACGGTTTGACCAGATTGTCCAAGGTTTGGGCCGCGAGGCTTTAGAGATAAAAGAGTCGTACTGGACTATTCTAAGGGAATGCGGATTCAGAACAGCAGAAGAGGAGGAAAAGAAGCAGTTCCTAGCAGCCAAACCTACTGCTATTCCGGATACGGGCTTCGCCCAGTCCGTCTATCGACTGATTCGAGCTGGCCTCGACTCATGCCCTCAGACCGCTGATATATCTGTGGTATTCGTTAACGCTGGCAGCGTGGGGCTAGACTCCTTCTACTCACCCGCACAGGGTTTATTCAAGATACACGAGAAGTGGTTGACGATAAAGGGGGCAAGGGATGAGCTAGGAATTTCCAACAGAATCCTAGAGTCCTCTCTTTTGTTCAATACTGCTAAGCGCCTCTTTGCCGATGCAGTTACTCAAGTACCGACGCACGTGTTCCACGAAGGCAATCGTTCTCGGTATTGGTATCGAAAGCAAGCGATCAGCCAAGGTGACCAGCGAATTCTGGAGTGCACCCAAATCAAGCAGGACTTGCGGTATAGGGTGAGGCGCAATGAGGACTCAGACACACTCGTGGTCAAGTGGAATCCTGGTACTGGGTGGCTTCCAGAAACTTCAATCGATATTCATTTCCACCTGGAGTCGACCTGTTCACGTCTCAAAGACTGCCTTACGGCGAGGAAAAGTATGGCTATCATGAGACTTCATCTAGGGAGGAAATGCCAACTGACATGATTTGATAGTTCACTCAGGGATGGCGTGTTTCAACCAATCCAACCATGCGCAGGGTGCAATCGACACTTGTATAGTGATGACAGCTTCATTCAGATCTGGGTCCTGTGAGTTGCAAGTGAAGAAAGGAGAACAGTACTTTATGATACTATCGAACCGCTCAGACCCCAGCTCATTCCTCATACACTCCAATAAGCCGTCTGCCATAGAGGAAGTGAATAGTCTACTCTCGACTACTACAATGTTAGCGAATCCCTATCCCTTAATGTTATCCAAGACTCGTTGCTAATGTTCTTTTAGCACCTCCAAGACCCCCCAGAAAAGCCTAGCAAGTAATGGAACGAAAACATTTAGTACGTCCATATATTTGAACTTATACATACCTTAGGCACGTATATCAAGCGCTGATAATATATCTATAGTACTTAAAGATCCGATTGGCTCCCTGGATATCATGGCTCCTCGAGATTGGTTCACTAGCACCAACACCATCGGGACCGAAGCAGTCATCGGTATCGCACAAGGCGATACTTTTCAGGTTATGTCGCCGTCGACGCCAACACGCAATTGGCAACGGGGAGACGGCTACAGTAATGGCTCTCCCCGACGCGTTCGGAGAAGACTTTTTTAATTGCGACGACGATCGACGTTGCTCCTAAATGCACAACTGTCGGTGATGGCAAGAAAATGCTGAGAATCTACCTCAAGAGCTAAGTGGCAAGTATGTCATATGGACAGTGAATATTATGCTTTTTACGACAGAAAACAAGCTGCGAAATGATGGAGGAACTATCTGTAAATATGTAGAGGCATTTTATAGTCAGATCACATAGCAAACAAATTGATAGGGGATGACGAAGTAAAGACTTAAAAGTTCATTGTACCTAAGTACCGTTGATATTTAATATACGGGTTAATTACAAACCCCGAATAATACATAAATTGTACAATGGCTGCAACTTAGGTTAAACTTTAATGACGTCCTAATAGTAAGAGTCGGATCCTTGTAAAAAAAAGTAACAACGCGAACAACTGCATTTAGTAGCACTGATGTGACGCTTTATTATACGGCAGTTACCGAGATATCATCACAACGAACTCTAGCGTAGCTGATTACGGGATGCGAAGGGATATCATCTATTAGGACTACTCGAGATGGCAGACGAAGAGGACGAGCAACGCGCGCAAACGAGCGACAACGATTTAGACCTCGACAAAACAGATCTGAGCAGCGAAGATGGCGCCTCCGATGACGAGGGTGAATCTCTACAAGTGGAATGGCTCGCAACGGGCCGAGAAAAACGATCTACGGCCGGCAACCGCATGAAATCTATGATCGCTGCCGAAGAACCCGACGACGATCTCGAGCTCCTCTTTGCCGAGGATGAAGATGACGCAGGTTTCACCGATGTCGAAGATGCCGGCTCTGATGTGCAGATGGACTCCTCATCGGACGAAGAGGATGCGCAAGAGAACGGTGACGAACTAGAGGGAGAGAAGGAGCTGGAAAAGCGTGCGCGGGAAAGCAAACAAGCCGCACGAAAGCGAAAAGCCCAAGAAGCGATCCCCATCAAGTTTCGCAAGAAAGTCAAGATTGCGCCCACCCCTTCAGGAAGCTCGATGGCGCCCGAACCGAAGCCAAGACCCAAGAAGAAATCCGAAAGGATAAGTTGGCTGCCTTCGCCTGCCGACATGCCCACGCGAGCTTCCAAACGAGAGACCACGATGCTCAGCAAGGAGCAGCTACATCAACAAATGATCGAACGTGAAGTCAAGCGTCTCAAGCAAGTCGAGGCTATGGAAAAGAAAGCCAAGAAGATGGAAGCCCTGAAGAAACCACCCATGACACAGGCTCAGAGGCTGGCCGAAGCTGCCATCGTGGAGAAGAAGAATTCGAAAAGCTTAAATCGCTGGGAAGAGGCCGAGAAGCAGCGGGAAGAAGAACGAAGAGCTAAATTGGCGGCTTTGAACAACCGAACCCTTGATGGTCCGGTAGTAACTTTCTGGAGCGGAGTTGGCGAATGGGTTGATGGCAAGTTGAAACATGTTGGCAAGATCGTCACCATTGAGGAAAAGCCAGCTAAAAAGAAACGAACCTCTGTCGCTGGCCACGAAATACCTACGGATCCTTCAAATATGGAGGAACCTGACAAGCCTAAAGAGTCTGGGCCAGCTAACGCAGATAAGGCGGAAAATAAAGAACCAGGACCAACCTCAACTGAAGCCTCAAAAGCAAAAGAGAGCGAGGCTAAAGATGGAACTACGCCGAGTCCCACCGTCTCTAAAGAGCCCATCACGGGTGATGGCGAAAAGTCATTACCTACATCGGACCCTACAACTACACCAACTCAGGTAACATCCGTTGCGGTTCCTAGTGCGCCTCCAGTCGCGTCGGATCAATCTCCAAAGGATACAATACCTCCGCCTCCGGCAGCGAGCTTAAGTGAACCGCCACCTCGACCTCAGGAGCCAAAGCCCTCGGAAGCCAAAATTACAGAGATGAAAGCACCAGATATGCGACCTCCAGCAACAGGCATTTATACTACCAGCGTATTTGCGCCTCCTCAGCCGTCACAACTAATGAAACCACCGGAATTGAAACCTCCTAACAGTTTCTTGGCTCCACCGGCAGGAATTACTCAAGGCGGCCTTTCTATGCCAATGATAGGTTATCATTCTACCCCTAATACTACCAACCCTTCAACCGTCCTAGCACCCCCTAATACAGCCCAAAGGCAATCACCTCTTTCCATGCCTCAGACGGGAGCTTGCCCTCCTCACATGTCGACCCCAACTCACCCTATCCAACCTTTAACACAACCTGGACCGACTCCTGCGCCTATGTCTACACCTACGCCGAAACCTACACCTACTTCTTCTATACCTACCTCCTCGCTACCTCCTACACCTGCTCAAATATCTACACCAACACCAGCGCAGAAGTTTACTCCAGCGGCTCGATATACCTCTAAAACTCCTCTTAGCACCATCAAGTCTTCTAAGGCCAACGCCCAGAGACATCAACCTAAAGAAGCCCCGCCACCACCGCCACCGTCGCCTCCTGCTAACGGCAAAGCTACGCGAAATTGCATTATCTTACAGAACTTCAACGAGAACGCCGTGAAGGAAAAGGCCGTGCAGAATCAGATTCTGTTCGGTAAGGACATGGCTAAGCTGAGCAGTAAGTTGTTCCCTATTATGACATCCCTCGTATTCGGACACTAAAGATATATAGAACCGACACCAGCTCCTCGTTGTGTCATCACTAATCACCCGGCACGCTATAAAGATCCTAAGACTGGACTGCCGTATTACAATGCGTACGCATTTCGGGAGATACAGAAACTCTGGCGCGGCGAGTATAGGTGGAGTCGCTTGGCGGGCGCGTGGATGGGTAGCGGATCTTATGCGGCGACTGGCGTGCCGGCTCGGTTTTTGGACCCCGACGCACCGGGACCGCAAAAGAAAACGGAAACCACTGAAGGTCCTAAGGAAGACGCGCCGGAGCCAAACAAGGATGCTGTGCCGGCTGTACCAGCTACACCAGCTACACCAATTGCATCTACTGAGTCAAAGGAGCCGGCTACCATTGCAAATGTAGTATCTCCACCAGTAGCTACTACGCCGAATCCACCTGTAACAGAGGCTCAGGCTTCAGTTCCTCCAGCTTCAACTCCAACTCCAGCCCCGCCCCAAGCTGATGTGTTAGCAACACCTTCAAACTCGACACCCGCTACTATTGCTCCTCCAACAATCCTAGACGCAGATCCAGAAACGGTTCCTCTAGCTCCTCCAACTCCCCCAACTCCAATATCGGCTACAAATGCAACGCCTATGGCGATTGGGAATCACGTAAATAGCGAGATGTGATATCTCCAAGAAGGGTATCATTGTGGGAATCAAGTATAGACCTAGATATACCTACGTGCTACCAAAACACAACCGAACGCCTAACAATGCAATTCATCCCAACCCACTCACCCCTTTGATACGTCTTGCATCTAGCGTCTCTTTGTCTTCTTCTTATCGCCATACTTGGGGAAGACAATCTTGCTAGTCTTCCTCCGCTTCTCAATGCGCTTCTTGTCGCTGCGTTTGCTTGTGGGTTTGGCGCTGTCAACGTCCATTGCTGCGAGATTGTTAGAGACTATAGAACATGGTACACGGTCTAGAATTGCTACTTACTGTTATCGGCCTCTGCCGCTGTAGCAGCATCTTCCTCCTTAGCGGCTTCCCCCTCAGCACCGTCTACAATCTTCATCTCGGCCTCTTCAGGCTGAGGTTTAGGCTGCGCAGCCAGTTCGAGGAGCTTAGCGGAGAGACGTTCGGCTCGGGCTGCCTCGACAGGGCCGAAGACCTTGGCCTTCAGGCGCTGGTTGTTGGTCTTGCGCGTGCTGGCGCGGGAGCTTTTCGCCATTGCTAAAAGGTGGTTGGGAGAATGGGATGTTGGATTGGAGGGAATGGATTTATTGATGTCCTTCGAGGATGGGTTTGCAAGACTTGAGAAGTTATCAGTTAGTATGGAATATTGAACTTCATATAGTTACAACTTGATGCAAGCAATGGGAAATCAAGTGGAATTCCGGAAAGCATAGCATAAAATCTCCCCAAGTTAAACGGTGTTGGTAGGTGGGAGCATGCTTACCGTAAATGTTTCGACTTGTACAACTATATTTTAGTGATGGCAAATTCGACAGTCGACATGAATAAGAAGAAAAAAAATATTTAGACGGGTTTGAATGCTCCGCACGCCTTTGGTGGGGCGATAGATCAACAAGCCTTGCCGTAGATCCCGCTAAGATAGAAGCTACCTAGTACGGAATACAGGGTGTAGCAAGGGTAGCGGGATGCGCGTACTATTCGTATGTAGGTACAGATGTACTTCGTACATAGGTAATTAAAGTACCGTATCTACTTAATGCGGCAGGCGGTGAATTTTCTTTCATAGGAGCGATAGATACCTCACTTATCAGCCGCCGAGTACGTCGCAGGCACCTCCAAAAGCCCCCGTACCTTTTTTTCCCCGTTGCCAAATCTGTTGAAGCTGATATTCCTCCTCTGCATATTTTAATGGCCAAACCAACCTAGCCCGACCCAGTTTTGCTTATAATTGGAATAACAATTAACAATTCTTGGGGGTAGAGATATCGACTTATCAACTTATCGACTTTGGACGAAGCTCGAATTAGGTACCTACCTACCTAGGTAAGCCTGGGAGTTGGCAGGCGCGATTTGTCGTGCGTGAGAAATCGCAGTGCAGTACGTACATACGGACATACGGACATATTGACATGTACTAAGGGACTCAGGTTGTTTGGCCAGCCTTACAGCGAAATTTGGTACTTGTTTAGCGCACATCGGAGCCTTCCTCATGAGGCGGCTCCTTTGGACAACGTGCAACTGCGACCGCGACTGCCCTAACTGCCTTGCGAGACGGTAGCAATCATGTCCTCTAACAACACCGATATTCGATCCCTCGAGCGAATCATATCCACTTTGCTTAATAAACAGTTACAACACATCTGCTCATCCCATGGATTGAGAACAAGTGGGGTTAAGGCCGATTTACAGAATCGCATCAAGAATGGTTAGTAAAGATGAAAAGATGAAAAGTTGAAAAGATGCAAAGATGCGATGACGGGTGCATGGTTCGAAGATGCGAATATAATCAAATACGACACGGCCCAAGGCAGCAGCAGCAGCAGCAGCAGCAGCAGCAGCAGCAGCAGCAATATAGATGAGATTCATTGTTCTCATCTGTCGCCAACTTTCCCATACAAAGTTTCACATTTACCGTCTAGACCTTTCGTCGCCGTCGCCGTCGCCGTCCCCTTCTTCACTTCTACCTAATCTTCCTTCTCTAACCATTTCCGCATCTCCGGACGATATACTCGACCGATAACTAACATCTACCTTACAGCGCTCCACGAAAACTACCAGTCCGACCCCGCGAACTACATCGCGATACGCGACACGATAATGAACATCCGAGGAGGAAACTCTGGTCCACAGAGTATGGCTCCTCCGTCCAATTTGGGCGTACAGCCTCAGAGTCGCAATCCCTACTATAACTCGTATGGCTCATACCAACCAGCAGGTTCCAGTATGCCCCAACCGGGTCACGGCTATAGCAACGGCGCCAGTGTTGTCGGGAATGGCGCCGGGTATCCCATTGCTTCTAGAGCACCTCATTCAGACAACATCTTCAAGAATACGCCCTTCTACACTATCGAAAAGAGGATCGGCCCGCTTCACACGTGTCCCGGTAGGGTGCTCCTATAAGACATATATCGCTCTCTTATTATAACTTGGCTGACATTTCCCTCTTAGTCATGAACAACCACCGAAATTCCATCACCATAACCTTGAAAGCTAGCGACTACCCAGATCTTGGGCGATGCGCGACTTACTCGCCTACTAAGCTCATGGTATTCTGCGGAAGCGAAAATACGGGGCTTCAGGATATCCAGTTCCCTCACCAGTCCGAAGTCAAGGTGAATGACGACGACGTAAAACATAATCTTCGAGGCCTCAAGAATAAACCAGGATCAACCCATCCGGTTGACATCACCCCCTTTTTAAGACTGAAGCAGACCAACTATACTAACAAAGTCGAGTTTACTTATGCTCTAACCACTAAGGTACGGAAGCCTAAAGCTTCAAGAGGGACTCAAGTGAGTCGACCCCTAGGCACCAAGCGGTGCTTCTATTTACTCTGTATCTCTCGCTAACAGTATTGAAATAGAAGTTCTACCTGGCGTTATACGTATGCAGAACACATCCAATCGATGAACTAGTTACGAGGATCAAGGCGAAGAAGATATCCAAAGCTTCGGTCATTCGCGAGAGTACGGCAGGAATCACCTCTAATATGAAGCTACATGCTAATATACCTCTAGTCTCCAAGAAAGCCAACGATCCAGACGTTGTAGCAACTTCCCAAAACCTATCTCTAAAGTGTCCGCTTAGTTATGCAAGATTAAAGGTTCCCTGCCGAGGAATATCATGCAACCATATCCAGTGTTTTGACGCGAATTCATTCATGCAGCTCCAAGAACAGGGTCCGACTTGGAATTGTCCAATCTGCTCTAAATCTGCGCCGTTTGAGAATCTAGCGATAGACGAGTACGTACAGGAGGTCTTGGAGAACACTCCCGAGTCATGCGAGCAAGTCACCATTGAGCCAGATGGTCAATGGAGAGTAAAGTCGGAAGAGCCAGAACCGACCCGATCTCGGGCTCCTAACGGTACCAAGATAGAGGACGATGATGATATATCGATTCTCTCCGACACCCACGCTTTTGGCAACGGTACTCCCGGTGGGCCAATAGGCAGCGTGAGGAATGCCATGAGCACACCGAGTCGCTCTTTTCTTGGCGGCGGAACGCCCAACGGCGGTCATCGAGAGACGCCGAATACGCAAAGGTCGGGAAGTAGTAAGCGGCCGGCAGAGGTTATTGATCTTACCCTCAGTAGCGATGAGGATGACGAGCCTATTGTTCGCCCTCCAAAACGTCAAAACCTAGGACCGACTAATGGCCTGAACTTTCCTTCTGCATACAGCTATTAGGAATATACGTCCTGCGCGCCACAGCCGCGCGACGCAGTGGATTTTTTACAACATCAGACAATGGAATTCGTAGAAGAGTGGATGAAGGTACTCCTACGAGACTAGGAAGTTGGTTAACATTAGGGCATTAGTAATTGTTGCGCAAAGTGGGAGTGGGCGAGAGTAGTTTCTACAACGGATATTACGACGTTTTCATGAAAAGGCATATCTTGCGGCATGGAATTCGGCATTATCGGAAGTTCGATACGGAGCCTTTTTTTTCTTTTGTCTTTCACCTCTCCGTCCCTAGTTCTCTCTGTACATAGAATGCGACCATCCCCTTGTGCAGGCAAGGTACGGGTATGATAGGGGCAGGAGGGGATGGTCATGGTCACCTCGGCGTTAGGGGTGGAAATACCTATTGCTTTATGGAGGCTACATATGGCTGGAGTTGCGATCGAGAGGACCAGACCGAAGCGTTTGGACCCGGTGGACTATAGGTCTTTACCAGTAGGCTCATTTAAAAGTGAATAATAAAAACCCGATGCATTAGAATGACCTGGCGACGAGTTAACTCTTCCCTGTTTGATATGTGAGGACTTCTATTGCAGCGTAAGAACGACTTGTGATGTTTAAATCAATACGTACGTATTATGTACCTATGCATATAAGCGAGTCTTTGATTGATTAGCATCCGCCAACAAGCACTTATCCACTGCTACTCAACACTAAACTTATCTCGAAATCTAGCAGCTTCAAGCCTGTCCGTCCCACTATTCTTAGTCTCTATTCTCAGCCTCGAGCTTCTAAGCTACCCAGCAACTCCTCTACGCACCACGAAGCAATAGCGAAGTCACGACGGATCATAACGGCTCTTTAGGCAATACTACAATATAGTAGTGTTCATGCGACGACAGGCCTAACCGCCCACCCACTTGTTAAACCACCAATGCGCCGCGGAAGATTGCATCTTGAAGGCTACGAGCATCGTCTACAGTTCATTACGTACCTTACGACTGCCACCTCTACTCGTACCTATACCGCGAGTCTTCTCGGGAAAGAAGACGCAAGAGGGTAGTAGTATATATATAGAGAAGAGAAGAGAAAAGAAGAGAAGAGAAGAGAAGAGGATATAATAATAACAGCAACCGCTATTACTCTCGTACAAGAAAGAATCTTGGTATACGGACGAAGAACGGAAAGCAGAAAGTAAAGCAGCAGTAGTAACATTGGAAGGGAAGAGCAAAAGATAAAAAGAAAGTCACCATGTCGTCGTTCGACCAACCCCTCCCGCCCTTCAACGCCTCGGACCCCAACGCCTCGTTCCTCAGCACGTCGTGCCTGGACTTCCTGATGATCGAGCTGGTGCCCATGGCGTACCGCGTCGCGAACGAGCTGGATGCGCCGGAGCCCGGCGCTGCTGCCGCTGCTGCTGCTAATGGTGAGAATGGCGGGGAGACGGGGACGGGTGGGCAGAAGTTGGATGAGGACGAGGAGAGGGATGCGGTTTTCTTTAGGCTGGATGGGCTGGGGTATAGAGTTGGGTTGGGGCTTGTTGAGCGGTTCGTTTCTCTCTTTTACTCTATATTATACTATACTACCTTCTACAACCTCCGTCTACACCACTTATACCTCTCTCTCTCTCTCTCTCTTTATCTATATATATATATAGAACACTACTAACACATCCCACAGCTTCTCCCGCGACCGCCCACGCTTCAACGACACTCTCGACGCCATCAAGTTCATATGCAAGGACCTATGGATGCTAGTCTTCAAGAAGCAAGTCGACAACCTCAAGACCAACCACCGCGGCGTCTACGTCCTGACCGACAACGCCTTCCGCCCCCTTTCGCGCATGAGCGCCGATGCCGGCGGGCACGCTGTCGTAAGGGCCCAGCCTGTGAGTATTTAATCTACCTACCTGCTCTATCCCCCTTTAGCCTAGCTCTTCTCCTCCCCTTTTACCTACCCCCACATTCTCTTCTTATCACCCACCCACCCATCTACATCATATCCAGAAGAGACTCCGTTCTAACACACCCCTAGTTCCTCTGGTTCCCCTGCGGCATCATCCGCGGCGCCCTCGCCGCCATGGGCATCGCCGCTACCGTCCAGGCTGAGACCAACGAGCTTCCCGGCGCCGTCTTCCAGATCAAGACCGTGCCTACCAAGCAATGAGATCTCGTCACCTAGCTTAACCTAACCAACCTACCTAGACTTTGCCTACTTACTACATGGCAGAATTCTTTCTTGGCACGCGGAATGTCCACGTAAGACATGCATGGCAGGATCCATCATACCGGAATTTTAGAGGCGCGGCGGCGTAAAAGAAAGGAAAGGCAGGGTGGGATCTAGCATTTAGAAGTAACGGCGTTTAGGTGTTTTGGTCTGTTACTGTTGTTGATATCTACAAATGATGTTTCTAAGCATCGCAGAGTTCCACCCCGTACCTAATATACCCCCCTTCCACCCCTTCCGTCCTATCCCGCCAACAGAAAATACCACCTTGTCCAACCCCCTATACCGGTATTAATTCCCGAAATCCCTCCAAAAAATTCTTAAAACGGACTTGACTGGACACGATGGAGAGACATAGACTGGCTCTAATCAGGGCGACTACGTCACTCTTACAACCTATGCAATCAGATAGGATCAGTTACTCGATCTCAATTATCGCTCAACTGTCTGGTTTGACTTTCTATAAAACACGCCAAACCCGTGGGCAAGATGTTTATGTGGTAGACACATTACATAGCAGCCGCGCCAGGCTCTTCATCCGGGGGTAAATCAAGGGGGTAATTACTTTTGAGGGGGGTTGTGAGCAAAGCTGATGCCCTTCTCGATGTTGGCCTTCAGGCCTTGGATGGCAACGTCTACCAGAGACTTCTCCTTCTCGGTAATGCCAGCAAGGGGGTTGGTGATCTTCTCGGCACCATTGGGCTGTGGAACGGTTAGCATAATTATACCCATACGACTAAGGGAGTACCTACTCCAAGTTCAACAGGCGCAGAGAAGAACTCTAGGCCAGTGGCCTTTGCAATCTCTTCACCGCCAGGAATACCCTTGAGGTAGACAAAGCTGGGCTCGACAAGGCCCTTCTCGCCCTTGATAGCCTTCAATACCTTCTCGGCGAAGCTAGAGCATTGTTAGCATTTGTTCCTTAGAGATAAGGAAGGCAGATCTTACCGGTATCCAGCGAAAGCCATGGACAAGGTGGCGGAACCAGCACCATCCTTGGCCTTGACGACCTCGTCACCGCCGAATTGGACACGGTTGACGAGAGCATCGTACTTGTCATCGGGGATTGACACGCTAGGGCTGACCTTGCTGAAGAGAGGGACGATGGTCTCGCCAGAATGTCCGCCGATAACGGGGACGGTTAGTTCAGAGCCGGTCTTCTTGCCAGCAATCTCGGCAACGAAGGTCTCGGCACGGACGATGTCAAGGGTGGTGACACCGAACAGTCTCTGAGGGTTGAAGACACCCTTCGCCTTTAGAACTTCAGCGGCGATGGGGACGGTGGAGTTGACGGGGTTAGAGATGACGAGGATGTAGGCCTTGGGGGCGACCTCGGCAGCAATCTCGATCAGGCCCTTGACGATTCCAGCGTTGATGTTGAAGAGGTCGTCACGGGTCATGCCGGGCTTGCCTGCAATCATGTGAGCTATTATGTTACATCGATTTTGAGGTAATATTTAAAGACTCACGGGGAATGCCGGCGGGGATGACAATTATGTCCGCATCCTTGAATGCAAGCTTTCCGCCGTCGTCCTTGGGCAGGTAGCCGGTGACTTTCTATTTATTGTGTCAGGCTTCACGATTATCATCATATACTACGTTGGGGGTGGTTGCTCACAGCAGTCGAGGAAATGTGGGAGAGGTCGGTAGCGACGCCCGGGGTGTTCACGACATCGTAGAGGGCAAGCTCGTCAACGAGGGGGGAGAGCTTGAGAAGGAGGGACAGGGGCTGTGCTTTGTTAGCTTCGAGACTCTTTGCTTTATTATATTCAGAACGAAGAATGACAAACCTGGCCAATACCGCCAGAGGCGCCGGCAACAACTAATCGCTCATTAGTATTGATATTCTTTAAACTTAGGTCCGGACATCGTGCTTCATACCAGCTTTAACCATGGTCGCGATTTATAGGTTGTTGAGGTTGAGGTGGGGTAATGGTTTAAGGACTAAGACACCGGATACGTGTGTTAGTATCTCCAGCTCCAGGCAGGATAAATCAAATCGGAAATCGGCAAGTTCGAAAGGAAGAGAGATTTAGACAATTGTGAAAGTAAACATGTAGGATGGGAAGAGGCTACTCACCCTGGTGCTTTTATGTATGTCGAGCTTTCCGGGATGATGAAATCGGGGAAAGTTGAGTTGATACGCAAGAAGGCGGGGCAGAAGGCAGGAAGGACGTGATGTACGAAGTAGAAGGAAGGAATCCACTTTAGCTTTATTGCTGTTTGGCGCTACCCCACCATCTCCATCGTGCCTGCCTACCTTCTTGCATTCTTGCTATCCCACCAAGAACAAGAGAACATTCACATAATCCCGCGCCTGCAGGAACCAATCACGTTCGGAATTCGAAGCAATGTTCCTTCTTTAATTGGTTATCCGCGATCTCATCTCCGGCAGGCAAGCTTGTAACTCATTTGGCTCTTCCGCCGTATAGCAAATAGGTAGCCAACCTAGGTACATACATGCTGAAACCACATGCATGGAAGTTTTGTTTCCTAGGCATTTCAGGTCGGCGGAGCTGATGGGCCAGGGTCGACTACATACAACAATGCTATGTCCGATGGATACTATGAATTAACTGCGAAACTGCAGAATACTCAACATCTTGCTAGCATTCGTGATCCCTCAAGGTGACCTATCGTCGGTGTTTCTTTTCCTCCTAAGTGTACGGAGCTAGTTAGCGTTTAACAAAGTACCCAGTCCCTTATTCCTCTAACCCGAGGTTATTGTCCGGAATGGAGTTTTCATATATTGCTCGTGGCAGTTTACATCATAGCCATTTCCCGAGGTTCACTTCTCGGTATCGGGCAAGGCCGGACGGGTTAAAAATCAACTTCATTCAAGTTTTAATAGCTTTTTGTTTCTTTTACGGCTTCACGAGAAAAAGACTAGCCGACGGACAATTTACTCGCCATCAATAGTGTGAAGTCTCCCGGCTTACCCCTAAGTTGGTTGCCAAGATAAAGTACCTTACCTTAGCTACATACACGTACGCATATTAGTATGCAACGATGTAGGCGTTAAATAACTCAACCCATATCTGCATGTACTACACACGTATGAGCTCAGGTTTGCTGCCGCGCACACCGCTCCCGCCGAGTGCCAACAAGGCTACTAAGGTAGGATTGCCCGGGTAGTCATACCGGATTAGACTGGAGCCATCTTGTCTTATTCGTTTTCTCTAGGGAATATGTGATGGAAAGCATGCGAGATAAGTTCCAAATCACACAAAAAGGGAGGTATTTTTCGTTGAAGGATTTCCTCAGACTCCTTGGGAACTTGGATTGACTACCAAAAATGCATATGCCTTATTTACCGGCCGGCCTTATCTCTGCAGTCGTTACCTAGTTATCCCATCCATCCCCTCTCCTTGTCTATAAGGAGCTTACGACTCCGCGGCGGCAGCCTTCTTGGCCTTGGCGCCTCGGGGCTTCTTCTCGGGGGTGGGCTTGGGTTCCCGCTGGGACTGGCGGATGGCAGAGACGCGGGAGACGGCGGCCTCACGGAGGTCGGGTCGGTAGCCGGACTTGGCAGTCTGGTTGGCAACGGTCTTGTAGATCCTGTGTAGTTGCGCGTGTTAGTAAACCAAGTTGCGATCAACCGGCAGGACGTAGGTATCCGAGAGAAACTAACTTTCGCGTAGCCTTGCCGCCGCTGTGGGTGACCTCGGTGGTAGACTTAGCAGGCTTCTGGACAGCCGACTCCTTCTTGCTGATGACCTTAACGCCGTTCTTCTCCGCGGGCTGGACACCGATGGCCTAATGTTCCAACTGTAAGTCTCGCTGAAATACCGAACCGTATTATAATCGCTATGTTCATACCTTGGTGTTCACGAATCCGGCATGCTACATAGTCTCGTGTTAGCTTAAATCTTCTTAATTTCAACATGACCTCCAAAATTGTAGTTAGATCTCTTACCTTGCGGCTGTGGACGTTGGTCAAGTTAAGAGGGTCGCGGGAGAACTGAATGCCGCCAGACTCCTTGCGCTTGACGAGGTAGGAGTTGTTGCTGCCTGTGCACGTTAAAATTATAAAGTGTCAGCCTCTCTACCACCCCAAAACCCTAGCCGATCGAGCTCGTAAATCAGGCTTAGAACTTACGGACAAGTTCCCAGACGAGGTCTGCGGAGACGTTATTGGTGGCCATTTTGTATGAAGGTCGAGATCGTGAGATTCGCGGGGATGAGGAGGTTTCAATGGACCGGAGTACTGCTCTATCGTGACGACCTTGTACGATTTCGAAAAGTTCACAGGCGCAAATGATCGATCAAGTGTGGGAGTCGCTTAATTGGCCGTATCGGTATTAGCGTCTATATGTACTTGGATACTTCAATGTTAAATGTACGAAATACATAAATGTAGGCCTAGGAATACATAGGTACATGGGACACGTAAGACGCACGAGCCACATGTCTCGTCAAGCCTGCGCCTCCAACGCCCAACTCAGTCTAATTGGCTGCATTTCCCACCTGCAGTTCTGTCGTCAGTCCGGTTAAGACGGCCGGACCCTCAGACCCTACGATCCACCCTCCCCATTCCACTAACAACCTCTTCGGACTGCTTTCGATTGCGAGAAAGACCGTCTCTTCCGATGGCCTACGCGTAACAAAAATCACGATACCCATTTACTTACTTCTTCTAACTCGTTTTTTGCGATTGCAATCTTCATTCACTCTCTTCTTTTCCTTGTTTTTCTTTTCCTCTGTGTTTCTTCGACTTTCTAGACGCGAAACCTTTACTTTCTGAAACTGTGGCTTTCTAATCCACCACTATCGGCTGCCTCAATTCAATCCGCCCACTGTGATACCATCTATCCTCGCACACGCACACGAGCCCAACTTAACACTCCTCTACTCCTGCCTGCGCAACGAATCCAATCCACCTAAATACCCCCCTCGAGATCGAAAAATGGCATACCTTCTCTACTCCCTAACCTTCCTCGTGCTCGTCACCGGCACGATCCTCTACCTAACCCGGAATTACTGGGTAGCGTTTCTCCCCGGACGCTCGCACCTGTACTTGCGGCTCCCCGGCTCGTTCGCAGGCGATATCGAAGCGGGCCTGTCGAGCAGTACCTTCGATCTAGGCGCGAACGTAGAAGGGGGCGATGCCCGCGCGGGTCTTGACGACGAGGCGAAAGCCCAAATTCTTGCGATTATGAAGAAGAGGCGCATGCGCTTCGATGAGGCGCGCAGGGTTTACATGGAGCAGCGATTCAGCGCAAATGGCATCGCGGCGGATGGGAGGCCGAAGGACCCCAAATTCGTCAGTTTCTCATGAGTGCGTGCGACTGTAAACCCTGCTAGTCTGCGATGACCGTGTCCGCCCTATAGGTGTAAGGACCTGGGTGTGTGTATATTTATAGGTTTGTGAGAGTACGGGTGGGAGTCTTAGGCTGGTCGGTTGCCAGCGTAGACATTGGAGATGGACGGATGGTGGGTGGGATGGGGCTACGGACTGACCTATATTCATCGCGATGAGCGTTCGCGCGTTTTCCTTCATTTTGTGACGGCGTTAGTGGGGGTATATTACTTTTAACGCAGTAGGAGAAGCATCCTTGGCTCAGTATCCAGCACGACTAAATTGTGCCATTCGCATCGTATGCTCAGGTGTATTTTAGGACGGGGAAGGGAGTTTCGTATTGAAACTTTTATATCATTTTACTATGTAGTCGTCGAGTACGACTACGGAGAACGGTAATGGGTCGTTCGAAATCTACAGCTCATCACAATTCCCTTATCCCGATATAATATCGAAGTCTATCAAAGTCTACACAAGTTATCTAATGCCTAGGTACCTAATATACGTGTATGCGCGTCTCAGCTAGCCTTGTATACATAAGAGAGCTAAATGTGCCATAACTTGTATCAATCCTTGCTCATCCTATAGTCATCTTTCAATCTCGTAGGACAAAGATAGAACTACTAACGCAGTACCACCTAGGACTAAAGTATACCTATATATAGAACTCTGATAAATATAACCTTCAATGCTACACCGAAGTCTCACCATAACGGCCATACGTACTCCCAGCATCGTCCAAGCATCTAAATTCACACCGCGTACAACCAACGTCATTGATTCAAACTAAAAAAGGTTCATAGAAAACATTAGGTTTATTTGGGTCATTATATATGTAGTATATCCATCAATCCATTATTTTATCGAGGTAACGACGGGACAAGAGTCGCCTCTTTTTTCCATCTACGAGGCTCGCAACTCGACTTCGAGTTTTGAGTCGGAATAGAATTGATTCCGAATCCTCTTTTCTGGATATCCCGGACGCCATCACATTATTAGAGGCCCATCATTCTGCCAATTATATACAATCCTGTTGTGCCACTAGCACTAATTAAATCTCCGTATCGCACAACATCGCCCTCGTTCTTTTTGTATCAAAATGCAAGGCGTCTTTTCCAGTTATCTCCGGAAAACTCGTTCTTGCGCATCGACAAAGACAAAATACCGCGTCTAGACAATAACCAAAGTGCCTAGTTATTCTTCTTGACTTTTCCGGCATCGTAACTGCGGTCGTCTTCGCCCTCAACCTCCTTCACGATCTTTTCCATCTCCTTGACCTGGGCCTTCCATTGCGCCTCGCCCATCTTCTTCTCCTTCTGGAATAGGTCGGGGTCGGGCTTGCGGTAGCTCTTGCCCAGCCTATCCCATAAGGTGGTATATTGGCCATAGTTGTAGTTGAAGTACAGATGATGCATCGTGTGGCAGGCAGCACCATTGATAACGGGGCTGTTAGCCATATACTCGCCGTCGTGGATCATGATGGTCCAGAAATTGATGAAGACGAAGGCGCCAACAGAGGCAAACTTATTCATCGGGAACACCAAGGGGAAGATGTGGTACGGGAGCGATTGCGACCAGCCGTCGACAGGGTGGAAAGCGTAGGAAGCGTAGGGAGTAGGCATGATCCACTTGTGGTGAGGCTTGTGCAGGTGCTTGTAGATCAACGGGTGATGTAGGCCACGATGGATCAAGTAGATGCAGGCGTCGGTGAACAGGATGAAAAAGGGGTACTGCAAGATCTCGTACCACATACCAGGTCCATCGGCGGGGGTGTCGTATAGTTTGGTGAGACCACGAACATCGAGAAGCCAGAAGGGAACGGTCAAGGCCGACATGATGGGCATCGACCTCATGGTCTGCTTGATCTCAAGCCGTATCTGATTCTTAAGATACTTGGGGTGCTGAAATGTTTTCTTATCGAAAATGAAGATATAGGAAAGGGTCGCAAATAGGAAGTATAGCACGAAGCCAAAGATCCTAATGTCATATTAGCACCAACTAGTCATAGACGATGCACTCAATGCAGAGGAGGTTCACATACCATGTGATGAGGAATAGCGAAGTACTTTGGCGATACGGGTTATCTCTATCCCAAGCACTCATGTATGCATATTGGCTGGGTTCGAGTTGGAAATAAGGGTTCGCCGACTTGAACTGCCATGATGACAGAACCTGGGTGGAGTTGGCGCCGACATCTGGGAGATCATGGGGAGCAACCGGCTGTAATGGAAGCAATTTGGAGTAAATGTAGTCTCCCGCGAGGGTATCTGCGATTTCAAGCACGACATCCATCTTGAAAACGATCGAAATGCAAAGAATGGACGCGCAAGAATTAGGAAGAACCGCAAAAGCGAGGGCGATGGCAACAAATAAAAGGAAGGAAGAAATTTGTTGACCTTCCTTCGGTCAAGGGTCGGCTTTGATATGCAATTTCGCGAAGTCGCGGCGTGGGGATGGCTCGATTCTCGATTGGGGATTGGGAATTTTTACTGGGCTCGGATTTTAGATGGACTAAAATCGGAGCCAGTAATGGGTGGGTCCCTTCGTTCCTGACTAGAGGTGCAATCGATAAACTTTTTGCCGCCAATAAAAAAGGGGTAGCAGTGAGGTAACCATGTGCACTCCCTTATGAGGTAGTGAAACCAAGTTTTATATGGAAGTGACACAGGAAAGAATAAACTTGTACGAGGAAACCGTTCTGCTTTTATTCCCTAGAACTATTCTCTAGCGTCGAACCACTTCGTCTTTCACCTTTCACCTTTCGACTTACATCGGCCCATTCGGACATCAAAATTCAAGATGTCATCAGTACATACAAAGTAGCAAATTTGGTATTCCAAAAAAGGAGGAAATAGGAGTCGATGGGCGCGATGCAAGTCGCTTCCTGATTCGCCAAATGCATGACACCACTGGAATGTCAAGGTTCCGGGTCTCCAGAACCCTGGGTTCTGAATAGAGTAGCGGTAACTTAATTTTCCCCACTCTCTCGCCATACGTAATAGGCTGTTGGTCTCTTTGGGCTGTGAGACGGGCACAAAAACGCTGCAAATCGGCTCATCGTTTTCGATCTGATAAGGCGGAAATGGCAAATGACCCGCTTTTCATTCTGCCCTAACGGCTTTTCTCTTGATCCACTCTCGTATTCGCATTGCGATGTATTTACGTACCGATCCGCACGTGAAGATCCTAGTGGCTCCTATCTCGTTATTGCACCGCCGGCATCACTCCGGTTCTGCAATGTTACCTAGGTAGGTATCTACATTCAATATTCAATACAGCATTGAGGACAGCTCGCTCTTTAATTCAATCTTACATAGGTATAACAATCAAGTTGTTCTGCCACTTAAAAGCCACGTCAACGTTCACATAATGTGGCTCATTACGGCTTACGGCAGTTGTCTCACTCGGTCTTAATATATTTAGAGAATAAAATCGCTCATTCAATAGCTTGTCATTACACATATATACAGATCTACTCGAAGAAGATACCTATCTCAGTGCTCCGGCTCGTCAGGTCCCCTCGGGACTGTATGGTCAACAGCCCATTGTCGGATGCTGTCGAAATTTCTGCACGTGTGCGGCGTGCTGTAGTTCGGCCATGGATCTTCGTCGCCCATCGGATAGTGGAAGCTGAAGACACCAATGTCGCCCTGGCACATGACGAATTGTCGCAGTGCGTCGATGCAGTGGTCAAGATGGCCCGTCAGATCCTCGGGCGCATCGGATGTATCCCCTCCCAGTGGTGAATAGTATTCTTTATACAGGTTCTGTCGCAGTAGGTTCAAGCAATGCAGTTGGTGGAATACCTCGATTGCGACCCGATAGCCCGGCTTCCCATCTCTCGGGTCGGTGATGGCAAGGGAAGTGTCGGGATTTAGACCTAGTTTTACCATCTCGTCGCGAGATATCATCGTGTCACCGACTATAATTCCCGTTAGATATTTTGTTTGCTTCTTAAGTTTTAGATGTCATTTCTAGAACGTACTAGCTGAAATCTCATCCCATGCCTTATCCACATCATCGCCCATACCAACGAAGGGTCCTTCCGTAAAGGGAGGCAAGTCGAAATGTTGCGTCTCGTACTTCACAGCACTAGCAGCCGGTGCTATTTACGTTGTTAGATATTCGATCCAAAAAACGACGTGGTATCGATTCAACATACACCAGGCTGAGTATTTTTCTGTATACTCCGCGTCTGTCATCTTTGAAGCTTTCGAGCAGAATGATAACGCGAAAAATGTTAGAGAAAGTGATAATAGAACGGCGTGACATAACCAAGCCCAATGTGGGCTCAATCTTTCCAGGCGGTCCAGTATAGATTTGCTCTGTCTGCTCTCCGTCCATTGCTCATCTACTACCCCTTCTTCCTTAGCAAGAAAAGGCTCTTCGTCCGGAGCGACTGTTTGGTATGCTTTTGACATGTTGATTTAATAATAACAATAATAATGATAATAATAGAAAGGCACACCTGGTGCGAAGAAACGAATGACAATAGTTTTACATCAAATAGAAAGCAAAAAATGTTTAAACAAGAAGAGAAGAAGTCGAAACGAGCAAGGTAATCACGAATAAAGAGAACATCATTTTACAGCCCTGTTCCAAAGAGTCAGGGGAGATCTACGATGGGCCAAGTCGCTAGGAGCTGCTCTCCAAGGCAGAGACCCTTGAATGATTCTCGATGCTGCAGAGGATCTTCCTTGGTTGACAATACGAAGGGAATCTATTAAACCTATCGTGAGTATTACAGCATCGGCGTCTCAGAATGCTTCAGAATGTTACATAGTAGCGGTTCATTGACCAAACAGGACGAGAGGATCTCCTTGGTAGCGTCCTCTAACAAGGACATGAAACGCGACGAGCTGACGCGAAGCTTTTTCCGGGGTTATGGAGCATGAAGCACGGACCATAGATGCAGATACATATAGTATAAACAAGCTGCCGAGCATCTCGATATATCATTTACATAGTTTTATCATTTACATAGTTTTAGATAGTTTAGGTGATTTCAAATAACTAAGAGGTTTTAATTCAGGTTTGCCTTCTTTCATTTTTCCTTTTCGAGAATAAGAGATAAATGAAATAAACGACACTAAAACCATGGAGACTCAATGTAGTGAAACGTTTGGCCGTGTAGTTACATACATTATGGGGCTGGGGGGGTCTATTGACATAGTGTCAGCAATAGTGATAAGGTGTGGACATAATGTCGGCGGTGCGCCGCTTAAGAATCAGTCCCCTACCTGATTGGCTAGCACGTATAATATAGACACCCTCGGGGGTGATTGTATCCAAATTATAAGGATAACCAGGTCTGAAATAGCTACCGTACGTACACGATTATATCTTGTCGTAATTGTATTACTTTCGAAATACTGATATATTAGGAAAGAGTGGCCTTTTAGACATCGTCACCAACGGTAGTCACGGTTACCTAATCGACATATGTCACGTACGAGACTGTGTTAAGTTAGGACATAATGTCAGGCCAGGTAATATAATATTAAAAAAAAAAAAAAAGAATAGAAGGCCTTGTAATCTAATACAAGGCCTTCAACATACTTATATATATACAGCAAAGGCATAGGCACATGTAAAAGTTAATTGAAAGGATTACGTTGAATTACTATTACGAGATTACGGGCTACGTGTTTTACCATTACACTACGAGGTCATTACGAATTACGATTAAAGTTTACTGTATTGCAGTATATATGCATACTTCAGGCCCTTACTTAACCTGTATATACCCGGGGCTGACATTATGTTGAATATCTGACATTGTATTAAATCTCTGACATCGTGTTGAATTCCTGACATCGTTGTGGACATAGTGGCTATCTGGACATCGTCAACAGGCCTGGCAATTACGGCGAAATAGACAGTACCTCTGACATAATAAATACCTTGACATACTATCTATTAGTACTGACTTGTAAGTACCTGCAATGAAATCGGTACAATAAGTCTTGCTGACATTGTATCGACCTGTTGACATGGTCTTGACATAGTATCGGGGCCTGTAATTATGTAATTATACTGACACCATTGCTGACATAATGTCAATAGACCCCCCCAGCCCCATAATGTAGTACTGGCGTTGTTTCAACCGAATTCGAAACATCAAATTAGACAGTTATGTAATAATAGGGGGTATGCGATCACCGCCACCGTGACAAACAGATAATACGCGCCGTTTACTTGTACTACCTTAGACCTGACTTAGGTGATATGTAAACCGTAACTGAAGCGTTTACTAAACAAGATAATACTCATTTCTAAATAATCCAAAAACTCTTAATCTAGTGTACCTACTTGAGCTCTATGGCTCGCGGCTCAAAATCCAAGCTAAGACGTTTTTCCTAGAAAGCCCCTATTTACGTACTTATGTACAATTTCAAATTTAACATGGGTCCGGTCTGAATATCAATAGCCATCTCGTCCTCGACCGTCGTACGATAGGATGACCCGACTGACCACTGTGGCTTGTCGTAACATACGACGAGGGGATTTAGTAACAATTCCTATCCTAACTTTCAACTTTGCCGGCTATGTATCAAAAGGTAATCTAAATTTCACGCATGTGACACTCGACTCAGAAAACCAACGCCTTCGCTATGTCGGTCGAGAGATAGAAGCAATAGTGAAATATCACTCTACGATAGTCATATTAACAGCACTACGAGAAAGCGCAATGGAGGCGGGCAGAGGGCGATATTGCCATGTCACTGTTTCGTTCGTATCTTTGAGCGAATGAGAACTGAGGGATCATGCCGAAATATTTACTCGATCCTCCTCAGGTCCTAGGGAATCTACACCTCTATATCTCTTTTCACGAGTCTAATACGAATGTTTCAATACCGAGTTTCTTCTGAACACAGGCTTCCGCCGGACCTGAAGGCTACGACATACATTGTAATGACGTTGTCGTTGTGCTTGTAATGTTCGATAGGAGCGAATAATACACCACTTCGAAATCTATGGCGAGTAGGGCTTCACATATATCAATATATAAAAGGTAAAGATTCCAGGTATCAGCTAACTATATTGATTTTTGGGATAATGTTCGAAAGGTTCATCCCCCAAGGTGCGCTCGCCATAAAGTACCTAATCTTTTGGCCAATTCGGGGCCTCGATTCGAAGCCCATCATTGTTCAAACCAAACAGATCCTTTTTCAGTTTAAACATGCTTATCCTTTAGCTAGTTCGCCTTTCGAGAAATAGAGAGCATTATGAGTCATATTGTCTAATGCCAATTCCGATACTGTCCTCTGTATAGCTTATAAGACGGACTATTTTCAAGCCGAGCTACACATGCACAAGCCTAGCCAGAGCCTTGCTGCAGAAGCGGTTTGCTACTAGGCCTAAACAGATAGTCAGACGAGCATCTATGATTTCAAGAGGTTATGATGCTCAACATGTGTTATCCCTATCAAGAGTATACGGGAGCTCGACGCCCAGTTTCTACTACCTATTCCTAGCTAGTGGCGGTTGCTGAAAATGTTCAGATTGAGGCTAGCACTATTCCGTTCCTCAGCCATCGAGATCAGTCAGTCAGTATATGCAGTGCTAGGATCAATGTGGCGGCTGACTCAGGAATCAAACCCGTTCTTGACTCTAGATGGTACACCTTTGTCATCGGTTGGGGGTGGGGAAGTAGTTAACACGGCAGATGTCAATAGCCGCAAGACCACGCATCGAGCTAGAAGGTAGCAGGTGTACGTACGTGGCGTAAGAAGACTGCGGACTACCCCGTATGTATGTTGGTAAGCATATATTAGGAGGCGTTAACTCGGTCATCTACCCGGGAATTACATGCAAGGCATTTAACACTGCAGGAGTAAGATGTTGGCTGGCATGTCACGTCAAATAGCAAGGCTTTATACGCCTGTTGATTACCTATAATCCCCCCCGGCAATATAAGCATCGAGTTGGCCAGTCTGACCGCACCCGAATATTTACGTAGCAGGTCCCCAGTATGGTAAGATGTAAGTTTTAAGTTCTCACGAGATCATCTACCTAATAACTGAACGTTTCCAATACCACTTAGTTCTAAACTAGGAAACAAACAGCGTCGAGTAGATTTTAGCGGGAGTCACATGTCTAAACTAGCTCAAACAGACGATGTTAGCCACGACGTAGTGTATGTGCGCAACTATGCAATGCAGACTTCTTACAAACGCGCAGACTGCTTACGACGCTGCAGTTTGCAATGTGGAAAGTTATATTAAGACATATATTAAACATATATACACATATGTATGTACATCCGCTAGTGGTTGCATAAGGCTAGTATTAGTGGCGGTCTTATTTATGAATGTGAGTTAATCTAGTAAATATATATAACTATATATATAAAGATATATCTTAGTAGCGTTGAGCGGTGAAAATAAGTGATCGGAGTATATTCCCATTTGGAACAGAAGCTATTTGGAACAAAAGCAAGATACCGGCCGTTACGCCGATTCCATTCAGGAGTTTTGACAGTATATAATTACATAAGCATATTGAAGCTAGACTGAAACAACGGAAACGTCCATCTATACCTATAGTATGTCATATTGCAGACCCTAGCGCGAAATAGAAATAGAGCTTTAGTACATGTGTAAGATGTTTCCGAAAGTCACATTAATACATATCTGTTCGTAGCGGCAAGACTGTACGTGTTTTTTCTACCCGAACAAGCGAGATTTTCCTACAAATCATTTTTGCCGAACCAAATTCCCCCCATATGACAAGGCAAGTCATGAACCGGTAAAACCTTGTTTCACGGTCGGTTCCAGTGTGGAGTTAGGTAGCCTACCTACATTATGGGGAGGGGGGGGTCTATTGACATTATGTCAGCAAAGGTGTCAATATAATTATATAATTATAGGCCTCCAAGACCGTGTCAACAGGTCAATATAATGTCTGCAAAGCTTGTTGTACCGATTTCATTGCAGGTATTTATAAGTCAATACTAATAGACAGTATGTTAAGGTATTTATTATGTTAAAGGTATTGTTTATTTTGCCGTAATTACCAGGCCTGTTGATAATGTCCAAATAGCTACTATGTCCACCACAATATTAATAGCGGCCATAATGTTAGTATTTAACACGATGTTAGCCCTAGGTATATATAGGTTAATTATTAAAGGCTTAGACTATATATATATACTGTAATATAGTAAACTTTAATCGTAATAGCCTCGTAGTGTAATGGTAAAATACGTAGCCTATAATCTCGTAATAATAATTCAAATAATCTTTTTAATAATTTTTTCAATTGATTTTTGCATATGCCTGTATGCTGTATATATATATCTTTAAGGCCTTATATTAAATTACAGGGCTTTTTATTTTTTTAAATTTTTTAATATTATTAAACCTTTAGGTGGTAACGATAACTTCGTTCGACATTATCTCGTACGTGACATATATCGATTAGGTAACCGTGACTACCGTTGGTAACGATCTTTAAAAGGCCATTATTTCCCAATATATCAGTATTTTGGAAGCAATACTATTATAATAAGGTATAATCGTGTACATACAGTAGCTATTTCGGACCTGGTTATCCTTATAATCTAGATATAATCACCCCTGGGGGTAACCATACTATATATACTAGCCAATTACCGTAATAATAGTCATTTAACATGCGCATGGCCGACATTATGTCCACACCTTAACACGTATGCTGACAACCATGTTAATAGACCCCCCCCACCCGCTAATGTATTATTGGAGACGGCCGAGACAGGTACTAGCTATATCCGCCCCTGCCGTGTTACCGGAGATAGAATATCTCCGAAACAGCGACAACGTCCGTGTCCGGGTGTACTTAATCTGTACATGTCCCGATACGTATCTATTGAGTCAACGCCCATTGGCTCGATGGAAGGAATATTGAACCGGTGAGGCTCGGGGTTTTCTTTAATGAGGTATTGTTAATGTTGCACCAATCTTGGATGAAACCTCTAACTAGCAATTTTTACTTGATTACAATACTGGCGATAACAATTAGAATGTATTGTCGCCAATACCAAAAGAAGAAAACCGAGTATACCAGTTGCAAATGGGGAAAAGTAGCGCATTGAGATGATAATCTTAGAATGTTGGTTCCAACATATGCTAAATATAGGTGGCAATGTCATACGTACCTATCTACCTAACTAACAGAATATCTAACCTAGATACGTATTACGTTGAAATCTCGACCTAGTCTAGTCATCTGACTCAACAACATTACTTGCATTTGTATGCGCATAATTACGCGGGTAGTAGTCTTTGTGTAAGCCTGTCAAGCATCTAAAAGCTGACATCTCGGCCTCTACCTTGCGTATAACTGCTATCTGTTAATCACAGCCTATTAATAACAACTCAAGTCCTAACTACCTAATGAAACAACCAAGGCGTGAATGTTTATGAACTCAATAACCTATGTTCTTTTAACGTTGCCTACTTGTCATGGTAACATTGCCGCTATTCTGCCTTTAGATCAGGTACATGTAAGTTGAAATGCATGGGTGGGGGCAGATACATAGTTACGCCTAAACAACCGAAACGCTCCCAAAGTGTCGAGGAACTTGGTTCAAATATATGTAAAATATATGTACGTGTAAGTTGGATTCACGCCGGCCGTTTGTACACCGGGATGCCTCCACACATTCTTCCCTACCCGAGCTGAATCTATTGCTGGCTCGTTCCCTATTGCTCCCCTGTCATCCAACCTGGGAATACCTAGTAGGAAGTACGTACATAATACGGTAGTCTGCGCTCGCTCTGTGCAACCGCAATGTGCATTGTGGCAAGTTTGGCAAGGTTACAGATCATGTACTTGTATAAACACGTAGCATGAGCACAAAAGAAGGAGGCGTTTCTACGATATAACATGTTGTTTTGAGAAAAGAAGAGAAAAGTTGCCTTTGTACTTCTGCATTGCACATCATGGAAGGAGAAGAAAAAAAAAAAAGGATAGGGTTAAGCCTTGGCTAACAATTGCATCCGAATTACATGTATTAATGTATATATGTATGCCACCGGCGTTCCTAGTGTACCTAACCCACAGCGCTGACCAGCTCTTGGCCCAAGTGGGGGTGCCATCTGCGTGCCTACCTCCTAGGATGTAGCTTAGCTGCTTGCATGCCCCCATATACATACTCCGTGAAATCGCGATTTCCACAAACTTCCATATGAGCGCCCGCGTGTGTGCCGGGATATGTACCTACACTAATCCGTATGCATGTAGTAGCAAATACGTACATAATCATAAAATACGTATGTAGTTACTTCATCGGCGCGTACCTACCTAGGGGGCGTGCTTTCCCATTTCTTTTCCTGCTTGCCAATGGTTTCCCCGTGGCCCCACCCAAAATGCACGCAGCCTTAACCCAGCGCCTGCTTAAAACAACAGGACTGTACCAAAATAGGTAAGATTCTGTTTACCGTTTGTGGGTTAAGTCGAAAAAAAAAAAAGAAAGTAGGTACCAAGTAACTTACATATACATATGTAAGCACGAAACTTTAAGGAACCTGCGATGTAGTACCGTAGTGGATTTTGTACATGAATGGTCTCTGCTGCTGCAGCATTGCACCCCTGCAACAACCTCACAATCCGTGCACGCATACTACGTCCATAGTAGCATGGATCCATCGCCCGAACCCACCAGCCATCATACACTACATAGGAAGTACTTCTTTACAGGTCATACATAGTTCCAATCCAGCTCGTGCCTAGCCCCCGAGCCCTGGTCAAACAAATCTTGAGTATTACCTACCAACCTTGGATCTCGTCTCCTCTTCTTCTACCATCCCTTCCCTTTTTTTTCAACTGTTTTTTTTCTTCTACTTTCTCAACACCAACGCCTCATTTCCAGCCTAATCAATATCGCCCCATAACAGCAACTATCTATCCAGTTGTTACCAGCTGAACGGCAACCAATACACGATTGCGCGTCTGCCGCTCTTCACCTCCAACATCGATCCTCGCGTTCTTTCACACGACTATACCCACTGTTGTCTGACGGGACCCTGCAAAGTTTCGTCTCGTCTTGCTCGCGTTGCAATTGGGTCGTGTGGAAGGGTGTTCCCTTGTTGTGCCAAGTTGAATAGGAGCTGGAGGGACCCTGCATAAGATATCAAACTATCTGCGACTATTCTATCCATCGTTTATCGTCACCGTCACTTAGAAATCGTGATATCGCAATACCGCAGCCTTGTTTGGATTTAATCTGTACCCCAATCCCGAGATAGGTCGTCCGCGCAACGATACCACATCCGACAATGTCTATGTATCCGCACCGCGGCTTGCCGCAAAATGCGGCGCGTTTGAACGAGCTTCTTGATCAGATTCGCACGGAGTTTGATAACCAAGTCCGAATCAACGAGGGGTATGAGCAACAAAGTAAGTGAAAAAACAAACTACCATTGGAGATTAGATGAGAGTATACATTTTACTGGTTCAGCCTAATCTGGTCTTAACTGATTATTATATACACTCACATAAAGAAACGCGCTTTCCTGTTTCACATTTGACTGAGACTGTCACTAATTATCCAATAGTTCAACAACAAGTGCAAGAGGCCCAACTTATTCGTGAGAAGGTTTATCAACTGGAGCAGCAACATATTAATATAAAAGCAAAGTAAGCATCCATTGCTACAGCCTCCGAATCTTGAAGTTAACCTACTAACTTCCTATGTATAGGTACGAAGAGGAGATGGTTTTACTTCGCCGCCAACTCGAGGCCGCGCGAGGAGGTGCCCCTCAACCTGCTATACCTGGTCCGCCTCAACATGGCGGTCCATCTGCGGGTCCTCCCCCTCCTTCAATCGGTATGGGCAATAACCTATTTAGTGGAATAATGACCGGTCAGGGAGGCCAAGGCGGTGGTCTGCCACCCCAACCCAACCCGCAGGATCAGGCCCCTCCCGGGCCTCAGCATCAAATGCCACAGCCGCCCCCGGGTTTGCAAGGTCCGCCTCCGCCTCCACCCCCGCCAGCACAGCAGCCCCCCTTTCAGCAGCCTTACCAGGGTCCGGCTCCCGGCGGGTTCCCCGGGCAGCCTCCCCAGAGCACTGCTTCACCCGGGCCAGGCAAGCGCGGTATCGGTAGGCCACCCGCCGGTGGCCCTGCAACTCCTCAGATCAACACTCCGATGCCCTATGCCGGCCCCGGAGCCTCGCCGCAGGTAGCAAATCATCCGACGCCGGACCATAGAGCTCTGCCACCTCACCCTGGCCCGATGGTCAACAACGCTCTTGGTGATTTAGATGTCGAACGTCTCCCGGCTCATGTAAAGAAGACTCGAGACGATTGGTTTGTGATCTTCAACCAACATGTTCCGCGCATGCTCGATGTCGATCTAGTTCACACATTGAACCACGAGAGCGTTGTGTGCTGTGTGAGGTTCAGCCATGACGGCAAGTATGTGGCAACTGGTTGTAATAGGTCCGCCCAAATTTACGACGTTGCGACCGGCGAGAAGGTATGCGTTCTCCAGGATGAGAATGTTGATATTAGTGGAGATTTGTACATCCGTAGTGTGTGTTTCAGCCCCGATGGTAAGTATCTAGCTACTGGTGCTGAGGACAAGCTCATTCGCGTAAGTTGATCGCCTAAGTTCCCTCGTACCTTGCTAACTGGGATAGGTCTGGGATATTGCTACCCGTACGATTCGTAATACTTTTGCCGGTCACGAGCAAGATATCTACTCGTTGGACTTTGCTCGAGATGGACGAACCATAGCCTCCGGCAGTGGTGATAGGACCGTTCGATTGTGGGATATTGAACAGGGTACAAACATGCTTACCCTTTCTATTGAAGATGGTGTTACGACTGTTGCTATCTCCCCTGATACGAAGTATGTTGCTGCGGGTTCGCTTGATAAGAGCGTCCGCGTTTGGGACATTCATCAAGGATACCTCCTGGAGCGGCTCGAAGGGCCGGAGGGCCACAAGGACAGTGTTTACTCTGTAGCCTTCTCTCCTAATGGCAAGGACCTAGTAAGCGGAAGTCTAGATAAGACTATCAAGATGTGGGAGTTATCGACCCCCAGAGGAGGGGTACAGAACCCGGGCCCTAAGGGAGGCCGATGCGTCAAGACGTTTGAAGGACACAGAGTAAGTTTTCCCAGTATTTTTTTTCGTATTTTTCTATGCTCACAAGATTAGGATTTCGTACTTAGCGTAGCGCTCACTCCCGATGCCAACTGGGTCATGTCTGGCTCCAAGGATAGAGGTGTACAGTTCTGGGACCCCCGAACTGGGTTTACTCAACTCATGCTTCAAGGTCACAAGAACTCAGTCATCTCGGTGGCTCCTAGCCCTACAGGCGGCTACTTTGCAACTGGCTCTGGCGACATGAGGGCGCGCATCTGGTCTTATCGCTCGATATCTTAGCAAGGGAGTCAGTCGGAACAGCTTACGCGTCTGGCCCAAGAAGCGACTAGAAAAGGGCGTACTCCACTCCCGCTCAAAAAATAGCCCGAGATGATGGGTACATAGGTTCAAGAAGATGGGGTTACGTATTTAGTTACTACAAAGGGGTTTAGGAGAGAAGACGGCTCTACGCCGGACCTGGAGTTGATGCCGGTCTTAGGATCTTAGAGGTCTTTTGTTTTTGCTAAAGCGAAAGCCACACGCTTCCTTAGACGATGTGCGAAGGTGTGGATAACAACTATGCAACTTGGAGAAGATGAGGCAAAGAAAAAGTTTGTAGTTGGTCTCTTGTTGGCTTGGGCGAGGCTTTGAAAGCGGGGAGGGGCTGGGTTTTTAATCTCAGGTGTTCAGCAGCAATGGTGGCAGTCCCTTGTCACAAGTGTATTGCAAGACAGGCTTTTGATAGTAATGCAGAACCAAATGATAGATCCAATCAATGACTATTGACTATTGACTATTAAAGATGTAATCTATTTCTTGGGGTATGGAGATTGTGAGATTAGTGTGTACGTGTGTTTTATTAGTGAGATGCTATGTATGTGCTACCCCTAGCTTAAAATAGGCCCTTGAATAGATTATCGAACTCGTCGCCGCCTTTCTTGGTCTTCTTTTTCTTCGCGAGTCTTACACCCTCCTTAGTCTTCGTCTTCGAAGATATATCCTGCTGTTTCTCTACAACCCCGGCGCCATTGCCGTGGTCCTGACCCCGCTTCGCATTACTAGGTATATCAGAAGATCCGACCTGTACGTTCTTCCTCCGCAGCTTCGCAGCCCGCGCGACCTCGTCCCGCGAGATTACCGAGCCCCCGCGCTCGCCGGGCGTCTCGGTCAAGATGAGCCGGGAGGGCGGCTCCTTAGCTCCTCGGACGCTGGGTTCTTTTAGGCGCACCGCAGCGGCACCGCTATCTATAGGCTTATCCGCGACGGATATGCTAGTTTCGTCACGGCTTACCTCCGCTGCTTCGCCTACTAGATGCACGCAGGCGGCGTTGACCTGGGCTAACGCGCTGAGCAGCACTACGCCTAGCGTTGCGAATTGGTTGTCCGCTGTTAGTTGCGAGAAGGCCCTGGGGGTTCGTTAGCGGGTTTTGGTCTTGAGATGTATCGCTCGAAGGACATTAGCCTTGACGGCAGCGGAGAATAACGTACAAGTAGCACTTTGGAACTAAGATGTCCCTCAACCACTCCACGTGACCCCTTACCTTCCTTTCCACGCCGCCGCCGCCGCCGCCATCGTCACGCCGCCGCTTCTTGCTCTTCGACTTGGCAGCAGCGGCAGCGGCAGCGGCAGCGGCAACGGCATCGGCAGCCTCGAGTAGTTCATCGACTACTCTCTCGACGTGGCGCCGCAGCATGCCGAAGGGAGCCCACCAGGCGGCGCGGCGGTGCTGGTTCCGGTTGCGGTGGTTGAAGCCCCGGAGGACGGGCTGCAGGGGCTGAAGCCTGTCTAGCGCGTCTTGGTAGCCATTGCCGTCGATGTCCGGGTTGGGGGCGGGGGCGGGATTGGAAGCCGGAATGGAAGGGGGGAGGGGAAGGGGAAGGGGAAGGGCGGAGGTGCTCGGCGGTGCAGGGACTGGTACCATTACATCGTCCGGGGTAGCGTAGTGTAGGTGTAGATGCGGAAAGTTTCTAGTGTGACTATGTTTACTGCTTTTGATACATCTGAGGATGCTTTGCGGGTACCTGCCGTAAAGCTTATGCGAGCCGAGGATCTACCGTGTCGATATGTAGCTCGAGAGGTTTGTTAAAAGTAAAAAAGAAAGTTTAACTAGTTATATGTTGCTTAAGTAAGTTTCACGCGCAGTTAGAGTTCTTGACTAATAAAATAACCTCGTTTGAACCAAGACCGACAAAAAGACCAAATTGGCAAAAAGTAAATGTTGCGACGTGGGCCTGATTCGAACAGACGCTCCCGAAGGAACAAGATTTCTAGTCTTGCGCATTAGACCACTCTGCCACCACGCCCCATTGGTTGTTGAAAAATTTCAATGTAATATAATACTATATAGCAATTGTGTGTTGGTCACGTAGCATCCTAAGGCAGTTAGACCTCGAAGGTGGGGGCGTTAGTCCGGAATAGCTTCGGTAGGTGGGTATAGGTACCTGACTTATATCCCCCTTCGATAACACACGAATAATAACTCCCAGTATAATAATACATATTGATCCGCAAGGAAAACAGGGTCTATATATGACAAGCTATCCTAAGTCTTAAATATCCAACTTAGCGTATATGTAAATTCTAACAAATTATCAAATCAGGGATTATGGACTGCTTTACCAAGACTATATAGCCTAGGACGACTTGAAAGAGCCTCAGTCCACAACAAGCTGTTCTAATATGTCTTCATATGTATCAGTAACTTACTCATATGTCTGCGTATTTATACATTAAAGAATACTCCTTGCGCCATGATTAGAATTACTGTTAATAACACGCGTAGAGGCCCTCTGGCATAGCTAACATCCTACAGTAAAAGCCACACAAGACAATCTCTATACGCTAATTCAAATCTATTCATTTTCTACCTTAGGTACATAACATCTACCCGGTATCAGACACTTTCCTATCACTTACTCTGACCCGCTCCGGTTCCTTGCAAGCGCTGTCGCGGTAGTAGTCCTCCATCCTATAGTACTGCTGATTGCCGTTCTGCGCCGCGCCCGGCCCCGATCTCCTCCACGAGTAAAAAGAGCGGCGTCCCCGTGACGCCGTTCCTACTCGCGTGCCCCCGAGCACCACCCTGACTAGTGGGCGGAGAGTAGCGATCGACGATGCGATGAGGCCGAGTCCGTTTTCTATAGTAGACCAGATGGACAGGTCGGAGAAGTCATGTATAAAGTCGCCGGGTTGGGTTAGCTGCCAGATATAGGGGATGCGGACGATGGTTGCGGTTGAGGCGCTGAACGTCTTTATTAGCGAACCCTGTTCTTACGACCGAGCGAGGATAGGGGCAGGGGTAACATACACCGATCCGAGCGCTAAAGTGCAAGAAACCAAGATCTTCGACCTCTTCGACAGCTCGAGATTTCGCACAATCGCAATGGGTAGCAACCCAAGGACCCAATCCGTAACAGCGTTGATACTAGCAGCCGCGTACGTACAGCCCATAACCAAATCGTTGCTCCAGCATTTACCCTCCATGCCGCCGGTGTATCTAAACCAGAAATACGCCACCGGCTGGCACTGGAACGCGGTCATGAAGGCGTAAAAGACGTGGTAGACGAGATACAAGAGCAGCACGGTGCAAATCACCGATTTCTGCCACACCTGCGAGCAGATGCGAAAGAGGAAGATCCCGACGGTAAACTTTAGGAAGAGCGACGTCACGACGTATATTATTTCTGCCGCCCATCTCATCTGTCGTAGTTAATTAGCCACTAGTTCACAATCTCTTGCACTCAGCGCAAATTACCTTGAGGATTTTGGGGATGTTCTCGGTAGGAACATCGTTTATACGCTTGCCCGCCCCGTGCGAGATACTAAGCATGACAACGGTGGAATAGAATACGAAGCAAAGCTGGGCTTGTTAGTTACGATATATCCATCATCTTCCCTGGTTATCGCCGATTTACCATTGTAGCAACGGCCAACCAGTCCTCAACCTGGAAAGCCCTCAAAATGTGAGCCCGGACATAGCAGCGAAGAGCTACCGTTATGGACGACAGCCCGAGGAAAACCGCTACGATGACGGCCAGCTCGGGGCCACGATCATTAGGCGTCATGGTTTATGAACGATCGGGCTCGATGCGAGTATTGAAATGAGAGACACAACGAAAGTCACACATGGGGCCTAGAAAGAAATTGGCCCAGAGGGCAAGGCAAGCCCAGGACCACTCACTAAGATCACATAGCAAATTGATAAGAAGACTGTACGAGGAAGCACAGCAGAGATATACCACCACGTACTTCCATATCAAATCCGGGGTAACGGTCGCCATCGCCGTCCCTATAACGGCATTCTAGCCCCAACGAGGAAAGCAAACAAGGATCCGCCCTACGGTAGCAAACACCTGCCAGATTTTTTTCTCCTTCTTCTCCACGGCCGTCTGAGATACCCGCTGTCTATTTGACTGGGCCATCCCCTAGACGAGGACATAAGCCCACACGGTTAACCTCTCGTCACATGGGAGAACCTTGCGCAAGGCCTTGAGGCGATGGAGCCGAGTGATCACCACGATCCGATCTCCAAACAAGCACGGTCTGTGGCTTTACAGACGGAGCACAACCTCGTTCCCGCAGGTCATAACACGCAGGTCTACACAGCAATAAGACGGCCCCCATCTAGATGCCGCGCATGAGCGAAGGATTTGCCGCGCTGCATATCCATACCGTATATAGTGCCGCGGCCCAAACAGGAAGCTGTGCATGCTCCATCCCACGGCATGCGCGAGCACCCCACGGCTCGGTGAAGCGCACCCCAGGCGGACCGGCAGCAGCGCGATACAGTTAGGCAACTCGCTAAGACGGGGATATATGCATCCCATCTGCCACCTGCTATCTAGATTTGGGCGATCGAAGGAGATACCCTATGTATACCCAGACCACCAGGATAGATCAACGTACATAGGTAGGTACATAGTGGACGGCGTCCCACCCCGCGCCTCCCGGTAAAGGGCCGAAACCACGAGGCGTATATTGTATTACACGACAGCAAGCGGTATAACGCAGTTCTCGGGAATCACAGCCCGAATTTCGCGTCTCGGTGCGAGAGGGACGCATCGCTCGTCGCTGTTTGGTATAACATAACCAACCCTACTTGTTGTTGTTGTTGTTATACGCAAGACAAACACGATGACGTTAAACTAGTTACAGCGCTGCAAGCTAGCCCTACGCAGATTAGGACACATGAGATGGCGTTGCTCGGGAACGGTGTCCGAGCGGTAGGAGGGGAGGACGAACGAACAGCTATGACTGGATCAATAGAACAGCGCATATCCTTGCTCTCTAGTACTAATATGGCCTATCTCTATGAAATAGGCAAATATAGGTTATGCGATGAATAAGTCACAAGTAAGAGAAGGTAAGTAGTATGTAAGGGCTAGAGAGTAAGAAACGAACGTAACTATTATACTAATTCCAATCGACTTTAGGTCATATTATAGATCGGATAATGGCGCTAACAATGTGAAATAGTGAAGAACAAACTAGCCAAGCTCTATCAGAATGAGGTTGTGAATATGGTTGATGATAATTTGAGATGAAGGAAAAGGTGAGAAAGAGGAGATTTTGGTTAGCACAGGCGAGCTCAGCTGTCAACAACCGCCTGCCAGGGCTGACAGGTGGGGCTTAGCGCGAAGCCCTATCTCAGCCTCAGACTACTTCACTCTAACCTCGTCATTCGTACATAATTACTACAAACACGTATCTCTAGCTGCGCAAACCAAACACTTCACATATAAAATAAGTTTATCGCATACTCATAATATCATAATTACTAATAGGAATAATGCTTCCTATTGATGTGCAACTATCAATGCAGAGCTAGAGAAATCCGTGAATGCCGTGCGAAAAAGTAAACGAGCTGAGAATATTAAAGATAGTAGTAGGAGAGGAAGGGGGTTTCGCATCACCTTGCCTTAAGTACTGATAAGTAGACTATCTCTCAACTTCTCCTAGCTTCTGGAAAATCTCAAGCTGCTGGTGCTCTTGGCAATGCAATACCTATGTATCTCATGGGAGCAAGATCTATGCCAGAGTGCTATTTAGGAAATAATAGTCGACCTGAAGTCAAGTGTCATCACAAAAGGGAAACCAGTATGCATTAGGAAAAAACCGCAAAGACTGCTGTCATCCATCATTCCATCCAAGTCATTTCCCCGGCCTGTCTTTTCGTAACGCATCGTGAAGACGGTGTCTGACGTCTGCGCACAAATCAATTTGTTAGCAAGTGCTTATTTCATTTGGATGGTAGTTGGCAGTCTCAACTCACTTGATCTTAAAGATTGAAACCGTATTCTAACGACCCTATTGAGAGGCCAGGGAAGCATATGACCTTGGTAATATACATCAGTTGGCGTTACAGCCAGGGGATGAAAGGGGGCCTACCGATGGACAGAAGTCATCGAGAAACACAACGCATCGCACGAGAATGTACGAAAGTATTGCATAAAAGCGGAAAGAGTCGAGCAATGCCTAGATATATCAGCTAATGTGTATACACTTTCGAGACATTTAAGGATCTTACCAGTAAACACCCTTCAGTCGGCTAAGCGAACGGCATAGAAGATGCCGCCAGGCTTGACGTACCAACGACAGTCACCCATGTTGTCGATACAGAAACGGTTGCGGAGAGTCCATGCGCCATCAAGCTCTCGGCAATAGTACATGCGGGACGGATCAGGATCGGCAGGGGCGATGTCCTGGCCTTCAAGAGCCCCGGTATTGAGAGCTGTGTGGTACTGCTCCATCTGAATCTCGGTTGCAGTCTTTCCAATTCCCATCACGTCCGGGGCAGAACCGGGAGCTATGACATCGGGGGGACCTCCAATGACTACCGGGGTACCGAGCGGAGCCATCATAGCAGGAAATGCGGCGGGCTGGGCGGTCATTGGAGCTGCGGGGAAACCTGGCTGGCCTTGAACGAAGATGGGCTGCTGGGAACCCTGCTGGATCACGATAGGTGCACCAGCACCAGACTGCGGCTGCTAGAGAGGAAAGAGTTAGCTTCTATGTTTATATAAGAGCAAGGTTCGGATAAGTCAGCTAATGAACAGAAAGGAAAATCAGATCATGTTATGTTCTGATAGGACCATCTATCTGAATTGGGACAGGCAACAGGGCGCATTCGCTAGCACGGCTAGTGCGCTTCTGAACGTTCGGATGAAACTTGCATTGAGGGGATAACAATTAGGCTGGGACTCGGTCTCTCGAATAATGTAGCATGGAGTAGCTTGGAATGCAGGCAAAGCGCTTGACGAGTCTTGTGTGGGAATAGGATATACCTGTTGCATGGGCACGTATTGAACTTGGGCACCGCCAGGAGGGCCAGGAGGACCAGAAGCGACAACGTAGAGCTGGCCTTCAATCATCACATACTGGCCGGGAGCGGGCTTATTATCGAAGCGGGGATGGTAAGTGTGCGGGATGGGACCATAGGTGGTGTCTGGCACGGGAGGCTGGAAGTGCTGGCCCTGGTTGGGCATGGAGCCGGTGGTGTATGCCATGACTGGGTTTTGGCTGTTGCTTACAGGACCAAATTGAGGGAAAGACTGAAAGGGGCTCTGGGCAAAACCAGGTGGCAGGACCTGAGGAGGAGCAATTCCAGGAGTTTGATGATGCACTGGAGGTTGGGGACCAGCGGCTGGGTTGAAGCCGTGTACGGGATTGGAGTGTCCGCCGTCGTAAACCAATCCGATACCAGGTATGTTCGCGACGGTATGGTTAAATCCGGGGCCTGGAGTCTGATATGCCGAATGGGCGTCGTTGTCGCCTTGATTACCAGAAGTGGTGGGTGTAGGCTGACGCACCGGAATCTTAGGGTTGGCAGTGGTAGTGTTGGAGGATTTATTGGAAGGTTTATTAATGAAAGTAGTGGTGGTGGTATAGGGAGAAGTAGAAGAAGATTTCTTATGCTTGTTATCTCCTGGGTTGGGGGATCTAGGGGCGGTACCCATGGTGAACAACCTGCAGGCAGTAGCCGGCAACGGGGGTTGTCCAGTGTGAACTGTTTAAAAAGGGGGACACTTTGGAATAAGAATTGGTAATGACCTTCCGCACAGTGGGCCGACTAAATATGTTCCTTCCTTAGGAGTAAAAAGAGAGCCAGGTTTCAAGGCAGTTGCCACTAGTCGAAGATTCCGCCTTTTTCAAGGGGAAAAAAAACTAGGGGCAGGTGGGAAAGGGAAGATATTGGAGTGATGGTAAGTGTACGTGGTAAATGTACGTGGTAACTGTACATAGTAACTGTACATAGTACCTGGGTAACCAACGGGAAAAAGGTAAATGTACTGATTTGTGCCTTGTTGCACTATGCTGCACAGTAAAAGTGTCCCTGGAATACTAGGATTGTCTCTCGAGGTTCTTCGTGTTTCTTTTGTCCCTGCTTTGGAAATTTCTCTAGTCCTGCTTGTCGCCAGTCCAGCTGTCCCAGTCCATAGCTGCTTTTGGAGGGCCATTGTTTCAATGCATCATCGCAAGACTAAAGAAAATAACCACTTACAGTATCACCTATGATGGCAACCCATCTAGTACCGTCCCATACGTACTGGATCATCTGCTGTTCCGCCGGGGGGTCCTCCTCGACATAGATATCTTTAACTGACCAACAAGGAAAACACATGTTGGCGCTGTCGTTGGTGATGTTGTGGTGTCCTCTACAACGGGTAAAGAAGAAATAGATATGGAATCTCGAGTGGATAGTATTGATCGTTTAGGTATCGTTTATTTTAGCATGACAAATTTGCAGGTGAACTCCCTGCTAGGAGTTGTTCTGTTCGTAAGGGCGGATGTATGATAGGTTAGCAATATTGTCGGTGCCTAGGCCTGGGAAGGAACGGGATGCTATCATTAAAATGTTATCATTAAACAATCTTGATTTTAAAATCGTAACCATAGAACGTCAAAATGTTTGCTGTTATGACTTATTACTACCATAGACATGCTTCCTGGGTAGTTTACACCCCTTTCTTATACTTTGTTGAAGCTAGGTTAGTTAAGCTATTTAGCACTACTTAATGAAATCTCGGAATTAGTTGCGGAACTGCATTACACACATTTTTATTAAGAATTGTATTCGCATCAAGGCATCGGTATCAATGACCGGTCCCATACAAAACAGTAGCAAAGACGTATACTGCCCCCGTATTTCTTGACTCCATTCACACATCACCGTGTATTACCACAAACGAAAATTATTCGTTTGGGTTCCGTGATACACTGTCCTAGCTCAGATGCTATTCGCCAAGATAGAGCCTATTATTTTCGTACTTTAGATTCAGAAAGGATATCCACTTCCATATTACCAAAATCCTGGAGCCCCCTTTCTTCACCCGGAACCAATGATTGGTCTGTCGATACCGAATAATCTCCCTGTGTGCCACTGCCCTGAGCCGAGTGTTTGTTTGGAGGGGGGCTATTTTGACGTGAGGGTTTGCATTTGGCTTCATTCGCCTGAGCTACGCGCTTCGCTTCGTCGATTTTCCAAGTCTAGCGTTCGGTTAGCTTAGACCTACGATAGATAGTAAATAACTTACGCGGATGAACACGGCAGAAAGATTGCGTTCCTTGATTAATGAAGACATTCTTTCATATTGCTCCTTGGTGTCGACGCAAAGCCAATCTGTATAGAGTCTTGCCGACTTCTGAACATGATTACCAGGGGCATCTGAAAGTCTATAAGACCAGCTCGCGAGCTGCTCATTGCTAAGCTCTGACCTTAATCGCCACGACCGATCCCACTCGTCATTTCCAGATTCAGTCAAGAAACGTGTCTCACTATCGTCCGATGTACCGTAGAGATCATGATCAAGTATTTCGCGGTTCGAGATTCCAATACTGGCATATGGCTCAGCTACTTCCTCGAGGAGGGCATGGAAACACTCTAGGCAATACTCAGGTGACAAGGGCGCGAAAAAACTCTCGAGGTGAAGTGTATTCATTGCTGTAACTCGGAGCATAGACATATTCACCTGAGGGTCTACGTTCGGCTCATGCTTAGGGGTAACCCTAATTTGAGGTTCAGGCGAAGGCTTCAGTTCACTTTCTAGAAGCCTATGTCTGGCTATAAGATGGACCTAAGCGTAACTGGTTAATGACATGACAAAGCTGTGAATGATGTCATGATGTACCTTGTCGTGAAAACTAAGCGTGGATGCCAAAGGTATTTCGAAGATGGATTCGGATTCGAATGCGAGCAGCTCCCGTTGGTCGATTTCTTGCTCCAGTATATAGTCGACGGCTCTAGAAAGCGGTTCATTTCCTTCTAATAAATCACGGAGCCTCTGTCGTTGTTCTAGGATTTCCGGGTCCTTGGAAGGTCTGTCATCTAGAGTGACTGAGCGATAACCCCCCTTCTGCTCTAAGCCTATGCTTGGAAATTGAATCGGAAGATCAGTATCGCTAAATTGGAATTGATGGGTAGCCAAATCCTCGAACGACCCAATGCCTACCCCATTAGACAGCCATGTTTGGATGCAGTTGTCGACGAGTTCCTCCTTAGTCCGCTGTGCCGCTTCCTAGTCGGCTGCAGAGGATGACAGAGACATAGTTAGGGGTAGATAGATGAGTTCTTGGTCGATTCTTGGTTGACTTGCTTAGATGATGGTGAAAAATGGGAATATTTGAGAAAGATAGAGGAGTAAAAGATAACCTTATTGGCTAATGGGAGAAGGTAGATAAATAAGCGGGATATTGCTATGTGTCTTAGGTACCTAGGCACCTACGGCAGGTGCATATCTAGGATACTCATACATATGTGAGTAGGCACCCAGCTTGCTCCCTTCCCTGTCGGGCTACCTAAGGTATGTATTGACAACTGCTGATGCCTAAGGTTATGTAGGTACACAATGTGCATATGTCCTAAGGTGGGCAGGTAACACCCAAGTACAGATAGGGGCTTAAGAAAGGGTGTCACTTCCTGTCGTTTCTTTGCCCTTTTCTCCTGACGTCACGCGTTGTACCTAAGCTACTTGGCATATGTAATTTTGCTTCGTTCAAAATTGGAAATTCAATTCCGTCCCGTTGCCGACTTGAACGCCTACCTATCCACGACCGTGGATGCTTTCTAATGCTCTTAACCACCTATTTTATACACATGCCAAAGCCGGAGGAGAGATCATCCATCGTTCCACAACCAACTCGTAAACTTGTTCACCCAATTAAATCGCGATATCGTGCGGCGCAAGGCCTAGTTCTCGGGCTCAATATCATACATAGCCATATCCTTGGCCGCATTCCCGAGCTGAGAATTAACGTATCTAGTACTTAGCATATATCATTAGACCTAAAGGTGTTGCTCGTGCCCTTGAGTCCCCGGAGATAGCACAACTTTCTTCGTGACCTAGTAGGAGAATTAGTTATAATCATTGGCCAAACACTCGGGGTCACTCAGGGTTCATACCGCCCATACTCCTGCTATTGAGCCCACAATACCACCCGAGATCAACATTGGCCGTAGCCCCCTCGTACTCTTGAATAACATGCCGCTTAAAATACCTGCTGCTATGGTATTTGCGGAGTCGTGCTTCCCTCTGAGATAGCCGATGCCCGAGTTGAAACAATTATACGTGATGGCGACGACACCCGCAGAATTACCAAGGAACGGTCCTCTCCGTGTAACGGCATTCAGGACCGAGTTTAGACGTAGCTTCGGCGGTTGACCCGAAGATCTTCTCAATCCCTCTTGGAGTCCCCACAGACCCCCTATTGATAGTGCCGTGAGGTATGTGATACCGGTTCCATAACACAAATCGTCACTAAAACCTCGGGAAGGGATCGCCGAGTGTGCGCCGGGAAGATCTGACAGAGCGGTATCCTCTAAGCTTAAGTATTCTAAGCTGTCCTTGTCTAAGCCTGCTAGGGGGTGTAATAAGGAGGGATCGGCAAACGCGGAGCTCTTTAAGAAGGAGTCTACTCCTTGCGCATCTTCCGGGTTGAAGGGAGCTGGGGTGAGGTTTTCGGTCGGTGCGGGCGCAGAAGCGGAGGTGGGAGATGACGATTGTGAAGATGAGGACTTTCGTCCGGTGAGCGCATCCCAAATGGACATGCTGTCGGGTGCAATTATAATGCTATAAGATTGGGCAAGAAGAGAAATATATGCTACGGGGTATGTCGCCGCCGTGTCTCTTCTCGCAGTATGCGAAATCGCAGGTCCAGGGCAGATGGAAAGTGACTGAAGCTTTCGCCCATTGAAAAAAAAGTTTCCTTGCGTAGATGAGTGGCATAAGTGGCATAAGTGGATACCAGGTCATTGAATTATCGCTCGTGCGCCACATCCATTATCAGATAGGTTAGGAGGTACCTAACCTATTAGATATTAGGTACGTACCTTTAACCTAAACTCAAAATTTACAGGGTTTTTCTAGGCTTCATTAACTGCATAACAAGATTACAGATGGAGTGCATCAAACCTCACAAGACACAATTAACCTAATAGATTATAATATTTTATACTCTATTTCATAACAGTGAAATATATTTCGAGGACATCCATAGACTATATAAGTCTCTAAATATGGTGACTCAGTTACAAAACCACCCATGTTCTCTTCTCCCAATTCCTACCCAATAATATCGACGGAATATCCAAATCTAGAAGAGAATAAGTTTCTTAAAGCGGGCATATCTCGAAAGGGGAGAGGAGGCCATACGTTGGCCTATCATCACCACCCTAATACGCGATGAAGTCCTCAATGGCTACTCAAGTTAGTGAGACTAACTTCAACCCGAAACATGCCGTCTCTTGGCTTGAAGAACAGCCTGAGGAGCTGCAACTATGGTGAGTATGAACTAATACTGCAAAGCTGGTCCTGCGTTTACATAAACTCCTTAGGCAAGTTATGTTCGAGGAGCTTATTATATGTGCCGCAAAACCGAGGCAGTATTCCGGGAACGCTTGCGTGAAACTTCACGGCTTCATTGAGCAATGTTCAAAGTCTTCTAAGCCCACACTGCAAAATTTTGCATTTGCGGAGGATACTGCCATGAGACTTTTCGACTTTTTTATGGAATGGAATGAAAAAGATTCCCATCGATCCATGAGGCTCATCCTGGATTATCTTGCATATCTGATATCCAACAATCCTAGACCAGAGGTTGGTGCTTCCGTCAAGGCAATTATATTGAATACCACCGTATCCACAATCACACAACAGTCATCTCGGCCGTCAGTAAAATCTGCCATGGTCGTCTTAGACTGCTTCATCCAGAAGAAATTGGTATATTTATGCAGCATCTTAGAGCTTTATAACGAGATTCACGGTCTACCTCTAGATGAAGATGTCTGGGATGCTTTCGTCGCCAGCATCTTCGCTTGGATGGAACTACATTATCTGTGTCATGTAGTTGGAAATCTTCTCGTTACAATCTTCACTAGCTCTTGGTACGAGGATAAAGACGTCAGACATGAACCTAACACATGGCATAGGTTCATATATAGGGGTTTGCAGATAAACCTTGATTATCTCGAGCCAATTAAATTTTACATTTTTGTTCAGTTGTTCAATGTTGATCGAGCAGGCTCTCTAGTGTACCTTCGCCATTTATCGTCGCTCCAAAGACTTACTAGCAAGGACAGCAATGGTTGGGACCTCAATTCGATGCTCTGGCTTGCCATGCTTGAAGCAGGAAAGAAGGTTGGGGTAGTGGATGAACCAGGTCGTGGTAAGCTGTCGCCATCTGACACCCAAAATTGTTAGAGGGTCTGCTAAATGACACAAAGAATCAGAACAGGACTCTCAATCGGGTTTCCAACTTCGAGCAGACGTATTGGAAAGAGTTCTGTGCCATGACTCTCAAGAAGCACGTACATCGGCCGTCTCACTTCTCATAGCATCTCCATCCACAACAAAACCATACACAACAGAAGCTATCGAGCTACTCAAGCAGTATTTGCCGTCATTTTATGAAGATTCTGATCCAAAAATGCGTTATGATGTTCTTGGACATTCGAGAAATATGATCAAACGTATTCAAAATACTATCGAGTCGCTACGGCGAGAAGCTGACCGCATTTCTAAGAAGATCAATAAGGCGAAATCGAACAGAGGGGATAAGGATAGTCAATTAGAGAGACATCAAAATGACACAGTAGCAAAGCTAAACGCCGTATTGCGCCAACACGAGGACTTTGCTTCTTGGTATGTAGGATTTCTTAAGAACGAGCTTGCTCCTACTACATCCTATCAGCGACATATAACAGCATTGAAGGCCATGGTATTCATCGCCAAGCCGGCTCCATCCCATGGGAGTGCTATACTTAACTCTTATGAGTTGAGTACTTTGCTCATTGATGTGACGTGGTTTCGCTCTATCCTAGATCTCATTATGGATCCATTTGATGATGTACGAGAGACTGCTGCCTCCTTAGTGATGGCACTCTCGCCCGAAATTGGGAACCCAGAGCTACAAAAACAGATGAAGGAACTAGGGAAAACGCCTATCGAGGAGTTGCGGAGCTTTTGCAACAAGGCTGATGAGCTTGCTCGGCGAACCGCCCGCGCTGACCACTCTGACGGCGCCGCTCGCTCATTTGAGCTTCTTTGCCGCTGGAGTATAAACTCAGAGGAACGAATGCGAATTCCATTTACAATTCTGTCAAGCCTCGAGACTAAACTCTCTGCTGCCGAACAAGACCTCGCCAATGCGGTGTTACAGGCGCCAGTACACGGTAGCTTCGCATCTCTGAGGTATGTTCAGATCACATAAGCTATTTTCGGAAAATGAATACTCACCTAGGGGCATAGGTATATATGGAACTCATTCTCAACTATGAAGTTCTCCAGGGAAGATATCGAGGCCCTGGCTAAAATACAGGATCGTGCTATTGCATGCTGCCAGAGAATATGGCGGGCTGTGCGACATGTTCTTTGCGATGACTCTCCGGAAGGCCATCTGCCGGAAGAGCTCGAGGAGGTTGAGGGACTCGACACTAAGGACTTGCTTAGTTACAGCTTCCGGGCAATCCACGAGTCAAGGTAAGGCCTCGATAAACATTCATCCAAGTGCCTCGATAAACATTCATCAAAGTAACCACTAATTATTTCAAGTAATTTGATGCGTGCTATTGCAAGCAACGCTAGCCACCAGGGCCCTGAGCTTCTGGCTCCTTCAAGAGCTAACTTCGAGGCGATTGGAGTGCTCACATTTGATGAACTATCGAATTTGCGACACCGAGGAGCATTCACAACAGTATCACAGACATTTACTAGTTGTTGCCAGCTCGTAAAATGGTTCCCGCATCCTTCAAGTGACAAATCCGGGTTCTTAGACCAATGGTATGAGGTTAGTAGATCTCAACACCTTGAAACTACGGATACATACTAAGACTCATATAGGGAGCGCTGACTTGCATTCACACGCAAGCTTCTACCACTCGAAGATCAGCTGGTATCCCAGCTCTTATCGTTGGTATACTTTCTTCTAATGCGAACCGTCCATCTTTTGAGGATGTCATTCGCAACCTGCAAGATATTGGTCGTCGACCAGCGCTCGCATCTGAGACTGATGGATCAAATTTACCACAAGTACACGCCCTAAACTGTATCAAAGATATCTTCAAGAGCTCGTATCTAAGCAAGAGAGCAGAGCCATATCTCACCGACTGCCTTGAATTAGCGGCAAGC